CAAATTTCTTGCCAATGTGTAGGAAAAGGGGATACACTCATGTACCCCTATCTTACTCTTGGAAGCTTATTGTGTAATTTTCAGCAATTTTCACGAGTATATCTCCTTTTTCGACAAAATGAGCACCATAGATTTGCCTTTGGATTTGTAAAATGTTGCAAGTCTAGGCCTTATTTTTTTTTATTAGAATGTGAAGAACTTGTCTCACTCTTCCTTTCTCAACCACAACTAGTGTTGGCTGATGCTTCCATTATGTTCTTTCTTGTCAATGTTGAGTTATTAGCTTGTTGATTTTCATTTAATAATGTCAGCATGTTCTCTTCCCTCCTATTAATTCCCATGACTTCCTCAAAATCAAAAACTCTTTCCCATTTCAACAATTAACTAGTCAGTTATACAAAAGGTGAATTTAAGTCATATAAGAATCAATACAAATGATCCTTCAAGATGTAAATTCATCCAACATAATCTGAATTGATAGTCAGTCTATAATGATCGACCTCAATCTAAATGGTTTCTAGTTTGACTGCATACTCTATTACCGTTCTATTATCCTAAGTAAGGTTCATAGCTTTGGTGGTTAAGAGTGACATTTCTCTCTAATCATTCCACTTCTTATGCATACAGTGAGCTTTCTCCCATATATCTTTCACTATTGAAATTCGAAAGAAGTGGTCGTTGATAGATGGTGTCATATTTTCTAGCAACCACACTTTAATGATGACATTTCTCTCTCGACATGTAGTGTGTCATGGATTCTTTAGGCTATAAAGATTACCACTCTTGAGATGGATTAGTTTCCTCTAGCCAAGTAAAATTATTTCTACATATTCCTCCCATTGTAATAGGTTCAATTCATTGAACTTATATTTGTCAAGAAATTTTGGAGATTTGAATCACGTAAGGTACTCTTCTAGTACACTCACTAGCACCAAAGATAGGCTATGGGCTTCTACCATGAATTAGGGATCACGGTCTCAATCAAAAATAAGTAAACCTTCAAACCCTAGCTAAGGGAAAAATAGAGTGTTCATGGTCTCAACATATCGCGAACCTTTGATGTAGTGAGCTTAGATGGCTTAAGAAGAAGTTTGGAATGTATGCACCTAATGCTCTGACATTATGTTGAAGATTCTCTCACCTTTGGCTAGGCACAATCACCACCAATAGGGGAGCCGTTAGAACATGAGAGAGTGAAAGAAAAGAAAAATTATTTCTTTTGAGTTAGGATTAACGACCCTTCAACATATGATTCCTGACTATCAGATTCTATACCAATAGGTATGAGTGGATAGATCCAATAACAATAGGTAATTGGACTGATTAAGCCCGATAACCGTCTCCCTAAATGTAGCCCAATATCACTTATTCTAACATAATTTATGTTTATTTCAAGAAAAACGAACATTGAACATTTGAAAGATTTGAAATGATTTTCACATATTATTCATCTATAAATATCAATATTTTTTAATATAAAAGTATTAAAAAATATATGGGTATCTCTTTACCATATAGGTAGAAAATTTAATGATAAATGAGTGAGATTTGAAGCCAACCATTGAAGCTTGAGGAAGCCTTAAATCCTATGTGGATTACCAAGGTCTCAAATAATCTTTTCAAATAAGTTGTTAGTTGGTGCAAACGTGATTGACAATTATCTCCCTTATGCAAAAAGGATAAGCATATTTCAACTTATAGCATCATTATCCTCTTTGAAATTATGGATGTACCTCAAGTCAACCTCAATCTCCAAAAACCTCTCACGATGATAACTTATATAATATTGTGAGATAAACATGACATTAAAGTCTTATTTATTGTGAGTGAGAGATGTCCCTATAACAATAGTCATACCTATTAAAACTATAAATCTAGAAAAATAATTTAGAATAAAATTTTAAAGGAGCCATCATAGTGAAACACGATGTGACCTCTTGGAGTTGTGAATCCATAATAGAGTTTATATGTGAATCTACAAAGAAGTTGATATGTTTAATCAATAGTTGTGATCAAACAATCACTACTAGTTGAACACAATAATAGTTTCATTCTTGAAGAGTTGTCCTAGTTAGTAAGCTAAAGCACTATAAAAGGGTAATAAATTATAAGTGAATTAGGAAAACCCACATACCCATCATCCTAAGGAAAAAATAATTATGTAAAATATATTATATAAGAAACATTAATTCAACTCCTCTCATCTTGATCTTAGTGCAACCAAAATTTAACTTTATATTTATATTCTCTTGAAGGATGAAGAATAAGATTTGATGTTATTAAATGATGCAAATAATTTTCAAAATGTTCTATAATTGTGAAATGTTTAACTTGACCATGGCATGATCTTCATCATAGGGCATAGAAGTATAATTGATATTGAGTGATTTGAATAAGTTTCAAGATTTGGATTTAATTATGTCTAAGAGACATTTAGTCATAATAGATATATTTTTTCCTTAAATTAAATAATATTTTTTTGTGAATTCTGTTAAACCCTTTTGAGTATTACCAATAAATTACATTAATGAATTTATAGTGGAATTTTGCTTGTTTCGTCTCCAAAGAATTTTAAAATTTGAATGAATGATTTGCCGTTCAAAAATTTATTTATACCACATGACTCAAGACTCTCAACTTCAAAAATAGGTGTGAACTAAATTTTATTTGCTACAAATGTTAACTGATGAGAGAGTCAAAATGTATTTATTATGTAATTTGATTTGAGTCATTGATAATCATATTATGATTTGAATTGTTTCCAGCCACATTTCTATGATGAAATATTTATTGATTTGTGAAAGGTGTAAAAAACATTAATTTAATTATCATATTCTCAATTTTTATATTTCTATAACTAGATAGTTTTGATGGATTCAACATGTAATGAAGATGATTTTTTTAGCAAGTGATGAACATGAATGCAAGTAAAAATATTTGATCTAATCAGCAACAATCAATCGAATTTGGGTTCAAATTTGGTGCAATCATATAATCAATAAACTAACCTTCATGATATTCATCTATAAACATATAAAATTTAATCATTTCACTTTCAATTAACCATTCTACAACCACATTATTGATTTTCTAATTAATTCAACTCACTTGATAAATTTCATCATTTCGTGTACTTAGTGGGTTTTCAAATTTTCCATGTTTACCTCAATGATAATCATTCATTTATAAATATATACATAATTAGTTCATTAGTTTAAATTTTTGACAAAGGTTTAGTTCATTCAAGAACTCTTATTCCATATGGAAGTTTCTTTATATATTCATAACACTTAGACTAAAATTGTATCAATCATCCACTAAAATTCTAAAAATGTGTGCATAAAATGGTTTGAGAATTCAAATATCATTTATAAGAGATAAACAAGTTAATTCTTAAACTTTCTATTTTAATAATTTAACAAAACATTCATCATTAAATAAAAATGACCATCATTAAAAATCAAAATATTCACTTTAAAATATACTTCGATCATTATACTATATAGATATAAGACTATAATTAAAATTAGTTATCATATACTACTTAAAATTACTCATTAATACAAACATAAATATATCTACTTATCCTCTTATATACTTTGATCACATTTAAATATATTGATACTCTTGAGGTCATGAAATAAATTATTATTTCAATAAGAAGATCCAATTTTATTTGAAATGTGTTTCAATAGTTTTGGATATAAAAACTATCATAAAAGGTAATTGGCTAATCTTAATTTGCAGTAGATTTTTTCTTTGTATAGATCATCTATTTGATCCTTCATTAACCTCTTTAGCCCACTCCAACTTACCAAAATAACCCAAAATTTGGTGATCACAATCCTTTGTATTTGCTAAATTTATCATAAAAATTATTCTTAATTAGATACGTTAAACTTCTAGACTATTTTGCCTTTGCGTAAAAATAAAATTTTAGTATGCTTTTATGATTAATATCAGTTTAATATCTTATTTTTTGTGAAATTTGTTACATTTTACTCCTCATTTTATAGAACTTCCTAATGATTACTCACATGATTAAGACCAAATGATACGAACATTTGGGCTGATGCTTATGATAATGACTAGTTTACCTCATATCAACTTTGTATTATATTTATACTCTAAAAGTGTAAATTTTCTACCTCTAACAAGCATTAAATGGTAAGTGAGGCACTTAATATTCAACAAATAAGATTGTCCATTAAATCATTCTACAACGTGTGAGATTACCCAAATACAATTTCCTACATATAGTCATCACTTATATTCTTTAAACTTAATAAATATTCAATATATTTATATTAATTTTAGACAAAATAAATATTCTACATCATCAATTTCCTGATTTTAGAATTAAGTGAATTTTTTTTAAAAAATCTGTATAAGCAATCAACACATTATTGAATTAATTCATACTTTAACAATTTTCATATCTTAGCCAAATCTCAATGATGCCTAGGCAAGTAAATATTTAATCTTATAAAATAAAGAGATAATTCTCCCCAAGAAAGAAGAGTATAGAGAGTGAAGTTCTGTCTAGTAAAGACACTCTAATCTATTCCCTCCGTCTTAAGGGGAACAAAGCGATGGAGGAGAGGGCCATAAATGAATGCAAGGGTCCTCTCTCTCTCTCTCTCTCTCTCTCTCTCTAACACACGCAAACACTATTCGATTTCACAGATGATTCATCTTTCTCACACACATAACTTCTCTAAATTACTGAAACACCATCCACGTTCCTAACAAAAAGAGCCCATCAATCAGGACTCTGCGGCCTGCTCCCTGCCTGAAAAACACCCCCACAACCCAGACTAAAGAGAAACCCAATAAAAGCCCAACCTATATTTGCCCATTTTCAGCCATCCGGCCCAACCCAGCCTGGTCAACCTGACTCAGGCCATGGTCTACACTAGGGATTCAGCAGCAGTTCACCTCACCTCCAGACTCATATACTTTCCAAAAAAAGCAAAATATTACCTCAGCTGGTGCATGTGCTAGACAGTGTTGGCAGTGTCGGCGATGGACCTGAGGATGCAACCCAGGCCAGCTCTCTCGGTCAGCCGCTCGTGAATCTTCAGACACTGGTCGCACGTGGGGCGATCCCCCGTCACCAACCCTCTGTACAAGTACCTGGAAAAAAATAAATTATATATATATATATATATCAATAATTTTATTTATCCTAAATATGTATCCATAATACATATATATATATAGATATCATGGTGGCAATAACTCCGGCATGGCGATCTTGGGGATTTTAGAGTATCTGGCCTGTCTCAGGTATTTTCATGCTAGTGAACAAAACAGCATTCAATTAATCTGAAAATATACATAGAACACCATCATAAAGATGCACACATGTTTATACGACAGCATATCTAGAGATGTACACTCCATTTCAGGTAAATACGATCCTGATGTCTCAGATTCTATTCTTCCTAGCCATTAATTATAACCGAAGACAAGTAAATACATCTTTATGGCATATGAGTTGGGTTTTTTTTTTCTGTATTTAAAAAAAATCCCTCTCTCACCCAAACTTGAGATTAAAACAAAGTGAAATTCTGGGGGAGGAGAAAAAAATGGATTCCAACCGCAGTAAAAAAAATTAAAAATTAAAAATAAATTAGAGTTCAGCATCATCAAGGGAAGAAATTTGGCATAAAATTAGGGCAAAGGAATTAATGCGTCTAATAAATGAGAGGAACTATAGATCTTCCGTTTTGGAATCTCATAGCATCCAATATTTTCTTAATAAATAAATTGTACTGTAGGTAAATAATGTAATGAAATACGCGTCTGATTGCATCCATCTGGTTATGGAAACTTCAAAAAAGGCAAGTATATCGGCATTTCAATTCCACATAACTCGATTCATACAAAAAACTTTGACTAGCACCCATTGATCTTCAAAGGAAAGATTTCAACAGTGTTGCGTGCAGTTCTTCACCCAAATTTAAAAAAAAATAATCCTTCTTATTCGTAATCTTTTTGCAGCTAAAGATGGTTCATCGTATATTATGTCTTGGAAAATAGAGAATTACTAAAAATAGTAGATTTAACCATGTTATAAATCCTAGGGCATTACATCCGTTATGATTTGTTCGTTGATACCTACACAGCACAGACAATTTGAGAACCAAATTCCATAACATGAATTTTGGGATCCTCATTTTGGTCCAGCACAGCTAATGCATTCATCAAGCTTGAAACTAACGTAGACCATTAGAACCATGGAAAATAACTGTGTTCCCACTTTGTTTATGCATCAACGTTAAATCATCAGATATTATATTACACTACTGCTCACTGAACAAGGCAACAGTTCGAAGGTTTGCTCCAGAGGGATTGATGGAGTTTTCTACAGTGATTATCAGAGGAAGCACAGGAATATTCATATTTGAATGAGGTCTCTGAGGAAAAGACTAACAGCCATGAAACTGACAAATAATTAAATACAGCAATTGTTTCCATATTTCTGTGCGGTACACTTTCTGGAGGGTGGAGAAAGTTAACGAGGACGGCTGACTTTTGACTTAGAAAAGTCCTGTTTCCAAAGCTATTTAAGTCATAGAACATCTGTTAGGATCAAATACCTTGGCCTATCAACGACCGCCGATCTGGCTGCATGATGTAAAACACAGTTTCATATGGTTTGATATCACAGCAATATCCTATCATTGATCCGAATCCATTGATGACCAAGAACATTTTTGTTGCAACAGAGAAGAATACGCTGTTGACAATCTTTGATGCAAATTAGCTGTGGTTATGGATCCAGTTGAGTAGGAGCAGACACTATACCTCACAAGCTCTTGGATCCCATGGCTAAGGCTGACTTTGGTGGATTTTTTGTGAGAGATTCTTTCTCGAGGAATGGAAGGGAAAATAATTAAGAAAAAAGGAGAAGATGTCAGCTTCTATTTAACAATAACAAGTTGATGATTAACCTTAGAATTGATTACCCCCGGGCTTTTAAGATTCCGGATGGCAATGCTCATCTAGGGGATTGCCTAGGGCCATGAATTGAGATGATTTTAACTAATTTCGGTCATGAACCGCAGTTTTGATCTGGCGAGACTGAGGAATGAGGTGAAAGCATGTGTTCAAAATGAAATTCATTGTGATACAAGACATCGCAATCGATCAGGCATAATTTACTCAGGTAGCACTGATGAAGAATTGGAATAAAACTCGAAGAATGCAATATATGCAGAATGATGCAGGTTCAGGAACTCACTTCATGAGGATGTCGTAGTACTCTGGATCCAGAGAAGAGAACATCCCGTCCACGTCCTTGATTGCCATGATCGTCCTATGAACTATTATCCAATTCGCCGACTGGCACGAATTCCGCACCGCGCAAACGAAATGGTGCATAAGAACAAAAGGCATCCACAAAAAATCATCGATCGAGGAGAAGGGAGAAATAATTTTCAGTAAAATTAATGAGACGGACCAGGAAACTACCTTGCACCTCTCATCTTTGGTTTTTGGCGGGGATCCCTCCAGGGCCATCTTCAGAGCTTCCACCGGCTTGGACCTGCCCTCGATTTCCTTCAGCCTCTCACAGGTACGAGGAGCAACACAGAGAGATGAGAAAGAGACAGCAGGGATAGCCAACCCACTGTTTCAGCAGCGTCTCGATCTTGCGGGACTTGTGCTCGATCCTGGCGATGATGGCCTCAACGTTGTCCGCCTCCGCCGGCACATCCGCCGCCCCCGCCATCTGATCCCCCCGCAGCCCGCTCTCTCGCTGCCGCCAGCGGAGACGGCAGACGACGCCGGCAACGAACTCCGATCGCCGCCGGAAGCCGGGACCCCCGCCCAGATGCAGAGTCCCCGCCTTCCTACGCCGAGATAGAACCAGAACTCCCGAGACCCGTTAAAAATCCGCTTAAACTCCACTCCCAAGGAAAACGGGCTGATATTACCGCCAGGCCCAAGGAAGAGGGGTCAACTCCATACTTATCCGGCCCATTAGCCCCTCTACTATAAGTCAACTCCACCCTACGGTGGCCCACATTTTTTACTATATTTGGGTCGAAATTTTATATTCGTTTTAATACAGAGATAATATTTTTGATATTTAAAGAAAATTCTGAAAATCGGCGTCTTCATCCAGTCTTCAGCCATCCTTGACCTGTACGGATGATCTTACGACCACGCCAAAGGAAGACAGGTCAACTCCAGACTTATCTGACCAGTTACCCATTCTGATTAAAAGTCAAACCACCTCAGGGTGAGCCCTACTTTTGACTAAATGTGGGTCGGAAATTTATCTCCGTCTACTGCCAAAGATTATATTTTTCTATTCCGTTTAACAAAATTATGCAAAATGAGTCATGTGGCGGCGCCGTCATCGACTCCCTCTCCCACCGGCGTACGTATGCTTCGGATCCGAGAGAAAGAGAGAGAAAGAGATGGTGGGGGGTATCTGATGTCTTGCCTCTCCCAGCTGTAAAGGCCATGGACAGGGAGAAGAGGAGAGAGGATGAAAGGTGATGAAGGAAACCAGAGCTCTGCGTCTCAACCAGGCCTCGCTTTTCCTTCGTCGCTAAGTCTTCTTCTTCTTCTCCCTCCTCATCTTTTGAAAGGGGGAATAAAGAAAAGGAGGAAACCAGAGCCGCCGCCGCCGCCGCCGCCGCCGCAGGGGGGTGGAGGAGAACAAGTAGGAGAGGGAGGGGGAGCTTCTTCCTCCCCCCTCACATGGCAGAACTGGACGACACAGCCAGCCCCGGCCACAACCTCCTCCGCGAGGTGGGTTCTTCCACATCGCCGCCGGTTCCCCAGAAACCCGCGGCCAGTCTCCTCCCCAAGGCCGCCTTCCTCGCCGCCATCGCCGTCCTCCTCCCCCTCTTCCCCTCCCAGGCGCCGGAGTTCTTCAGCGAGACCCTGCTCACCAGAAGCTGGGAGCTGATCCACCTAGTCCTGGTCGGCATCGCCATCTCCTACGGCCTGTTCAGCAGCCGCAACGCAGGCGGAGCCGCAGAGAAGGAGCTCCCCTGCAAATCCGGCGACTCTCCGCAGTCGTACGTGTCGGAGCTCCTCCAGGTTTCGCCGGTCTTCAACGACGACGACGGCGAGATCCACGGCAGCCATCCCCACCGGAGCAAGCTCCAGATGTGGACCTCCCAGTACAACGGGGAGGATTCTACAGTGCTGGTTGCAGAGGACGGCGGCCGCGGCGGCGGCGGCGCCGGCAGGCTTCTGCTTCTACCTGTCCGGAGCTTGAAAGGGGTCCCCGGCGAGAAGGCGGAGCCCGCCGGCGACGCCGTCCTCGCTTCCCCCATTCCATGGCGGTCGAGGTCGCAGAGGATGGAGATGGAGACTACTCCTCCATTCCGACGGCCATCTTCTTCCCCGAGGACTCTCTCGCCGTCTTCCTCTGCTTCGCTGGAGCCGAAGGCCATCTCCGGGGAGGGCTCGTGGAAAAAGCAGAAGAAGAACTTCCACCAGCCCCCACCGCCGCCGCCGACGCCGCCTCCTCCTCCGCGTCCTTCCTTCTTCTACAAGCCTTCCTGCTGCTCCTCCGACGGCAAGGAATCCCTCAGAGACTGCAAGGACGGATCGAGGTCCTCCAATGGCTGCTGGAATGACAGGATCCCGCTGGGGCGTTCTGTAAGAACAGTCAGACCCAAGGAGACCTTACCGGAGACGGAGACGGCGGCGGCGGAGCCGAACCCTACTCTGGCGCCGCCGGTCTCCGGCGGTTCCCCCGTCGGCGAGCACTGGCCAGAGGAGGACGAGGTGCTCGAAGGTGTCGTCGTCTCCGCCTCAGAGGATTCAGACGGCGATGACTCCGACCTAGCGACGCCGGAGGAGAACGAGGTAGACAAGAAAGCCGACGAGTTCATAGCCAAGTTCAGGGAGCAGATCAGGCTACAGAGAATCGAGAACATGAAGAGATCCTCCGCCGGGAAGGGTGGCAGTGGCAGCCGGAGGAATCCTTGACTGTGGCGGCGAATTCGCCGCCGCCGCCACCGCCGTCGTCGTCTCCGCTACCCTTTCCCTTCCCGTAACAAACAAGCATCATTTGTACTGGCAACTTCCGACAGATTTTAAATGTTATGTTTCGCTTTCGAGGTCTGAGCGATTATTTATTAATTTTATGTCCTCCAAAGCTACTAAGATAGTAATAATCAGAACTATTAATTCATTTATTTAAATATAAAATTATATTTAAGATAATAAAATAAAAAATCTCTTATAGAAAGTTCCAATACCAAATATTTCTGAAAAAATAATTAAAAAGTGCTCGATAATTAATGGTCTCTACGAATGGGTGTGATGCCAAAAATACTTATAATCTACGTTCATATCAAGTTGCTTTATCAGATCAAACCAAGTTGACCATTCATGCTAGACAATTCATCTACAATGGTTGACTTAGCATTTATGAACTAAATTCCTACGTGTTTTTGCTTGGTCAAATTTAAAAAATGAGAAAAAATGTATGCACGTGCTTTACATTATATATTTCTAAAATTTCAATAATTTCCAATAAAAACGTCAATGAGTTATTTCAAGCTTATTGACTTTTGCATTGATATAATAAATCATCGTTGTAATTAAATCTGACTTATGTTATGATATGATATTTTATAAATCATCATCCAAAAATTATTCTCTTATTTTTTAGCACAATTTTTTATAAAATATATTAGGCTCATATACACTAAAAGCAAGAGAAAAGTGGGAAAACTTGGGTTATGAGAATCATATTGATTAAACAGATTATTATTTAAGTATGAGAATTAAAAAAATATATTTTTAAAAATAGTAGGCTTTAAAAAAATGCCATTAAATATTCATTGAACGCGATGGAAATAGTGGCAATTAAGCTTATGTCCGTTTATTTCCCTATATAGGATATAAATGTAAATTATGAGACATAATAAGTTATTTGTATATTAATAACTTATTAGGGACTTAATAGATATTGCCTTTAATCAAAGAGGCAACCTTTGTCGGATCGTCCTCTTGCTTCTCGGTCCAGATATACCCCGCAGCGTAGGAAGAGGGGAGGAATCTCGCTGTTCCCCCCATCCCAGTCCTCTCGTATCTGCTCGAAATCCTTCTTCATCTCCCCGTGGCAGAAAAAAATTAGGGTTTCTTGCTAGCTTGGTCTCCCCCTCGGGTTAATCCGTGTTCCGATCTACCTGTGCCCGATCGGGCTATCGCGAAGGGATAAGGAGAAGGTATCGGTCTTGCTCTCTTTCTCTGTACATGAGAGAATTATTTCTCCTCTCTCTTTTAGAAGCAGGCGAAGACTCTCGATTACTTTGCGGTGTGGGGGATTGGATTGGGGTGGAAAAGGTGTGGGATCGAGGCGGATTTCCGAGCCGAGTGGAAAATCGAAAGAGGCATGCATATTGAGGAGTTGAAGGAGGATGCCGATCCGGAGATTGGGGAATTAGGTGGTTTGGCATGGAAGGTGGGGGCCGTGGTGGATGGGAATAAAAGGGCAGTTGTCGGGGTGGGTGCCCGATTCCTGTTCTACCCCACCCTCCTGTACAACGTCGTCAGGAACAAAATCCAGACGGAATTTCGTTGGTGGGACAAGATCGACGATGTGAGTCCCTTCAACACCGTAGCCTTCTTTTTCAATGATCTTAATTTCCTGTTTCAAATTCTTTGTATATTCCTCTCGTGATTTATATTAATATGCTTCGATATATTCTTGATTGTCTTTTTCTTGTTTAAAATATTTTGCTTCTTAGGCGGCTATTTGATCTAGTTTTAGTTATCCTCCTTTGGTTTGCAGTTTTGCAATAGACGCTATTTTCCCGGGTTTTGAAATGGGTTAATTATTTATTATAATTTGAAATAGACGCTATCCTCCGTTGGTTTGCTGTTTTGCAATAGACGCTATTTTCCCGGGCTTGAAACGTTGGTAGTGTCCGTTCATTTTATATTGTTCAGTGTGGTAACATGGTGAATATTAATTTAATGTTAATTATTCATTATAAATTTTGGGTTTTTGATCACACACACTATCTGCTTCAGTGGCATTTTTATTTAATTATTGAGATTAAATATTGATGTTACTTGATCTAATGGCTTATGGTCAGTGCTCAGTTTTCTCTCAATCTGTTGCCATTTTAATCATCATTTCCAATTGTAGATTGTGTTTACATGATTCTGAATCCTTTTTCAGAGCATGTTTTACTTATTACACTGACTCCCATCCTACCAGTTCCTTTTGTTAGGTGCTGTTCCGTTCCCCAAAGATGTCCTTCGTTTAAAGCAACTTGGTGTCTGCGGAGTGATCACCATGAACGAGCCATATGAGACTCTGGTTCCCAGGTCACTTTATCTTGTAAGTTCATCACAATCATATTATTTGAAATCCTACCCAATGAGAACATGGTTCTTCGGCGCAGGCATCATTTACATTCACACTTCTGCTTCAAGTATCTGTTTGATGACGATGACTGTATATCTGGTTATTTTTCCTCAGGGTCAAAACATGTCAGCTCTTAGTTTTTTAATTTTTTAATTTTTTTATTTATTGAAAGATCTAAGTTTAGACATTTCTCTTCTGGGGATCTTTTTTTTATGGTGAGGAATGTTAGGGGTGGATAAACAGTTGAGGGCTTATGATCCTGACCACATTCCATATTCTGCACATATATAAACGATATATATATGCTTTTCATTTGAAAGCTCCATCTCAGGCAAAAACCATTGTGCTCATGGTTAAAGCATCCCACTTAAAGCATTGGAGGTGCTGCTGATTAGAACAGAAAGACTCTCAAATGATGATCGGAAAAAGCCCGACTAGAATGCCACTAAGGATTGAATGTCTTTCGAAAGTGTGTTCAACTTTGTGCTGGTTTTCTTGTGTAGGCTCATGGAATCGAGAACTTGGTGCTCCCTACTAGGGACTACCTCTTCGCACCGTCCTTTGGAGATATATGCAGAGCCGTTGACTTTATCCACAGTGAGTATCTCCCCAGATGCAGCTCGTGCTTTTGTACAGTATCATACAGCAGCACCCTTGGATTGCATTTAGAATTTTATATCATCAAAATGTTCTGGATTACAAGATCAGAAGCCAGGAGACGAACTGGTTTCTTAATTTTTTTGTTGAATTGACGTTATAGGAATATTAATGTACATATATAGACAACAATATTCTAGTGTTCGGACCCAAGAAACATCTCTGCTGAGAGGCTACTGAGCATCCAGTTGACCCGCTTTCACCGAAAACCTCACCCAGAAACCAATCATTTGTCTGAAGTTCACCCCTTACGGTTGGTTGTGTGCCTAATCCTTGTTCTAAGAGGTTCTTCTCCTCTCCCACAATTCGTCGCGCGGCAGTATATTTGTTTCTCCGTATACTTCTCTCGCGAATAATTTCTCTGGGTCACAATCTGCTTCTGATCGTCTGTCGGCCTCTTTGAAGAGAACGCCTCCTGTGGGAAGACGACCTACGTCCACTGTAAAGCTGGCCGCGGTCGCAGTACGACCATTGTCCTCTGTTATCTGGTACGCCTCCTACTTAATCAATCCTCTTCAGAACCAACAGAGAGAGAGAGAGAGAGAGAGAGATGGGGATCTTCATGTTCTTCCTTTCCCCCCTTGGGCAGGTGGAACACCGCCAGATGGACCCCGCCGGCGCCTACAACTACGTCAGATTGAGACGGCCGAGGGTTCTTCTCGCAGCGTCCCAGTGGCAGGTGAGGCCCCTCTTATTTGTATGCCTCGTTTGTGGGTTATGTTCGTGGAAATTTTGAGCGATGGAGGATTTTGCTTGAGGTTGACTTAATGGGGATTTTGAAAGGAATGAGTTTTGTGATTCTGGTAGGCTGTTCAAGAGTTCTACTGTCGGAGAGTCTTGAATCCGACCGTTGCGGCCGCCCGGAGGCTCCTGCCCTTGGAGGAGAGCTGCCTGAGCTCCTGGAGCGCCGCCATCCCCTTCGAAGAGAGCTCCTTCACGATCGTGTCGGCCGCGGATCTCGACGGCTACGACGAAGAGGACGGCCGCCGTGAGGTATGGGCGGCGGAGGTGAGCCTCGTTTACAGGGTGCAATTCGCAGGTCGGGCAGCGCTCGCGGGGCTCTCCTGCTTCTGGGTCCGCCGCCGCCGTCACCTCCCCGGAGCGCCCGCGAAGGAGAGTTGCTCTCTGGCGGCAGAGCGGGCGGCCGGTGGCCACCCCTGCCTCCTCAGCGGCGTCGCCGTGGGGTTGTAATGGCGACGTCTCTTCTTCTTCTTCTTCTTCTTCTTCCTATTGTATATGTGAATTGGGTGATGACCTGCTCTTCCTATGCGTGGTTGAAATGGGATTTGATTATATATTCCGATCAGAATCATGAGTCAACCTTCTTAATCTCCCGTTATTCTCCTGCAATAAGTTACTAAAAACAGGCTCCAGACTGTGTGCATGTTTATTTTTTTATTGCACTGCTCAAGCTCGACCTGCAATGCATGCTTAGATCGATGTTACAGGCCTCCGCCGTCGTCCAGAGGCCCTCCTCCTCAGGCGGGCGCCGGCGCCGCTTTCTCCTCTTCCTTCCGCCCTTCCTCCGCCTCCCTCGCCTGCAACTCCTCGCGGCCTGCCCACCCACCATCGACGATGAGAGAGAGAGAGAGAGAGAGAGAGGGAGGGAGGGAGGAAGGGAGGGAGAGAGACAGAGAGAGACAGAGAGAGAAGGGCTTGACCGGCGTCGGCCGCGGTGTCTTGGGGGGGGGGAGGGAGGGACTGGCGGTGGGAGAAGGTTCCACCGAAGCCTTCCTCGTCGGAGCGAGTGGAGTAGGCGACGCCGAAGGACTCGGACATGGCGTCGCTGTCAATCAGACGAGGGAGGTTAGCTAGTAGCTCTGAGTATCGAAGTGGGTCTGCAGCTACCTACCTGGTCTTCTCCTCCTCCTCCTCCGGCTTCATGGTCTCCATGGGCTTCTGAGGGGTCGGCGGGGCTTTGATGGACTGGCTGGTGGCCGTCGTCCGGCCGGCGGCGGTGGAGGAGAAGAAGTACGGCAGCGGCAGGGGGCAGCGGGCGGCACGGAAAACGGGGAACATCGTCCTTTGAGTATGGCAGAGTTCCATGCGTCAGGAGCTTTGATTTTGATGTGGCCAGGCGGTGTGGGAGCTGCTCGTTCGTGCTGGCGCATGGCAGGAGTGGAGACGGACAGCTCAACTTCTGTGTTCGGGCTCGGTATCGGATCCTCTCTCTCTCTTGCTCGCTCTCGGGTTGCGTCTAGAGTTTTCTCATTTCAGTCCCTCTCTAGAGTTCTCTCACTCCAAACTCTCTGTTCGGCAGAAACGCTCGTCGTATATGGTAGCTCCGATTCGTCTTTCTCTCTCGCTCTGAGGGGGATGGGGTCGACCCAGCTTCGTCTCTCTCTCTCTTTCTCTCTCTGTGCATCACAAATTCAAGAGGTGTTGACTCAGCTTCGAAGTTGACCTGCCCCACGGGCACTCCATGAGTCCTCCAGATCCTCTGTAGGCACCCATCTCAGATGATCCATTCTCTCTCTCTCTCTCTCTCTCTCTCTCTCTCCATCATAGATCTTTGTGTTGACCCAGCATCGAAGTTAACCTGCCCCACGGGCACTCCATATGAGTCCTTCAGATCCTCTGTAGTGAGAGAACTTTCGATGTAGAGAGAGAGAGTGGGGGGGAGAGGGAGAGGGGGAGAGAGAATGGCTCATCTGCTCACCGGCATAAATTATACGCTGTTCAAGGGATAAATCAACAAAGAGCAGCCGGGAAATCTACAGTAATTTTTGTAAGAGAAAGAATGATTTATTTTATTTTTTTACTGTTTCTGGCCAGTGCGTTCATCTCGTCGACGAGATCTCCGACTAGGGAAGATGCTTTTCCAACGGCGTGAACATGAAATTGCCGGAGAATATCGCCTCCTTGCCTGCCCAAGAGAGTGAACCAGTCAGATTTAGAGAGAGAGAGAGAGAGAGAGAGAGAGAGAGAGAGAGAGAGAGAGATAGAGTTAACCTGTCAGTGACATGCACGTGGACTCCCTGCGGGCATACCTTGAAAAGGCCTGGAAGAAAGCACATCAGAGAAAGAACTTATGTGGCCTTGCAGGAGAAAGAGAGAGAGAGAGAGAGAGAGAGAGAGAGAGAGAGAGAGAGGGAGCCCCATTATGTGACAAGTGCTCGAATTCCTTCTGCCTCAGAAAACACTAGATGCTGAGGACTCCTACTTAATTTGGCCAAAACACAGAAGAGGAATGACGTATGAACTAGAAGAGAGAGAAAGACTCAGAAAGACACTCACCTTCACAGGATCCGCTGCAGCATCACTTGGCATTGGCGAACCATCATCGGCAAAAATATTCCTGTGAGAAACATCAGAGGAAACGCCTTCAGAGAGCGAGAGAGAGAGAGAGAGAGAGAGAGAGAGAGAGAGAATGAACCCCATATTCCACCAAGTCTGGAAATCAAACCAATCAATTCATTCACAAAATCAACCAACGTTTGGGCAACTTCTCCCTAGAAACCTTCGCATTAATCAAACTTGGTGGAAGAAATCCGAAATCTCAGCATAGCCAATAAACCTAGAGGGCTACGGAACAATCTATCACTAAAAAGAACAAACACACAGTCCAAAAATAGACGCCACCTTACCTCCAGATCACATTCGTAAGATCATCGTTCTTGGCCTCGGTGCTCATCGCAGCATCATACGCAACAATGTTGCCGTAGAATATCTTCTCCAGATCTTTCATCCATTTCGTCAGCAAGAGATTAACCTGCAGCAGGTTGACGGACGGACAGTCTCTCAAGCAACATCGGCTGAAGATCGAAGACATGATGATGAGGAGGAGGGGTGGAACTCACGCCAGCTTTAGAGACTCTCAGCTCTAAATCATGGTTGTATAACTCATACAGATACTGTCCCAGCTCCACGCCCTCCTTCCCCTCTTCCTTCAGGCGGCGCAGGACGAGCCACATGTGGAGGACGAGGAGAGAGAATGTTGTTTTAAAGGTCTTCTCCAAATGGAACACTGCACGGGCGTAGTAGAAGTTCACTACGAGTTACACATGAACGAACGATAACATGCAGTGCAGGAAATCAACATCTTAGAGATGCCCATTATTAAACTTCAGCTGATTCATTTTTCGACCAGGATGGTACAACTAAATAGGATGCAATGAATAGGAATGATGATGGTAACGATGATGATTGTGCTGAGTGAGGCGAATCCAAATGCCCAGCCTCTTGACCTCCAATGACTTCTCTTCTCTAGATAATCACTCTCTGCGATCTCTGTTTTCTCTGTAAATACCATGATAACCGGAATCAGGTTGGGCAACCAGACCAACCAAGCCTGATCTGACCCAGATAACAATCAGGGTGGGGTTCGCCTCATTCTTCCTCAATATGATCATCACACAGCCGAGAAAATAGATTTAGAAAAGGGCAACAAAACAAGTGTAAGGACCCAGATAAGAAAATCCATGCTTAGAAGTGCGTCAAATGAGCTAAATTATAAAATAATACACATACCATCATAAATGGCCGGCTTGTCAACCTGTGAGATGACACGCTTATAAATCACGTTTGCTCCTCTAATGTCTTTGCTCTGTTTGCTGTAAAATAACATGAGCTTCAGCAGTATACGCTTGAGACCCTCATATTGGGGTTCTTCTATCCTCAGCGGTGAATCAGGGGCCAAAGCCAACGAGCAAGGCTTCGACCAAAACAGAGTATTCAACCTAGCCTGTACAATTTATGGCGTCCGTCATCTTCAGTAAACAGATGTGTATATTATTACGTAATGTCTAAGCAGAATTGAGATTCCCGCTGCTCATCACTGAAGCCCAACGATACATGGAGAGATATTCCAATCATAGTCCTCACCCAGTTCAAATGGAATGTCACAAAATTATCTGCCTTCAGGCAACTGCATTGAAATGGCAATTTAGTTCATGTGTGCTTCAAATTAATTCCTCATTGAGCAAGAATCATATCCCCCCGAAATACAACCAGCATGCCTTTCCTTTTCATGCATCGTTATCATCGCCATAGCCCGATTCCATCAATTTGGGGTTGCCTAGGATTGACACAGGCATCTCTTCTATATAAGATGTGGCGGTGAGGTCCTTCTTTGACAAAGGTAACTTCTACATGGAGGACATGGCCAATAGAGAGGTGGAACCGCGGTGATCCTTCTGAGAACTGTGGGAGTTCAGGTAAATAGGGAAGGAGGCAAACAAGGATACTGGGAAATATGGCCGCGGTAAATTTCAGAAGATTGCCAGGGAAAGCTTTCTTTAATCCTAAAAAAATCAGGAAAGCTCCGTTTGATGAGCACCTACAAGGGATTTTAGGCTTCCCCAGGAGCTCCAGCCAACGAGGACTACAGGGTTATATCGTCGCTATGGGACTTGTCATCTCAGTGATTTGAAATCAACCGATTGAATATATCACTTTCGGAGTAAGAAGGACCAGTTTCGCCGCAAGAAACATAACAAGAGCTGAAATAATTAGGTTTACACCGTTTGCCAATTGGACGGACGCAGCAAGCTCAAAAAAACAAAACTAACCACAAATTTCGTCCCGACATATTTCTGCATTTTCGTCATCTCAAAAGGAGGTTCGTTTTGATCGCAAACATAGCATCAACGTCGCGGAAGACACAGTTCAAACAGAGCCAGATACACAGGATCACCCAAAAAACATAACCATGCCGGCATTCAATAAAACATATAGCTCGAGAATACTCTGGCAATCAAGAAAATACTGAAAAAAACAAATAAAAGGCGTTCAGTGTTTAGTTCACGAACGTGGGGCTTCGGAGCGGATGACGATCCCTTCGAAACCCAATCCGGCGCTCCTGAACCGGAAACCCTGGACGAGCTCCGGCGGGGGAGGAACTGGCTGAGATCCCTTCGGGGCGGGCCCTCGGCGATCTTCTTCAGACCGAGAATGCAGAGGCGGCTCGCCGCCGTCCCCCATCGGGGCATCTTCTCCCTTGTGCGATCGCCGCGGCGGCACGTAGTAGGAGCTGCGTTCTGTTCTCATGAAGAAGAAGAAGCTCCAGGAGGGCAGACGGGACTCTGGACTGGGCCGACGCCCAACTCCCGCAAAGAGCTCATTTTATGGGCCACAATATGCCAGCCCATAATTTTATTGGGCCAAAGGTTTATACGAGTTGGGGCCGGGCTTTACCTGATCTGTTTTAGACCGCTAAATGAAATAAATATAATTAAAATTTCGTTAAATTGTGGTAAAAGGTATACCGATCGGACGGCGAATGAGGCCTCACCCAATATCCCATAATCGTGGCCGTAAAATCAATGAGCCTACTTTACCTGATCTGTTTAAACCGCTTAATTAAATAAATATGATTAATAATTAAATTAAATTACTGCTTAGTAGACCGATCGGACGGCTATTGAGGCCTCATCTAATGGCCGTATGATCACTGAGCCCAGCTTTACATGATCCGTTTAAACCGATTAATTAAAATATATAATTAATATTTTAATTAAATCATGGTAGAAGGGTACCGATCGGACGGCTGTTATATCCTGTTGTGATGGGACCATAAGATGGGGTTAGCCACTGTAATTACTGGAACTGACGGGGTGTATGAGGAAAAGGGAGAGGATAGCGAGGGGGGGATTGGAAGCTCTCTCGCGCCATTGCTAGTCGGGGGAGAGAGCTGGAGGCTCTCGCGCCAGGCGGAGCAGATGTTGGGATCTAATGTCGCGGGTTCTGGCTCGGTCCTTGCTCTACTTCCTTGTATGTCTGTCTCTCGATTTTATCCATGCATTTCTCTGTTTTCATTGCTCTTGTTGATGCTGGGATTGGGTTGCTTTCTCTGGAAGGTATCCGTTCTATCCGTTTTTACCTGTTCGTGTGTCGATTTAATGTGGCTGTGAGCCGCTAGTCGATACCTGACCATGAAGTTGGGAATGCTGGGTGAGCAAACTGCGTGTCCGTTGATGCGGGCTTTTTTTTTTCCTTTTCTTTTTTACCTGGTCTTTCACGCTGATTCCGTTTCAGTTGTTGCAAGTTTTAGGCGGGATAATGGGATATATTGATGTCTAATTTTTAGTAAAGAAAGTATGGTGTCATATTCCAGAGATTTTCCTCCTCTTCTTGTTTTATGATCTGCGAGTATCTGCAGGCAGAGGCGTGCCTTTTAAATTTCCCGTCGTTGCTGGTATTTCTCAGAGGAAGAAAGTGGCAAGGTAAGCGCTGCTTCTGGCCTCTCACAGTATTCAATAACCTCTCAAATTAACTTGACGTGTTCTGGACTGACAGCGACTTGAAGGAGGATGAAGGGAGCGTAAGGTTGCTGCATTTTGATGAAGCTCAAAACCGAAGGGGATTCGTTATGCTCTCTTTGGTTGCCGCTGGCATATCTGTGGCTCTACCTGCCTCGGGCAAGGGGAAGAATAAGAGCAAATATGATGAGAAACGCTTGCTTGAGCAAAATAGAAAGATTCAAGCAGCAAATAATGCACCTGAAGGCTTCCCAAACTTCATTAGGGAAGGTAAACATTTTATCATCAGATTTGATAATCGTACAAAATATAATTCCTAGATTTTTCCAGGGGACTTTTTTGTTTGTTGGGTGGGATTTTTTTTTACGGGATTCATGCTCACTCCTTTTCCATTAGTGTCATTGTAGTAGCCACCCAACACAATGTTCATTATTCATCGGCAGCCCTGTTTTTTGCTTCGTTGCATGCTGTGTTTTCATGCATGTAGATAAAAAACATTATCTGCATAATCAAGTCCAAGACTTTTTGCCCTAGAATTCTTCGTTGAATGAAAGCTTCTCATTATCTGTTTAACATTACCTATCGAACTACGGATGCGCACTAGTCATTATTTTGCATGCTGATGATACACACTTGCCATTCCGCTTCTATTAAAATGAAACATTTAATCCGCATCGGATGAGAATTCGTGTGGCCTTTTCAGTTTAATCAAATAATTCACTGAGACTGGTTTCCTGTTTGGCATGCCGATTATTGTGAATGTGTTCTCGTAGGATATACGTGATTATTGTGAATAGTTGAAATTGAATTCATCACAAGATTTTCTTCCAATTTGAAGAGTAGCAAGATATAATCTCGCCATTATTCATTGTGTCTATAAGTTCTCTTAGGAAATGTGTAAGTTCTCTTAGGATATTCATTGTGTCTTTTTCACCCGCCTAATTTGTCAAATGGATGATTGGTCCAATCTTTCCGATCTATGTGCTTCGTTGTTGCATTGTCCAGGTGTTATTGACCTTTGTTGAAAATAATATCTGCAACTGGCTTTTGGGGTTCGGTTAAAGTTCTGTCTTTTGGAATGAATTTCGCGACTTAATGCCCACCGAAAGACAAAATTGGTGGATGTGTGAGGTGGCAGCTCTGTGTACACCATTGTTTACGTGGTCTGGTGGGCATCCATCTAAAATAGAAAAAGAAAACTGTTTCTATCAGACGAATCACTTACTGATGCGTAACATGATGATAATACTGCTTGAATGGTCAAATGATGGCTGTTAAAGGCCACCATACTTCTTCTATATAGCTAAAGAACACCTTGCCTTTCATCAAGTTAATCATGAATAACCTTGTTATTGACCATGGTGATGATTTTTTCTCTCTTTATAATCTTCTTGCAACCGCGGTGAGTAGCAGATCCAGCATTCCGAATATCATGTCGCCATATCTGATACACACTATCAGTTTGGGAATCGCTCTAACTCTTGCACCAGCATACTTCAACTCATATCTTTGCCAAAGTTGATCGATTCTGAGTTATGTGCTGCTTAGTAAGATTGGTGTCTGTGCACTAAGAATGTTTGATACATCAATGCCATTATATGGAACCCTACCATCGTGGTTTTCTGCTCAGACGGATCAGGCCTTACTATTCCTACTGTTCTTACCATTGTGAATCTGAAGATTCTTCTCATTCGTGTGGAATTCTCCTATTTATCATCCTTTCTTGCTGGATGATACTTTCATAAAATTGCTAAACAAATAATTCCACTCCATCATGACATATCGTTACTGTGCAAGGACTTTGCTCGTTTTTCTCATTTAGATGGTATTTTCCAATTTATTTGTCCATTATATTTTTGCGCATAATTTTGTCCTTTTGATTCATCAGACTGGTGAGACATAAATGAGAGAGAATCTCGCGACGTCAGGATGTGATTCAATATTTTTCGCCCTCTTTGTGTTTCAGGGTTCGAGGTTAAGGTAGTGACCTCTGAGAACTATGTGAGGTGCGACTCAGGACTTATATACCTGGATATAGACGTCGGTAAAGGTGATTGCCCAAAGGATGGTCAACAGGTTTTTTCTTGCATTTTCTTGATAAAATAATATTATTTTGTAGGGGATCCACCAATTTTGGGCTAATATTTCCATCTTTTTCTCCCAACATGAACGCTGCTGACGTTGCAGCACTCCCATTCTGGTTCCTGAGAGAAATCTACGCTGCATCATTGGCATCATTTCTTCATAAAAATTAGATGCCATAGTTTCACCTGCTTTTTTCATACAATCTAAATATATATATATATATATATATTATATTTTTTTAAAAAAAAGTTTCTTTAAATGGCAGCACTTTATCTTCATGAAATGCTTTATATAGTGTTTATATCCTCCAATCCAAGCTCTATCCATCTGGATTGAGCTCCGAATATAAGTGGCTCATGTATTGATCGAAAATGGCAGGTGACGTTTCACTACGTTGGCTACAATGAGTCTGGCCGCCGCATCGACAGCACCTACGCTCAGGGTTCTCCAGCGAAGATCCGAATGGGCACAAAGGTTCTAGTCCCTGGTAGGCTTTCCTTTTAGGGCAATTTCTTCTCTGGCTGAGATCCTCATCCTCTGTGAGTAACGGTCCATGAATTCTAGGCTTCGAGGAAGGCATCCGTGACATGAGACCCGGGGGCAAGCGCAGAATCATCATACCCCCAGAGCTCGGCCCTCCTGTGAGTCCCTCCTCCTCTCACTTTTTTTATATGAAAAATTATATTAATTATTATTATTAATCTTGCTCAAAATAGTAATATTTAATAATAATCTGCGAGCCCATGACGACCCATTTATGGCAGCTGGTTATCTATCTCCTCGATCTGTGGAACAGGTTGGGCCGTCCACCTTCTTCAGCTCGAAGCAGTTCGAGGTCTTCGACGTGGAGCTCCTCGGGGTGAAGGATTGCCAGAGAAGGACCATCGGCTTCTACTCCGACTTCGTCTGCGACTGATCGATGGATCCGTGATTGTTCCTCTCTCAGCCGTCCGATTATGGATCCTGATTTTGTCATTTCCTGGCGCTGATTCGATTCATACGTCCGTGCGGTTAGTCAACGGGGTGTGGGCTCCAGGAAGTTGGGATCAGATGCCGCCGCCGCGGCGTGGCGGCGGCGGAGAGGGGGATGCATGGGGGACGGGTGGCAGCGGGATGAAGCCATGCAAAGTTGACGGCGGGGACGCGGTCGCGTACCCCGAGAGACTTGTCATCTATTCGACCTTGATTTGCACATGGTTTGTCTCTCTGAGCTCCTCTAATGGCTGGATTCTCTTCTCTATTATGAGCCTGTGGGGGGTCCCTCATCTAGAGAGAGAGAGAGAGAGAGAGAGAGAGAGAGAGAGAGAGAGACTTTCAGGGTACGTGACGGGATGAACCTCTCTTTCTCTCTCTAGATGGGTCTGATGGAAGGGTTACCTTGGAGGTTTCTTGGAAGGATGGCTCAAAAGCTGATTCATAATACTCTTCCTCTTTGCTCCTGTTTTAAGTCACACGCGACGTACAGCCCCAACTTTCTCTCTCTATACCTCTCTCTCTGAAAACCTTCTCTATGTAAAACGGTGTTAAGAGTAGTAGGAGCCCACTGTACCCTTCAGTCCTGCCGCTCTCCCTCTCTCTCCCCCTCCCCTCTCTCGCTCTCTCTCCCTCTCTCGCTCTCTCTCTCTCTCTCTCTCCGTCTCTCTAAATCTCCAGCTCTCGCTGTCTGTCTTTTTCTCGGTTCCTCACTGTCTCTATCTCCGTGAAACCCCTTGTACCTATAAGAGCTTCCCCTCCATAGCCCTGTCCGGACCCCCCCCCCCCCCTCCCCCTTTCTTCCTTCCGTCGCGGCGCCCCTTCTTCTCCTCCGCCTGGAAATGGCGAATCCCCCTCCCTCCCCTTTTATCCTCCTCACCCCTTCTTGACCCTCTCTCGCTCTCTCTCTCTCTTCTCTCGTCTCTCTCTAGCCATCTCTCTGCACTGATCTTCAGTGGCGTTTCTCTGCTCGAATCTCTTTTGTTGGACTGATTTTTAGTTACTTGCCGGAGACGGAGACGAAGGAGAAGGGGGCGCTGCTAGGGATTCGGCCGGGATAAGGGGCGGGCGGAGATGAACAGCTCGGGGGCAGCAGCGGCGTGGCGGCCGCCGTTCACGGCGTCGCAGTGGCAGGAGCTGGAGCACCAGGCGCTCATCTTCAAGTACCTCATGGCCGGAATCCCCGTGCCCCCCGATCTCCTGCTCCCCATCCGCAAGGGCTTCGACTCCATGGCCTCCCGCTTCTTCCATCACCCCTCCAGTAAGCAGCTCCAGCTCCAAACCCTTCCTCAGTCTCTATCGTCGTCTTCCTCGCGGAATCTAACCAGAATGGGGGCACTTCCTCTCTTCCTGGTCGCTGGCTACGTCTCAGGAAGTAGGGTTCCGTCGATTGCTTTCCATGGATGTGGCCGCTTCGTTTCTTACAGTGCCCTAGTTTCCTCTGCAGCTCCTCTTTAATCGTCGATTCTCGCAGTTTCTTCAGAGATTCATGCCGATTTCTCCCCCGATTACATGAAATCTCAACTCCTGTTTTCGAAATCTGCCTCGCCGCACCGAAGCTCTGGCATTAGATCGGATTTGAAAACAACTCCTGTGGATTGATTGATCTGAGATCGCGAAACAAAAATGTCTGCCGCAGTGGGATACTGCTCCTACGGGAAGAAGCTGGATCCCGAGCCGGGGAGGTGCCGGAGGACCGACGGCAAGAAGTGGCGGTGCTCCAAAGATGCCTACCCCGATTCCAAGTACTGCGAGCGGCACATGCACCGTGGCCGGAACCGTTCAAGAAAGCCTGTGGAAGCACAAACCCTAGCTCAGTCTCCGTCGTCCTCCTCTTCTCCATCGTCCACTGTGACCTCCCTCGCCCCCTCGGGGAGTCTGGCCAGCGGCGGCAGTAGCGGTGGAGGCTTCCGCTCCTGCCTCCCCCTGCACTCCATCGCCGCCGGCGCCGCCGCCAGTGGTGGTGGCAACGCTGCTGCTGCTGTTGCTCCGGTGTCCTTCGCCGGGCCCAGCCTGAACCAACTCCAGATGGACCTCGGCTGCCATGGAATCGGCATCGGCGACCACAGGTCCGTTCTTCCTCCTCCCCTCGCCACCGAATTGACCCGGATAGTTGGCGAGATCTTTGGTTCATCTAGTTGGTGAATCTGAAACTTTTTCTGTGACGATCGATGGATGGATCGATCGGGCATGGAAGATTTTTTTTGGGTTCGAAGTCGTCTCCGATCCGGTAAAGCTGGAGATTTCATTCTCGATGACCATGCATATGCAAGATTTATGGTTCAAATTCATCCTATCCCTGTTGAATCTAAAGATTTCAGACGATGATCTTGCGGGTCTGCAAGATCATTCCTCGCGGTGATGAAGTCAGGCGGGGTGTGCAGCTGAAAGTCGCCGCATTTCTTCCTCGGATCTTCATTTTCCTCTCAACAGTTGACTTCCCTCCATTCTCCCTGATATTAATATTCTCCATCCTCCTGATTTTGTTCGGAAATCTAGGCGCCATTTTTATCTTAATTATGCTGTCATTTCTGCTAACACTCCCCCCCATCCTCAGTAACTCTCTCTCTCTCTCTCTTTCTCTCTCTCTTTCTCTATCCTCAAGCTGGTTATTATATTATCTTGTTGTCTGAAAATCAGGTACGGGAGAGGGGGGAGATCCGACGTGGACGAGCGGAGCCTCCTGTCGGAGGCCTCCGGAAGCGCGAAGGGCCTCGGCGTTGACTCCGACCTGGACGCCTCCTGGCATGCGTTGACCTACAATCAGGGCTCCTCCTACCCGCCCTCGAAGCAGCCCAGGAACTCCGCCCCGCCGGCGCCGCCACTGCAGGAACTCGGACACGGAACCTTCCGACCTGTGCCCCCGCCGCCGGCGCAGTCGTGGGGCTGCTTTGACTACGTGGAGCCCGTGAAGCAGGACAACCAGAACTTCCGGGCTTTCTTCGACGAATGGCCCAAGGCGAGGGACACGTGGACAGATCTGGAGGACGATAGGGGCCGCGCCTTCCCGGCGACTCAGCTCTCAATCTCCATTCCTATGGCCTCCTCCGACTTCTCCACCGCCAGCTCCCGCTCCCCCAACGGTCCGCTTCCCCACCACCCAGCGCTGACACGTCCGCCGCCATCTTTGGTTTTGGCCGGAGATCTGATTGACTTTCTTGCTTGTGCAGATGAGAGAGAAAGCCTGGGCCCTTGAAGCTCTCGGACGCGGGGAGGGAGCTCTCTCCTCCAGGGGCATGTGCGCTAGGAACTCTCTGTCGAGACGTTGACTTTCTTGGTTCGTTTGTCTTGTTTTCTGGTGCCGGATTGGATGATGGGTTTGACTCTTTTAGGGTTGTTGCCTTCTCGCTTTCTTTTCTTTTTTTTTTGAACCTGTTTCAACGGAGGCACCTGGTTTGTTGGTCGGTTGGTCGGTTTCTGTGAAAACGGGGGTGATGCCCAGTGAGAGAATGGCTGCAGAGATCAGGGTTGACCAGCCACCCCAGTTTCTCTCTTAGCTCTTCGTCTTGTGGCACGAGATCGGGTCGCCCTTCTGTTTAGAGGGAGATTCCTCTCAGTCGACACTCTCCCCCCTTTCCTGGCAGCTCAAGCTTCCCTCCATGAAGGAAAGAAATGTAGAGAGAGAGAGAGAGAGAGAGCTATCCACCATTGCCGAGCTGTTAATGGTCACTTGATGCTGATGAAGACGTGAGACAGAGAGAGAGAGGGGTAAAGATGAGGCTGCAGGTGAGAAAAAGTCACGCGTGGACATACTGACACTGGGTTGAACAGTAGAAGAGTCTCTCTCTCTCTCTCTCTCTCTCTCTCTCTCTCTCTCTCTCTACTGTATCATCGTCCTCCCAGCGGCTGGCGTCTACAGGAAATCGCGACCCTGTTTGAGGTTGCAGGGTGGGGGCGCCGCTACTTTTCAACACGACACGCACCGGAGGTCATTATCGGCTGCAGGAGGGAGAATGCCGGTCAACTCGGGCCTAACGATCCCAGCGGCGGCGTCAGGCGGCTGTCGGACCGGGCCAATGAACAGGCGGAGTCACGAGTCTCGCCCTCCCCTGCCGGCTGGCGGCGCCGTGCGGCTGTCTTGGCGGCTGGCGACGCATTTGCGACCTATACCCCTCAATCTTCACTCGTTCTTGAAAAAAAACTTAAATAATTACAGCTAAAATAATTATGTATAAACTCTAAGCATTTTACTAAAAACAATTCCGACCTAATAAGTTTCTAGAATTTGTTAAAATAAAAAATGTATACCTAAACACGTATTTTTATTTTTTAAATAATCATTTTAAAGTTTTATAGAAAATAATTTGGTTGGAAATATTTTTTAGTAAGATGAATGAGTTTACAGATAATTATGTTAGTATGTTAAGTTGTTTTTAGGCATCTCTATTGCCTGCCTTCTTATTTTTTAAAAGTAATTAAATGACTTTAAGTAGGAATAAACTGAACCGTTTTAATTATAATTCAACTAATTAGGAATACAATGATTATATATAAACTTAAGTATCTTCCTAAATAAATTTCGACACAATTAGTTTCTAACATTTTTAAAAAGGAATATTTAAAATAAAAATAGATATTCGGATGTGCATCCTTTATGGGTATAAAAGAGGCTATCTTAGTGAATTAAGTCATCTAATGACTTAGTCTTTGAAGAAGGCAGGCGATTAATAATCAATGATAAACTTAGAAAACGATTAATCAATGGAAAAATAATCACATATAAACTTATTTATTATCTTCATTAAAATTCCCAGAAAAATCATTTTCTAGGGAATTTTAAAAATATTAATTTAAATAAAAATAGTATTATTGTATACATTTTAAAGAGAGTTCCTTAGCAAGTGAAGTGATTCAATTATTTTTTTTAAAAAATAAATCAGGCAATTGAGAGGCCCAGAAAAACGTCACAAATTGAACCATATTAGTTTTAAATCAGTTTAATTACGACTATATTATTTATATTCAAACTTACGTATCTTCCAAAATCCTTTGATAGAAAAATTTAAAAGGGATATATATATATATATATTGAGTACATAAAAGAGAGTAAGCTAGTAAATGAAGTGATTTAATGATGTAGTTTTTGAAAAGAAGGCGGGCGATTGAGAGGCCCAAAAGAACGTAGCTGGGAAAACTCGTGTGAACTGGCCCGTTAACAGATCCGAACAACGTGAGTTGGCCTATTAAGGGATTTGACAGCTCCTAACAGTACAATTTATTTGAGCAGGGAACGGCGACCTCGGCAGTCAAGCTGTCTGGAAGTCTGGAACTCGGGAGCTCCTCCTCCTGACCTTCGATCGGAGGCTCGGGGAATCTCTCGTCCGGTCGCAGGTATCGGAATCGCCTCCAATCTCCCTTGGTTCTGTCTCTGGATTCGCAGGCTGTGTCTCTCCAGATTTCTGTTCTGTTATTCCGGTCTTCACCTCTCCGCCTGTTTCTCTCTTTCCCCCGTGCGTCTTACCCACCCCGCACTCTTGTCAGTGTTTTGTGTCTCCGTCCATCTATCTTCCTGTCTGTCTTTATCTATCCATGTCTCTCGCTATTTCGCGGTTTCTCCGCCACCCTCCAATTCCCTCTCTTGACTCTTTGGCAGTGTGCCGCTCCCCCTACCCCATTTCTTTATGGCTTCGCGTTTGACGATCCCGTTCATGCCTACGATTGTGTACTATAAAGAATTATTGATTTGAGATACTCATAGAGAAGAAAAATGTGACACCTGAGTGCTGCTGCTTGTTTTAAGACATTTTATGGGAACTAACTGCGCCCAAGCGTCAAGGCGTGTGGCTGAGCTATGCACAGCTTGCCTAACATTTCCTTCGTGTTTCGTGTTTCTTTTCAACGGATGCTTGGTAATTGCTGAAAATTAAATTACTTAATTTGTAGATGTTTTTGAGAGATGGTAGTGCAAAGGGAACTGCCTGTATCCTTGCAGGAAAAGGTATATTAGAGGGAGAATTTCGTGGATCTGCTAAAAATGGAAGTCAGTGAGGACATTGCCAACAAGAAAGTCCCTGTACGGTGCCAGCGGATTGGATGCGATGCCATGTTCACTGATGATAACAATCCTGAGGGTTCTTGTCAATATCACCCATCTGTAACTTACCTCTACTCCTCGCTTCATTTTTTTTTTTTTTTCTGTCCTCTATTCTGGAATCGTATTAGTTTTTTTAATCTCCGTTGATCATGCATTTGTTTCCGCATTCATGAGAAGTACAATGTGATTTTACTATTTTTCCAAGTTTGTGTTGAGGAAAGACCTGAGTCTGCTTGCTGCTTCTCATTTTTCCCTGTATTTAAACTTTGAGAAAGGGGTGTGAAGAAAGGCATCGCTGTGCTTCCCTTGTATAGGTCAATGTTTATCCGTTAACGGCCCCTGATATTTAAAAATATTTCACTAAGGTAGTATCTGATGATTGGGAACATAAAATAAATCTTTCTTAAAAAAAAATGTTGTCGGCCATCTTCCATGGTATATCTTATATTAAGATTTCTTGTCCTCTGCAAAAAACTAAGACATAGCCATCAATAAAGAAAATTTAGAACGTTTACGAAATAACTGTTGTATTTTCGCCCACTGGACGACTAAATCACCTTCCAAATTTTACCAATACCTGTGTTCTTTCCTTCACCTGCTCTGTTCCTAATTTGTGTGAGATCTTATATTCTGAGCTGCTTCTTGTGGATACATTGGTGGGACTTTTGAAATTTCAAGTTATCTGATGAATCCGTTTGAAGCTCAGTATTTTCGGACATGACGGAAAGAAGGACGCTTCATATTCAATTCATGAGCCCCGTCACCATTTAGGTATGGTGAGAGGAGTGGAGGGGGGAGGGGATACCGAATACGAGCCTGTTGGGCCCAGAATATAATTTATTCATTGACATTTTATAAGATTAAACATGGACTCATTGGACGCATATTCTAACACGCATATTTAAACTGATGCTATCAATTTTACTTTGCATCTCGCTACATAACATTTAGAAGCATCTACCATGTGCTGAACCAAGTCTGTTGTTAGAAATGGGGATCAGAATCAAAGGTAGTAGTTGGGCTTCAGGCGCATGCCCAACTGATGGAAGAAGGGCTGAGAAGCTGCTCGAGTTGTGTTGATGGGGCAAAAGAGCCTTGATGAAGTGCCATATGTCGTAAACATGCACTTATTTCCAACAACAGTGCATTGATTCTGCCACAAGGAAGATGTTGTCGTCCGACTAATGAGATGGAGACAATTGGCTGGGAAGTACTTAAAGTCAGTAACATGCGCTTCTGTATTTTTTGGCACTTTTACACATGTAGTTGATTTAGCATTTAGTCCAGCAGGTCGCCCATTGGACTGTAAGAAAATCTAAAAGTAGAGTGATTGACTGGTGGGAAGCAAGTAGAAGACGTGTCTAATATGTTGACAGAGTTGGTTAAAAGAAGATGCCATAACGATAGATACCAGAGGTATAGCTGGAGCGGAAGATCCTGGAACTAAGGTTACTGTCTCTATATTCGAATAGATTCACTAACAAGAAGAAAACTTTTCGGCTTTCAAGTCTTCCTCGGCATTTTGGAAAGTCCTTCATCGCAGTAGTTTTCATGCCTTCAGTCAGATGCCCTTTTTAAAGAAGGGTTGTGGAGAGTCACCATTATAGGCTATCTTAGTATGAGAAAAGTAGGACAGTAGAAGGCCACTGAATAGCAGCAAGACAGCGAAGTCAGTTCATTGAGACTTTTTGGAAACCCACATTATTGATCTCCACATCAGTATTGGTCAATAGTGAATACAGGCTGTTTTTGGTCAATTTCGAGTGCCATATTTCTCTCATGCTAGGAACCATGAGGAGCCTTTATGACAAAGGCTCAGTACCACCTACTCCTTTGAGACCTTGTCTTCCTTTGATAGATCCATGATATGTGAAAATTTCCTGCATAGTATTTATAGCTATATATCAGAAATTTCCATATATGTGTCTGCTTCAGAAATTTCCTTTTATTGTCATAAATTTTTGCTTCATACACTCGTACTAATTTTTGAATCTTTTTATACATGTCATTGTGGTCGCCATTCTGATTGGCTTCTACATAAACTTCAGCCGGTAAGTTGAACGGCATTTATTCATTGTGCAATGAGAAATCCTTGTGTATGCTTATATGCTCCCAAAACAACCTCTCCAGCCCTTTTTTCATGACGGTATGAAAGAATGGAGGTGCTGCAAGCAAAGAAGTCATGATTTCAGCTTATTTTTGGCAATCCCTGGGTGAGATATTTCTTCCTTGCACTACTGAATTTGACTTGTATCCACATCTTGACATTGCTTTCATAATGTCAGTGATCGAATGCTGTTATGGTTCCCTGATACTTACTGTAGTTGTTTGTCAAAAGTACTATCTGGTAATCCATACCATATCAGTAAATTCAAGAATATTTTAAAATGTGCCCTCAAGAAGTAGGGAAGAAACTGAACCCAAAAGATGCTCCAAGCAAAACCAACAGCATATCAGATCATGTATAAATGATCTCTGTAGCGGACACTTCTTAATGCAAGTTAGCAAATGGGTTTTTTGCTTTCTAGTAGATTGTAACGTGTTCTTCAAAACATGCTAGAACAGGTTGCTGATGTATGATCTATTAATCCTATCTAAGATATGCCAATCCTCTCTTGATCTCTTTCTCCTCTGGTGATTGGTCTGATGGAATCCTGAGGGACTCCACCGAGAATCTAGATGGTTTCTCAACAAAAGAGGTGGCGAGGGATGAGGGAGGAGAGAAGGGGATCCAAGAGAGAAGAATAGTCCAAGGCAAGGGCCGGCGGAGCTCTGCAACGTTGCTGGCAAGAGAGGCCTGGATAGAAAGAGAAGAAGGGGTCAATGAATCCCTTATGGGGAAGGTAACATAGAGGGGTTACATACCAATTCCTGCCTGCACAATCACCTCCTAATTTTGGTATTTATACCAGAATTGGGTAGCCCCTCAATGGGCCTCTCATTGTTGGGCTGGTGCCTGGGCTCACCGGTTGGTCCTGCGCCGGACATACCACTCCTTTGGTCTGTCATCATGGTCCCACTGGCCCAGACCAACTCTTGTTAACAGTCTGAGGTTGTGTGACTTACTCGCCTTGAGTATCTCTGAAAGGATGTAGGAACGAAGCTCTTTCTATTTTGTGGCCGTGCCATGAAGTGAAATAGTGCTCCGAAGAGGAAGGTTTGGATCCTTCAATCGGAATGGATAAACTTCTGGAAGCGTGTTGAGAAAAGGGCGTAGCAGATGGTGCGACGGTGCTTTACCCATGGACGCTTCTCCAGCTCTCGCGAGAATTGTATGGGAGTCGTCCTCGATTCTGAATTGTAACCAAGCATCCCCATGGTTTCTAACTGGGTGGAGCCCAGTGTTAGCCATATGATTCAGATGTGCTGTGAGAGAATTATATATACTGTGGCCGCGGGAAGCCATGGAAGCTATGTTATTTCCTGGGTTAACAATGGAGGGTTAATCTTCTCTGTGGATTACATCCACTATTAACATAACTTTTTCAAGAAATCATGACGATTCAAAGGCTACAGAATGTGAGATATAACATGGCGATTCTTTCATCTTTTTTCAATATTAATTGTTAAGTGGTACTGATTATGATGACCTAATTATGCACAGAGTTTATTTTCTTCTGCTATGATGATGTTTATTCCCTAATGGTCTGGTTTTTCCTGAAATAGACAAATCCCATCCCTTAAAAAACTGGGGGATCCTGGCATCAAGGCTTGGACCATCCAGCCCCCTGGCAGGTCTGAACCTGCTTTCTATTTCCAGGCTTTAACTTCATGCCATAGCCCAGAGAAACCGGATCAGGCCAGCTTTACCTGGTCCTTTGAAATCCCCAAGAACCATCTGTGGACATTGATTTTTGGTCACATCTGACATGGCTAACTTTGGTGTATATTTTGCTCATATTTTCTTGCATTGATGCAGATGTAAGACTGGAAAACACACCGCCGAGAAGCCAGTCACCAAGGTTACCCCAACCCTCCAAAGGGTAGCTCCCACCAACGCTTTGAACACAGAGAGAAATCCCACCGACAACAAAGATGCTGCCATCACCTGTTCTCGGTGCCGTCAGGGCTTCTTCTGCTCTGACCACGGTACTTTACCTACTTACTATTACGAGGATAGAAGAGTTACAAACACTGTGTCTTCAGCTCTAAACTCCATAGCCGGTGATGCTTCCTCAGGCTCCCAAGCCCAGCCTTCAAAGCCTGCAACACTGGCGGCCACCCTGGAAAAAACCAACTCCCCTCTCACGAGAAGGAAGATTGACCTGAATGAGCCAAAGACATGCAGGAACAGGGGGTGTGGGAAGTCCTTCAAGGAAAAAGACAACCATGACACTGCCTGTGACTACCATCCTGGGCCTCCCGTGTTCCATGACAGAAAGAGAGGGGTAAGCCCACAGCAGGCCCTCACCACTGGTCTTTACGTCTATTCACATATACTTTTGTGCTTAACATTGGTGTTTATTTCACGTCTTTATATGAAAACTAGGCACATATATGTGCATATGAATTCTATCAGCTAAGACAGTCATTGTTCTGTGCAAACGTTCTTGCAGTGGAAATGCTGTGAAGTCTATGTAAACGAGTTCGATGAGTTCATGAGTATAGCTCCATGCACTAAGGGATGGCACAATGCGGAGGCTACATGAGTGAGGTTTCTTCTAGATAACCTCTTATCCATGTTCTACAGAAAATAGCGATTTATGTCTTGCACAACAGCTTTTTAAACCTGAACAATGTATTTCGGTTTTTTATGATAATGGAAGGCATCACAAGAAGGCTAACTAGGATTTTATGAACTATATTTGCTAATAAATGAATAGGGAATGAGAGGGGTGAGTGCATCCATATAATAACTAGATTTGATTAATAATAATAATAATAATAATAATAATAATAATAATTATTATTATTATTTCTTTCCTTCTAAATGAGATTATTCTAATCTGGAGTTCCTCTGGGAGTTGACTTTTTGAGCTTTATCATGTGGATTATAGAAATAGAATGCATATCATGTGGATTATCTATCTCACTCAAATCTAATTTTATAGTGAGATTAAGTTTCTCACATGTTTCTTGCTAGCTTTGTTTACTCTTACCTTCTTATGGGTTTCAATTTTTTTCTCATTTGTATAAAACTACCCCTATTTCATTTGTTATTTAGTAGTTAGCAAGGCCACACATTTTTAGTTATTCCAACAATAAATCTACGCACATCAAAAATATAGTTTCGATCTTTCTTTCTCAGTTTTAGATTGAAGGAAAATTTTTTACTAACTCATCCTTGTGTTGATCTTAGATCGCTATATGATTCAAAATTGCTGATGAATGTATGCGCTTTGATTCTGTTTTCTATCATTGTGAATTCTCCATCTGGACTTTATATGCTATCCTTTATGAGATCATTATAACAGATACTATGTTATTATATTATATAATTTGCATGTATATTAAGCTAGATATACATAGTTATTTCTGTACTGTTTTTGAATCTTGATACTTCAAATTTTTCCATCTTAATTTCCATTGATAGATTAAGCATAATTTTTCAATACAAACGAGTCAGATATTGTTAATCTAGGGTTTATATAGATATAATCTATTATTTTGTAATGTTAATCATATACTCGTACGCTTCATTCATCGAATTATTAATATTGATTTACTACAATGTTATGCAATATAACTCCTCGTATGGTCATTTTTTAATGTTATATGTATTGTGTGGTTTTCACACTTTTAAAGTTCATATACTCAAATATTGTGTGATATATTGAGTAATTTGTGCTCTTCTCTCCAACTAGATGCATGAAATCTTGGATCTTAATTTCCATAGGCTAAAGTATTAACGTTTACTCTACAAGGTAAAAATCATATATTAAAATATTTTTGACGACATAGTGAAATATTACAAGCTTTACAAGTTATTATTGCTCTTCTCCAATACAAACTTCTATTATAATGAAATATTGCTCTTCGATGTGTGATGTTAGAAATATTATATTAAAAATATTGTAGTTGATATGCTCCTAAATACCAATGAAGACTTTTACATACTGTGATATCTCCTCTAATATACCACACTATTATATAATGTAAATTAAAATATTTTTTATCTCATATGATAGCTAAGTAATCGATTAAAATGGATAGATTGTAGAAAGGTTCTTTAAATCTCATAGCAAAAGAAGAATGTGTCTCTTATGGACAAGGATGCATATTGGCTTTGACTCTTCATATTATATTTTATTTGATGATGGTGCAAGGATTTAATTTCTTGTAAATCATTTGTATAAAAAAATATTATTCATCGTGCCCCCCCCCCCTCTTGAACTAATATCACATATAATTGATATATAATGATTGAACTAATATCATGACTATATTTACCAAAAATAGTAAAATCCTTATTTACACATTCACCACGTGATTGATTTGACTTTATGTACATCATCATTGACCAATGGTTTTGTGACTTGATCAAGTGATTTATTTTGGATTAGCCTAAAGCACAATTTGGATTGGTTGTGTCACATCCTCTCTCTCTCTCTCTCTCTCTCTCTCTCTCTCTCTCTCTTCCTTCAGTATATATGGAGGGCCATGTAAGCCTAGGACTTCATAACGATCAACCCTACAATGTGCACTTTCTAGATGTTTCCCTATAATGTGCACTCCTAGTCCATTAAAGTATGGAGGACCTAGCCTAGTCAATTCTAAGGGCCATCTTTTGGGAGCGTTGACTTGGGTCATTGGGGCGCAGAGATCTCTAAGTCAATTGAGTCGGACCATTATTCCTTTTGGGCCCCATTAGCAATTGGGCCTATGTTGGACCACCAACGCAAAGTCTGGATTCTGGGCTCTAAATTCGGGGTTCTGATAGAAGTATGATAATGTGATGTTTAATTCTGATGTCGGAAAATATTACTTTAATGAGATAAATATGGTCACGGTGAGAAAGGTAGTACCAAGCGAGATACATGTAAACCACACGTTCAGTTAATAATTGATCAGATACCGTTGATCTTCAGATGACGACAAGAGGAGTCCAGATGACCTAAGGCGAACCTCTGACGAGCAGGCTTTCCATGGAAATAGATGCGCACCAAGTCTTGATTCCGATCTGTTCATCTCCCCCCCAATTATTCTTTATTATGATTCCAAAGCCTGACGTATGTCAGCCAGGACGCGAGCCAGAGTGATAGCCTTGATCGATACATAATAGAGAGAGAGAGAGAGAGAGAGAGAGAGAGAGAGAGAGAGATCAACAGATAATAGAGAGAGAGAGGACGTGGAAGGCGAGCAGAGGCTTCCTCTGGGCAATCCCACCTCCACCCTAAAGCCTGCCGGTGCTCGGGAGATCTCCTGATCGGTGGGGCTCTCTTCGATTGGCCGGACGGTTACCTTCGGGGAGTGTGGATAGCCTCTCCTCTGCACTGCCGGAGGTGGGGGAGCGGCTCCGGGGGGATGGACGGTGAGCGGGGTGGGACGGGGGGGGGCTGGTGCTGCCCACCCATGGATCTCATGCGGTCAGAGCCTATGCAGCTGGTGCAGCTGATCGTCCCCATTGAATCAGCCCACCTCACCCTCTCCTACGTCGGGGAACTCGGCCTCCTCCAGTTCAAAGACGTAAGAATCTTTCGGGAATCAACCTTTCTCCCCCTTCTCTCGAGACTTCATCTGCGACTGCGATCGGAATGATTAGCTATGATGTGGCTCCGGTTCCGACATTGTTCCCCGATTCTTCGTCATTGTTCTGGAATTTCGTGTTTTTCATTCGATTTGATTCACCCTCCGTCGAAGGTGCTACATTTCCCCCTCACGCTTATATATGTTTCCCCAATTGTTTCGATTCTTCTCATTGGCCTAATTTTGAATTGATCGTCGCCTCGATACTGCATTTCTACATCAGGCGAACCCCCGTCGAGACTGCCCTAAATTTATCCGTTCAAGACCTATTTCTCAGAGTTTAGAAAACATGCGGGGAAAAATCAATTCTTCTGTCTGCAGGCCGTACACAAATTTTTTAGGAATGTAACGTAACATAGTCGAGTGGATGGAGAAGTTCTGATCTTTCAGGTAACCAATGGGTTTCTGATAAGAAGCAACCATTGTACCACCACAGAACACTGCATAATGACGGTGGATCCCCCTGAAAGCACGTGGATTTGGGTCCTGAGGGCACCCCTGGAGGGAGGTCTTGGACAGAAGTGATGCTCATGGCGTCTGTGAAGATCGTGGTATTTCGAATTGAATGGAAGAGAAATTTGCACACTTTATGGATAATTCTTTGAAAGCAGAAATCTTTGTTACTGAAGATGAGAAGAATTGGAGAAAAGGTATTTATATGTATTTTTCAGTAGAGGGTCGATGAGGTTCTTACTTCATTAGAGTCACAAAAGAGAATCCTGCTACCTGAAAGTGCTATTTCCCAGGCTGGCTAGGTTTCCGTTACTCAATTTAACGCAGCACAGTAAGAGTTACGTTGGTCAGATTGGCATGTGACCCACGTAACTATTATTTTTGGTAGAGGTGGGGGGGGGGAGGGGGGGGGATGAACTAGTTCTTTGAATCCGTTGCTTCCCATACCACTGGTCTGAAGACATTATCAGAGGAGAACACTGCCATGTAGTCATACTTCTGTGAGAGAAACATACTGGAATCACTATCCAGGTGAAGCACTTGCCAGATTGTTAGGTGTCAAGACTGGATTTTTTGTTATGTTTCAATTCCTTATCAATGAATGCGGCTATGGATAGCTTGAATTGCGTTAAGGGCATCTGAATCATTGATAATGTATTTTGTTTTGGCTTCGGGGAATTGGGAACTCCAAAGAATAAAAAAGGAAGTCAACAAGGTTATGACAAGATTATTTTAGGAAACGTTCGGTGATCCCATGACAGGCTTTCCATCAGGAATATTATCTGTTTTTTCTTAAGATCATTCTGGATCTCTTTTTACACCTCTCATTTTTTTCAATTCCATGTTTATATTCCCCTCCTTTACCAAGTAATTGGGAATCGAGTATTTTTGTTTTCAATATTATTTCCAGATGGTCTTGGTAGATTTTTTTGGGTTGCAGTCATTGCTCCTGATTAATCAGTTTTGCTTGGCTACATGATATATAGGCTTCTGGTTCAGAAAACGTAGTTGAATTTATTGATTTCTGCCTTTGAACGTTGTATCATGAGGTCACCATGGTGTGCCCAGCCTTTGGAATGTTGTGTTCTTGCCATTTTGCATTTAATTCTGTATTTTCCGTGTGGTATTTGGGGTGTTTTGACTCAACATATCCTCAGGTTGGCTTTCTGAAGAAGAAGCACTTTCTCTTCTTATTGAAAACAAAGATGTTGCTTTCCGATGTGCTCTCCAACAAAATGGATGGGTAGCCATCAATAAAATTCTCATCTTTCAAAGAACCTTTTGGAAGATATATATATATATATATATTATATAGATAGATAGATAGATAGATATATATATTTGATCAGTTGTTTAATTTTTCACAATTCTTGTTTATCTTTGAGCTTACAAAACAACTTGACGTATAGCTGGCATTTAGTCATTGTTTGGTCATATTTCATTATATGGTTATTTTATTTTCCATATTTTAAACTCTAAAATTATTGGTTCGTCACTCAAAAGAAAGTGATTCTGTCTATTTTCTTTATTCATATCTAGGTGATTGTGTCTCATGTAAGATATTTTGTTGTTCAGTGACGATGTGAACTGATAAGTGGTTCACAGGAACGTTAATCTCAGTATCCAAGGGTCAAGACGAGTGATTTAAGTTGGCTGTTGTCCAATATTTTGCATGAGCCTGTTGGTGGGCTTTTTGCGAGTTGTCCCCTTCTCGGTACAACTTTTGCACTTTCTGATGGTTTATTGCTTTGTTTTTCCTCAGCTTAATATCGATAAGAGCCCATTCCAGCGAACATATGCTTACCAGGTAAGTTTGTCCCCTGGCATCCCTGTTACTTTCTGTACGCCCATGGGCTCAATTTTCTATTTCAGAAATGCTCTTTTGGTGTCCTTTTTACAAATTACATTTGGACGTATTTACCAGAAAAGGAATGAAGCGACAATATAAATAATTTTGGAATATACCCTATGATTATCCTAATCCGCAACGGATAGATTATCATTTTCTTGGTCTTTGTTTCTCTGTTATACCCATGCAATTATCCATAGAATCTCATAAAAACCTGAAGGATGTACAGGTTTTTTATCTTGATATCCTCCATGGTATCACATAGAAGTACCTTCAGTTTTTACCGTGTGTTTTTAATTATAATTATACTTTTGTAGATCAAAAGATGTGGGGAAATGGCACGCAAACTACGATTCTTTAGGGATCAGATGTGGAAGGCCGGCATTGTTCCATCAGTTATGCCTCTGATGGATGAAGTCAATTTCGATGACTTGGAGGTATGACACATGGTTCTATAGTGCGAAATTTATTATTACTATTCTGTGTATACGTCCAGTTCTGGTATTTATTAAAATTAGTGCTAATTATGTAGGCTAAGCTGGGAGAACTTGAAGGTGAGCTGATAGAAGTGAATGCTAACAGTGAAAAGTTGCAGCGAACATACAATGAGCTTTTGGAATATAAGCTTGTTCTCCAGAAGGTGCAGTTGTATTTTATTTTGTCTTCTGCAACATGCAAGTCATTCATAAAATGTAGTTCAGAGTTTAAGGATTTTTTCTGTCAGTGAAGCATTGTTCGTGTGAACAGTGGGAGGTAGGGTGAAGTAGGTATCTCGAGATGAAAAGGCCATTTCTTTAGAAAGATTCGAAAATGGGTAGGTTTCGATTCTTTGTATGATCATTGGGTGATTATTAGTGGTGATGACATGTGGGGTTGGGGTGGGCCGTACGAAGCCGCGCCTGATCCTGAGTAATTTTTCTAGAGCCTGAAGAGTTGCTTGAGGGATGGCCGTACGAGGCCATGTCCAATTCCCTACTTGTCTGGCGGGAGGTACTGGGAGGTGGAGGTGTCCCCCATAAGACATTGAGGAGTGTCTTACCAGGGCTCTGGGGGGCTCGTGGCTTTGGGGAAGGGCAGGGGTCACACGGGGTGGGAGGTAAGACGCAGGGGAAAGGAAGACTTTGGGTGGGTGTGGTGGGGGTTTTTAACTGGATTGAGAAGATAGAGGGGCGGTCCTTCTGGTGGAGTAAGGGAAAGCGGTGGGATGGCGTGCGGTCCTGTGGGAGGAAGGAATTTGCTGGGTGGTGGGATATTTGTGAAAGGAAGGGGTGGTTTAGAAATCGAGCATGTGTGTGCTAGGGAGAGAGAGAGAGTTCTCGTGTACGTAGATTTCCTTTCATATTGGATTAGGGACTAGTATGTTATGATTTTTAGTCCATTGTTTTCCCATGTAGAAGTGATTTCAATGTGAATTCCATACGGTATGAAAGCATACAATTGTTTCCGTCGTAGTGAGTTACTGAGCGTTAAAAGCTTTGCGTCTGTGGCCCATTTTGTGGCGCTGTTGGAAAGGTTGTGTACGCATAGGTTCGAATGTGAATTCTTGTCCTGTACTATTTTCAGGCCGGTGAGTTCTTTTACTCTGCTCAAAGCGATGCAACTGCCCAGCAGAGGGAAATTGAAGCACGCAGTGTTGGCGATGAATCCATTGATAGGCCTCTACTCCTGGAGCAAGTATGGTTGCGTGGAATCTCCTATTGAATGTTATTTGGGGCTTTTGACAATTACTTTATCCGAAAATAACAGTAAGTTGCATTTTTTTCCAGGAAATCTCAACTGATCTATCGAAGCAAATTAAGCTCGGGTTTGTCAGCGGGCTTGTGCCAAAAGAGAAATCCATGGCTTTTGAAAGGATTCTATTCCGTGCTACCAGGGGCAACATGTTTCTGAAGCAGTCGTTGGTTGAAGATCCGGTCACTGATCCGGTGTCCGGGGAGAAGGTTAGAGTGGCACTCATCTTTAAAGAATTTCGTTGTAGAGGATTAGTAATGTGATTTAGTAAATTAAAAAGGCAGGGAACATGAGTTGGTACCTAGAGCTGAGATAAGTCTGATCAAAGAGTGGGTATGAATCACAATATCGTTATTGAGAGGATCTCAGGGTTCGCGATGTCCCCTTTTGAATCACTAGAAGCAGAGTTTCAGTCTGTAATATCCACATTCCAAGACTGGGAAGTTTTGACTGGAGTTGATATGTTTACTGTGGATAACCCCCGTTTCCTGCAGGGGCGACCATCATTCCCCAAGGATCAGCTTCTCCTATAATTCTTGGGTGGTTGTATAATCTCGTGCTGTGTTCACTTCTATTCCTAGAAGGAAATGCATCAACTTCCTATGTTTTTTTTTTTCCCTCCCAGTAACAACGACGGTCTCTGTTTTAGCTCGATTCTCTGTTGGATCGACGACAGTAACTGGGTCTCCCCTTGATTGATACATACACTGGATCTGGGACATTGTAGTCCTCTAATGAATCTAGAAATCAGCCGAAAGTTGTACAGTGATTTTTTTTATCGTGAAATGTGAAGGAATGCCCCCAATCACGTGTTCTTTCCATTGTTTTCTGTTATATGTGCGTCTGTGATTTTATGAAGGACGAGTATCTGTAACTTTTCGTCATCTGGCCCTGTACTGGTACTCCCCTTCTCCTACGTACTAGTTATTGTTTGTCAAGAATTTGTGTGGGTTGTTGTGCTAAAAATCTTGCACAGTATAGCATCCTTCGGTTGTGCTCAAGCAGAATAGTCCGAGCCTTGTATATGTTGTTGATCCTTGGACAGATGAAAATTTATGTTTTGGAAGAGGAACTGAAGTTTATTTTTAAGGCTGATTTACTTCTATTGAAGACATCAAGCTTAATTTATTTGGTGTGGTTGTAGTGGGTCTCTGTTGTTCCATAGTTTAAACATGTTCATAGGTTTCACTTGTGACACTGTGTGTGGTAAGATAACTTTGGGGCTAGGGGAGGTATGGGAACCATGTTTCGGTCAGGCAAATTTTGTATAGGTTGGGTTCTGAGAGACTTCTCCCATACTCTACTATATCTTCTAGTCTCCTTGTGGTAGTGGTTATTTTAAACAATACCAAATGAGGGGTAATGGATTCCTTTTTTCTGGAAAGGAACATTGCTGTGTTATTTTGGGATTAGTTGTAGACATATAATTGATTATACATCCAAACGGGGAGGGGAAAGGAAAGCTGCTGTGAAACCCATGAATATTTGTGCATTTAACTCATGTTGGCAGATGGGAGACTTTAAACTATCATTTGATCATAGCTGGTAGTCGAAGACTGAATTGTGATTGAATCCCATAACATGTAGAATGATCAGTCATATGAGACTTGAAAGTTGTAATAATCGATGCCATTTATGTGGGGAACGATGATTGCTTGCTATGGATATTATGGTGAGGTGGTGGTCCATGGGCCACTTATTTAGGATATCAGTACTTACCTGGAGTCTTGAACAAAACTTCGACGAGGTGCAGACCTAGTAATGACGGCCTGGCACAACTAAAGACGAGGGGCAACATGCGGCTAATTGAGACTTCATTTGGGTAGCTCTGCTCGACTAAGGAATTGTACGGAGTCTAGATTTTCTATTAAGTTTTATTTCGTTTTTATCATTATTCATGTAGGGTCGTATATTTCCATGATCTGGTGCATACGTGTATTCTTTTGGTTCCCTTTTGACCTGCATATGTCTTAGAGAGGGTATTATTTGAAAACTACTGTGGAGGATTTTTTAGTCAACCGTTTCTTTACATGCTCATATGTATGAGCATGGCATTGACTGATCTTATATTGTCATGCAACAGGGTTTGAAAAATGTATTTGTCGTATTTTATTCTGGAGAAAGAGCGAAGACCAAAATCCTTAAGATCTGTGAAGCTTTTGGAGCCAATCGCTATCCATTCACAGAGGACGTGAGCAAGCAAAGACAGATGATTGAGGAGGTTCGTACTGTTGCAACACTTGTTTGTAAAACGAAAGGATTTACTTTGTAGGATGGAAAAGCGAAGTCCTTGCATTGGATAACAGAGTTTCTCGGCGTGGTTTCCCAATTATGTTATTTGTTTATTTCTGGGCGAAGTCATTGGATTGGACACAATATTTTCTGTTGAGCGTGATGTCATGAGTCTAAGTTACAGCTTGATTTTGAAATCATATTTTTTTAAATGCAGTCTTTGTCCAACAATATAAAATACATGAGAATTCTTCTTCATTTTCCTTGCCTATTAACTGGATCTTAACTATCAGTGTTAGTTTATGTTTTAGTGATTCTTTATTTATTCGTAAATAGTTTTTCTACGGAGACTTAAAAGATTGCCTGATGCGTGATTTCATTGATGAAAAGAAACAGGTTTTCCCAAATTCATTAAACTTCCCCAAAGTTCATAAACAAGTTTTTGGAAGGTTTGTATGCAGATTTCCCTGGAAGAAAGAAAGCAGAGCTTGCAGCATTTTGTAGGGAAGATTATTCATTACTTTGGTTTTTAATAACGCTCATCACTACTAAGGTGTGCCATCACTTCAGATCTCTTAGACATATCTCTATCTCTCTCTCTCTCTCTCTAGAGGGTTTCAAGACAAAAACCATGGACGAGTCGAAAGAGATGAGGAAGGGGGAGGTACTGCAAAGAAGGAGGAAAGTAACGAAACCACAAAGAAAATGAGGATAAAGGGGTAAGAAAGTAGATGAAAAGGAAACCTCTAGGAGAAGATGATGTGAGAAGCACGTGGAAATCTCTCTGGTGCTTTCATCTCTGTAGAAGAGAAACTAGGATAGTATGCAGGAGAAGAACAAGATGACAATGATAATAGTGCATTAAAAATTGTAACTTGTTCGGTGATTTATCCGATAGTTGTTAGATAATCCTCTGAGATTTCTTCTCCCTGACCTTCCAATATCTATGAAGATTCGAGATGGGAATCCCTGCATAGCGGGGTTGTGTTACTCTTAGAGCGATTTGTGCTGTGGTTGTATAAGAGGCGGGGTATTGGGCGATGCATCAGGTTTTTGGTTAGTAGTTGCAACTAGGGTCCATTTTTAACTCAATTGTGATACTACCCGCTTCGTACAAGGGCATTTGATGTCAGTTATATCTCTATTTGCTGGCATAGAGTGAATGTTCTGTGAGTGTTAGGAGGTTGTAGTTTCTAATAATATGATCTAATAATCTCAGTTGTCTATCTAAAGACCTTCATAATTATATCAGTTAGCCATTGGGTTGGTTGAGGTTGATGCGTAGGAAAAGTTTACTTCTGCCAGAGACATTGGTACGTATAATACGTTTGATGAACTGTAAGTGTTCGCTGATGAAAAAACCGTAGACTCAATCATGTTGCTTGGATCAGATATTCCAACTCATATTGTATGAAGATTATAAGGATGCATTGGGCAGCTGACTTGTGCACGTGATTTAATCACTGAATATTTCTTGGGCGAAAAGTTCTGATGACCCGTTGATGCAAGAAGTATTATCTTTCATTTATTGTGAAAAGCGGATGCCTTCTGTTTGTTATGGAGGTTTATGATCACGAGTGCTGGGTTCTTGTTTTCTTTACTCCTCTATCCATGGCTTGATTAGTATCAGTCGGTAAAATGATTTTTAAGAGTTTACTTCATGAATTTTAGAGTTGGAGAGTGAATGTTAATGAATGGAGTTAGTACAGTTTGTTGCAAAGAGATTTTATTTTTGATGTCCTGAAGTATGTGTTTTTGTTGGGCCATGGTTTCGTAGTAAATTAATTTACGATAAATGTTTCCAGGTTGAAGGAAGAATATCAGAGCTAAAGACCACAATAGATATTGGAGTTTTGCACCGAGATAAGTTACTAAAGAATATTGGTTACCAATACGAGTCGTGGAATCATTTGGTCAGTATCCTCTATTGTTTTTTTGGGGAGGGTTACGATATTTTATATAAAATGCATCATTTTGAGCCAAGGATTGTGATATTTTCCAGGTTAAACTATCTGTAGTAAGATGTCTTATTTTCTTTTAAATGATTCAGGTGAAGAAGGAAAAGTCAGTCTACCACACTTTGAACATGCTTAGCCTTGATGTGAGCAAAAAATGCCTTGTTGCAGAGGGGTGGAGTCCTAAATTTGCAGCCTCTCAGGTATGATCTGTTATGCGCGTTTAATTCGTGATGACGAGTTTCCGCTCTGGTTTTCATCAGCTGGTAGCTGGCAACCATGTGGATTAAGATTGTTTTCTGTGTAACAGATCCAGGATGCATTAGAACGAGCAGCCTTGGATAGCAACTCCCAAGTTGGTTCGATCTTCCAAGTTTTGCAGTCTAAGGAACTGCCACCTACCTATTTTCGGACAAATAAATTTTCTTCGGCGTTTCAAGAGATTGTGGATGCATATGGGTGAGATGTGGCTGCTTGATTCTGTAATAATATTATATAATAGTCTCCTGCAAATCCCTCTGTTGCACAATTATAGGTTCCCTTCCTTCTTTCGTTATATTTTGTTTGGAATGTGAGTTGAATTTGAGATGTGGTTGATGGATGATTTTACAGAAGAGTGTATTGGAGCATTTGGACAGAGAACTAGAGAATTTAACTAATCGTGTTGATGCTTCTGCGTTGTGTCTTTTTGTAGCTGATGCCATGTTATTGGTCATTGCAGGGTGGCCAAGTATCAAGAAGCAAATCCTGCTGTATACACTATTGTTACATTTCCGTTTCTGTTTGCTGTCATGTTTGGTGATTGGGGGCACGGCATATGCTTATTGCTTGCCACAATGTACTTTATAATTAGAGAGAGAAAACTCTCTAGTCAGGTAAGGAACCCGGATCTTTTTTCCAGTTATGAGCATAAGTCTTTGTGAGAGAATGAGTATCTGCGTATGTAGGAGACAGTTTTTCCAGAAAAGTGAAACTTATTGCCAAATGTTTGGTTTACCTGTTAGATCCCGTTTTAGTTTTCATTCCAACACTTGGATCAGTAGTTGGCATCAATTTAAGGTAGTCCGGTTCTTATTGTCACATCTAATTGATGTGATAATGGTAGCATGATTTTTAGAGTAGAGGGAAAGGCGGTCTGGTTGTTGTGCTGTTCTAGTATTTAGCATGTTGAGGTTTTTGTTGGGGAGATAATCATTTAACAATATACTCAATGCGTTTAAGTTTTTGATGCGGATGGCAGAATATATCTGTTCCTTACGAACTTGACCAACCTGAGAGTTGAAGGATGAAGAATTAAACGTTTTTCAGACATTTTAAGCCGGTATTGTAATTATCGCATACATGGTAGTGGCATTAGAGTTGAGTCCGAAAATGCAACTCTTTTTTCTTCAATCGTAGAAGATCTACTGTGTACATCAGTATGTCATTATGTGTTTGATTATTTTTCTTCTGCTCTTAGCCTGTTGTCTTAAATAATTTTAATTTTTAGTGTGGGAGGGTGGGAGGTGGGGGCAATGGTTAGGTGTGTGTCTTGAATATTTCATTTGTGTTTTCTTCTTCGTAAGTGTAGTAGTGTAGAAGCAATGCAAGTATTTATGTAGTAGTGTATTTATGGTGTGGTATGAGTACGCGTTTGGCTCTTCGGAAGCTTCTACGGCTGCTGCAACATTAACTTCATATGTTGAATGTGATTGTTCATGCCCTTTTTCATTTCGTTTTCCGTTTGTTTGAAATTAGTAAAAAAATTGTATTCTTTTTTTTTGTTTTTGTTTAACAGAAACTGGGAGACATCACAGAAATGACATTTGGTGGTCGCTATGTAATTATGATGATGGCATTATTCTCAATTTACACAGGATTGGTATACAATGAATTCTTTTCCGTTCCATTTGAGCTTTTTGGTCAGTCAGCATATGCATGCCGTGATCCTTCTTGCAGGTACCACAGTACACGTTTTTACCCATAAAAATATGTTGTGGTCATATTATAGTTGTCAGCCTATTTAATGTTGATTGTCCTTCCCTAGGGATGCATCTACAAATGGCCTGATCAAAGTCCGGCGTACCTATCCATTTGGTGTGGATCCTGTGTGGCATGGTAGCCGAAGTGAGCTACCATTCCTCAACTCGCTAAAGATGAAGATGTCAATTCTCCTGGGGGTGGCACAGATGAACCTTGGCATTTTGATGAGCTTTTTCAATGGGCTGTTCTTTCGAAATGGTCTAAATATCTGGTACGTTAAAATTTCAGACTACATTTATGCATGCATGTGAGAGAGATGACGATTGTGTAACTATTTACTCTTCCGGCTTTTTATGCACTCTTTAAAAGTTTAAAACCATTCTGTTTTCCCGAGATCTCCTTTGTGTACTCTTAAAGGCAGCCCAAGTATCATCATTATATTGGGCAACATGACGTTAATGTTTCTTTTGCTCTAAGTTCTAGTTTACCTGTTCAAATATTTATTGTATCGATGTTCCTGTGTTCCTCTCTTTTGTACCGTTTACTGGGAAGGGTAGGGGCATTTAGTGCGAGGAAAGGTGACATCTACATTTATACGAAAAAAAAAAAGTGAAGCTGATGCCTATGATTACTGTACTTCCTTCTATAGAGGCAATAAATTAACATTTTTTGCACCCACGTAGCCCTAAGAATAGCTGGATCATAAATCCGTTGAAAAATTATCAATGTTGCGCTGCTATTAAACAACACAGGTCCTTTTGCGGAGGTTTCCCTCTCTAATTTCTTCTGTGCCAAGTAGAGGATAAAACAAATTGAATAGAAAGAAGTGGGGAGTGATACATTGGCGACAAGTCTTTTTACCCTTTATTACGATTATGAGAGTTATGCAAGTACATTATTAAAGAACGCTCATTCAACCTTCATGCTTATGCATGAGCTTCTTGTCTTGTTGATTCGGAGTGATTGACATTGCATTTACAACTCTCTTTGATGATCCAACCGTTGTTTCATGGAGTTGAGCAGATATCTAAGAATTAAACTGGCTTTATAATCAGTATGTTGGCTCGGTCCAGAGACATCAATGTCAGAACAGGCCTTCAGTAAATTGATTTTGTTCTAATGGAATGGGTGGTCATGCAGATTATCACAGATAGTTTCTTGTGTATAATAGTTTGTAGGGAATGACATCACTAAATATCCCTCTGGATGATGAATTATCGTTACGAAGGTCCATGAAACATTGTAACTCTGTCCATGCATGTGAAGGATGGAATTTGGGTACCAGAGATTCCCACTTTAAAATGGGTTGGCAACCATGTGGATCACTGGGTGACTGAAATGAATTTGCTCTTAGTCATTAGTTTTTTGTGGAAAATTGTTCAGTTTTTATGTAAAACACTATACAAATTAATATCACTCCTTTGTCTGCTTAGAGCCCTCGATGGGAATACTACCATTCATGGGAGTTTTAGTTTTTAGATTTTGTTTGTATTCTCGCACCATTGGACTCCTCTTTCATATCTTTCTGCTGTTGAAGTAAGATTGATTGTGGATTACATTTTACAGGTACCAGTTTATTCCACAGCTGATATTTCTGAACAGCCTGTTTGGCTACCTCTCACTTCTCATCGTTGTGAAATGGTGCACTGGTTCGAAGGCTGATCTCTATCACGTTATGATATATATGTTTCTGAGCCCTACTGACGATCTTGGGGAAAACCAGCTTTTCCCTGGCCAAAAAAACCTTCAGGTTTTTCTTTACCCATGCCTGACATGGTCTTCTGATAACATGTAAGATTACTCATCTGATAATCCTCTTGTCTTTGCATATCAACAGCTTGTCTTACTTCTACTGGCCCTTGTATCCGTACCATGGATGCTATTGCCCAAGCCCTTCCTTATGAAGAGGCAACATGAAGCGGTGCGTTGCTGCTTAGTTTATCTTTCAAATGCTCGCTCCTCTTCATTAGTCCATATCTCTATATATCTGAAGAAATATTTTTCGTTTCAGAGGCATCAAAGTCAGTCTTATGCATTGGTTCATAGCGATGAAGTGGATTCTATTGAGATAGAGCCAGATCACGATTCCCATGGTCACGAGGAGTTTGAGTTCAGTGAGGTTTTCGTTCACCAGCTCATACATACCATAGAGTTCGTTCTCGGAGCCGTGTCCAATACTGCCTCATATCTGCGACTGTGGGCTCTAAGGTACCCTAGAAATCTTTACCTTTTTCTTGTTTCATGCAGTAATAGTTATCCTGAAGCTGTCTCCCTTGTAAAGCTTCCTGTATAATGGTTTATTTCGTCTCTTAACGCATGCAAGGCCTTTGCTCTAATGCTTGGGCCTCAGTTCCTTGAATCCTGGTATCACCCTCTCTTTGTTGAATGAAGTGATGAGTATCCTCCAGCTATTTCCGTGGGAAGATTGCTGCATTCTTTATGACAGAGCACTTTCTAACTCATGCATAAACGTTGCTCTAATGCTCTGGTATTAGCTCTTGAAGACTAATATTACTCCCAGAGTAAGGCACACTGTAAATCTTTTACCCTTTTCTTGTTGCATGAGGTGATGGGTATCCTCAGGCTGTCTCCCTTTTAACTTTTCCCGCATAATGGTTTATTCTCTCTCTTAACATATACGTAACCATTAGTCTTATACTATGCTTTGTCCGTAGTTCCTTGAGTTACAACCATTTCTCCTAGACTATTTTCCACTGCATTGTCCATCTTATCCATTTCACCACATTCAAACAGAAGCCTCATCTGTGACCTCACCAGAGTGCTGTCCTTGGGAGCTTCTCTGTCTGTGCTTTTGAGCGCCATAAGTCGTTATATTGTTGAGGTTCTCTCTGCTGACAATTGGTTTTCGTGTTTTCCCCAGCCTTGCCCATTCAGAACTATCGAGCGTGTTCTACGAGAAAGTTCTTCTTCTTGCCTGGGGGTGAGATCTCCCCAGATCACAGTCTCTTTAAAGGTTTCAAGAATGATACGCACTGAAGTAATCATACTGATTGATCTATAATCATACTCGTTCTTAGGTACAACAACATCATTATACTCATCATCGGCGGTATTGTGTTCATCTGTGCAACGATTGGAGTGTTGCTGGTGATGGAGACATTAAGTGCTTTCCTCCATGCACTGAGGCTTCATTGGGTGGAGTTTCAGAACAAGTTCTATGAGGGTGATGGATATAAGTTTGCCCCATTCTCATTTGCAACAGTAGAAGAAGAAGATTGACTCCGAGACCGAGGTTGATGTAGGAACACAATGAAGATGGGTTATAAGAACGAGTCCTACCTATCATGGGAATGCTTGTTGTCAGTGTAGTGTAGTCTTCCAATGGTTGCAGGACTGTATTTATGTTAATTCTTCTTCTACGCTCCTTTCTCCCAAAATAAAAATCCATTGTTAACTTGCTATGAAGCTGGAGATGGATTTATGATTCTTATAAATGCATTCTCAACCAAGTAAGTTTTCTATTACCTTAACCTTGTTGGATGATATTTATCATTCATTTGTTGAGTATCATAGAGTCAAGCTACAGAGGAATGTATGGGTGCTCACACTCATTCATTGATGGGTGGGTGATGGATGAGTGCAATATCATCTAACCAAGGTGACTTCTATCGTAATTGTACAGATCATGATGAAACTTGTAGAAACATTATATCAGCTCTTTGTTGTAGTACCACAAGTCAGTCCTGTATAATGATGAAGTAATATATTTTTGGTACCCAATCTTATTGATCCTATCTTAATTTCCATATATCGGAAAAATGAGACCCAAAGACTGGATAATTATGAGTAATCCAATGTTTTTCCTTAGATGTATGTTGCTTGACATACAGATGCCAACTATTAGTATCTGACGCTTGAAATTTATCTAACTAAACATTCATGATAGGTAAAAATAAAAGTCTAATGACCAGTCAAATTTAGGTCAGTATAGCTTAGTGATGGTAGTGTTGAGAATAAGTTTTTTACATTTTATTTTATTTTTAATCATTAGGCCCCCTTGTGGACATGTAAGGCTAGAATATCCTTTTTCTCAATTATGTAAGACCTTTTTCACTTCTTCCTCTTGATGGTATCAGAGTAGGTTGTTATAACTTTTATAATTGTTCGTGGAATCAAAGCCTTCTACATCCATGTTGAAATGATTTCATTGATGTATTATGTTCTTTTGCAACAACTTTTATTTCAACAAAATATTGTCTTTAGTGGGTTGTGCTAGCTTGCAACATAAAATGATATATTAAAATATTATCATTGATGCAATATTCTTGTAAATAATCTAAACTCCATATTATTGAGATGGTGTATTTTCTATATCATGTTATCCTACAATATAAATTGATATAGTAACATATGCTTTTCATGTTATGCACAAAAATTCTCATTTACTCAAATATTATATTTGATGTACTGCCTTATTTTGCAGCGCAAACTTCTTGTATACTAAATTAGATGTACTATGTTATTGTGCTGAATGTTCACAATGCAAATGTCTCATTTAATTAAGTATTATTTTTAATTAATAATATTATTTTTCAACAAAAGATGAACTTTTCACCAATGAGTGCCTATGTTAAGATCAAAACTGATTTGAAAGTTCAAAACTTAATAGAACAAAATCTAATGCATATTACATTGGGTGAAATCTTGTAAGAAAGACAAAAGTCAATAGTTTTACTAAATATGTTTACTCTTTCTTTCTTGCAATGTAGTTATATCTATATGCCATATTAACTATAACATTCTTTGAAAACCTATCAATTAAGATTTGTTGTAATCTCTCTTTGGTTCAAGTTAATGTGCATATGGTCTTTTTGTGGTGGCTCAAAGTTCCTTGTTACTATATTAATGTAGTGAAACTTGTAAGGCCAAATATTTTGAGTGAGTTGTGGGCAACTTTGGTGATTAAAATCACATCTTAAATCCTCAAAAGACATACTTCTATCATGGTTCTCTCACCTTGACTCCTCAAGTTGGAGAGTACATGTTCCTTAAATCAACAAGAGTGTGATTCTGAGTCCATAAAATCAAGGAGGTGGGTTCCTTGAGTCCACATGGGCATTAGAGTCCACTAGTAAGTAGAGGTTACTTCAGAGAGAAATAAACTCATGAAATTTATTGATTAAAAATTAGAATGACTCTTGGAATATATGAGATGCCTTTACATATGATGAAGTTTGTTAATTGAGCACCAAAATTTAAATTTAAAATGAAATTCAAAAATAAAATGATAAGGAGAATTGAAAGGAGAATAAGAATAGAAGACAATAAAAATAAAAAGAGTTAAAATAAAAGGAGAGGATACAAATAAAGAAATAATAATAAAAGGAGGATGAAACTAGAAAGAGCTAAAAAATATAACTATGAAAGGGAAAATTTAAATATGGGCATATGTCCTAGAACGTGTCTCATTATGGGCTCAATTTTATAACTAGGCTAACTCTAAAATGGATATTCAAGCTGTATAGACTTTTGCTCCACTTGATACATACCTAAAATGGGTTTCATCACATATTACCACTATATCATCTACTAAGGTTAAGTCGTTGGAGATGATGATTCTTTTTATTATAAAAACCTTTAGTACTATTTATGATAATAAATGCCATAAAATTTCCATGATGAAATGTTTTCATATGAATTTTTGACTATGGAAAATTTAGTTATGTTGATAGGTTGACATGAAACTAGAACCCATGAATCCATACTTGGAATGTACAAATAATAATTTGATGGGGTTTATATTGTTATATTAATATAGTTTTTCAAGAGATAATTATGTATGAAGACACTACAAATAAAGAACTTTTAAAGTATAAGTATGGTAAGCAAAGATAATTCTTTCATTTTTTTATTATTCGTCAAAGCTTAATCTGTATTATAAGATCTTTATAAGGAAAGTCTTCAATTAAGAAACTCACTCTACAATTCAAGGACTATGAAATTATTTTAACTTAACCCCAAGCCCAAACTCTCTCTCTCTCACACACACACACAAGCACACACTTGATCAAGAAACCCACAACACACAAAAGAGAGACTATACTGCCTACTCTTTCGTGTATTAGAGTAAAAGATCGATTGAGCAAGTGAGGGAGAGTTGCATTCTTTCAAATGATTGAGTGAGGGCTGTCATTGTAACCCTTCTTCAAAATCAATTGTCTTCTCTAGCACAACATCACTTGTCACTATGGAAACTTGGAACTGTTGTTTATTGTGGCTTGCCTTTTTTCGAGGCTACCACATTAAATGCATGCATTTAATGCAGAGAGGAGAAATAGAGCACTAGGGAGAAATAGTCAGTCAAAAGACCGATTCTCATGGACTCAATGCCCCATTTATGGGTTGAGTAGGCCACGAAGTAGAACGGTGCAAGTGAAAGAGAGGGAAACCATTCTGCACATTTTCTGAGGTTTGTTGGCATAGTTACCGAGGTGACAATGAGGTACTTATAAATAGAGGGCCATCTCCCTTCGTTCAGAACAGTACAAACAACCCCCTTCTACTCTTGTTTCACCATAGAGAGAGAGTGTGTTTGGGAGAGAGCTTCCAAGGAAGATCTTTCATGTTGGTGAGTGTATTAGAGGGCCAAGATCAAGGATCTGTTCCTTGAGATCTTAAAAGGGTCAAGATCAAAAATCTATTCTTTGGGTTTTTGAGGAGTAATTCTCTTGTACTACTTTTCACATCTAGTGGAGTTTTCGTCGTTGCGCATGGACGTAAAAGGCCAACCTCCGAACCACATAAAATTCTTGTGTTGGTACTCTTGTTGTGAGTTGTTCTTTCTTCTATCTTACTTCACGTCATGAGTATTGTTTCTACTGAAGTCTATATAAGACGTCTTACTCTAACATGAGCCTTCTATGATAGTAAGTTTTTGTTTATTCTCCTATCTTTGTGCATCTTCATCTGGTCTAATCAAAGGATTGCATTTAGAAATAGACAAGACTGGAGAGCAATGGACAGAGGGATAGGATGACAAGAGATTTCACCCCATATTTAAAAAGATCCTTCTTCAACTTCTCAACTTATGAGTTCTCTTGAGTTAACCTTTCGCCACTCAAAACTTTTGACTTTCAAGTTTCATCTACATTAATTGGAGTGAAGGAGCCAAAACAAAATAGCAAGAATTTTTGCAGCACATCTTATGTGATGTTGTTATTTTTCTCCTTGATAATTCTTCAACAAAAAGGATGCTCAGAGGTATGGATCTACTACAACTTCTCATGACTCGAGACTTACGCCCCGAGTATGTATTCAATACATCTTTACTTGTTGCAATTGCATAGAGATTTATACCAACTAATATTTCTATTCACCGAGTAAAGCATATTAACATGCCATTTTAGTCTCTACTAAAGGTATGCTAATTGTTTCTAACATGATTCCATTTTCATATACATCTTATTCTCCCCAAGCCTTCACCCTAGATATTGATTAATTTCCTCTACTTTTAGTAATGATGAATATTTTAGTTTGTCTCTAGTTCTTCTCTTTACTAGGTAAGAACTTATTGGTAGTATTTACACTAATTTTATTTATCCAAGAACTCACTTCTTTTTCTCATTGTCACAACTATTTAGTGAATCAAAAATTTTAGAATGTGATAGCTAATTTTTTTTTACTGGACTTGGAAACAAAGAGGTGGACATTGTTTATTGGCCTTGTCAATAAACATCGTGTGCTTTTCTCCAGAACCACTGCAGGTGTTGATTAATAACAACTAGTACTATATAATGCTAGGGAGAGATATTAACATAATGTCTCTAATCAAGCTCCATCTTAAAGATGGAAAGGGGATCTGTCATGAAGACTAGTAGGCTATGCTTCTTACATTTTTTAATTAAGCTCTAACACCTTTACATAAAAAGCAATGATGTTCACGTCGAAAATGACATTCAAGTTTGACTTTTGTCACCACAATTGATAGAAAAATTAATGTATGCATTGAACTCTACCACACTAAGAGTCTTCAACATCTATCTCTGGACTCATTGTGATATCATTGCAATCTCCACGATTTTACTCTCCCTATTACAATAATACAAAATATTCTTCACTACTTTGTCAATTACCCATGAAATAAATAAGTCAATGATGAATGCTTGAAGCTACCAACCTAGGACAAGAAATAAAATGCTTTGAAAAGGCTTATGACATCTAAAGGAGCTTAAAGTTAGGGTGATCTCATATGGTGGCATACTGATCGTTGGCGAGAGTACAATAGTTATAGTTGCATATTCTTGCAATATTATATGAATTTTGATAGAAAATTCTCATGATGATTCTACCAACATCAAAGACAAAGCCCCATATCGACTATGACTAGTTGTAAAATTAATGGATCTTCTAGTATTGAACTATTTTGAGGTTTAATTTATAATGTCATGATATATTCCTATTCCTTAAATCTTCTTGCATGCCCTACTGATAACTTGGTATTGAGTAGGCGTGATCTATAATTGCAGTTGATTGATGATGTCTTCCAAGATAAAATTATGAGAGGCTCACTGTTTAACCAGCATAGTGAAAATTTTGTCATTTATTTTGCTGTAGAATTTCAGGGCCTTGATCATAGATTCATTAGCCAAGATGGTTGGTTAGTAATTGTTCAAGGTGGGAGAAAGATTCTTCCACTTAGGAATAACTACAATGTTGTTGATGTTATCTTCATCTTCCACTTCATAAATCTCATATGTAATGATGATAAAATTTCTCATTGTAAGAGAAGTAAAGGCCTTGGGCACATTGATTTTTAATTTATATACGAGTAAGATTGATCCTTTTTTTTTTTGAAAAAAAATAATCAAAGTATATCTTGAAAATAGAATATTGTTTATGAGTGCAATGTTCGTTGGAATGTTGTCGTCGTATTGTGGAAAGTTGAATCTAGTCTTTTCCTTCTTCGTAGGTGAAAATCCGGAATAGGAGACTTTGCTTCTTCTAGGTCTTGCTGCTTTGCTTTCCGATTGAGTGTCTTGATATAACCATTAGTCTATCAATTTCGCTTGTACTTTCTAAATGGTTCTCATGATAAAGCTTTTAACTCTTGACGATTCGAAGAGGCATAATTTCGCCTTAATATCCTTCTGCATATGTTCAGCTAAATCTGGCCCATCTATGTTGTTTAATTTCCAAGAATTTTCGACAAAGGGATCCCATCTGATTAGAGTTGAAACCCTCGTTGGAGATCACCCTGATTTTTAAATGATTCACGAGAGCCAATCCATTTGAACCAAGCTAAGATCGGTTGTAGATGGTTTTTCAGCAAGGATAAAGCGAGACAAGGAGAAGAATAATTCGGCTGAAACCCATCTCTCGGGATCATGACTATTGAAGACTGACGTTTCTAACTTTCTAATGCCCTCTCATGATTCAGAGATGTGATTTCAAGCCTGAGATGTAGCTAATCCAAGTCGAATCAAGTCGCTGCGATGAATGTGATGCAAGTCGGTTAGGGCTGATTCACCGTCCGTCTACTGGAGATGAGTGGGTCAGCTCAAAAATATATTCCAACAGAATCTAATCACCTCTAGCAGGTCAATGGATCTTTGCTCTGCAATTCTTCGACTGGAGCAGTAGGTTATACTCCAATTGCTGTTTGGTCGTCTCAGACTCTCGCTAAGCTCTCTGACGTTTGTCTGTCATATGATGCCATACTTCTGGATATCACGCATACTGCGACGAAAGTCTTCAACTTTTTTACGCCACAGAACTCGAGAGGCATGGCTCTGGTATCCAGTATGACGACAGACAACGAGAGCACATGGGTTTGAAGAGAAACAACGCGAGATTAATGGAGGAAGAGTGAAGAGAGCATCGACGGAGTTCTCCTGACAACGACCAGTTCGATGATCGTATGTCTACTTCCACGACATCCCTCGACGCACCCCTACGATCCTCCGTAGCTTCGGTTGACTTTAAGCTTGGAGTGTTTGACTTTGCCTACGGAGAACGTGAACGCCGTCCTTCATGATCGTTTCCGACGTGGGTGGAAAGTTTCTGAGGATTTCATCTGAGTGTGCACAGCCTCTCCTCTGCGCTGCCGGAGGACGGAGCGACTCCGGGAAGATGGACGGCGAGGGGGGTGGGACGACGGGGGGCTGGTGCTGCCCACCCATCCATCTCATGCGGTCAGAGCCCATGCAGCTGGTGCAGCTGATCATCCCCATCGAATCAGCCCACCTCACCCTCTCCTACGTCGGCGAACTCGGCCTCCTCCAGTTCAAAGACGTAAGGATCTTTCAGGAAACACCCTTTCTCCCCCTACTTCATCTGCGACTGCGATCGGAATGATGGCCTGTGATTTGGCTCCCCGATTTTTTTCGGTTGTTCTAGAATTTCGTGTTTTTCATTTGATTCGATTTACCCATCATCAACCGTACCATATTTCCTAATTGTTTCAGTTCTTCTCATTGGTATGATCTTGAATTGATCGTCTCAACTATACTCCATTACTACAAAGGGCGAACCATATTTGTCCATTCAAGGCCAACTTCTCTGAGTTTAGAAGACACGCGGGGAAACATCAGCTCTTCTGTCTCAAGGCCGAACAGAAAAATTATAGGAAGGTAACTGGACATAATTGAGTAGATGGAGAAGTTCTGATCTTTCAGGTCAGTAATGGGTTCTCTGACAAGAAGCTACGATTGTGCCACTAACAGAGTACTGCATAGTGACGGTGAATCCGCCTGAAAGCACGTGGACTTGGACAGTAGTGATGTTCGTGGTGTCTGTGAAGATCATGGTATTTCGAATTGAATGGAAGAGAAATTTGCACACTTTATGGATAATTCTTTGAAAGCAGAAATCTTTGTTACTGAAGATGAGAAGAATTGGAGAAAAGGTATTTATATGTATTTTTCAGTAGAGGGTCGATGAGGTTCTTACTTCATTAGAGTCACAAAAGAGAATCCTGCTACCTGAAAGTGCTATTTCCCAGGCTGGCTAGGTTTCCGTTACTCAATTTAACGCAGCACAGTAAGAGTTACGTTGGTCAGATTGGCATGTGACCCACGTAACTATTATTTTTGGTAGAGGTGGGGGGGAGGATGAACTAGTTCTTTGAATCCGTTGCTTCCCATACCACTGGTCTGAAGACATTATCAGAGGAGAACACTGCCATGTAGTCATACTTCTGTGAGAGAAACATACTGGAATCACTATCCAGGTGAAGCGCTTGCCAGATTGTTAGGTGTCAAGACTGGATTTTTTGTTATGTTTCAATTCCTTGTCAATGAATGCGGCTCTGGATAGCTTGAATTGCGTTAAGGGCATCTGAATCATTGATAATGTATTTTGTTTTGGCTTCGGGGAATTGGGAACTCCAAAGAATAAAAAAGGAAGTCAACAAGGTTATGACAAGATTATTTTAGGAAACGTTCGGTGATCGCATGACAGGCTTTCCATCAGGAATATTATCTGTTTTTTCTTAAGATCATTCTGGATCTCTTTTTACACCTCTCATTTTTTTCAATTCCATGTTTATATTCCCCTCCTTTACCAAGTAATTGGGAATCGAGTATTTTTGTTTTCAATATTATTTCCAGATGGTCTTGTTAGATTTTTTTGGGTTGCAGTCATTGCTCCTGATTAATCAGTTTTGCTTGGCTACATGATATATAGGCTTCTGGTTCAGAAAACGTAGTTGAATTTATTGATTTCTGCCTTTGAACGTTGTATCATGAGGTCACCATGGTGTGCCCAGCCTTTGGAATGTTGTGTTCTTGCCATTTTGCATTTAATTCTGTATTTTCCGTGTGGTATTTGGGGTGTTTTGACTCAACATATCCTCAGGTTGGCTTTCTGAAGAAGAAGCACTTTCTCTTCTTATTGAAAATAAAGATGTTGCTTTCCGATGTGCTCTCCAACAAAATGGATGGGTAGCCATCAATAGAATTCTCATCTTTCAAAGAACCTTTCCGAAGATATATATATATATATATATATATATATATATATGTATTATATAGATAAACAAAGATGTTGCTTTCCGATGTGCTCTCCAACAAAATGGATGGGTAGCCATCAATAAAATTCTCATCTTTCAAAGAACCTTTTGGAAGATATATATATATATATATTATATAGATAGATAGATAGATAGATATATATATTTGATCAGTTGTTTAATTTTTCACAATTCTTGTTTATCTTTGAGCTTACAAAACAACTTGACGTATAGCTGGCATTTAGTCATTGTTTGGTCATATTTCATTATATGGTTATTTTATTTTCCATATTTTAAACTCTAAAATTATTGGTTCGTCACTCAAAAGAAAGTGATTCTGTCTATTTTCTTTATTCATATCTAGGTGATTGTGTCTCATGTAAGATATTTTGTTGTTCAGTGACGATGTGAACTGATAAGTGGTTCACAGGAACGTTAATCTCAGTATCCAAGGGTCAAGACGAGTGATTTAAGTTGGCTATTGTCCAATATTTTGCATGAGCCTGTTGGTGGGCTTTTTGCGAGTTGTCCCCTTCTCGGTACAACTTTTGCACTTTCTGATGGTTTATTGCTTTGTTTTTCCTCAGCTTAATATCGATAAGAGCCCATTCCAGCGAACATATGCTTACCAGGTAAGTTTGTCCCCTGGCATCCCTGTTACTTTCTGTACGCCTATGGGCTCAATTTACTATTTCAGAAATGCTCTTTTGGTGTCCTTTTTACAAATTACATTTGGACGTATTTACCAGAAAAGGAATGAAGCGACAATATAAATAATTTTGGAATATACCCTATGATTATCCTAATCCGCAACGGATAGATTATCATTTTCTTGGTCTTTGTTTCTCTGTTATACCCATGCAATTATCCATATAATCTCATAAAAACCTGAAGGATGTACAGGTTTTTTATCTTGATATCCTCCATGGTATCACATAGAAGTACCTTCAGTTTTTACCGTGTGTTTTTAATTATAATTATACTTTTGTAGATCAAAAGATGTGGGGAAATGGCACGCAAACTACGATTCTTTAGGGATCAGATGTGGAAGGCCGGCATTGTTCCATCAGTTATGCCTCTGATGGATGAAGTCAATTTCGATGACTTGGAGGTATGACACATGGTTCTGTAGTGCGAAATTTATTATTACTATTCTGTGTATACGTCCAGTTCTGGTATTTATTAAAATTAGTGCTAATTATGTAGGCTAAGCTGGGAGAACTTGAAGGTGAGCTGATAGAAGTGAATGCTAACAGTGAAAAATTGCAGCGAACATACAATGAGCTTTTGGAATATAAGCTTGTTCTCCAGAAGGTGCAGTTGTATTTTATTTTGTCTTCTGCAACATGCAAGTCATTCATAAAATGTAGTTCAGAGTTTAAGGATTTTTTCTGTCAGTGAAGCATTGTTCGTGTGAACAGTGGGAGGTAGGGTGAAGTAGGTATCTCGAGATGAAAAGGCCATTTCTTTAGAAAGATTCGAAAACGGGTAGGTTTCTATTCTTTGTATGATCATTGGGTGATTATTAGTGGTGATGACATGTGGGGTTGGGGTGGGCCGTACGAAGCCGCGCCTGATCCTGAGTAATTTTTCTAGAGCCTGAAGAGTTGCTTGAGGGATGGCCGTACGAGGCCATGTCCAATTCCCTACTTGTCTGGCGGGAGGTACTGGGAGGTGGAGGTGTCCCCCATAAGACATTGAGGAGTGTCTTACCAGGGCTCTGGGGGGCTCGTGGCTTTGGGGAAGGGCAGGGGTCACACGGGGTGGGAGGTAAGACGCAGGGGAAAGGAAGACTTTGGGTGGGTGTGGTGGGGGTTTTTAACTGGATTGAGAAGATAGAGGGGCGGTCCTTCTGGTGGAGCAAGGGAAAGCGGTGGGATGGCGTGCGGTCCTGTGGGAGGAAGGAATTTGCTGGGTGGTGGGATATTTGTGAAAGGAAGGGGTGGTTTAGAAATCGAGCATGTGTGTGCTAGGGAGAGATAGGGAGTTCTCGTATACGTAGATTTCCTTTCATATTGGATTAGGGACTAGTATGTTATGATTTTTAGTCCATTGTTTTCCCATGTAGAAGTGATTTCAATGTGAATTCCATACGGTATGAAAGCATACAATTGTTTCCGTCGTAGTGAGTTACTGAGCGTTAAAAGCTTTGCGTCTGTGGCCCATTTTGTGGCGCTGTTGGAAAGGTTGTGTACGCATAGGTTCGAATGTGAATTCTTGTCCTGTACTATTTTCAGGCCGGTGAGTTCTTTTACTCTGCTCAAAGCGATGCAACTGCCCAGCAGAGGGAAATTGAAGCACGCAGTGTTGGCGATGAATCCATTGATAGGCCTCTACTCCTGGAGCAAGTATGGTTGCGTGGAATCTCCTATTGAATGTTATTTGGGGCTTTTGACAATTACTTTATCCGAAAATAACAGTAAGTTGCATTTTTTTTCAGGAAATCTCAACTGATCTATCGAAGCAAATTAAGCTCGGGTTTGTCAGCGGGCTTGTGCCAAAAGAGAAATCCATGGCTTTTGAAAGGATTCTATTCCGTGCTACCAGGGGCAACATGTTTCTGAAGCAGTCGTTGGTTGAAGATCCGGTCACTGATCCGGTGTCCGGGGAGAAGGTTAGAGTGGCACTCATCTTTAAAGAATTTCGTTGTAGAGGATTAGTAATGTGATTTAGTAAATTAAAAAGGCAGGGAACATGAGTTGGTACCTAGAGCTGAGATAAGTCTGATCAAAGAGTGGGTATGAATCACAATATCGTTATTGAGAGGATCTCAGGGTTCGCGATGTCCCCTTTTGAATCACTAGAAGCAGAGTTTCAGTCTGTAATATCCACATTCCAAGACTGGGAAGTTTTGACTGGAGTTGATATGTTTACTGTGGATAACCCCCGTTTCCTGCAGGGGCGACCATCATTCCCCAAGGATCAGCTTCTCCTATAATTCTTGGGTGGTTGTATAATCTCGTGCTGTGTTCACTTCTATTCCTAGAAGGAAATGCATCAACTTCCTATGTTTTTTTTTTTTCCCTCCCAGTAACAACGACGGTCTCTGTTTTAGCTCGATTCTCTGTTGGATCGACGACAGTAACTGGGTCTCCCCTTGATTGATACATACACTGGATCTGGGACATTGTAGTCCTCTAATGAATCTAGAAATCTGCCGAAAGTTGTACAGTGATTTTTTTTTATCGTGAAATGTGAAGGAATGCCCCCAATCACGTGTTCTTTCCATTGTTTTCTGTTATATGTGCGTCTGTGATTTTATGAAGGACGAGTATCTGTAACTTTTCGTCATCTGGCCCTGTACTGGTACTCCCCTTCTCCTACGTACTAGTTATTGTTTGTCAAGAATTTGTGTGGGTTGTTGTGCTAAAAATCTTGCACAGTATAGCATCCTTCGGTTGTGCTCAAGCAGAATAGTCCGAGCCTTGTATATGTTGTTGATCCTTGGACAGATGAAAATTTATGTTTTGGAAGAGGAACTGAAGTTTATTTTTAAGGCTGATTTACTTCTATTGCAGTCATCAAGCTTAATTTATTTGGTGTGGTTGTAGTGGGTCTCTGTTGTTCCATAGTTTAAACATGTTCATAGGTTTCACTTGTGACACTGTGTGTGGTAAGATAACTTTGGGGCTAGGGGAGGTATGGGAACCATGTTTCGGTCAGGCAAATTTTGTATAGGTTGGGTTCTGAGAGACTTCTCCCATACTCTACTATATCTTCTAGTCTCCTTGTGGTAGTGGTTATTTTAAACAATACCAAATGAGGGGTAATGGATTCCTTTTTTCTGGAAAGGAACATTGCTGTGTTATTTTGGGATTAGTTGTAGACATATAATTGATTATACATCCAAACGGGGAGGGGAAAGGAAAGCTGCTGTGAAACCCATGAATATTTGTGCATTTAACTCATGTTGGCAGATGGGAGACTTTAAACTATCATTTGATCATAGCTGGTAGTCGAAGACTGAATTGTGATTGAATCCCATAACATGTAGAATGATCAGTCATATGAGACTTGAAAGTTGTAATAATCGATGCCATTTATGTGGGGAACGATGATTGCTTGCTATGGATATTATGGTGAGGTGGTGGTCCATGGGCCACTTATTTAGGATATCAGTACTTACCTGGAGTCTTGAACAAAACTTCGACGAGGTGCAGACCTAGTAATGACGGCCTGGCACAACTAAAGACGAGGGGCAACATGCGGCTAATTGAGACTTCATTTGGGTAGCTCTGCTCGACTAAGGAATTGTACGGAGTCTAGATTTTCTATTAAGTTTTATTTCGTTTTTATCATTATTCATGTAGGGTCGTATATTTCCATGATCTGGTGCATACGTGTATTCTTTTGGTTCCCTTTTGACCTGCATATGTCTTAGAGAGGGTATTATTTGAAAACTACTGTGGAGGATTTTTTAGTCAACCGTTTCTTTACATGCTCATATGTATGAGCATGGCATTGACTGATCTTATATTGTCATGCAACAGGGTTTGAAAAATGTATTTGTCGTATTTTATTCTGGAGAAAGAGCGAAGACCAAAATCCTTAAGATCTGTGAAGCTTTTGGAGCCAATCGCTATCCATTCACAGAGGACGTGAGCAAGCAAAGACAGATGATTGAGGAGGTTCGTACTGTTGCAACACTTGTTTGTAAAACGAAAGGATTTACTTTGTAGGATGGAAAAGCGAAGTCCTTGCATTGGATAACAGAGTTTCTCGGCGTGGTTTCCCAATTATGTTATTTGTTTATTTCTGGGCGAAGTCATTGGATTGGACACAATATTTTCTGTTGAGCGTGATGTCATGAGTCTAAGTTACAGCTTGATTTTGAAATCATATTTTTTTAAATGCAGTCTTTGTCCAACAATATAAAATACATGAGAATTCTTCTTCATTTTCCTTGCCTATTAACTGGATCTTAACTATCAGTGTTAGTTTATGTTTTAGTGATTCTTTATTTATTCGTAAATAGTTTTTCTACGGAGACTTAAAAGATTGCCTGATGCGTGATTTCATTGATGAAAAGAAACAGGTTTTCCCAAATTCATTAAACTTTCCCAAAGTTCATAAACAAGTTTTTGGAAGGTTTGTATGCAGATTTCCCTGGAAGAAAGAAAGCAGAGCTTGCAGCATTTTGTAGGGAAGATTATTCATTACTTTGGTTTTTAATAACGCTCATCACTACTAAGGTGTGCCATCACTTCAGATCTCTTAGACATATCTCTATCTCTCTCTCTCTCTCTCTAGAGGGTTTCAAGACAAAAACCATGGACGAGTCGAAAGAGATGAGGAAGGGGGAGGTACTGCAAAGAAGAAGGAAAGTAACGAAACCACAAAGAAAATGAGGATAAAGGGGTAAGAAAGTAGATGAAAAAGGAAACCTCTAGGAGAAGATGATGTGAGAAGCACGTGGAAATCTCTCTGGTGCTTTCATCTCTGTAGAAGAGAAACTAGGATAGTATGCAGGAGAAGAACAAGATGACAATGATAATAGTGCATTAAAAATTGTAACTTGTTCGGTGATTTATCCGATAGTTGTTAGATAATCCTCTGAGATTTCTTCTCCCTGACCTTCCAATATCTATGAAGATTCGAGATGGGAATCCCTGCATAGCGGGGTTGTGTTACTCTTAGAGCGATTTGTGCTGTGGTTGTATAAGAGGCGGGGTATTGGGCGATGCATCAGGTTTTTGGTTAGTAGTTGCAACTAGGGTCCATTTTTAACTCAATTGTGATACTACCCGCTTCGTACAAGGGCATTTGATGTCAGTTATATCTCTATTTGCTGGCATAGAGTGAATGTTCTGTGAGTGTTAGGAGGTTGTAGTTTCTAATAATATGATCTAATAATCTCAGCTGTCTATCTAAAGACCTTCATAATTATATCAGTTAGCCATTGGGTTGGTTGAGGTTGATGCGTAGGAAAAGTTTACTTCTGCCAGAAACAGTGGTACGTATAATACGTTTGATGAACTGTATGTGTTCGCTGATGAAAAAACCGTAGACTCAATCATGTTGCTTGGATCAGATATTCCAACTCATATTGTATGAAGATTATAAGGATGCATTGGGCAGCTGACTTGTGCACGTGATTTAATCACTGAATATTTCTTGGGCGAAAAGTTCTGATGACCCGTTGATGCAAGAAGTATTATCTTTCATTTATTGTGAAAAGCGGATGCCTTCTGTTTGTTATGGAGGTTTATGATCACGAGTGCTGGGTTCTTGTTTTCTTTACTCCTCTATCCATGGCTTGATTAGTATCAGTCGGTAAAATGATTTTTAAGAGTTTACTTCATGAATTTTAGAGTTGGAGAGTGAATGTTAATGAATGGAGTTAGTACAGTTTGTTGCAAAGAGATTTTATTTTTGATGTCCTGAAGTATGTGTTTTTGTTGGGCCATGGTTTCGTAGTAAATTAATTTACGATAAATGTTTCCAGGTTGAAGGAAGAATATCAGAGCTAAAGACCACAATAGATATTGGAGTTTTGCACCGAGATAAGTTACTAAAGAATATTGGTTACCAATACGAGTCGTGGAATCATTTGGTCAGTATCCTCTATTGTTTTTTTGGGGAGGGTTACGATATTTTATATAAAATGCATCATTTTGAGCCAAGGATTGTGATATTTTCCAGGTTAAACTATCTGTAGTAAGATGTCTTCTTTTCTTTTAAATGATTCAGGTGAAGAAGGAAAAGTCAGTCTACCACACTTTGAACATGCTTAGCCTTGATGTGAGCAAAAAATGCCTTGTTGCAGAGGGGTGGAGTCCTAAATTTGCAGCCTCTCAGGTATGATCTGTTATGCACGTTTAATTCGTGATGACGAGTTTCCGCTCTGGTTTTCATCAGCTGGTAGCTGGCAACCATGTGGATTAAGATTGTTTTCTGTGTAACAGATCCAGGATGCATTAGAACGAGCAGCCTTGGATAGCAACTCCCAAGTTGGTTCGATCTTCCAAGTTTTGCAGTCTAAGGAACTGCCACCTACCTATTTTCGGACAAATAAATTTTCTTCGGCGTTTCAAGAGATTGTGGATGCATATGGGTGAGATGTGGCTGCTTGATTCTGTAATAATATTATATAATAGTCTCCTGCAAATCCCTCTGTTGCACAATTATAGGTTCCCTTCCTTCTTTCGTTATATTTTGTTTGGAATGTGAGTTGAATTTGAGATGTGGTTGATGGATGATTTTACAGAAGAGTGTATTGGAGCATTTGGACAGAGAACTAGAGAATTTAACTAATCGTGTTGATGCTTCTGCTTTGTGTCTTTTTGTAGCTGATGCCATGTTATTGGTCATTGCAGGGTGGCCAAGTATCAAGAAGCAAATCCTGCTGTATACACTATTGTTACATTTCCGTTTCTGTTTGCTGTCATGTTTGGTGATTGGGGGCACGGCATATGCTTATTGCTTGCCACAATGTACTTTATAATTAGAGAGAGAAAACTCTCTAGTCAGGCAAGGAACCCGGATCTTTTTTCCAGTTATGAGCATAAGTCTTTGTGAGAGAATGAGTATCTGCGTATGTAGGAGACAGTTTTTCCAGAAAAGTGAAACTTATTGCTAAATGTTTGGTTTACCTGTTAGATCCCGTTTTAGTTTTCATTCCAACACTTGGATCAGTAGTTGGCATCAATTTAAGGTAGTCCGGTTCTTATTGTCACATCTAATTGATGTGATAATGGTAGCATGATTTTTAGAGTAGAGGGAAAGGCGGTCTGGTTGTTGTGCTGTTCTAGTATTTAGCATGTTGAGGTTTTTGTTGGGGAGATAATCATTTAACAATATACTCAATGCGTTTAAGTTTTTGATGTGGATGGCAGAATATATCTGTTCCTTACGAACTTGACCAACCTGAGAGTTGAAGGATGAAGAATTAAACGTTTTTCAGACATTTTAAGCCGGTATTGTAATTATCGCATACATGGTAGTGGCGTTAGAGTTGAGTCCGAAAATGCAACTCTTTTTTCTTCAATCGTAGAAGATCTACTGTGTACATCAGTATGTCATTATGTGTTTGATTATTTTTCTTCTGCTCTTAGCCTGTTGTCTTAAATAATTTTAATTTTTAGTGTGGGAGGGTGGGAGGTGGGGGCAATGGTTAGGTGTGTGTCTTGAATATTTCATTTGTGTTTTCTTCTTCGTAAGTGTAGTAGTGTAGAAGCAATGCAAGTATTTATGTAGTAGTGTATTTATGGTGTGGTATGAGTACGCGTTTGGCTCTTCGGAAGCTTCTACGGCTGCTGCAACATTAACTTCATATGTTGAATGTGATTGTTCATGCCCTTTTTCATTTCGTTTTCCGTTTGTTTGAAATTAGTAAAAAAATTGTATTCTTTTTTTTTGTTTTTGTTTAACAGAAACTGGGAGACATCACAGAAATGACATTTGGTGGTCGCTATGTAATTATGATGATGGCATTATTCTCAATTTACACAGGATTGGTATACAATGAATTCTTTTCCGTTCCATTTGAGCTTTTTGGTCAGTCAGCATATGCATGCCGTGATCCTTCTTGCAGGTACCACAGTACACGTTTTTACCCATAAAAATATGTTGTGGTCATATTATAGTTGTCAGCCTATTTAATGTTGATTGTCCTTCCCTAGGGATGCATCTACAAATGGCCTGATCAAAGTCCGGCGTACCTATCCATTTGGTGTGGATCCTGTGTGGCATGGTAGCCGAAGTGAGCTACCATTCCTCAACTCGCTAAAGATGAAGATGTCAATTCTCCTGGGGGTGGCACAGATGAACCTTGGCATTTTGATGAGCTTTTTCAATGGGCTGTTCTTTCGAAATGGTCTAAATATCTGGTACGTTAAAATTTCATACTACATTTTTGTATAATCTTGAAGGGGGCAGAAGTATCATCATTTATAGTGTGCAACATGACGTTAATGTTTCTTTTGCTCTAAATTCTAGTTGATCGTTACCGTTGTTTGCCTTAGAATGTCACCTGTTCAAATATGTATTTTATTTATGTTCTTTTGTCCATCTCTTTGGTACCGTCTATTGGGAAATGTTTCTTTGCCATTTTAGGAAACGAAAAAATGTGAAGTTGATGTTTATCGTTGCCATATTTCCTTAGAGGAATGAAATTAACATTTTTTGCACCTATGTAACCTAAGAATTGCTAGACCATAAATCCCTTGAAAAATTGTCACTGTTATGCTGGTATTAAACAGAAAATAGATCCCATTGCGGAGGTTTCGTTTTTTGCTTTCTTCTGTGCCAAGTGGAGGATAAAAAAATGTAATAGAAAGAAGTGGGGAGTGACTTGTATACATTGGCGACAAGTCTTTTTACCCTTTATTACGATTATGAGAGTTATGTGAGAACATTATTAAAGAACGCTCAGTCAACATTCATGCTTATGCATGAGCTTCTTTTCTTGTTGATTCGGAGTGATTTGTATTGCATTTAAAGCTCTCCTTGATGATCCAACCGTTGTTTCATGGAGTTGAGTAGATATCTAAGAATTAAACTGGCTTTCTAATGGCTCGGTCCAGAGACATCAATGTCAGAACAGGCCTTCATGAAATCGAATTTTTTCTAATGGAATGGTTGGTCATGCAGATTATCACGGATAGTTTCATGTGTATAATAGTTTGTAGAGTATGAAATCACTATATATCCCGGTAGATGATGAATTACCTTTACCAACGGTTCATGCTATGATATATTGTAACTCTGTCTATGCACATGAAGGATAGAATTTGGGTATCACAGATTCCCACTTTAAAATGTGTGGGCAGCCATGTGGATTACTGGGTGACTGAGACTAGTTTACTCTTAGTAATTAGTTTTATGTGGAAAATTGTTCATCTTTTATACAAAGCATGCTGTGTACAATTTGATGAAGTAAGATTGATCCTGGGTTACGTCTTGTAGGTACCAATTTATTCCACAGCTGATATTTCTGAACAGCCTGTTTGGCTACCTCTCACTTCTCATCATTGTAAAATGGTGTACTGGTTCGAAGGCGGATCTCTATCACGTTATGATATATATGTTTCTGAGCCCTACTGACGATCTTGGGGAAAACCAACTTATCGTTGGCCAGAAAACCCTTCAGGTTTTTCTTTAGCCATGCCTGATATTGTCTTCTGATATTATGTGACATTACTCATCTGATAATCCTCTTGTCTTTGCATATCAACAGCTTGTCTTAATTCTACTGGCCCTCATATCCGTGCCATGGATGTTATTTCCCAAGCCCTTCCTCATGAAGAGGCAACATGAAGCAGTGAGTTGCTGCCTAGTTTATCTTTCAAATGCTCTGTCCGCTCCACTTGTCCATATCTTTATGCATCTGAAGAAATATTTTACATTTTCAGAGGCATCAAGGTCAGTCTTATGCATTGCTTAATAGCTCTGATGTGGATTCTGCTGAGATAGAAGCAGATCACAGTTCCCACGGTGACGAGGAGTTTGACTTCAGTGAGGTTTTCGTCCACCAGCTCATACATACTATAGAGTTCGTCCTTGAATCAGTGTCCAATACTGCTTCATATCTGCGACTGTGGGCTCTAAGGTACCCTAGAAATCTTTACCTTTTTCTTGCTTCATGCAGTAATAGTTATCCTGAAGCTGTCTCCCTTGTAAAGCTTCTTGCATAGTGGTTTATTTCGTCTTTAAACGCATTCAAGGCATTTGGTCTAATACTCGGGAATCAGTTCCATGAATGCTGCCATTAATCCTAAACTAAATAATGCTATAAATATTTACCCTGTTTGTTGCATGAAGTGATGAGTATCCTCCAGCTGTTTCCGTGGGAAAATTGCTGCATTCTCTATGACAGAACACTTTCTAATGTTTTGTTCCCTCTTTAAACTCATGCATAAAGGTTTCCTTATTTCTCTGGAATTAGCTCTTGAACACTAATATTACTCCTAGACTTAGGGATACTGTAAATATTTTACTATTTTTTTGTTGCATAAGGTGATCGACTATTTTCCACTGAATTGTCCATCTTATCCTCTTCACCACATTCAAACAAAAGCCTCATCTGTAACCTCACCAGGGTGCTGTTCTGGGGAGCTTCTCTGTCTGTGCTTTTGAGCGCCATAAGTCGTTATATTGTTGAGGTTCTCTCTGCTGACAATTGATTTCGTGTTTTCCCCAGCCTTGCTCATTCAGAACTATCGAGCGTGTTCTATGAGAAGGTTCTTCTTCTTGCCTGGGGGTGAGATCTCCCCAGATCACAGTCTCTTTAAAGCTTTCAAGAATGATACTCACTGAAGTAATCATACTGATTGATCTATAATCATACTCGTTCTTAGGTACAACAACATCATTATACTCATCATCGGTGGCATTGTGTTCATCTGTGCAACGATTGGAGTGTTGCTAGTGATGGAGACGTTAAGTGCTTTCCTCCATGCGCTGAGGCTTCATTGGGTGGAGTTTCAGAACAAGTTCTATGAGGCGGATGGATATAAGTTTGCCCCATTCTCATTTGCAACAGTAGAAGAGGAAGATTGACTCCAAGACCCTGGTTGACGTAAGAACACAATGGAAATGGGTTATAAGAACGAGTCCTACCTATCATGGGAATGCTTGTTGTCAGTGTAGTGTAGTCTTCCAATGGTTGCAGGACTGTATTTATGTTAATTCTTCTTCTACGCTCCTTTTATCCAAAAGAATAAACCATTGCTAACTTGATATGAAGCTAGAGATGGATTTATGATTCTTATAAATGCATTCTCAACCAAGTAAGTTTTTTATTACGTTAACCTTGTTGGATGATATTCGTCATTCATTTGTTGAGTATCATAGAGTCAAGCTACAGTGGAATGTATGGGAGCTCACCCTGATTCATTGATGGATGATGGATGAGTGCAGTTATGATAGATGCAAAGTGTCATGCTGTTATAGTTCAACCAATTTGTAACTCTCCATCTTCATCTACTACAGGTCGTCTTTATACTTCCCAATTTCAAAGCTATTATCATCTTACATTACATGCTTTAGAGGGTCATCCCATAATTTAGAGCCTCTATCTGAATTAATTCTTATTAAGTTTCACATGGTACACATTGAGTATTTTATTAGTTAATTATCCTCTACTCGGCTATATTGACTTAAAAGTTATTGATTGATTATGTGACTGATATTTCTAATTAGTTGTTCATGATGGTCAAGGAAAAATTAGTACAACTAATGGCACGCATGTTGGGTACATTGATTGATCATAATGCTCAACTTGTCCCAATCATTGCTCTCTTTATTCATGATCACTCAATGTATTATCTCTTTATCCTTTATATGAAATAACTATTTAATACTGTAGGTAGGAAACATTTCAATCTGAAAAATATTGCAGTTCAGTATTACAAAATCTGTAACAAAGAGTTGTATTCCTTTCCAACTTTGGTATTTTTTCTCAATGGTTTATTTAGACAATCGATAATCTTTTTATAGTTTTCTCAATGATTTTTTCTCACTATTGTTAGATTCATCTCACGGAAACTAAGAAAGAGGTTCTTCAAATTATTTAAATGTTTTCCCAAAATGTGGGAACTTAATTTCAAAAGGTAGTCAAGGCGATCAAATATGACAATATAAGAGATTAGTTCAAAAAAAACTTCTAAGACCTTTATAGATGATAATGGGGTCTTATGTATGAATCCACTTGAGCTCACTCTAGTGGATTAACAAATGCTAAATAATCATCTCCCATTAATTCACATATTGTTGATAGATCATCCTTTTTTCCTATCACTAATGTGTTTGGATACGCTTATTTCATCTGATTGCTTTAACTCCTATATCTACAAAAGTTAGTCCTTACTATATTTGCAGTACATTCTTAGGCTATTCACTTAAAAGGGATATGGAGGGCTAGATGCTTGAACAAGGTAGAAATATGGCATCAAAGAAGTGAGTAATTTTGATGCTGAGTCAATCTCCTATCTTTATAGTGTCTCAACCTCTTACATCCTTATTTATAATCATTCTAGTCACGTTAAAGTGACATTTGATTTTGAGATGCAAGTTACTATTGAAGTTTGGATAATTTACAATTGTCCATGTTTCCTTATATGCAGGCTACTATCCAAAGCAAATTTCTTGGAGAAAGGAGCAACCTTTCTCTAAATAATCATTTCTAATATTTTTTGAAGTTGAAAGTCATGTTCTTACTTTTGTGGAAAGTATTTCTATTGATGAGCAAAGTTTGAATATTGATCTTGTAACCAAAACACCTACAATTTAATGGAACCTACTAAATTATATTAAGTTGGTGGTTGACATTTGAGTGTATATCAGATTTTTTTTTTGGATGTCTTTTTGCAATGAGACCATCCTGCATTAGCTGCAAAAGAGAATGTGCAAACCCATAGCATTGATTACTTGAAAATGTTTTCTCATGTTATTAAATTTGGATCCATGTAATTGGTGCTCTCTAGACTTCTCATTGTCTCAAGTCCTTTCATCTAAATGTACACAATAGTTTTCTTGTTAGTAACTTTAAATAAGGGGGTCTAAAATGCAGCTACCTTCAAGACTTGATCCGAGTAAGAGAGTTAACAAATTTCATAAAGCCAAAATATTTTTTACAATCTTAAGAAATTTCCATGAGCTTGATTTGATAGGTTCAAGCATGTTATGGGTGTAATGAGTCAATGATGGAATTGTGAATTTTTCAAATGAAGGACAACAAGTCTAGATGCAAAATTCTTAGTTCTCATGATCGACTACTAATTACTACGCATGATAAGGTGGACACTAGTAACATAGTGATGATGTAAAGGGTAAATAGTCTACCCAAGGTCTAATGCAAAAGCTAGATATAAAGTTGTGACTCAAGGGATGTGCGTTGGCTCTTGTTTTTCATGTGTATCCTTGGAACTTAGCCATAATTATATGTTCTCCTCAATGATTATTAAGATAATATTAATATTCTGAACAATTAAATATGCCTTGAACAAATGAAGTACATAGGAATTTATCTTGATTTCATATTAAAGAAGGGAAACTCAAAGAAAATGCACTTGCCTTCTTTCTAGTTAAAGATCAAGTTGTGGAGTTATTCACTAAGAGGTTGTCTATGACAAAGTTTTCTTCCTTTCATGGCTAGTTAATCAAATAGTGGATATGTCAGGGCACAATAGTCTTTTTGTCTGCAACTTTAATCTCCTCATATCCCTAAATATAACCTATAAGGCTGTGAAGTTGGGTAAAAGGTGTACCTCTTGAGAAGGAAGTCTCTTTCATTCCTTTTGCCATTAATGATACATTTTTATTTTTTTGAAAAAATATTTTCTTTTTATTCAGATACCATGCTTCCTTTTAATTTTATTTTTTCTTTGTTTTTACATATTTTAGATCCAGTTTTACTTAAATAAGACACATCAAACTAAATCTAGTCTAAGTTTTAGGGTCATGTATAAATACTTATATCAAACTATGATTAAGATGATTTTGCTCATTTTTTTCCAAAACTCTCTCTTTCTTAAGCATGATAGCCATATTCAAAGATCCAATCCTTCTTATTATAGAATGTTCTAACTACGTTATTTCTTTTCATTGTTGTCTGTAAGTCATATGTTGCTTGTAAGTCATATGTTACCAACTCAACTTTCCTCTTGGCATTTGGAGGCAAGAGAGCATGAGGAGCTGTCCTTGGAAGAAACATCTACATTATTGCTTCAGATTGAGCATTTCTCCTCTATATTGTCTCATTTTGTTATATTGAAGTTGTGAGCACAACTAAAGTTGTCTTGAAGAGAATAAATTGATGTCTAAAGTTTTTAAGATGATTCATATTCATCAAAGTTGTCTTTAAGTGAATAATATATCTAGTGATTAAATTGGATTGGAGAAACTTACTCAAATGGCGTGAGTTTCTTGAGGTCGTCTCGATAAGGAGACAAAAATTACATCATTTATTAGATCCAATGCTTGAAATAGCACCCCCTAAATTTAGAACATGGAAGGAAGAAGACATATAATAAAATATGATTGTGGAGTACTAAGTGGAGAGATTAATGTAAATTATTAATTTCTTCAAACATTGAAGAATATTTGAAAAACTTAGTAGAGTTTTAAAAAAAAACTATAATGAAACACAAATTTATTGAGCAATGGAGAATGCAATGACATTAGAATGGGCAGTATGCAAGTGATTTGAAATCTATATCGTGAGAAATTGATAATTACAAACCAATCAAAATAAATAATCAAGATGATGGAATTATGTTCTAGAAATACATAACGAAAGGTAAGATCTATAAATTTCTAATTAGTCTCAATTTGAAATCTGACTAAGTTTAAGTCAAAATCTTAGAACAAAGAGATTGCTAAACTTAGAAGAAATAATTGAAAGAATAAGTAATGATACAGGCAAAAGAAGTCATGTTAAAACCACAAAACAATAACAACTCAATGTTCGTGACTAAGCATAATGATAGTAAATGGCCACCACCACCACAATCTAGTTAGGGCATGAAGAAGGTTGGCTATAGAAATAACCTATGTTGTACTTATGGAAATAAAATATGCCACCATGTGAACATTATTATAAACTATATAAGAAACCTCAAATAAGTGGCCAAATACAACTTACAATGATGCAGCCACCTAAGATAGTCATAACACTAAACCCAAATAGAGCAACTAAGAAGGAGAAAGTTAAAACCTAGATTAAAAATTGAAATCGGCTGTCGCCTCAAGCTACTTGAATCATTTTATTGAGTTTTCTTCCTTAGTATTACAAGTCTCATGTAACTCTTTTTCAATCGTCTAGATCCTAAATTTAGTGTACACATCTCAATTTTTTTTAACATATAACCCATGTCTAAGGATTGAGAAAGTAGCCACAACCAAAAGGCTTAGTAATTGCCATAGCTAGCATTGAAAATATAGAAATTGAATGTCTAACAAGACTTTAAAATATTTTACAGATTCTAGACTCTCTATAAATCTTATATTATTAAAAAAATAATAGGTAACCTAAATTGTAATGTTGTCTTTCATAGTAACCTTTGTACTTTGTTTGAGAAGATAAAAAACAAGAAGATTGAAATTGTTGAGTGCTAAGAACTCTACTAATTAAGAATAGTAAGTCAAACCTATAGTATGGAGTTAGCCTCTTCATTAAGACTATTACCTTCTTCATCACCTAATTTTGAGAAATTCTGGTCATATCACCATTGCCTCAACTATCCCTCCTTAAGAATCATCAAAATTGTATTTCTTTTCCTATTTCATAAATTGAATATTGAAAACTTTACATGTTTGTGAACTTATGAAACACAAATGTGTTATGCATTTTTATTCAATTATAAATTAGAGGCTAAAATGATCTAACAATTATGCTAATTGATTAAGAACGAATGTGACCACTATTAAAAATTTAGGTTAGATAATACAAATGCCTATTTTAATCAAATGGTAAACTCAAATTTTTAGAATGAGTTGATAGTTCATGAATCCTCTTATGTTAGAACTTCATATAGGTACCTCTTAAAAATGAGTAGAGCACTCACATTTAAAAATCATATACTTTAAAAAGTTTAGGTAAAGTTTTCATTACACTTATGCACCTCACAAATCAGTTATTGACTAGACTATTAGAATTTTAATGTTCATTTGAATTCCTATTATTAGAATTTAATTCCTAGACTATTTAGGTGCACACTTTATATCCAAAACTAAGATTGAAATAAAGGAAAGTTTGATCAAAGGGGATTACAACATATTTTCATCTATTACTTCAGAACTAAGAAAGATTATAAATACTATCATCCCCCATTAAATGAAATTTATCTCAATTGATAATATTTTTAATGAAAAAAAATCTTACTTTGATATATATCATTTTAAAATAGAACATTAGGCTAATGATAATGATGATGAACATGAATTTAGATTCATCATACTCTTAATTTCATCTATAGTGCCTTCTACATCTTGAGGAGTTATCTTAGAAGAATAGATATTTGAAAAAGTGTATTCCAAAAAGTAGATAATGCTCAAATAAATAATAAAATATTTTTTCTACTAACAACAATCACAAAAATATATCTTCTCAGATATATGAAAGAGAAATACATACTTGTACTAATGTTAAGAAATTACATAATTCCCATAGGAAGGGAACTAAGGAGTGCACTTGAAGACTTTTTTATCTCCTCTCACAATTCTTGGCATATAAATAACCTTTATCCTCATATAGATTTTTTCTCATGTCCCTTAATGTTACCATTATCTGATCCATCATATCTAATGTATCATCTCAAGAGGAATGGAAATAAGTCATGAATGAAGAGATGAGGGCATTAGAAAATTAAAGTAAATAACCAATTAAAGTACCACAAGGAAAAAGAATAGTTGACTGCAATTAGATGTATACTTTAAATTATAAAGCCAATTACTCAATAAAAAGATACAAGGTCAAGTTGGTAGTTGAAGGATATGTTTGGCTTATGGAGTGAATTATTTATAGACATTTACTCCACTTGTAGAGATGAATACAATTTAAATTTTATTATCACCACAAGGAAAGTATGGTTATGACTTATAATAATTTGATATTAAAAATGTATTCATTCACATAGAACTAGATGAAGAGATATATATATATATACATATATATGTTCTATAATGATATGAGAAAACCTTAATTGTATATATTGTATACGATTAAAGAAGACATTATATGGAGCCAAAAAATCACCTAGAACCTAATTTGTTAAATTTACAATAGTTGTGTGAAATATAAGATATAAACTAAATAATAGAGATCACACATTATTTTTCAAATAATTAACTTTATGAGGGGTAACTACACTTTTAGTATATGTGAATGATATAATGGCAATAAAAAATAATAATAGTGGGAAAGAATACTTGAGTAATTGATTATTTAAAGAGCTTGATATTTAGGCATTTAAAAAGCTGAAATAATTCCTTGCTATTGAAATAACATACTCAAAATAGAGTATCTTCATATCACAACAAAAATATATCATAGATCTACTCAATGATCCATGAAATTAGGATATAAATCAATTACTCCTATTGACTCAAGTCATAAACTTGGCGTTATAAAGGAAAACAATCATTTTGGCAAACAAATGTATCAACAGGTAATAATAAGTAAACTAATTTATCTTTCTTACAATATACAAGATATAACATATTCAGTGGGGGTTCACAACCAATTCATACATAATTAAACAAAAGTTCATCTTCAAATTATTGATAATGTATTACAATATATGAAAGAGATACTTAGAAGAAATATTCTATTCAAGAAAAATAGAAGTATGAGTCTTGAAGCCTATATTAACACAGATTGTACAAGATCAATGATCAACTGACTATTGTATCCTTCTTGGTGACAATACTATTACTTGGTGTAGCAAGAAATGATAACTAGTAGATTATCAGAGATGTAATCTATTACTTGAAATACTCTATTGTATAACTAGTAGATTACCAAGAAATGATTATTACTTAAAATACTCTATTGTGTCCTCCTTGGTGGCAATATAATTTCATGCCAATCATGCCAGAAAAAAAATATTTAGAAAAAGTAGCTTATAAGATTTTCTCTGGTGCATCAAGATCCAACAGAGTATTGCCTACATTAAAACATCCACATTAAAAGCACCAAAAAGTTTAATAAATTTCAAAATTCAATATTTTTGTCTTACCTGATTATGAGATTTTCTCTCGTGCATCAGATCCAACAGAGTATTCCCAAACATTAAAACATCCACACAGAAACCAGCACACGTTTAATATTTGTATTACCTGATTCCTGCCGAGCCCAACTTGATAGCACTGCCGGGGAGCTTAAACATTTCTCTCTGGGGGAGTCCAAGAAGAAAAAGTCACACTCAGACATGCTAGTCGCACAGTTGTAAAGAAAACATCTAAAGTGCAACTAAAGAAGCACTGATACTTGCTGAGTTTAACTGCAGGCGCATAAATACAACCAAACTAGGATCACTTACAGTGATTACATGATGTTTGCAAACAAAGTACGTACAAGCATATGACTCTTATTTTTGTTTCCAATCAGGTATTCTGGTCGCCTAAATACACAATTTGTGGTAAAGCGCCACGCTTTATATACAGAGATGGAGGAAGTTGGATTAGTTTCAAGTACGGAGGGCAGACACAGTGGAGACCATGGAGTCGACCCCACAAACATTACGACCTCTGCAGATCTTGTAGTAGCCCTTCTCTCCCCAGCTTTCGCCCCATGAGTTCTTTATGATCCAGTATGGTTTCTCCTTCAGACGAATTGGTGCATACCCAGCCGAGCCATACCCCACAAGAAGCACACCATGGTCAAGGTGTCTTCCACAGATGTATGGGCACGAAACTCCCCCGATATATGTCTGCATAAAGACTGCATTGATACCAACTGCACGGAGATAGTAGAAAAAAAATTATATTTCAGCTATTTGATTGCCAAATTGTCAGCTATTTAATTAGCTAGTAGCACAGCACAGCAGGAACATCTTGTTAAGTGATTTAATTCATCCACAGGGAGATGCTAGATGAGTTGGCTAGACGAACGATCAGATTACCCTGGAGGGAAAATATTAAAGCATGCAAATCAGAGATTTGACCACCTACTTGCAAGAGGACCATTCTGAACGAGGTTGGCAGCGATCTGATCTTCATTAACAGAGACAACAGTGAAGTTAGATACTGATGCTGCAATCTTGTTCTTGTCAAAGTGGCAGGTGCCTCGATCTGTCCCTGTGTAAGGATAATCTTCCTCACGCTCCAGGCCACCCGATTTGATTAAGTAATCAAAAGCAGTAGTCATCAATCCACCGTTGCATCCCGCATCACAGGACTCAGGTTCAGACGCGTCACACTGCAAAATAAGTGTATAGTTCATAAATATAGAAAACAAAATCACACTTTTATGACAATCCCATAAATAATATAGGGCCTGCTCCCTGAGGAAGCTGGGATAAATTCAGGAAAAATTGAAGGGATATGGCAGAACAGGAATCCATAAATATCCATGGATTACGGATAACTCATAAAAGACAGACATGGGAATGGCACTCATCAGACGTATTATCACAACTTTCATGGATAGGTTCGAAGAAGTCTATTTGAAAGATATAAGCATATCAATACGTAGGTATTATCTATGTGTCATGTCCTAAACATATGACGCAAATGATCCAAAAAAATCCGATGTGGTAGGTGTACCCCAACAACCGTGTGGGCCAGGAGTCCCAAAAGCGGTAGATGGGACACGCTGTTCCCAGGAAAACACACAACAGGCCTAGTCTTCTGGGATAGAAAAACATACCTCGTGATCACAATCTACAAGCTGCTGCTCGCTGAGGCTCACTAGATTTCCCGTCGCCAGAAAATGGGCCCCTTCCAGAGCCCCCGCTGCGCTGAAAGACCAGCAAGATCCACAAGAGCCCTGCAATCCGGACGCCAAAGTAATGACCCATAGACACATAAGAGATAACCAGATACGATGGATCGAGATCGCCCTCTACCGACCTGATTCTTGACAGGGGTAACGGCGCCCTGATCCCTCCAATCGAAGTTCTGCGGAAGGTCGTTGGTGGGGAGGATAGGCGCCTCGTGCGTGCCACCGTTTCCCACCTTCGAGAACATGGTGGGCCTCCTGCGGTGGAGGCCGAGGTAGTTCCGCTCGAACTCCTCCGGTGTAAGATCGGAAAACTGAGTAACCCCATGGACGGCAGACGGATCCAGCAGCTGATGCCTCCGCGCCCGGCGCAGATTGGCCTTAAACACGGAGAACCGGTAGCTGTGCTCCGCTGGAGTGGCGTACGACTTCCCATACGTCTTCAGGAAGCTGGCGAAGTGCCCCTCCGCCCCCAGCACCGCCTCATCTTTCTTCGATGAGACGTCGGCGTCAGACACCACCTGCCGGATCAGAAGCTCGTCGTCGGCATCACTCCGGGGGATCGAGTAGCCATTTGCGATCAGCGATGCAGAGAAGAAGAAGATCAAGCAGATCGAGGACATGAGGCGATCCATAGATGGCCGACAGAAGGGCAGAGAGGATTGGGGAGAGAAAAGAGCGGCGATCGGATCCTTCTCTCTTCTTGCCCCCTTCTCTCGACCGTCCACCAGTCTTATCGTATGTATAAATAAGAGCGGGGTCCAGCGATGTAAGAGCCACTTGAGATTTTTCACGTGTCAACTTCCCGGAAAAAAATCTCACTCCCCTTTCATGGGAGCTTTACCGTATCGCCTTTATGTACGTGTCCCTCAGATAGTGTGCCACGATACCAGTTAAGGGTATTTTCGTCTAAAAAGGTTAGACGGCGTTATCCTTGTCGTCACGGCAGTAATCGCGAATCTGTTATCGCTCGGCTGTAATGACGTCAAGCATGTTGCTTACTCGCAAGTGACGGACTGGATTACGCAATCAGCTCCCCTCTATCTATCTCTCTCTAACTTTCTCCCTCTTCGTGGGCCCACCGCACCGCTCGCATGAGATGAGACGTGATGGATCCTCAGCGGTCCGATCGTTTCCAAGAAGATTGCGTCTATCCAGGGAAGTCTACGGCGTGACGTCTGCCGAGGGCATCCCTCCAAAGATTTCGGCTTTGTATTCTACCCAAAAAAGTGACGATATTTGAGCACAACCGCCGATATCTACCCCATTCGCAGCTCACAAGGGACCCACACCCCCACGCAGAGTCCTGTTCGTGGTTGAACCCTCGTATGGGACCTAGTGAGAAAAATCATGCGTACATGACGTCAGCGAGGTGACTAACAGCTGAAAGGGATAACATTTATTAATTAAAATGATGGAAATTAAGAGGGACAGGAGCGAGCGAGAGAGAGAGAGAGAGGAGCCTTTCTATTTAATAATTGGATTATCAAAAACATTTAAAAATAAGCAATTATTAGAGTAAGCATATTAAACTAAATATCTAACTTTTTTTGTATAATTCTAGCATGCTGTGCATATATAGAGGTAAGAGAGAGAGTTTTGGGATTCGAAATGGGCTTTTGGGCCAAATGGGCTTTTTAGCTTTGAACCAACTGTTGGTTCAACATTACTTGCCAGTTCATGTACACACTAATGAGAGAGAGAGAGAGAGAAATGGGTTTTCGGGTCGGGCCCGGCCCTTTAGCTGACCCATATTTGGGTTTTTCTCCGGTCTGAGCCGGCCCATTAACGAACTATGAGTATAGTCAGACCGGTCGCAAGGGAAGAATTGAGGAACCCTGGTGGCGGAGAGCTAGATATAGTAGGGTTTAACGCTGAATAGCGTGGGGTTTAGCCCGTCGAATTCAGAGAGGCAGAGAAGTCTCTCAAGGGCCAGACCCCGTCGCCACGAGAATGCGACAGTGAAGCCTGGTTGCCCGTCGAATTCAGAGAGGCAGGGAGAAGGTCTGTCGAGGATCAGCCCATCGCCGCGTCTTTCGGAGAGGGCGAATTTCGAACAGAAGATGGTTTTCCAAATGGAGTATGGCTCGTCTTACGTTTTTTTTTTCTTCGTTTTATTCCCCTTTTTCCTGGAACAGAAGAATTGTATAAAATGTTGTATCTGTGTTGTTCTTTGTCGTTAATTTTTTTCTGGCATGGTGATCGTTTGTCAGCGGGATTATTCCGCCGGAGTTGGGGAACGGGGCGAAGGTTACATTAAAATCTCTAGCCGCCCCCGTAAAGTCCCAAGTCGATAAATTCCAGCTTCTACCCGCCTTCTTGAAGGTCTGACGTCGACCGTTCCCCTTATTATTATTAATTTCTTAGAATCAGAGTGGCATTTCATTTTTTGTTACCATGTTGACTGTCTGATGATGGCCTTGTCTGCTGTTTGCAGGTGAGGGGCTTGGTCAAGCAGCACATAGACTCTTTCAATTACTTTGTCAACTCCGACATCAAGAAGATAATGAAAGCCAATGACCTTATCGTGTGTCCTTATGAACCCAGCTTGTATCTGAGGCAATATTTCAATGCTCCCCACAGAGGAAAAGTCAAAAAAATTTACAATGTTTTTCCTTATTGATTTTTATTTATTTTTACAGATATACCAATGTTTATATTGACGAGCCCTCTGTGGAAGTTGACTTTGTAAAGGAGAAACTCACACCCCATCAGTGCCGCCTCTCAGACCGCACGTAAGCCTAAAAACTATAATTTGAATGTCGATTTGTGCGTTTATAATAGTTTCATGCCTTTTATGCTCATTTACTTTTCGTAGTTGGCCCACATTAATGATATGACGTTTGTCAGTGGCCTGTGCAAATAGTTTACTCCGCAAAACAGTGATGTGATCCAAGTTGACTATAACTACTGATCTCGGTACTTTATCAGATCTAATCATGAAACCCTTCTTATATGTCTGGGCAATTTCAGAACGACCGGATGGGTAAGAAAAAAGAAGACCAATTCGAGTATGCTATCAATTTGAGGATGGAAATTACTTATTTGGAAAGCCAGTATCTGCCCTCGCAGACTGTTTGTATTGTTTTTCCAGTTTTGAAGGTCATCGGACCACATTCTTTGTGTTCTGCATATTTCTCGGAATATTTTTGTCTGTGGTTGGCCTTGTTACAAAGGACTGCAGATGGGATTCCAAGGACGACACAGTATTTCTCATCTAACATCTTGGTATTTCTAGGAATCATTACGTATGCCTAACCAGTGGTAACCTGTGCAGCTGTTCATACTGTCAAAAAAACTGCACATTGGTATATATAACGCAATCTGAATTATGCGTATAAGGCTAAATTGTTTACTCATCAATTGGCCAATAAGGATGCATTTAAAATTACTCCATTGTTATGATTTATTAATCTGAGCAAATAGCAACCTCCTGATTCGGATTTTGATATTTGATGCGTTTTGCTGTAGGTATTCTGCTCCAATTAAAGTTGATGTTGAATATACCATGGGCAATCAAGTTTCAAAGACGCTTGTACAAAAGGTTTCTTGAGTAATGAGTAGGAAACCTATGTAATTAGCTGAAAAAGTTTGGATTTCTTATTTTTATTGTTTCTCATTGCAGAAAGATGTTGTGATCGGTAGAATGCCAATCATGCTTCGGAGTTCCTGCTGTGTGTTAAATGGGAAGGATGAAGCTGAACTTGCAAGACTTGGTTCGTTGTTGTCTGATATCTTTTTAAAGTCCTATATCGTCAATTTTATTTCTTTTTCATCTTTCTGAGAAGGCTCAAACTTTTATTCTTTTATTGATCCCCACGAAAGAGTAGATTTATGGGCAGACTTGGAGCATGCTCTACTATGAGGTTTTAATAGTGCTGGCTTTGCTGACTGAAGACTATAGGTTTATGATTTAAAAAATTAAAGAAAATTTTCTGTTAAGAAATAATAATCGAAATTTATAGGTATTGTAGTTTCAAAAGACAACATTTTCGTAGAAAAAATGACGTGTACTTGATGCTTAATTTTGTGAAGATATATGCTGTCTATCTTTTTGTCATTGTTGACAGTGATCAACACCTTGATCATCTTCATCCCATTTAAATTACTTATTTAGGTCTTAGTGTCTTATTGTTTCCGTCATGCTGTTTGCCAATTGTTCTTCCACATGCTGCCATATTCACGTGTGATAACATTGCGATTATGTTATTGCTTTTGGAGCATACACTTTCTAAAGGAATATACTGAGAAGCAGGCCCGGTTTCTGCTGAAGGGATCAATTGTTTTCAATGTTTCCTCTCTTTCGATATAATGTAGTCATATTATGGGTTGATGAGAAATGTGAACTTGACCATGCAGCCAACTTTTTAATCCCCTGGAACTTGGGAGGGAGACTGTGTGACAGATGGACAGTGGCCCTAGAATTACCCGTTCAAGGCTTTGTTAGCTACTTCCTGATACTGATTTGTCTTAAAAAGCTTTCTAGAATCGCTAAGGTTTTTCTTGACCTTTTCAAAGGGCCTAGAAATTATGATCCAGTCGTTTTGCATGTGTACATACGATTTCCTTCTTCTCTTTGGTGAGGTCATACATTGTCTGAAGTGACTCTTTTGTGGGGAGGGTTGCTACATTAGGCTACAGTTGTCTTACACATGACCATTTGCGAGGATACATAGGGTTTATGAAAAATTTCTTACGGGAGGTATGGTTGTCTTCTCATGTTAATAAATATGCAAATATGATTGCTTTTTAAATTAGTCCTAAAATTTCCCTTTGAATTTATAAATCTTGTAACTTGTGATTTTTTTCATCTGATTCTTTGAGCAACTTTGACTCAAGGAGCTTTTTTTTTTAATTTCGCTATGGACATTCTATTTTTCTTCTTGTTGTTTTGTTGATATCTCTGCTGTTTCGTAGAAGTTAGATGCAGTTTATGTAGAATATCATCTAGGAGTTGAACTAATTTCTTGGCCTGTGATTTCTAGGCGAGTGCCCACTTGATCCTGGAGGCTACTTTATTGTGAAGGGAACTGAAAAGGTACCTTTAAACGTTTCCTATTGGAAATCGTTATTGCATTTATGCCAAAGTATTTTCTTTTTGCTGTTGGTATACTATGAATTTTATTTTTGCTGCTGGTACACTATAAGAGGCGCACTTAATCTCTATCCTCCAAATGTTAAATAAGAATTTCATGCCTATCAATGTTTGGAGTTCTACAATAACTGACATATCCTTATGAATACAAAAGTGCATATGTTGAGAGCGTGATGTGTTTGGAACATTGGACTGGTGACTTACTGCAGCATGATTAAGGTCGATGAAAATAGGTTTTTGAAGCTTAAAGCATGGGGAGAGGAGAAGCGGAAATAAAGGAAGCAAGATAATGGAGAGAAATATCATGGAGGCAATCTAGTCAGCAGGATGACTTATGATTTTGGTGGAACAGACATGTAACAGAGAATGTTGTGGTTTGTCCTTCATGGAAACTTTTGGGCTATTAAGAGTAAAAGAAATATACATATATCTTACTATCTTCAGAAGGGAAACTTTGCCAATAGATGTGCAGTTGACACAGTTAATGAATGGGTGAGACTTCGGTGTGATGATGAAGGATTGCAAATGTTATTTTGGCTTTTTGAAATTGTTAAAATGGCCTACCCTATGTTGGTTCAGTACCAAAACTGATGCAAGAGGGTTTTTTTAGTACATTCTTCTCTCTTTCGTTAGCTGTATGTAAAAAAGATTCAAAATTAATATCGGAGAATAAAAAAAGTGCCATATTGTCTTTTAGTTGAAGAAAATGATATTTCTGATCCATATCTATAACTATCAATATCTTTGGTACATTTACACATATATTGTGTAACGCTAATTAATAGGAGCCCATCCTAGTCCATATTTGACCTGGAACCGAAAATGGGCTCAGAGGTTTTGGGAACTGTTTGGATGCCTAAAAGCTTGATAAGTTAAGATAATTTAAAAGATATTTTGACATCTAAACAGAGTATGAACTTCTAATGTTCGGTGAAACATCAAATTACGAAAGTCCATGAGCCATTGTTTCAATCTATAAAGATATCTGTGTAACGTTTTGTCTTGACATTATCCCGAAAGCAAAAGTAACCATTGAGAGCTAACCATCATAACCTTTTAAGTTTTAAGATATAATCAGTCCCTTTTGTTCTCTTAGTTACCTGCTTTAGTTATCTAGTTCCTCATAAGATTGTCGTACTGAGGGATGATTTTTCTATTGGTTGTGTTATTTATCTTATCCACTGCATTAATTTTTTATTTATTCAGGTAGGAGCTCATAATGTTCTTATATTTCCTAGATTTTTCATTACAGCCTTCAACGATGATTTGCACCATGATCATTTTTTTCAATTTTGCTTTCTCTAGGTGATTCTGATACAGGAACAACTCTCAAAGAACCGTATAATTATTGACGCTGACAGTAAGGGACGGTATGCACTCTATTAGATGAATCTAGCTTTGTATTTATTTTGTAAAAAATGTTTTTTTTTTCATTGCCAGTTTTCAACTTGTTATTCTTTTTGGCATCAGGAGGAGTCTCCACTCCTTTAACCACCCAAAGTTGCTTCCTATTTTGGGGAAAACGTATTTAAATTGCCTAAATGTATGTGTCGGTTATGATTTCCTCCTTCATGATGTATCTAATTAGTTTGTAAACATTCTGGGCCAAATATCTTATGATCTTGATTGCAGCACAGGCAGATCCTGTCATTTTAGATGTGTTAGAAGCAGCATTGTTTCAATAGTTTCCATAGTTTCCATAGTTGTCATCTGTCCTTGTTCATATTATCACCTATTTCTCTCTCAGAGTTCGACAACAATTGAAGGATGCTTTTGATCCCAAGGTTGCTTCACTTTCGCAAAATGTGTTTTTATGAATCAATCTATTTTCTATCATTTTATGGGTAAAGTTTTGGATCTCCTGGTGCCACTTCAAATTCCACAGTATTTTAGAAATTAGATATTTGAGTGGCTTATTGGACCTTTCATGCTCAGAAAATTCGCTGATATTTCTAATATACACATTTTCTTTTTTCTGGCCTTGGTCATCCAAAAAAACTCTCAACTGTGGTTATTTTTCTGTCTTTTTGTGAGCTCTAAGATTGGGCAGAAATATAAGGTATAAGAACCAAGTAGAAATGGTGTTGTCACAGCACGCTTAATATTAGGTTGTCCCCGTGCATTTGGAAAAGATGGAGACATCATATGTTGACAAGACATAACAATGGTGTTGCCCAATGCATACAAAAGGTGTTCAAAACATACGTCATGTACAGTTACATTTATTGAGAACCACACCAATGCACACCTTCATTGAAGCCTCCCTCACTGTCGAGTTCTTGTACATTTTTTTTTTGAATTTACGATCATATCTTTTGACATCCAGGTCTAAACTGCTATACTGTTCCTGTGATTAGTGTAACAGCATCAGTTACCAGCAGCACTCATGAAACAAAAAGCAAGACAGTGTTCTTCATGGAGAAAGAGAAGATATACCTTCAGCTCAATCAGTTTAATAAGCCGGTGCTTACTAAAATCATTATATTTTGTCTCTTTATTTCTTTTATTTCTGGGTTAAGATAGAGTAGAACGGATATATAGAGCATGCATAATAAGCAACTTTCATTCTTAATCTGTTGATTTTCTTCCATTGCTTTCTCATCTCAAATTTATGAATTTTTTCTTTGTAATCTTTATTTCTGTAGCTGAACCTTCCCGAGATATCCAGTCAGTACTATCTCTGCCTCATTTGACCTACACTAGTTTTGTGCTTAATGAGAATTTGTTAGCAATCTCTTATCATTGTAGCATAAATCATTGCAGCATGGATAGTTTGATCTCTATCGATTACAACAAGATTCTAATGTTTTTTGTTTGGTACTGAAATCCAGTCAGACCAATCAGCGATTTCTGATCTTAATGAGGTTAACCATATTTCCAAAGTGCAATTGGTCACGAAATCATTTTTTCCCTTTTTCTTTGACATGTTTGTCAGGTGATTATACGTCACATGTTCATCTTTGAGCTTCTTGGCATGTATAGTGTAGAATGAATATAGTAAACATTTATAAAAAACAAGAAGATCAATATTCTTAGATTTGCATTTGGCCTTTAAGACTTAGTGATGAGCATCGAATAACACAGGTTTCTTTACAGAAATGAAAAAGATGTTCAATTCCTTCTAAGATATGATATACATAAAACATAATAAAGCAAATATCATCCATAAATGAGTGATAAAATCATATTTTAAAAAAGGTAGAACATATGATTTTAATTTATGTTGAAGTGATGTGCCATGGCTACCTATCTTTGATTCCTTTTTATCTACTTCTACTGTTTATGTTCCTCTTCTCCTTTTCTTCTGCCTAAAACCACTAAAAGGTACTCTTTTGTGTTTCTGTGCATGTACTAGGGATGGTTCCTCCTGTTCGCTAAATTTTTTATTCTTATGATCTTTATACATAGACGAAGAAAGCATTTTACAAATGTCTTGCACGTATAAATTTTCTTTTTTGTTTTCGCGTCATTTTTCTGCATGTTGTCTATTGTGATTTTTTTTTTCTCATCACTTTGTTGTAGATTCCCGTCATGGTTGTTATGAAGGCTATGGGAATGGAGAGTGATCAAGAAATTGTACAAATGGTTGGTAGAGATCCACGATATAGCTCACTGCTCCTTCCATCCTTGCAGGTAACTGGATCATTTATGATTCTCTTCAGTCTCGTTGTTCAATGTTACTTATGAGATGAGTTTTCATTGGTTAACCTTTTTCTATTGCTCACTACATTTATGAATTTGTATTGTTATTTCTATATATCACATTTTGATTTTTAATATTTAGTTTGAATTAAACTAATCCTTTTAGTGGTGATATTTCCATTTTTATTTGGTGATAAGTGGGATTTTATTCTGTTTTTGATCCGGGATGAAAGAGCGACATCTGTTGATATTTCCGTTGGTGTAAGATCTGGAGGTCTGACACTTGTATTTATGTTTTAAGCGGCCGCACCACTTATGAATATCTGTATTGTTGTTTTGGGCAACCAGGTTACTTGTTTTATGCATATCTCTTTACCCAGACAGTTGTTTTCATTTTCAAGAACCAGGTTCCCCTCCGTTGCATTGAAAGTGTGGAATTACCTCTTTTTACTGGTATGACACTCGGGTTACAATTTGGTTGCTTGAGGATAGCTTGATGTGAGTAGTTGTAATTTCATTGGGAATTTGGGCTGGAATGAGAGCAGTGATGATCTGTTTAAGGAAAAGGGGCCAATGTATGGCTGAACCACATACGAACTTGGTTCATTATTTTCAATGAGGATCCGAAATTGTCAGATAGGAATTGAGTGGGTAAACCCCTTTTTCCAGTGTGATATTATCAATGGTTATTTTCCAATTTTATGATGTCCTCGTCTTTAGTTAGTACCAAATCAGTAATCTTCATGTCTTAATGAAAAAGTATTGTGGTTAATCCTTGTTTTGAATTATGCTCGAGGAGTTGTTGATTTACTGATTGGTGATGCCTCAATTATGCAAACTAGCAATGATTGATTGAGACTCTCCCGACCACTAGATGATATACTTATCATGCTGGCCCACAATCTGCACATGAAAGCGGTTGCCTGATAACCTAATCCCTATTTTATGTACTTTCTATGATAGTGATAATATTCCTTATTTCTGAGCCACTCGTTTTGCATATTAAGGAATGTGCTGGTGCAAGGATATACACCCAGAAGCAGGCCTTGGATTTCCTGGAGGCAAAGGTATCGCCATCCTTTTTTCTCAATTTTTTTTATTTCCAAGAATTTATAAAGAAAATTTGAAGAGATTCGCATCCTAGTTAAATCGAAACTAGTTAATTTTGGCACCTGATAATTCAATGTGACATTGCCGTTTTTTTTTAACTTCATATTGATCTAGCATCGTGTTACTTGAAACAGAGGCGCTATCCAAAATTTACCATGTATTTGTGGTCCCATGCTTTTTGCCGGTCAAACATGGTGCTTTGATGGTTTAAAATTTCATTCATCATTGTGTTTGTGTTCGATTTTTAATTGTCTGTTAGAGAACGGTTCAAATGAGAGAGAAAATTTTCTGTATCTGACAGAGAAGAACAGTCATTTATTTCTCATCATCAGACTCAGAATTATCTCTACCTGAGGCTCGATAAGGGCCTAAAAAATTATGGTAAATATGGGGTGAAAAAAATGGTAGTTGAACAAAGAGCAGAAGGTTGGGACTGGTAATTCTTATCTGTCTATTCATATAACGTGTAGGTCACAATGGTACATGGTGATCTATGTCCACAGAGTCATAATCCAGCAACTTAGTGGTACATGGTGATCTATGTCCACAGAGTCATAATCCAGCAACTTAGTGGGGGCATGAAGACGTACAGATCGAACAACAGTAGAGAACATGCAAATTTGATTCGGTTGTCTTGGTGGAAGCCCAAACTTCAGAGTATCATTCAAGTCCTCACATCTGTAACTATTTGGGTGGGATTTGGAAACTTTAAAGTTGAAATATTTTGGTTCTCCCATTTTATATTGCTGCATCACTAGTGGTAGAAACATTGAAAATCTAATTACTCTGTGATTTTTATTATTTAATGGGGCCAAGGATTCTTGACTTCCAAAGATAGTGTGTTAAGCTGCAGGACATTTGGCTGATGACTTGACTAATTGTCTAATTCCTTGTCAGCGAAGTGTGCCCTGGTCCTAGAGTGGTGATAGCTGTCTATTGATTCAAGAAGTTGAAAATCGGCTTGTAATATATACAAACCCAAATTCCTATATCTTGGGAATTCTCTAAAATACTAAAACTCAGCTCTATTTTATTCAACAGGTCACAAGTTTTCAAATCATTTCTTCAAAGCCTCGTGTTATCTCTATGAATGTTCAAAATCACCACTTACAGAGATGGACATTGTTGTACATCAAATGCTACTACTATTTAACTTACTGTTAGTAATTGTTGCAAGTCATACAAAATTCGTGTTTAGTTATTGGATTTTGCATCACCATAGCAATGACCATTGGTGTTTAAGGACTGCATTCCAAATTAGTTTTAATACTGGTTCTCGATTTTTTTATCCAGGTGGGCAATCCCAACGCACAAAATGCTGTGAAGAAGAAGGTTGCTCTCTTCACCTTCTCCATTGTATATGTTTGCATTTATGATGGAAAAAGTATTGCCTTTCCTATGATCTCATTGTTCTGTTCTTTTCTTTTTAATATAGGGAGACAGGGCAAAAAGTATACTTTTTGATGTATTTCTTGCTCATGTGCCGGTAATTCTTTTCTTTAAACTTTTGATCATTCTTTTGAGATATTTTCTATTGTTAACAATGCTTCACTTCAATGTAGATCACCAAGGACAATTTTCGCCCAAAGTGTATATATACTGCTGTAATGCTGAGGCGAATGATGGATGCTATCCTGAATGCAGACACATTCGATGACAGGGTAGATTTAGCTTCTCTATTTTCTATTTTGTCCTCTTGCTATTATAGTCATAGTTACTCTCTTATTCATATCTTCATCGGGATAATGTATAATTTTCTTGCATTTCATTTATTTATTCTTTTTCGGTTTGCCAATTGCCATGTTGGAGTCTCACTGATAACAATGTTTGAAAGTTGCATTGATCGTGGGAATTTCAATTCTTAATTTTTTAGCCCACCTTGTGGACATGAGGTTTCCAGTGGATGGTGATGATGAATAATATTTTTTCGATGTCATCCACTTGAATACTCGGTCAAGAGTGGTGTTTTACTTAGTATCCCTGATTTTCACATGTTCAAGCTAATTTCCTTTTGTGTGGATCTCTTGTATTTTCGTTTGGTATGGGATAAATCGTTGCATGTTTTTTTATCTGTGATTGCTGATGAACGTGTTTTCAATGAACAAGGGACAATGGACATGCACATAAGACATCTACGCGCTGTGTTAAAGTAGAACGTCAGTTACTGGAAACTTTGTTGGAACTTGAAAAAAAAGCTGCCCTTTGTGCAATTCATTGCTTACAAAAAGAAATGTGGGCATTCATATGGCATGTTTATTGCCCTAATACCATACAAAGAAGGGGCTATCCATGATTCAAAATTCAGAGCTGTAGATTTGGTGGATTTTGGTATACAATAATCACCAGTGTGTTGACTAATGGTTTCGCATGATTCATTGAAAAGTTAGTTGACAAGAATCAATGTGTATTGGTATCTTCACACTTTACAATTAGAATGTATGGCATAATAAGTATAAATTATCATAATAGAACACTGTTCCTAGCTGCCTAAACATGATTGGCTTAATGCCAGCTCATGTGGTTCACCGGTTCCACCGACGTCCAACCAGAAACAAGCATTTCCTCTGTGACGGGGATTGCGTTACACAATCGATTTCTGCTGGAGGAAGGCGGAATCTTTCAAAAACTTATTCTGTTCGGTTTGACCATGTAGATGATATTGATCTTTAAAATACCAAGATATTTCAGGAAAAAATTGAAGACTTGGGAACTAATTTTGGGATGGGGTAAACAGAGATAAATTTTCGCCTCCTGTTGGATACAATATACAGATCATTTGTTAAGATGGATATTTTCAGCTCACACTTGTTGCTAACTGCCTTTGGGAGATAGAGAGTGATTATTTTTGGGTTGAAATTGTTAGATAAACATATTTCACAATTAGGAATTAATAGCTTTGGAGTGTCTCCAATTTCGGGAGGAAATGTCTAGATAACAAAACTCCTAGTAGTATCTGCTGATATTCAGATGTGTGATAGAAAATTGAAGTTTTGGGCGGATACTTGCATAGATATGTTCTTAAATTTCTTCTACTTAATGCACATTGGGATAAAAATACAAACTTTCACGAAATTTAGACAAAACAGGATAAAAACTGATGGGGATCGACATTTTTACAAGGAATCCTTTTGATGGTGAAATTATTGAACACGTTATGCCCTTTTAAATGTTTTGGGGCACTAAAGTAAAAATATCAAGAAGATATCAGAAAATTGAGATAGAATTCAAAATGAACTTCAATATTTCTTCTTTTGTAGAAGCTTAAAATTTGGTGCATGTACAGCTTGGCGGTTCAAGACATTTCAACAGGCCTAATTTCCGAAGCGAGTGAATTTCTTTCAAGAGAGTGAGAGAGGTTGTCTGAGCTAAATGCTTTAGAAAATTGTTGACAGGGTTAGAGTTCAGCATCCTGGCAAGTTGGGTTGCATTGGATTCCAACTTGGGTGGAGCTTTCTTCACCTATTGGGTTGTGCTTAACTGGATGGAAACTAACATCTGGAATTCCACTTCACTAGAATGTATCTATTAGGTCTTGATTGAGTTGTCACATTCACGTACTCCATTTACTGTTTTATTGCCAGTACATGTTTCTGTTATGGTCAGTAAATGAAGTTGTGAAGTTACGAATGGAGACGTGGATCTGTTGGTTTGAGACATGGTACATCAAGGACATATTAGGAAAGGTGGGATGATCGGATGGCCCTTCTTCATAGTGGTTTTGTTTGGGTTTCTCATCTTTAACCTGTGCGGAAGCAAGTTCACTAATGATGTCACACAGCTTGTGAGGATGGTGATGCCACAGTTGGTGCCATCGGGAATTGGGTAGGACATCAAAGCTGGACGTTCCAATGGCTGCTTTTTAATTTAAGCATGATAGTGCCAATCATCTGAGATTCGGAGACAATTTTTGGCTATCTCTTCCATGACTCATTCCGAGGACAGATCTCTTAATTTCAATGAGGGAATGGTCCACCAAAAAATGTAAAATAAAATCATGTGAGTGGTTCTCATCTCTGATGAAGGGCCTGAAGGAGCAGATCCATTTTGAAAAGTTCCAACTGGTAGGAAAAGTGGACGATGAAAAACATTTGTGTGAAGGAAAGGCATTAGTCATCGACTTACGCCAAAGATCAGGGCAGTAGTCACTATGAAGGTTTAGGGTGTAAACTCTACAATCTCAAAGTTTACTTGTGTTGTGTTTCGCACTTTTTTCAGATATATTTGGGAGGAAGGCGTTTTCTTTTCTCTTTTCTTCTTTTCTGGGCTTCCAGAACATTAACCTTGTTACCTTTCCCTTTCCTTTTTAAAATGAATTGTATAGATATAAAATTGTTTTGTTATGCTATGTGACAGAATTACTTCTAGAAGAGAGAATGAAACTGAAACAAAAGTGAGAGCATAGTATGTGCTGATCGCGACATTTATTTAGACGATCTGTTAAAAAAAATGTGTCTCAGAATTTTAAGGAGCTATAATGCAAATCGGTTGATATAAATCTTCGCATTACTTAAATTCTCCTCTTCCAGCACATTTAATGAAGAAAGAGGATTTTGGAACATTCAGCTACAGAAGATCATGAACATCTTTGTCACTGGAAGAAATGTTGGACATGACACATTGCTTTGTTGCAAATTTAATAAATCAACCGTTAGAAAGACGTTTCTTTCTTTAATTGTGATATTTTGATGCTGATTTCATGTTTTACATCGTAGGGCATATATTTTACTTGACATGGTAAAAATTATGTCATGATATATGCTGATTTCACTTGAGATGATTTTATTGTCAGGATTATGTGGGTAACAAACGTCTGGAGTTGTCAGGGCAGTTAGTATCATTGCTTTTCGAGGTAATAGTTCATACATGCATTTCTGTCTACTATCTGAGTTATCTCAAAGTACGAATAATTCGAATTTTTCTTTCAGGACTTATTTAAGTCAACAAATTATGCTGCTGTGGAGTCTATGAACAAAGTCTATAACAAGACATCTCGTTCAAGTCCATTGGATTTTTTGCGTGTAAGTAGTGCTCTAATAAGTTTTCCTTGATATTTTCACGTTCACCTCAATGTCTTAGGTTTTTACTGTTAAATATAGTGAATTGAGAGAAATAAAAGACATGAATAGAGTCAAGGGTCTGATACAATCCTATATACACCAGTGCAACTATCTGGTGAACATATGAATTTTTTGATTGCTATTGGTGTTAATCTGGTGCTAGCTTTCTATGATTAATACAGATGATCTCTGAACAATGAGCCAAAAATAAGACAACGGGGATCATGTCCCACAAAATGCGCTGATAAGAGATTGAGTTCCAAACTCTTGTGTAGAATAACTGTATTTTGTCATTGAATTGAGGCTACTGCATTTACTTTGCTTGGTGATTTCCTTAACAACATTTCCAAAATGGAATCAGTGTGGTTCTGCCTTCAGCCTCTTGAGGGATGTTGTATAGTTGCTATTCCAGTTCTCTCATCCAAGTATGGGAACCACATATTTGTTAATTTAATGTCGTTTCTTGATTTAATGTACTTCAGCCCTCTGCTCTGCTATTTCGGTATAGTTTTTGATGTTATACTTGCTTTCTAATTAACTTTTCCAATGCGGGAAAAACGTATGTTCGTTCCCTTCGTTTATAATTTTCAACATGGTAAGCATATGGAATCTGTCGTAGGACTTAGCGTTTAGAACCAGATAATTGGGTATCTGGATCCGCGGACTGATCTGAAATTCATTCATGAAGGTAATTTTTCATGAGGATGTTAGATAGTGTAGCCAACTGATTTATGCTATAGTCCGGCATTTACATTAAGTTCCAAGTAGTAGCTTTATTTTAGCAGATCTTGTGGGCGATGCTAGCCTGATGAAACAGTAAATCTCTACTGGCTCCATGCGAGAGAGTTTCTAATCTGCACATAGTCCGTCTTCAAGGGGCTGGACTGTGCAAAGATTTCTCTCTTTCATCCTTCTCCTTTTTCGAAATTCTTAATAGGTAATGTTATTCTATGATATGAATACACTACTTTGAGAGCTGTGTTGTCAAGGCAACAAAATGGTTAATTATTGATATTTTCATACACATTATCTGCATGTAATTTTCTTCCCTGTCTTTAGCATTTCTCTCTAATAAATTTCTGCCATGTTTTTCGTCAATAATTTTTAACCAGCCTTGTTTCTTTACCTTGTAAAGCTAAAGTTTTATTTTTGTGGGCTTTCGTAGTTTATTAGAAACGATTTGATAACAAACGGGTTAGAGAAAGCCATTTCTACTGGTAACTGGGATTTGAAGCGTTTCAAGATGCACAGGAAAGGAGTTTCACAGGTTGTAGTTTGTCTCTTTTCTATTTCTCTTTAATGTTATTTAGTTGAAAATAGAAAATTCCTATAAAAGTGTTGTCCCATCCAGGTTCTTTCCCGACTTTCATATATTGCTTCTTTGGGCCACATGACAAGGATCTCGCCACAGTTTGAAAAAACTAGAAAGGTCAGTGGACCAAGGGCATTGCAACCAAGCCAGGTGATTTCACTTAACCATTAGCGTTGTTATTGCCTTTGTTTTCTCTAAATTTGAAACATTTGAACTTTTTCGGGTGTGATACTTGGTTTCTTTTTTCCCCCCTTTCTTTAAACAGTGGGGAATGCTTTGCCCGTGTGACACTCCTGAAGGTGAAGCTTGTGGATTAACCAAGAATCTTGCATTGATGACCCATGTCACAACTGATGAAGAAGAGGGCCCATTAATTTCTCTGGTTTGTTTCTTGCTCCTAAACATGCGTTTCTGCCTATCTATCAGAATTCAACGTTGTCCATCCCAGAGAGCGCATTCTCTTTGTGTCATGGTAGCATGTAATGATTCGATGTGTCTTTCATCATGGCAATTTTTTTTCATGTGAATCAAAAAACATGTTTCTTTTACTTTTGTCACACATTTTTCCCTAGGAGTTTGGATATTGTGTGTCGAATGCCTTATGCGATTTGATTTAAACTGATGTTTTCTTCCCTTATTGGGTTTTCTTTGCTTCGACTATTTGGTATGAAGTTGGAGTAAATTTATTGTCTTGGTTATGCTGTACTTTAAGTCGTTATTTTTTTAATTTTCTCCAAGAGTTGTTAATCTGCACTTATTAGTTCCATCAAGGTAAATTGGTTTTGGGCTTCTTGGTATCAGTAATTTATGTAATACTAAATTTGTCTCAATTATTGGCGTTGAAGTAGGTGTATAAATAGATGACCTAGATAATAGTCAAAAGGTACACCTTTAGAGAAGGAAAGGGCAAGGATCATGCAAGAAAAAGATACAATGATGGAATCCGAAGATCATTTTGAAAAATACAAATTCCCATGCATGAAGCTGAGAAATATAAATCTGACGTGATGGAATCTGAGTGGGTTCCTCTACAGTCACATTCTTCTTTTTTTTCGTCCGTTCATGGTTCATCTTTCTATCTTAATATCTTGTAACTTTCCTTCATATCAGACAAATTGAGTTCACTGGTGGTTCCTCACGGCTGTAAAGTTTTACGGTCATCAGAGATACAACCTCCCTTTCAATACATTTAAATTTCCATTCTTTTTTTTTTCTCATGTCTTGTCTCATTGATCTTCGGAATCTTATCACCTTATGTACAACAACAATAATGAAGAATAATTATTTTCACATTTCTGTTTATGTCACCCTTTTGATCCAGGAAGTTAAAGAAGAAATTTACTCGGAAATTATATTTTGCTTTTCTCATGTTAAAACTTTTTAGGGTTCTATAACCGAATGATCCAATTGGATTCCTCCAAAAAGTTCCTGTGTAAGCAAACTATAACATGCTGTGACAACTGGTTTGATGCCTTTCATTATGGAGGAAATTGGGTAAAGGAGAGCATACATGAGATCGACTTGAAACGTGGACTTATGAGGCATATAGAAATGTGGTTGACATCCTAATATGGCCTTGTTCATGGCATTTTCTCGTTCAATCAATCATATCTTATTTTTAGTGTGCACTCTTTTTGGGGACATAGAACGCATGGCATTCCTGGTTGGGACTCTCTGATGTTTGTGCTTATGCATAAACGCATGCATGTTTCGAATTATAGCCAAAGAGTAACAAGGGTTGGGCGCAGAAAAAAATCACAAATTTATAGGCTAATTTCTTATGCAACCTCTGGGGTATTCAAGGAGAGAAGTATGAGTTTTTTTAAAAGAGAAAGTTCCTCACCCTATGGACGGTTTATTTGGGTGTGTGACAGGATGACAGTGTGTTGGGATTTTTTACTTTTGGTTACAATAACGATGGTGATGAATATGTTATTTCATTTTATTGGTTTTCTATTATTTCCGTGTGGGTTTTTTTTTCCTTTCGAACTCATCCTCCTCTCTTTTTATCATTTAATGATATCTGGGTAAAAAAAAAAAAAAAATTTATTGCAGATTATCTTCTCTTTATAATTATGCTTGTTTGACACTGTTGGTGTGATGCCTTGTTGATATCTCGTGTAGTGCTATAGTCTTGGAGTGGAGGACTTAGCCTTGTTATCAGGAGAAGAGCTGCATGCATCAAACTCATTTTTGGTTATTTTTAATGGCCTGATTCTTGGAAAGCACAGGCTGCCACAGGTGTGCATTTTTTTTCTCGGAAAGAGTTTACTGGGCTGACCTACTTGTGCATTAGTTTCTTTGCTTCATTAGCTTCTACTTTTCAGCATTTTGCTAATGCCATGCGAAAGCTAAGGAGGTCTGGGAAAATTGGAGAATTCGTCAGTATCTTTGTGAATGAAAAGCAGGTGAGATCAATTCATAGCTTTATAAATTGATTTTCTCTGCTAAATTTTTGGTAGTACAGTCCGAGAATGTCTTTACTCATTCATCATTTCATCCATGCTCTTTTATCGCGTGTTATTTTGGTAAATCATGTCCCCTTCGTATGGAGGTGCACGACGATGCTATAATCAGCCCTCTCAATAGAGGACATCTCATCCCATATTCAAAGGATATATGAACGTATGGATTACCTGGAGTGTTTTCATTGAAAATCTCAGAAAGTCATCTATAGTTGACTGCCAGTCCCCAAATATCTACTAGTGAGGAATCATTGGATTTTGGGTTACATCAGTGTGAAACATTCTCTCCAACACTAGATAGTGTGTGATGTTCGGCTGTTTTTTATTTTTAAGGATCCCAAACTTCTATGCTTCTGGCAATGAGGTGACGTCTATTTTATGTATTTATAGACGTTCAACTAGACCAGACTTGTAATTGGGCCTCTAGACTCCTTCTCTCTGCCATATCATTAGGAATATTTAGGTTTCTTAGTGGCCCATTAAACCGCTTTTCCTAGCCTCTCTTATGGGATTGGTGGGGCTCTCAGCCTACTAACAAAAACACCCTGTCCATAGTTTTTGGAATCTGCAAATTTGGATGTATGATTGCACCTTATATTTTCGTAAACTAATTACTTAAAGGTATCAAGCATCTTAAGAGACAGATGCCAAAACTTATCTAATGCCTGTGCCGATGTTCAACTAGAGCTACACCGAAAAAGTCAATGTGCAACACCGTGATCATATGGGTGAGCATGACGTCTGCTAACCTCCATGGAAGGAGAGAAGAGAGGGAAGTAGAAGGCTGAGGGATGATGGATCAATCAGGAATTAGAGTAAAGAAGGGCAAGGAGAAATGATAGAGAACTGAAGAACAAGTAGGACAGCCTATGAATGGCTCCCCTATCCTCATATCTATTTTCTACATTGCCTCTTTTACTGCAGCGTTCACAAATAAATTGGATGATCAATAGCTTGTTCTGGTTATGTTATACATTTTCACGAGACAATAAGCCCAGAACTGAGCTGGTTAGTTTAAATGCTTTCAGAAATATTTTGCTAATAGTGTTGTACGACATCATTGGCTGAATGTCATTTGTATCATTTCATTCTGGAGTATTACCTTTGTTGTATTACATACAGCAAGATACACTCGCATCATTTATGATAAAAACTTTTTGTAAAATGACATTACATTTTCAGCAGCATTAGAACTTTATGAGCTAGCGCTTCACTTCCCTCCTTATTGGGTCAACTAGTGCTAATATTTTGGAGTATTTGGCAGCGTTGTGTTTATGTTGCTTCTGATGGTGGTCGAGTGTGCCGACCACTTGTGATTGCTGATAAAGGGGTCTCAAGGGTGAAGGAACATCACATGAAAGAGTTGCAGGTTTGTATGATATAAAATATTTACAGTCGTTTTGGAAAATGAAGTCTGCTTTTCTTTAATGACGTTCCTAATCTCAGGATGGAGTGCGAACTTTTGATGATTTCTTGCACGAGGGACTAATTGAATATTTGGATGTCAATGAGGAAAACAATGCGTTGGTTAGTTGATGGACATAAATGCTTTTCCTACCCTCTTGTATAAGCACCTTGATGTTTTCTTCTCGTTTTCCACAAATTAGGTTTATTTTGCGTTTTTTGGTAATAGATCGCATTGTATGAGGGAGATGCTGAACCTGAAACAACACACATTGAGATAGAGCCTTTTACAATTTTAGGCGTATGTGCTGGATTAATTCCTTATCCGCATCATAATCAGTCACCGCGAAATACATATCAGGTTTTGCCATCTTTTACCGAATAAAACTTGTCATTATTATTAACATTATTTTTACTATTTTTAATCTTTACTATTTTCTGTAGTGTGCTATGGGGAAACAGGCAATGGGCAATATTGCCTATAATCAGGCAAGTGCTCTTCTGGGTTTATTCAGTTCTCTATCGTATGCGAAACAACTAGTTGAAGTGATAAAATCTGATTGTTTCATTTCTGGAGTTTTTGGCAATTTCCTGATATATAGTTTTCGAAATGTATTATGTGGCTGGTTTCATTAGAGCATGGTTCTTATTGCATTGTATAGATACCCAGGTTTCTGTTCCAGACTGTAGATTGGGAAACAGAGCAGAGATTGGTTAACCTTCCCATGCCCATGATGTCGAGATGCCGTGAATGTCGGGTAGAACTGCTGGATGGAAACGCAGGCCCTAAACCCAAGACTAGAGGTCCTCTAAAACCATCTTAGAGAGAGAAAGTAAATAGCATAATAAATTTAGACGGACCTCTCCGTCTCTTATACGAAAGAGAGGAGACAACTATGCAAGGATACAGCAAAAGCTTATTCAAACGGGATGTTTTCACAATTCTATAAAGTAAGAAATTTTTAATAAACGATATTCAGTGAGTCTTCAATGGGGATTGAATATTCATCGATATTCATTGAAGAAATACCCTTTGCAAAGTATATAATGACGATTTTTTATGAATGAATTCATTTACTAATGCCCTGACACCTGATCCCTCAATCTCATTCCCATTTCTTTTGGGAGGGAGCACATGGAGAGCATGTCAGTAATACGTTACCTGCAGCTGCAGTAGCGAACAGCCTGATTTTCATGTGAGTCTATTGTTCTTCGTTTTACAAGAGGCTGGCCTTTCATAAACAGTCAGCCCAACTAATTGTGCTACGAGACCAGATCATATCACATTCCTTGTCTCTTGCCGCTATAATATATCTGGACCATTTAACGGCTCATTAGAAGAAAAAAAGGTTCAGGGTGGGATTAGAGACTCTGCTTCTGGACCATTTGTTGTTTATGAGCCCTTTTTTCTTACTATTTTGCCTCATCTATGGCCATCTGCTGCAGGAAAGGGAAATTTAATAAATCTGTTTTCATCAATATTGGTCACTAAATTTCGTTTGTGTTTCACTTCTTATCGTGGGTGCTATTCTTTCAGCCATTTAAGAAAGAAATAATTTGGTTTTTGGGAAATAACTACTCAACAAAGAAACGATCACTCAATTTTGAGATAGAACAAGGCATGGGTGAAGAGTTTTTTATGGTTTGGAGGGAGAACACTATTTGAGTTTGGGAAGATTTGCGCTAGTTGTTCTCTCAGTGTATATTAGTAATTTGTTTACAAAAGGATTTTTCAGTCCATATGAATCCAGTATTTCCTCTTTTTTCTCGTTGAGTTATATTTTACTGACAGCTCATTTTGAAAAAGATGGATTGCAGCACATTATTGAGTGATGTATCCATAGTTATGACCGGTTGCTTAGTATTTTTTAGTTCGGGATGCCATGTTTCACAAACAGCTGGTAGACTTTCGTGCACTGGCTTCACTTTAAGCCGGATTGGTTTTAGCATCTAAATTGGGCCTTACTTGTCACAGACATTTTAGTCTCTTTTTTCTTACTTGCGATTTGTTTTATCTCGTTTTTGTTATGGGCAATGATCTCTAGCTTCAGAGTGCTTTTAACTTTTATTGCAGATAGAACTCATTGTCATTGTTTTTGGCAGTGGAAACGAATGGATACATTGCTTTACCTGCTTGTATATCCTCAGCGTCCTCTTCTGACTACCAAGTCAATTGAGCTGGTTTGTAATCGTAATTTTGTTCTATGGACTTTGACTCACTGTCAACTGGCTTGAGATTTTTCTGGTGCAATTCAGGTTGGCTTTGATAAGCTTGGTGCTGGACAGAATGCAACTGTCGCTGTGATGAGCTACAGTGGCTATGATATTGAAGATGCAATCGTAATGAATAAATCATCTCTGGATCGTGGATTTGGCCGTTGTATAGTACTGAAGAAGTAATTTATCTAACTTTGACTGTTCTTATTGTCATGTCTTTCTGTTGTTTTATAGAATGTTACCAGATTTTTTATTTTTGTGAAATAGGTATTCTGTTGTTATGGAACCATACGACACAATAGTCAAACCTCAAATGGTTTCTTCTAAAAGTGGATATGTCGTGGACTCAAAAATGCAGGTATCAAGGGTTTTGTGGCTTGTATTGACCTAGCATTTTCTTTCTAGTTCGTGTATTGTAAAATAAACACATTCCTTAGCTTGTTAAATCCAAATCGTATATTGCCAATATTATTGTGCAAATTCAACAGGTTTCTCTACAGTACAGTCTAGTAACAAGGGTAATTTAGCTGTCTGTACACTTGTGACTCGTGTCTGTACCTTAATTTTTCCTGGTTTTATATTTTTCTCATCTCCTCTTGCCTAGCTTACCTTATTATTATTCTCATCCTTTTGTAACTTGATCGTACATTACTTTTCTGAAACTAGATTTTCTTTTGGTGTCAATTGTCTTTAGCTGGCTACTTTTACGTGAGGATTCTGGAAAATATGGTTTATGTGGCAAGATGGCATAGACTTGTCTATTTTGTTTTTCAGTTCCGATCTGCTCAGTCCACTTTGTGAAATCGTTGCTAGTTTTGTGTTCCTATTTTCCACTTGTTTCTCAGCTAGAAACTTCTACATTAGGAATCTTGGCATGTTTTGGTTTTACTTCTACATTAGGCTTGACTATTTTGTTTTTACTTGCCGATAACCAGTGGGACTGAAGTGCTCTGTATCTCGGGTAATACTTAGATAAAAGAATAGATCCATAATTGGTTTTCCTCCGTGATGTAAATCTAGACGTTGGTCAACTAACTTATTCATTCACATTTTTTCAACATGAATTTTGTTGTTGTTATCTTGCAAAGGAATCCACTTAGCATAAGTCGTTTTCTATTTCTTGCAGCATTGAAATTTGGGGTGTAGTCTTGAAAGCCATATTTTTCTATTGTTACCCTAACAATTTCTCTAATTATTTTAACTGATTGTAGAATTTTTTTTTGTTCAGATATTGGATGCGGATGGAATTGCAGCCCCTGGTGAAATAATTCGGAATCATGACCTTTTTGTCAATAAACATAGCCCTAAAATTATTAGGGACCAAACTAAGCCTGGAGATTTACGGGCAACGTATGTTTCCAACATTTTTTATTTGTTTTAAATATGCCCAGTAACCTAATCTTGTAATAAGTCGCTCTTTTATAATTTATAGTGATTATAAGCCGACACCTGTGACATACAAAGGTCCAGAGGGTGAAACAACTGTTGTTGATCGTGTGGTACTTACAACAGATGTGAATAACAAACTATGCATTAAGTTTCTTGTTCGCCATACTCGTAGACCTGAGGTAAGTATTGTGTTTTTCTAACCCGTCATATCTTAGCATTTGAGTTGTATTTGTGTTTCATATTTCCTCATGTATGTAGGTAGGAGACAAGTTTAGCAGCAGACATGGGCAAAAGGGGGTCTGTGGTACTATAGTTCAGCAGGAGGATTTCCCCTTTTCTGAACGTGGAATATGCCCTGACTTAATAATGAATCCTCATGGATATCCAAGGTAAATTACAAAGATGTGCCCTCGTTGAGTATGATAGCATTGTAGATATAAGGTTAAGTTGATAGTAGTTATTCATATTACATTAAACTGTCTTCCATACATTGTGGGTAGCAAATATATGGGAATTGTTTTAATTAAGAAGCGACTTTCAAGTTGTCATCCGTCTACTTGGAAGTTCCTGTCACTTGCTTTCTTCCATCTGCCAAGGACTGCAGTCTCCATAGTTTTGTAACCCATGAGCACACTGTTCCAAATTCTTCTGAAATTTTCATCTCTTTTGGGGGGGTAGAAGGAAAGCCTTTGCCATAAAGCAGAAGCAAAAAACACGTTGTAGCAGATACACAAATGTGGCAAACAACACACACCGTGATGTTGTTACCTTAATGGCCAAATAATATTAGACATGTAGCTCAAGCAAAGATGTTTTCTGAATGCACGCTTGATCGTCTGTTTATGTAGTCTTTTGTCGCATAACTTTGCTTGTTGTTTTCATGGGATAGTTGTTTCATTTTTTTTTTCATTTTGTCAAACTTAAATATTGAAAGTTTTTTTTGTTATTTTTGCACCATATACGTTTTTTTGTGTATTTACGGCAATTTTAACGAGACTTTTAAGCTGTGGTGAGATGCAGTTGTTTACCCATTATTTGTTGAGTTGACCATAAACTGAAGCTCTCTTTTTATTTTTTAATTAATAGTCGAATGACAATTGGAAAGATGATTGAGCTTCTTGGTGGCAAAGCGGGGGTATCAAATGGAAAATTCCATTACGGTAGTGCGTTTGGGGAGCCAAGTGGCCATGCCGATCGAGTTGAAGCCATAAGGTAATTACGTGTTTACAATTTTTCATTGACTGCATCTTGCGCTTACCCTTTCTTGGTATCTGTCAGTGAAACTCTTGTGAAGCATGGATTTAGTTACAGCGGGAAGGATTTCATTTATTCAGGTATTCTAGAGGATTTAAATATAATAATTTGCATGCTCTTAAGATTCCTTTGTACATCATTTCTGTCCTACCTTAATACGGTTCCAACAATCCCAAACCCAACTGAAATCTGAATTTACATGTAGCCGCTTTTATCTTTCTGTTTCTGGGGTCTTACCAGTGGTAGATTTAGTATCTTCTGCTTGAGTTATTACATCATATGATATGGAAGAAAACTCCATGAAGTGAAGATACATAAGAATTGACTTAGAAGAATATATTCATCAAATGGATATTTTATGTGAAAATATCATACATCATCAAGAGTGCATTTCAACATTCATTTTAATTGAGAATTATAATGAAGAGCTGATTTTTTATGTTTTACGGGGGGTTGTTAGGGGAGAGAGGTTAGGGTTCAGATGCTGTTCTACATGGCTGCGAACAAAATGACTTCCTTGTCCCCTTTTAGTGATGACCACACCGAAAACAATCTGACTCAACCTGCATTGATTCGAACCACAACATGAATGGGTAGTGATTGAGTTGGCTCTGCAAATCAACCAAATCACCAGCTGGAAACTTTCTGGTCAGATTTTGCTTAACCGTCCGAGTTTAGAGATTTTCGTTTCATCAAGCCTCTGTGAAACGATGTTTTATTTTGCATCAATCTTCACGTTTGTTGGATTTTTCATTTCTGATGATGCAAGCGTTATGCCATGCCCATTATCAACTTCTCCAACTTTTCTGTTATTTGATTTGCAGGCATTACTGGATATCCTCTCCAAGCATATATTTTTATGGGACCAATCTACTATCAAAAGTTGAAACACATGGTAATGTCTTTGTTGGTACTGATGAAGAAATTTACACGAGAAAAACAAATCTTCCCTGTATCAATATGAGATAACCTTAATGGATTTTGATTGTATACTCTGTTTTCGATAATGTGAAAAGTTGAACATGCTGAAAACTTGGACAACCGTGCAGAATTGTTTTATTATTTTCCACAAAACTGGTTTATTGAGCGGTTTTGATTAGGCCATTTTCATGGTGATAGATTGCGATTTTTTTTGCGGTGGCATCAATGTTATGCGATCATAATGTTAAATTTTCGCGTATTATTTTACGGGAAGATTTTTTGTCCACAAGAATAATCATATCCTCATCATGAATTGTTGACTTGTTATTTCATTTGTGTACATGTTTTTCGTAGTAGTTTAGGGAACATTACAAAATTATAAATTACAGAAGTAAAATAAAAATGTCCCCACTAGAATAATGTGCATGATGGGCTTCTATTTGTAGGTAACAGATTTATAATCATATTACAGGATGATCGTCTGCTTGAAAAGGCTTGGGGTTTGTAAAGTATCAGTCTTTAACCAAAATTTATTTACAAAGACAGAAATGTATATAATGCATTTGGACACAAAGGTCTAGTAGTTGTGTCATGTGATTCAATCATCCCTAGGTGTATCAATCTTGTTTTCACTGATTCTATTGTTACTGAAGTTCTTCACATTTGAAACCAGATTTCCTGTGGCAGATAGTATTTTAAATCGTTTTCTGTAATGCCCATTTTCCTTCTCATTCTATGCCTCAAGGCACAACGGAGTGATCTGTATGATGAAAAATGGTGTAATCAAAATGATTTCAGTACTTATGTTTTGATGGCACCATCAATTGTGTCATAAGTTTAGCGATTCAGAGTCAAGTATTATTTTCAAGTAGCTGTGGCCAGTTAAATTAATCTGGTGATATATATATATATATATATATATATGTATATATATATATATAGTAGGCTTGCTGTGGAAGTAATGAGAATTGCTGTGTAAGAATTCAATCGTAGACAGTTTTTATCTGAGCATTCTCATTGTTTATTGTCCTTACATTTATAGCCATGACTCCACCCTTCTCATAAACATGTAATTAGAAATGTACCAGTTAACATTCTGTTTATGCTTTCTTGCCAGAATAATAACATAATAACCAGCCTACTCATTGCTTAAAGGAGAAAACTCATCTCTAACATCATTTTAACATCTACTTGATGGCATTATTTCCTCCATCTCATAAGGTGCTGGATAAGATGCATGCTCGAGCTAGAGGGCCACGTGTAACATTAACAAGACAACCAACTGAAGGAAGAAGTCGTGATGGGGGTAAAAATGAATTTAGTTTTCCTTCCTGAGAGTTCTTTTTAACATATTAAGGAGTGTCAACTTTTTCCATATTAAGGATTCCTGTTTATTTTCCTGTTATTAGGGCTACGTCTTGGAGAAATGGAACGAGACTGTTTGATTGCTTATGGGGCAAGTATGCTGATTTATGAGCGGTTGATGTTGTCTAGTGATCCATATCAAGTTCAGGTATGACATTCTTTCTATCTGATCACTCATAATCATTATTATTGACGATATATTACCAAACTATAGAGACAAATCAATCATCTCAGATATTCTTCTTTATTTTTGTGAGCAGAATGTCTTTAAAGACATAGTAGTCTGCTTATTCTCCAGTAGATGCTCAGTTCAAAAGAATGTATTTATAGGAGGTCAGGTAGTTTCACTCTCAGTGGTATTCTCTATGCTGCCCCTTGTTATCCATAATGGCGACTTAACAATGATGAAGATTATATGGGTAAAATTTCGGATGAATTTCATTGGGGAAACAGGTTGTTAGGTACGTGTTTTACTTCGATTCCTATTTCGAGAGAGTAAAAAGCTAACATCTTTGTAAAAGTTGCTTGATTGGGCAGACTCTCAAACAACGTTCTCTGTGTTTCATTGAGGACTTCGTGTAGCAGATGTTTTAATCCTGTATGGAATGGAACTCTTGTAGTGAAACACATTAATCACCGAGGCCACAGGTACAATGTGTGGGATTAGTTGTAACATCTTAATGTGGCTGCACTAAGTCAAGAATGGGGGGTGAATTATCTTTTCTTCACGTTCTTGGTTTTTAGTATTGTAGGGATTCTGCTAAAAGCTTGGACACCACGATTTTATAGTGATTCGGTCCTCCCAACGTGCTTCACAATCTAGGGAACACGCCTTTGGGTTCCACTTATCCCCTAGTGCTGTACACACTGATTTACAGGCTCAGCCACCTTCTGGATTTCACAGCTCCAGCTGACACGAGATTTCCCGCAAAATCTCATTCTAGAATCATAGTTCTAGATGGTCAAATTCAGAGAAGCTCCTCACTTCTCTCCTAGATAACAGGCCCTGGACGGCCACACAGTAAGCTCAGAAAGAATTTAGAACGAATGCAATGATATTACCAAGCTTCCTCACACTTAGTGAAGTCTTCTTCTTCGAGCTTAATGGTGTGGGAGCTTGATTGTCGAGGCCTGCTGGTTGCTCAGGGCCTTGGAGTTGAATTCTTCTCTAGATGTAATAGAGCTGGATTGATTTTTCTTCTCGTTGTAGCGGTTCTCCTTCCTTCACTTGAGCTTGTGAGTTTTTTCTTCCTCTAAGCGGTTGCTATGTTCTCACCCTTCTCGCTTTTTTCTTGCTTCCCAGCAGCTTTTATACATGCTGCCAGGCTTATTGGGCCAGAAGTGGTTCTTTCACAACAGACAAATAGAAATGGCATGGCATAACGGATAGATCCGTCTGCCCATTTTCCCGCCTCTTTAAACTGGATCTTCTTATCATATCCGTGCTGTCTAACGGACATATTCATCTGTCTGTTTACTCATGTGATTCCATTTACCCTGATGTTGCTGGATTCGTGGCATAACTGCTTCTTTGTTGATGCAATGGATACTCCGCTTGCAGTCAAGCTCACGTTCCAATCCATTCGGCTTTATCCACAAAGCATTTAATTTACTCTGGTTTCCTTTGATCACTAGATCCGGACCCGTATTAAGATGGTTCCAACACAAAGGTAGACCCTAATTATTAACAGTTCAAGGCCTGATAACCTGACTAAGTACGGTCATATATACAGCCGTCCAATGCTTCGATCTAACTCCCTTTTACTCACGCCCAACGTTTGATCTGATAATTCTGTTTATTTCCATTTGAATCAGACCTGCTAATGTCTCTATCTCCATTAATGTTCTCAAGTCAAATGTGCAAATTTATCCACAGCACAGACGTCTTAATCTCCACATTGTTTTAGTCATCATCAAAATCCATGAGGCTCCAGAACCCAACATTATTTGTATGGTGAAATCCCACTATATCTGTTTTCTCTCACCGGAAAATCTATCTTTTGGCAAATGCATTGTAAAAGTATGGCTTGGAATTCTTCAGGAGAAAGGTTTCTTAGTGTTTCTGTTGATACAACTATAAGCTATAAGAGTACAAGAGGAATAACGCTACTTTCCTTGCTTTTAGTTCGGTATGATTGCGGGAAAAATACCTTTCATGATGTCTATATTAAAGTTATTGGACTGAAATGAATACAGAATTTGTATTTGAGTAAAACCTGATGGCCCTGGCACCTCTGATTCATTCTACACCAATTCGCCCCAAGTCAGTTGGGCTGCATAACCATCACTTTCTGAGCTAAGTACAATGGCCAGTGGAGGCAAAGGATCCAAGTGTAGTGTCGTGTTGATTGCCAGAAAGAAGGGTGGAGAAGTTGCTTTTCTGTAGCACAGAACGTTTTAATTCCGTTGGTGTCATGATGGGAACTTCGTCCAGCTTCAGCTTAGTCAACGTCTTCGTGAAGATCAAAGTTTCCAAGTCAGATTCTTCATGAATTGGCTTGGTTTAGTCCTGAATAGGCTCGTCTTGCAGGCAACTCATGTTGACTCACGTGAATCGCTATTATCTAGCCAGCTGTGTTGGTTAAATGCATTAATTCGATCAAAAGAAGATAATTTTATGCTGAAAGATACACGTATAAATATACCTTTTAAAAAAATAAACTTGGTTTTTTCTTGATATTTATTTCTGTGAATAACAGCGTAAATTGTTTTCTGCTACTTTGCTATAATATTTGCATTGGTCTCGCTGTGCAGATGAATAACATTGCATATTCCCGGATAAAAGTCTGATAATTTTCTGATCTCACAGGTTTGCAGGACATGTGGGCTTCTGGGCTACTACAACCATAAGCTCAAGACTGCTGTCTGTTCAACGTGCAAGAATGGAGACAGTATTTCTACTCTGAAGTTACCATATGCTTGCAAATTGCTATTTCAGGTTAGTACATGCTCAAATAAATGGTACATTTCCTCCTCATGCCATTCAATTCTCATGCCGGTATACAAACTTGCACCATTATCTTTTAAAATTATTTATATTCTGTAGTCATCCCAACATCTTGGATTTCAGAAGGTCGATTAAACTAGGAACTCTGAATTGGATTGGCTGAAATCCGTGGAAGGAACTCGAATTGAAATCTGTAAAAACCGAATAAACATTCAAGTACAATTTTAATGAACACTCATGTATGGTATATACTCAATACACAATCGTAAGTTTGGACTTTCTCTTAAAAGACCCTCCCCTTCATTTTTCTGGTCTTCTGCGTGGCAGCCATGAGGTTAGACGCTGCACCCTCATTCTTTTCATTTTCTTTTTACTGTTTCTCTCTATCTTCTTCTTGTACGAAATTCCATTGGGATTGGAGATCTTTAGTTGACATTTCATAAAAAATAGACCTTTAAACCGTTTACTCCAGCAGTTAACGTTGAGTAATACCTCTAAATGGATGCTTTGGACTTTTCATATTCAGTGGTCCAAGATTACTAACTCTGGTTATGGCCATCACTAACCTCTCCCTCATGTTTTCTTGACCCATTCCCTCTCCACCTCCAGGAGCTGCAGTCGATGAACGTTGTGCCTCGGCTAAAGCTGACTGAAGCATAATCGGAGCGGGTTCTGCATGTTTATCTCTGGAAATGTGAAGACCTTTGGCAGCATATATGGTTTTATTTGCCACATACATAGAAGATAGCGAAGAGGCCGTTTATTGCATTCTGTGTATTTATTGTATTATTATATAGAAGGATACATTGTCCAGGATATAATCATTTTTGTATTATATAGAAGGATACATTGACCATGGTTAGTTTGTGTTCTGTGAAGTTCTTCCTGTGCACCTCCCTCCTCTCACCCACCATTTCTATGCCTTGTTCTTGCTATTTTTGCTCATTTTTCATGGTTTCATGTAATATTTGGGCTCAACCCATATGATATTGGTGGATCATGCTTGTGTGTTTCTTGTGAGAATAATTCTGTGATCACTTGTGTGTTACTTACTATCAACGGTTTTCCATATGGATTAGAAAGAGAGCCTTTTCACTCAGGCTTGCCCTTTTCGGAGTTATAAGGTGGAAGGAGAAAAGGGGGGCTATATATGCTGTAGAGCATTGATGGAATGGAGCAAGCTTGGAGACTTGGGTTTCTTCATATTTCTAATTCAAGGCGGTTCTTGAAGGTGGGGATCTTCTCTCTCTCTCTCTCTCTCTCTCTCTCTCTCTCTCTCTCTCTCGCTCTCAATGCATAAGCTATGTATGGGCTTCAGAATTTCAACAAGTGTGGTTCATAACAGGATTATTTCCAAGCTCCTTGCAAATCTCAAAGACCATTAAGAGCTCTCTCTCTCTCTCTCTCTCTCTCTCTCTCTCTCTCTCTCTCGCTCGCTCTCAATGCATACATAAGCTATGTATGGGCTGGATAATTTCAAGAGTGTTGCCCATAACAGGATTATTAAAGAATTATTGTGATAAGTTGCACAAGTAATAGAGTATTGGATGAGAATATAATGTGGATTAAATCTTTATTGGACCCGGCTTGGAGTTTTTATGTGGCCCATTAGAGCCATTAATTTTTCTTTTTTTTTTAAGTTAAGAAAGAGAAGAGAAAACATGTTGTCCGAGTGAATCGGTAGGATTCGAACCGGACCCGGTCGACTTCCCCACCGGCTCACTCGCCCAGAAGAGTAACCTGGTCCGTCTCTCGCCGCGACTGGTCTCCTTCCCCCACCTTCCTCTGCGGAGTTGATTGTGGGAAGGATTCGAGAACAGGCTGCGCCGTGCCTGGGGGCAGAAGGCAGGATGAGGAAGCGAGACCTGGGGATTCTCCTTCTGTGCGCGTTCGCCATCTTCTTCTCTCTCCAGGTATGCCCATTGTTCTGTCGTGGATTCTTTCTTGCGGTTCCGCTGCACCGGAATCCGCTTGTCTAGTAGTGGGGGAGTTGTCGGAAGGTAGGTAAATCTGAAGTGAAGTCCGTGTTTTGCCGAGATATTTGGTGCCTTCAGAATTCCCTTCGTGATTTTTTTCTCTGTTAGCCCTGAACTTGTGAAGGCTTTCGATCGGTGAATTTCTGGGAAGTACTTTTTTCGGGGGGAATTTCTCATTCCGTGTGCTTGGTGATATCCGTCACAGTGTTCACCACGTTTTTCGAAAACAGTTTTTTTTTGGCATAATTCTGGACTGTCGCGTGCTGTTTAATCATAGCATGACATCTCTTCTCTGTTTAAGGCATCTTTCAAAGGAGAACTCGATTCCATACTATCGTCATCCATGCATGTTCCATGTGCCATTTTCTGACCGTTCTGATCTTGATGTCTGTTTTCTCGCACATCAGACTCGAAAATTTCCTTCACGAGTAGACTGCGTGTTTAACGGTGTGAGACGCTTTCTGCTGCATATTTGCCTTTTTTCTTTTTGTAACTTCAGTATTTCTTAGCCGATTAGTCCAATGAATCCGTGTACTCATCAATTTTCTTTCACTTTTCCCCTCCCAGCATGAAGGTGATTTTTCCTTTAAAGAGGCTTGGTTCCACCTCTCTGATGAGTACCCAATCAAATATGAAGCGGATCGTCTTCCTCCACCTATTATAGCTGATTTAAACGGCGATGGGAAGAGTGAAGTTCTGGTTGCAACTCATGATGCTAAAATTCAGGTATTATTTTGGATGTAAAGATAATCGTCTGGTCTAGTTTGCTTAGAGGAACTGCGTCTTGTGTCAAAATCAATTACAGTAGATATCGCTGTATTTTATTACCATGATTCTTTTGACGTGAGTTTATTGCTTCTCAAGTTACGTTTGCTGGCAAGTTACCCATTGGATTTCCATGGATATCCTTCTATAAGTTCCTTGTTTTTTTTCCCTAATGCTACCGGCACATCAAAGTTTGTAAGAAAACGGAAATCTGATACGGCCATAGTGGAGTGTTATTTGAGAAGTTACACTTCCGCCTTGTTCAACAGTAGATTTTTTCTGATCTTTGATTAAATTTATTCGTGCTATTGTCAAGTTGATGTCTTTTCAAGCTCTCCTCTTATTGGATAAATTTCATAGGTTTTGGAACCTCACACCCGACGTATTGATGAAGGCTTCAGTGAAGCACGTGTGTTGGGAGAGGTGTCTCTGCTGCCTGATAAAGTTCGCGTTTCATTTGGGAGGCGTCCTGTTGCTATGAGTGTGGGTGTAGTTGATCGTTCTTATAAAGATGGTGAAGTAAAAAAACAGGTCCTGGTTGTTGTTACATCAGGCTGGTCAGTTATGTGTTTCGATCACAATCTTAAAAAGCTGTGGGAACATGATTTGCAGGTATTCTCAGATTTTTATTTCATTTATTAATTGTCAACTATACCGCGCTCTCTAATATGTGGTAGAAGGGATCTCTTTGCTGAAAATAGGCTGTGATGCTGCTTCAATTTAGCTTTTCTTGCGTTTTGAATTTTAATAATTGTCTTGACTGTACCTTTCTTTGTCCTTTCCAGGAAGATTTTCCTCATGGTACTCACCATAGAGAGATAGCGATTTCAATTAGCAACTATACACTAAAGCATGGAGATGCAGGCTTGGTTATCGTTGGGGGAAGAATGGAAGTGATGCAACATTATGTATGTAACTTTCTTGTATAAAATTATTGTTTTAAGTTATTTCATTTGGCGGTCATTGTCCAACCTTAGATGTTTATCTGTTGACGTAGAACATACATAAATTTATATATAAAGGAAATGGTAAGATAGCTAATCTTACCATTTCGGGCGTATATATAAAGGAAGTTTAATTATCTTTTAATTTAGAACATAATGTTTAGTATTTTCAGTGATTGTAAATTCAAGCCATTGCTTAGGGGATCGTATAACACCATTCTCTTTTTGTTTGAATTTTTCTGCATAATAAGGGGTATTAATTTGGTAAAGTGTTTCAGATGTCTGCTGATGCATTCGAGGAAACACTCATGGGCAGAGCAGACAAAGATGCTGAGCATCACCGACGAAGTGCGAATGAAAAAGAGGTGAATAGTTGTATTTCATTTTTTCTTTGTCATATCATGGGTGAAAGTATTCTGAGCCAATTGGATCTGCTGGTTGATAGTTACATCAGCAACTCCATATAATTATGTTGTCTGTTGAATTCACCGGGAATTTGTCCTCTGGATTTTCCTAAAGCAAGAAGTGTAACCATGTGTCGTTGCTATCAGTTTAAGTGGTTATTTCTATTATCTTATTTTTCTGTGGGATCTTCATATTTATAGTTTCTAGCTGTCATACTCAATTACCATCTTACAAATTTTGTCCTTTCCCTCCATTGTTTACTTAATGTTTCATACGTGAGGACTATATTGAGATACAGGTTCTCTGTTATGCACCCATCTTTTGACTTGTTTGCAATCTTGATTAGCAATCCTATCCGATATTAATATATATATATATATATATATATATATATCTGATCTCTCTTGAAATTGAGAAAAAAAATGAAGAACAAAATGTTAACCAAGAGCTTGTTGCCGCAATAAGGATAAAGAAAAGGGAGGTTGATTCTTCTCCAGAACTGGCTATTGTATATCAGAATCTCACATGTGATCTGATTTCAGGAGGTAAACCTAGCTTCCCTTGAAAATGACAGTTAAAAGAAGAGAAGAGAAAAGAAAAGGAAAAGATCAGCTATTAACTGACCTTTTTTTTGTCCCATGTGGGATTAGACGTTTAGCTACTGTTGGTGGAAAAGAAGGAAAAACAACTCCGGCACCTATTTCCAGACAACGGGAAACAAAAATGAAAGAAACATTTGCCTATATCTTCAGTAGACACATCCTGCCACCATCCCCAACCATGGGTTTGTTATAAGCGTTACTTTTTATCAAAAGTATTTATGAACCTTCACAGAAGAAAAATAATGTTAAATGTACTTTTTGTAATATACTATCCTTCCATTTTCTGACTCAAATCAGTCTTTTCCTCGTAGACGAGTGAGTTTGGCTTATCTTACTCCCAACAAGGCCGACTTGTCAAAGGCTGATTTCTACATGTGATTCCATTTTTAAAAGCTTCAACAGCGAAGGATTGCCTTTGAAGAACATTTTTTGATGGTTCAATGTAGCCTGGTGTTACGGGATCATAATTTTGTAAGAGTTTTGAATGAGAAAAAAAAGATGAACCAAACTTGGTTGTAGGTGAGGAGGAAAGATTTGATATAAATCCAGCATAATATTTGCCTGAATCCTGGAATATAATTAACGTCTCCCACCCCAAGAAGCTAGCATTGCGCAAGATAAAGTTGAATAGGCATTTTTGGTCTCTTTGGTTGTGTTGTGTTCATAATGATTGTATAAAGTCCAAATCGGTCAATGAGGTGCTGTTCCGTTGAAGAAAAATGAAAATTAACCATAGGTACAACATCAACTATAATGCATTAACCTTTTTTGCATGTCCATTTTGACCTTCTGTAGAAAATTTGAGATTTTCAAACATGTCTGGTTGAACTTGTGTTGATTATACTATCGTATGACTCTTTAGAGTGATGCTCATATACTATACTTTTCACCTTCATCTATTTTCTTTTAAGATATGAAAATTAAGGTTGCTTCATCAATGCTGGAAGTAGAAAGTAATCATAGATTTCTTTTGCTCTGAAATGTTGTCCGCCTAAAGCAGTCTTCTAATTTGATACACAATATTAGTCCAACGCTATGTTTTTCTGAGGCTTGAAATCTGATTCACCTGTAAGCTTCAAAAGAGTACATACTAGCTGGAATTGGGGTATTTATCCCAACCTGCCAACTAACATTTAGACAAAATGGGCAAGGGGATGGTTGCCAGTAGTTATGAAATCTTCCTAGTTTACTTGATCAATTGGATCGTTAAATATGCCTCTAGATTGATAATTGATGAGCTCATCTTAATATACTATCATATGTTCATTTTCTTTAGTTGATTGATACCCTGATATTTGACCCAATTTTTTGGTTTCTAAATGAAAAACTTTTTCTTTACAAAAAGTAATTTCTCTCCAGTACTTTGATAATGACCTAATAGCCTCCATGATGATGCTTAAGGCGACTAATGATATGATTGAAAAGTATATTCAGGCCACATTAGATGTAAATATCTGTTTGCCAACAAGTGGTTTCGGAAAACAGTTTTATCTTCAACCCAACTTGTACTATGTTATTTCCTTGAGCTCTGTGACCCCCATTGCTTTAGCCATTATATTTTGGGTAGTAATTATGTATGCCATGGTTTTTCTTCCTGAATGTCTCGCTGGGCTAGCAAACAATGTTAAGATGTGGAAAAATATTACCCTTGACGACACCTAAAAGAAACTTTCCGTTATTCAAGTTAGTTTCTGTCTCTAACGTGAGGCCCTATTGGAAGATAGCTTGCACTTTGACTGGTCACACAAATTAATCATCTACAAAGCCCCACAAAATTATGCTAGAAATTTGTATTACATTTTTTCTAGTATTTCCCTTTTCTTTCCTGATCTTTCATTCAATTAATTACTAAAGTACTCCAATGCTTACAGGCAAACGGAAGCTCTGATGTCCTCGATCAACGCCATTTTGCATTGTATGCTTTTGCTGGTCGAAGCGGCACTCAACGTTGGAGTAGAAAAAATGAGGTACCCTGCATTATTGGCCATTTTGATGGAGATTATATTGTGTTTGATGGATTTTGGGATCATGATAACTTGTACAAACTAAAAGCACGGTTTTAGGGGTTTCAGATAATTTTTCAGCCAATTTTTTTGCTTGTTTTCCTATGTGTGAACATGATCAGGTAAACCCATTTTTTGATAAGGAATTTTTCCCTATTTCAATGAGGTCTAGGTAAAAATCACAAAATGAACTACCCAAGTTGGAAAGTTCAGAAGAATACTCAACAAATATGCTTACCTATATTCCTTGTCGATGTCAGAATCATGCCAATGAATTCTAATATTGGTTCAAATTGGCCACTACTTGATCAATACACCAGCTAAAATGTTTGGTCTGGTTTACAATGTGTAGCGTACAGGTTGATTTTAATTTTTTTAACTTACCGCATTCTCATTGCTACTAATACTTGGAATTTCATTATTGATGAACTTAAATTCGTGTATGTACAATGTGAGCTTCATCGCCTATTATTGTTTGTTAAAAAAAGTAAGTAGCTGAGAATAAGATGTCAGCAACTAGTATGATTGAATGGAACGTCATTTCAAGGAAAATTCTTTGTTCACTAGTTTCAAGACTTGGTTTTGCACAACCGAAATTGTTTGTTGATGAATCATTTGATTTTCCTTATTTGGGTGAAATTACAGAATGTTCACACCCAGCAATCAGATCAGTCACTGTTGATTCCCCAGCATAACTATAAGCTTGATGCTCAGGCATTAAATACTAGGCATCCTGGGGAGGTATGTAGCTAATCTTTTTTCTGAATCTGTAAGTTTTGTGCTTAGCTGTCTAGTCATCATTATGCTTATATGATTTGGTTTGAATATTTTTGCTGTATTTTTAATTTTAATTTAAGACAAGACTAGGTACGAAAGCATTTAGCACGATACCCTGTGGTTTCAAAGAATGCGAGTCATGAGATGATATGAGTGCTCTAACTGTATATGGGTCAAAGCACAATTTTTCCTGTTAGGCAGCACTATGTTGTATGGATATTCGTTTCCTGATATAGGTAGCGCATCCAAAACAGTCAAAAGGAAAGAAACTTCTCGAAAGATGCTAAAAATATACATTTTCTCTTTGAACATAGGATGGAAAAAATTAAAGATAAATCGTTTTAAAGGTGACTCCACAAAAGGGCGCAATTGACACCTGCCTAAGGTCAGACTTTGACTATAATATTCCCTATGGGAGTGTCTTTTATGCATTCAATACTGTCATGGAAACTTTCACTCGACTATCTTCTTCGATAACATTTAATTATATGACTGCCATCTTCTCTGAACAACTTTGTTGCCATAAATTCGATTATTAATTTCATTCCTAATAATCCAAAGAGACTCATAAATGACAAGCTTCCAAAATTTATGGGTCCCATTCTACTATCCACTGTTGACTCAAACCTGTCCCAGAGCGCCCATCCCAGGTAATGTTATTGTTTTCTCATTTTACTTGATCTCCTACAAAAATGGAATTCACGTGACAATTGATTTGTTCACTCTGTCTCCTCCCCATATGTGTTACAAGGGACCATCATTTATGGATCCCAATTGATTACAAGCTTATGTAGGGAGGAGGATGAGTGAAATTCTTCACATCAAAATCTCCACCTTGAACAAAATTCCAAACTTATTCATACTAGGCCATCTTTTGTTTTCTCTCTCGCAATCCTGTTATCCTCTGGTAGAACCAAGTTCTTGCCATAGGTTAGATACCAAGTTCTTCTCTATTCTCTTTTGTCTAGAAAATCCTCCCAGGCAATGTCGTCTCATGTCCTACGATTCTGTCGACTAAAAATCTACAATAATGTGGTAAATGTTGCCTCCAGCTGCTTACCCAGTATTTCTGGGATACTGAACAAAGAATGTAGTATACGTGCTTGCTTTCATTAGCTTCAGATACAAACCTAATTTCTCGTCATTCAGGGGAAAAATTAAATGTACTTTTGTCGACTTCAATATGAAACATTGGGTCGCATTTGATTTTCAACATTTTTTTTGCCTGACGCAGGAATAAGGGTTACTGTAACGGTGATTTAGTGTTCTAATATATATTTCCTTTAAATTTTCTATATTACAGTTTGAGTGTCGAGAATTCAGGGAATCAATCCTTGGTGTCATGCCACACCAGTGGGTGAGTACATATTTCCTGTAATTGAGACATTCTGTAAACAACTTTTTTTATTTATAAAGCAGTTGCTTCTGTTCAGGATAGGAGGGAGGACACCTCTCTTCAGCTGACCCAGTTTAGAAGACACAAGAGAAAATTACAGAAGAAGAACCTTGGTAGAACTACCATTAATCATCTGCATGCACCCGTGGAAAAGCATGCTCCAGGGAAGGATTCAACAAATAAAATTGCAAATGTAATTGGAAAAGCGGCAAAGTATGCTAACTCTGCAAAAGCTAAAAAGGTGAACGTTATGCAATGTTTTATGTATTTATCAAATTATCATCAGCCTCAGATGTTCCTTCATTGCTGATGGACTTTAACCCATGAACAGTCGATATATACTGCCAGTACAGTACTTGTCTTATTCTCATTACTTGGATTCCTCATTTTTCATATAGACGCATGGACAACCATATGAAGAGTTGCATTGACTTAGTTCTTCTCATCCTTCTCCTGAATACCACATCGCCATCTATTTGTTTACTGTGAGAGCTAGCCTGCTAAAAAGAGAGTTACACAAGAAAGAAAGATTGCAACTTTGTCAAAAGATTGGTCAGGAGAGAGAATTAACAGTAGATTTATGGGGTTGTCAAAATTTGTTAGTCTCAGGAAGTTCTGGGAGCTGAAAGGAGAATGGAAGAAAGTAGGTTACGAGGAGCTCCTTAAGAAATTCAGTAGGGAACTTTTAAAAGGTGATTAAAGAATAATAGAAGACTGAGAAAGTGTGATGTATCAGAGAGCTTTGGATTAGACCTTTGCGCCTGTTCTCTCCTCATTCAGACTCTATGGAAAGGTTAGATCCGTACTGATGTACCAGTCTGCTTTCTTAAAATCTGGAGCACAATTATCAACCAAGAAAGTACAGGAGGAATAAGTTTCGTGTTCTTTAGCTGCTATAACGTTGAACAGGTCGAGGCCCGGAGAAAGAACATTCTACCAGAAACATTGGAAGTGAAGATTCCAAGTGGAACGGAATCAAAATGGATTACTCGTATCCTGTCGTGGATATTTTTTTCTTTGGGGTTCTGTTTTAATATTTGATAGGATTTAGGGTTTCTTTCTGTCCACAAGTCCTATCAGGATTTGAACTGCCGGCCGTTTAAATCCTCTGGAGCTCTACAAACGGGCTATGTACATTTTTTTATTTTAGTTCGAATTGTTACCCTTCTCTAGTCATGGATTTAAAACTGTTTCTTGGAGGATCCCAAGAACACCTTGGTGCAGGTGCTTTGGCCTTGAGTTTCTTATGATCTCATCTTCTGGGGCGATGCGTCACTGGATATTCTGCTATTCCCAGTCATCCCCATTCACCAGAGGAGTTTGAACATCGTTTAAAGTACGTCATTTTAAGCTGAATAGAGGAAAAGCTCTGTAGGAAACTCTCTTCTATGTCTCAGATATTAGTATTCAAGAATTCAATGCAGATCCCAATTAGGATCCAAATAAATCAGGGTTTCGATCGAATAAAGCTTTAATGTTCCCATTTTCTGTTCAGGAGAAGTGGTTATTTACCGAAAGTGTAGAGAAAGCAGAGATAATGGTGGCAACCAATGCAAGCTAGATTTGGAAATGTTGGAAGAGAAATAGAGTCAGATTTTACCAATAACTTGATTTCATGTTTTGGAGATTTACCAAATACTGGAATCACAGGTTTTCCTCCGATCAAACAAAAACATGACATAAGTGAGTAGGAGCTTATGGTTTGGATGAGTCAACTGATTCACTAGGGCAAGTAGTTTGGAAGGGTACTCCCTGAGGAGAGTCGGTATTTATTTGGGAGGATTCTGTGTTTGATAATTATCTACAGAGCTGATGTTGGGGGTGCTTTATGAGGAGAACAAGGGAAGAAACCTTTGAGATAGGTAAAGTTTTTTTAATCTTGTAAAATGTTCAAATCTCAAAAACCTGTTATTTCTTTCATGAACAAGAATATCATTCTATGTCGTTAGAGTACAACATCAGGTCCCTATAGGAAATATCTAGCAATGATTTTGTTGATAATATTTCTGAATCATCTATATCCAGAACCAATGAATATGGGAACCAACATATTGATGAATACAGTTCAAGTAAATAGAGCCATTATCTTTAGAGAGTCAATAAATATAAAGCGAATTGAAATTCGCAGTTTTGACTCGAGGTCGGATTTGTGGTAAAGGGAGCTATCAGTGAAAGGGCATACTGGCAAACTGGGTTAATAAGGAAGGGAGGAAGGTACGCGTGACTACTTCTACAATTTTCTTTCCCACGTATTACAGAGCGTGAAGGAAAGATAAAACCACTTGAAACAGAGCTGAAATAGGAGAGGATAGTAGTCGCTCTGGACGAACTGCCGTAGACCTAGTATCCACATGTAAGGTAAAAAGACAAGACACGTTGGAATAAGAAGAGCATTGGGAACATCTGAGATTCTGTCCACTATGCCTCAAGTTTGAGTAAATCACCGGGAGATGCTATTCAAATATCAGGTCTGCTCCTGTAAAGCAAGGGAAAATTTGGAGACACCAGATATGGGAGTTTCTTTCATGGATAATGAAGAGTTACGAAACTTATTGGGACAAGTGATGGTCTACGGAATGGGTTTGAAAAGAAAGAACACCAGATACATCTACTGTGACGGTAAAGAGGGAAATTGCAGTTTTTTCCAGAGCGTCATAGTGATGAATAGTCCAATACCTTAGAAAGAACATGAGAAATGAAAATTTTACCCCTTTTTTTGGTAACCAATGTTACGGTTTATTTTATTTTAACCTCCAAAATATCTCAGGGACTGATAACTAGCTCTTACTGTCGCTGCAGTTTGCTTCTCCATCGTCAATCACGGGTCATGTCTTTCTATCAGTTTATTTTTTTTCACTATTAGTCTGTTAATGCAGTCACAGGGTCCCTTTTCTCCCTTTCCCTGCTGAAGGTTATGGAAACCAACTTCAATTTAGTTACTCTTTTGCAACTAAAGGTAAGCCTGTAGTGGGAAGATGTAGCCCTTTCATGACTAGCGAGTGAGCTAATGCCATGTTACCTGTGGCATAATTTTTAACTCTCTAAATTATGTTGGTTCCTATGGCATTTTTTTCTTTTTCATTAGTTTAGTTACAGGTTCTATGGTTTAATGACTGACGCTGATTAGTTTTTTCTAATTCGCTTATTTATGATTGTAGAAACTGTCATATTTTCCTACGATAACAAATCATACTCAGCTTTGGTGGTTACCAAATGTCGTTGTTGCACATGAAAAGGAAGGAATTGAGGCCATTCATTTAGCCTCTGGCCGCACATTATGCAAGGTATGATACATAGTAAAATATGACATGCTATAATTTTTTTAATAAGTTTTTTCTGATTCATTCAAAACTTCCTGTTTTAGTTCGCGTCGCTCAAATTCCCTTCGTTTTTCCTACAATAGATTACGATGATCATTTTAAGAAAATGAGAGTGATGTATTATTTATCACTCGCCAGGTAATGGCCTTCTTGTGGCTTTAATATTTCCAACCATCGTTATTGCACAGTGTTGTGCTTTTAGTTTTCAGTTTGTGTATAGAAGTGTGCTGTCACCTTTTAATTTTTCTTATGTATCTATCCAAATTAGTTTTGTTCGGATTGACTATTAGTCTGCTGCCACATTAATTTTTCATATGAAAAAGTTGATGGATACTGTTTTTTTTTTTTTTGGAAGGAACGCTTCATTGTGCTTGCTAAACCTTGTGATGCTAACAAAACATGATACTACACTGTTGTACATTGACGCAGCAGAAGTTGCAGGAAGTAGAGAATTCTGCCTTGAATACATAAGGCACGAATTTTGAAGAAGAAATCAGGTTCTTAATCCATAGAATTGGAAACTTCAATCCTTAATCCACAAGGATTAACTGGGGCGAACCTTGAATCCACAAGGATCAAAATTTACTCCCTCGAATCCACAAGGGAGGGCGCTTGAATCCACAAGCCAGGAGACACCACAAAGGGTGAAAATTCCTACTGACCAAGATGATTTTAGGTTTACAACGTGGTGTCCTTAAAATTAGGCCGAAATTCAGTTGAGACGCCTCTAAAAATCGGGTCAGTTTGAGAAACAAATTCAAAACGCCTTAGAAACAGGATAGTTGCTAAAAACTAAGACTCTGACGCGTTATTCACGCAATTTATTTAAGCATAATCTGGTTTTGGGCCTTTTTAGGTTTTCTCATCTTTGTAATCCACTTTTCAAGTTTCTAGAATGGCTGGACCATGTTTTCTTTCAAAGTGGATTTTCTTTTTTATGTTTGATAATTTAATGAAAATGTGGCAGTACCCATGTCAAAATGAAAACAGACTGGAGTTAATTGCTTCTAATAATTTTCTGAGAATTCAGTTACACCAGTACCCTTCTATAAACGTCGCTGTTCTTTAAAACTGGATAACTTCATATCGATTAAAGAAAAGGAGAAGCTAACATTGACAAACTCAGTATTCTTTGAAACATCCTCTTTAAAAAAACTCTTTGGTCTATACCAAGATGGTGAAGAGACCGCTAACGACTGAAACCTCCCATAATCAGAGCGTTGCCCTTTGCTGTCGTGAGGAATCCACTCTAATTCCTTTCTTTGTCACATTTAAGAGTGAGAACAAACACTCTGCTCACCATCAAAGTAATAGAGGCTATTGAAATCACTCACCTCCGAAAACGAAAGGTTTTTAGCCTTTGTCATTACAGAAAATCCAAACTCCCTTTTCTCACTGTTACATATAAGAGCAACCACATATAAACAAATGTCAAAAAGAGAAGAGAATGTTTACATGTGGGGCTATAGTATGCCTAAAGAAACCTTCTGTACAAAGTCTCTATAGCCTAGCTCCCCACACCTTTCGAAATCAAATGTGTTGTCCCTTCCAATACGAAATGCCCAGGACCATTCCCTTGCTCTGTCAATAAATACGAACAAAAAAAATGTGTTGCTTCATTTTAGTCGACTTAACTGCTTTTGGTTTCCCCATTATTTATTTTCTATTAGATGCCCAAATGGTTGAGGATAGTCCATTGCACATTATAATCACAATGCCTACGGCAACATGCCTAATTAGCATCGAGTTATCATAGATTTCATTATAATTCTGATCTGTTAAATAATTTATGTTACATATCTAGCTGATCAGCAAGAGTTCACGGATAATTTTCATGTACTTTTTTTCAAGCTTCAGGTCCCTGCATTTATAATTAGCGAGTGCATCCCAATCCCTGAGAATACCAGTTGCAGTAATTAATGAAAATTAAGAAATGTCCATTATGTGCCCCTGGTCACTGCTTGTTATCCGTCGGATACATAGCAGCATGCCTGATACTCTTAAAGGAAGGGGATAGGTTTGACTTTTTGTAAACTTAAAATGATGGAAGGAGTGGTACAAGGCAGGGAACAATCTCTGCAATCATATGATAGAATAACTGGACATCTAAGAGATGCAACATGGGAATGCGTCTACATAACGGAAGGTGTCAGGCCCATATATGTATGGGCTTCTCTATAGAGGTGAACCAGATGGTAATACATCCCATTGCATCTAGAAAACTATAAGCGTATATCGGGAAAGGGTTAGACTACGAAAAGCGTCCCATGAGTTTTGAGATGTATGATAGAAGTCTTCTGATTGGGCCCTAGGCTGAAATCGTGCAGAACAGAGGGAAATATGGAAGGGAGAACTTGTTGGCAAGCTAAGAAAAGGACAAGTAACCAATAGGAAGGGAATCCCCCTCCTTGGAGATGCTCAAGTACCCACGAGAGTTCAGTTGCAGAGGACCTCTCCTACTCTCTCCGTTCGACCCAAACTTCCAGCGTTTCAGTATATAACCCTTCCTGATCCTCTGTTTTATGCCCCCATTCTTAAGCCTGCCCTGTGATCCTCTTTAGGCGACCATAAGTGAAATGGATTGTGATTCCTGATGATGGGCCGTTGGTCCATTAGGCAGGAACCCATCATTTTCACTTCATAAATGGCAAGAGAATCACAGGGCTCCGTGGCCATGACTTAGCTTGATCTTTGTCAATATATTTGCTTTGCTACTTCTTTTGATTCATTTATTATAATATAGCATGCTTTTATATACAAAGATTGTAGTGTACAATGAGCTGTTTTGATTTACTTTACAGGATTATATTTTATTAAAGGTACGATCCTAGATCACAGATTCGAGTAATGTTTCACCATCATTATTTCAATATCGATGCGTTCAAATCTCCTTTCTGATTATATATGTAATGACCTGTCTTGCTTTCTTTGAACTGTTGATCTTCTTTAATTATATGTCAGGCAACATGGTGCCTAATTTTTCAGCTTCACAGCCAATCTATGCTGTAAGTTAAATCAATGTGTTTAATCGCCTATGCAATTTCAGCTCCATCTTCCCGAAGGAGGCCTCCACGCTGATATTAATGGAGATGGTGTCCTGGATCATGTGCAGGTGCTTTGCTCCGTTGTTCTATTTCCTTCCACCTCGCATTTTTGTCTTCCACCTATAAATGGTAACAATGGAATGGGATGATTTCGAAGAATCATTAGAACAGCCACTCCCATCCCTCCGCCGTTGACTTTAAAGGCATTTTTCCCACTCTGGAACTTTATTGATTTTACCTCAATCAAAACCAGTGACTGTATCAAAGCGTTCTCTTTTTTTTGTCTTTTCTACTTTAAAACGGATGATCATCTGAAGGATTTTCACTAAGATTCTTGGCAAAGAAAATCAAGACCACCTGGTCACCGCAGGCTTCGTAGTGCTTTTTGATGGATTGGCTCACGATGGAGAGAACTTGGCAGGCTGTGGGCGGCCGCGGCGTTGAGCAGACGGTCGTCAGCGGGTCCATGGAGGTCCTGAGGCCCTGCTGGGCCGTCGCCACTTCCGGCGTGCCCGTGCGGGAACAGCTCTTCAACGTCTCCATCTGCCAGCACGCCCACTTCAACCTCTTCTATCACAGCGGCGACTTTGCCAGGACCTTCGGCCGAGCCGCTGCCGCCGCCGACACCCAGTCCCTGGAGGTGGCGACCCCCATCCTCCTCCCCCGCCCCGACGGCCACCGACATCGCAAAGGCAGCCACGGGGACGTCATCTTCTTGAACAACCGGGGAGAGGCACGAAATTTGACCTCTCAATTTGACTTCAGTTTGACTTTTTTCTTCGTCTTTGCGTCGTGGGTTTTTCAGGAACAACCTTGGAGAGGCACGAAATTCTTCAAGATTCTTGAACCGCCACGGAAACTTGACTTCAGTTTGACTTTTTTTTGCTCCCTCAATCGTGGGTTTTTTGCAGATGACTGCATATTCCCCGGGGCTGCACGGGGAAGATGCTGTCTGGAGGTGGCAGATCACCACCGGAGCGAGCTGGACGAACCCCCCGTCGCCGGCGGGCATGGCGGAGGCGGCGGCGGTGGTGCCGACACTGAAAGCGTTCCGCCTGCGGGCGGGGGACCAGCGGGAGGTGGTGATCGCGGCGGGGGACCAGGAGGCGGCGGTGGTCTCCCCCGGCGGCGTTGTGCTGGCGTCGGTGGACCTGCCGGCGGCGCCGACGCACGCGCTGGTTCTGGGGGACTTCTCCGGCGACGGGCTGGCGGACATCATCCTGCAGACTTCCGGCGGGGTCTACGGGTTCGTGCAGACGCGCCAGCCCGGGGCGATCTTCTTCAGCGGTCTCGTCGGGTGCCTGATCGTCGTCATGGGGGTTATCTTCGTTACCCAGCACCTCGGCTCGGCCGGTCAGGGGAAGCCCAGGGCTCCTCCCGGGCACTGGCGGTGAAGGGGATCCATCCCCGGTGGATGATGGAAGCAAGTTGGAGTTGTAGTTTTGACCAAAAAAACCAAAAAAAACAGGTGACAGGTTGTCGAGTGAATTCTTAGATCAGTAGTTCTAGCCGTGCTTTCTTTCTTTAGTATCTTGATTTCCATCTTCTCTGGTTGGTTCCGGAGCTTGGGGGGGAAGGGAAGCTCCATCTTGATTTCTAGCCCCGGTCATGCCCATCTCTCTGTCTCTCTGTCTCTCTGTCTCTCTGTCTCTCTCTCTCTCTCTCTCTCTCTCTCTCTCTCTCTCTCTCTCGCTATATATATATATAATATCTATATATAGGGGAGGCTCGAATCGTTCCACAAGCCTGGTCACAGAGTAGAGGGGAATCTGCAGAAGAAATTTCATGGCCTTAGTGTAAACAAAGAACAAGCAGCGGAATAATCCAGCAAAGTATGAGTATATATATATATAGAGAGACAGAGAGAGATGGATGATCGTCGTTTAGTTGATTGAAAGAATTGTGGTTGCTAAGGGGATGAGGCCGGCAAGAGAGTGCATAGGCGAGGAGCGCCTCCTACCGACGGTTCCGGTGGGTGGGATTGGGCGGGTGGGGGGATGATCTCACTGGAGATCCGTCAAAACAACCCCCGTGGGGGTAGAGAGAGAGAGTGTATAATGGTTGTTGGGTTTTGAAGGTGTGTGGGGAGAGGAGTGAAGGAAAGCCGGGGGAGAGGGTTTCCCTTTACAGGGACGAAGGGTTAGGCCCTGGTGGAGTCGTAGGCTGTCCCCTGACTCGTAGGCTTTTTACTCAGCTTACCTACTTCCCACCTAGTTTCGGAACTCAGCGAAGGACCCGCCCGAGGCAGCTGTAAATAGAGAGAGAGAGAGAGAGAGAGAGAGGGGGGGTAACTAAAGACATGGACAACCAAGGTTGGGGCGCAGTAATAGAGAGAGAGAGAGTAATATGGTGCAATTCTTTGGAAGCACGCTGTAATGGGGGTGTCTACGTGCAGAAACAACGTAGTACAGGAACCCCTGTGGAGTTAATGAATGATCATCCATTGGGGAAGTGAGGAAGCGAGAGAGAAAGAGAGAAAATGCAGCACCGTAGAATCTAACCTGTTCACAGGAAAGTTACTGTTCTCCATGATAAATGCATGCCGTTCTCGCAGGTTATTCCCTTGTGGAAAAGACATCCCATCCCCTAACCCTCGTCTCTCCTATCCATAATGCGGACGGGCGAGAAGCACGAAGCCGTTGCACCGTGGGTTCGGCGTTTGATTCCGGCGGGTGTGCGGGTGCCCGCTTCGGTTTTGGAAAGAAAACGTTGTTCTTGTGGTGGGAATTCTAGAGAGAGAGAGAGAGAGAGAGGGAGGGAGAGGGAAAGACCAGGTTCCCCTCCCGACTTTGTTTTAGAGAGGCGGCAATGAAGACCGGTATATGTTCCTTTCCCAAGGATGATGGGCTGACAACGACGAGGAGCGTCCCGTCTCTCTCCCAGGAAATAGAAACTCGCAGTGGTTTCGATAGTGCCTGGGACCTCTCTCTCTCTCTCTCTCTCTCTCTCTCTCTCTCTCTCTCTCTCTCTCTCTCTCTCTCCCTATGTATTTATCCATCGATCTATCCATCTCCCAAAAATTAGAGATTGGAAAGTGGGTAAGTTTGTTTTCTGACTGAGAATGAGGAGGATTCGTCCTGGCATGACATGAATATATTCTCCTTTTGGTCGTCGTGTCAGCAGCTTTTTGAGGGATGGTGCTGACTGCTGAGCTTACAGCGGGATATGTTGACCGATTCATGACCGGAGATAGAGAGAGAATGATGGACGGGAGGCGCAGGGAGACAGTGAGGTGAGTGAGTGTGCGTTTGCGCGCGCGCGTGTAAGAGAGAGAAATAGACTTACCCGGCAGAGCAGAAGAAGCCGAGGGAGCGAGGGATAAACTTGGAACGGCGTTGAATGTAGGAGAGAGAGGGGAGAAAAAGAGAGTTGAAGAACAGAGTAGAAGCTGCTGAGGAAGCGAGAGATAAGCATGGAGAATGGCGTAGAAGGGAGGTAGAGGTGAAGAGAGCGTAGGAGAAGGGTACACGAAAGGCAACTGAGAAGTGAGGTAGAGAGAGAGAGGTTGAGGAAGTGGAGGGATGCTGGACGTTGACGAGGGCATCGCATGATGTGATGTTACATGGCCGCTTTCGCGGAGTGAGAAACGGCTTCTACTTCCAGTAAACGAGAGCTTTTCCTTCCACGACCCCAGCCCTTTTCACTTCCACCCTCATCTCCAAAGCCGCGGAGAGGGCGACCCACCACACACCACCTCTTCCTCCCCCTTCCACTCCAAACCTAAAACACTTCTCCTCTGGTTCCCAACCTCTGCCAGAAGAAGAAGAAGAGGAGGAGGAGGAGGAAGAGGGAGATGGGGAGAGGGAAGATAGAGATAAAGATGATAGAGAACTCGACAAACAGGCAGGTGACTTACTCCAAGAGGAGGGGCGGCCTCTTCAAGAAGGCCAAGGAGCTCACCGTGCTATGCGATGCCCAGGTCTGCCTTCTAATGGTCTCCTCCACCAGCAAGTTCTGCGACTACTGCAGCCCCTCCACCACGTCTGTGTGAAAACGATCCTCTCTCTCTCTCTCCTTCTCCCTTTATATCTACCTTCTCTGTGCATCACATGCAACTCTCCCGTGTTTACCAGCACGCAGGCCATCTTCGATCGTTACCAGCAGACTACGGGGATTGATATCTGGAAGGAACATTACGACGTAGGAAGAATCTCTCTCTCTCTCTCTCTCTCTCTCTCTCTCTCTCTCTCTCTCTCTCTCTCTCTCTCTCTCTCTCTCTCTCTCTCTCTCTCTCTCTCTCTCTCCATGTTATGTTACTCGACAGAACAAACGCTAGATCTAAAAAAATGCTCATATCTCCTTGGCAGAACATGAAAAACCAGTTGCTTCACCTCCAGGCCACCAACATGAAGCTCCGGCGGGAGATCAGGCAGCCGCCCAACCCGTTCCTCGCAGGATTAAATCGAACAAAAAATAGGAAATTACTGTTTTCTGAATATAGTTTCATTATCTGATAATATAAACGAACGATTTTTTACGCAATTTATTTGGTGTAATGTGTCGGAATCAGCCAAAGGATGGGTGAGGAGCTGGATGACCTGGACATGAACCAACTGCGCAGTCTTGAGGAAGATTTGGAAACCTGTTTGGATTCCATCCGTGAGAGAAAGGTTAGCTTCCCTTTTCTAAAAATTCATTTATTTCCTCTCAGAAGTAAGAAGTACCCTAGAAATATATCAACTTTGTATCCTTTCTTTCTTCCTTCCTCCGTCGTCATCTGAAAACCCTAATCGCAGTCTGTAATCTCCAAATGGGTTTAAATGGGGAGGAAATAGAAGAAGGAACCAGTGATACAGATTTTTGTGTGTTCCATGGAAGATCATTCCTTGTGCGCCAGTCTGCCACTACTCGATTTCTCCCTTCTGCTGACTTCGCTTCTTTTCCGTGGCACTGACAACAGATTAAACAGATCGTCACTCAGACGGAAACCTACAAGAAGAAGGTGAGTACGATTCTTTGAAGCTCTCCACCTTCTTCATTTCCTTGCGCCTTTTCTCCGTTACCCTCCAACCCCACCCCCCACCCCATCTCTCTCTCTCTCTCTCTCTCTCTCGCTCGCTCGGTTTATCTCTTTCCTTTAGTCTCAGATCTCTTCCTTGCATTCAGCAAAGGTCCTTACATACAACTCAACTGGTAATCTCAATGTCATCCAGGATAGTTGAAATTAGCCATCTTCCTCTCTTGACCCTCCATCTGGTACAGCAGAGAGAAAGGTAGAGAGATGGCGACAGAGAGAGAGAGAGGGGGGGGTGGATGAAGAAGACGCACCATTGCTTACCCATACGTGCTCTTAGAGCAAATGGCGGTTTTAGAACTCACGAAAAAAAGTATATAATTTCTTCATTTTTATCAGACCAAAAAATTAACTCTAATGAGGTCATCCCATGGTAAACTTTGGCTGTTAAAATGCATAGAGCTCTTAATACTATAATTATCATCCTTTACATTATCAAGAATTAATACAAGAAGAATTATCGTCCTTTACATTATCTTCTACTAGTCAATAATGCTCTAATTCCCATTTATTGGTTGTGAAGCAGATAACTATTTAGCTTTTAACATGCCCATTAAATACTTTGGCATGATGTAAATCTCTCAAAGATCAGCCCTCTAAGCTTACTTTCAGTCGGATGACCCAATTCCTTGGTAGTACTTATGATACTTTTCTTAATTTATTTGAGACAAAAATTAATGGTATTAGTCCGTAATATATGAACAACGTATATATATATATATATATATATTTGAAATATGGGAGAGTTGTTCAAACTTTGATGAGATTTTTGCGGTGGTTCGTTATGTTAGAGGATGATTCAAGCACAATTTTATCTAAATTGTCTACCATGTTTAGTGTAATTTCTGACGAATGAAGGAATTGACTCCAATATGGTAGTCTTCTGATAACTCAAAATAGAGAAACCTCAAATGATTGAACGAAAAGAATAACCGAAGGAATACTCTCTCTCTCTCTCTCTATCGCTAGAGGGAGCTGTTATCCGTTTTACTATGATACCCGGGATTTTGATGTTCTAAAGGTGTAATTTGCAGGTTAAAAGCTCTGAGGATCAGCACCGAATCCTCATACGTCAACTGGTATTCAGCTGCTCGCCTCTCTCACTTACTCACTCTCTCTCACTCTCATTTATCCGTTTATTTCTCTACCTACCTATTTATGCGTGTATATCTATCTCCCTCTAATACTTATGAATCGCTAGCTATTTCTCTCTCTCCATCCCTCCCTCCCTTTCCTCGTCGCGATGAATGACGTCAATCGATATAACAGGAGGTTGATGCGAGGTTCGGCTACGCGTGCGTTGACGCCGCCGTCAACCGGTACAACGGCGGAGCGGCGATGGACAACGCCGGAGGGCCCCCCCCTAATCACATCTACGGCTTCCGCGTTCAGCCAAGCCACCCAAATCTTCAGGTCCCCGGCTACGGCATCCATGAGCTACGCCTCGCATGACGCGGTACGCTGCGCCTCGTCTAATCCGCGTACGATGTACCACCAGTCCCAACTCCATCCCCGACCTCCAGATTCACGAATGATTAACCTCGGTGCACGTTAAAAACACCAGTTTCCTGCAGAACTCTAGAATAAATCCACGTGCATGCATGCGGACTGATCGACGTTATTCCCCTGTGGTTCCCTCAAGCTCGATTTTCCTTTCTTCTTCTTTGCATGAGTGTAAATGGCCCGCCATGCCCATCGTTCCAGTAGATAGATAGCTAGAAGAGAGATCGATAGATAGGGATAGGTAGCCAGTAGAGAGAGAGATAGACAGAGATAGGTAGCCAGTAGAGAGAGAGAGAGAGAGGGTGTAGAGAGAGAAGTGAGGAGTCCAAATTAGTCGATGGAAAGGGCCCGGGCCGACAGTATGAACACCAGAGGCCCAGCCCGGGCAGGGTTACCTCTCCTCCAATCTCCATAAATGCGAACACACCTACCCCTGGTCTTCCTACCCAGAGACCCCATTAATTATCAACGGAGACAGATGACCTCAGCCAAGCTCAGGAGACGATGCTCTCTGAACACGAGCGAGCTAGAGAGAGGGGATGGGGGGGAGGCGGGTGTCTGTGATATCTGAGCATGTGCGCCGTCGCGCCTGACGGGGTGAGTTCCCCTGCAACAAAGAGAGCTTCATCAGTTTCTTTACTGATCGGTTTCTGCGACAGAGGAATACGACGACGGGGGACCCGGCTGGCGTGCTATCACGAGGAAGCCGTAAACAGGTGGACCTTTAAATAGGTAGTCGTCGTCACTGTTGACACCTGCGTACCGTCGAGGAGGATTAAATTCCTCAAAATGTTAGGCTCCGACATCTTCTGTTCAACTGCGTTCTCTTTGGTGGGTGCGTCTGTGTTGGCGAGTACAAAGCTCCAGTCATGGCAACCTCACACTTCTCGTCTTGAGCGATAAACTCCTTTTGAGACACACAGAGAGAAAGAGAAAGAGAGAGAGATGGGGACGGTGGAGGAGAGGCTGGGGGAGATGAGGGAGGCCTTCAGAAGCGGGAAGACGAAGTGCGAGAAATGGAGGAGGTCCCAGCTGATGGCTCTGCTGGCGCTGGTCAGGGAGGAGGAGGAGGGCATCTTCTCTGCCCTCAACAGAGACCTTGGCAAGCACCGGGCCGAGGCCTTCCGCGACGAGGTCTCCCCATCTTTCTTCTCCCCCCGCCGCAGAAGCTTTCTCTCCTCCGCCATGGCCTCTAAAAGATTTCTTTTCCTGCAGGTTGGGGTTCTGATTAAATCCATCAACTTCGCGCTGAGCAGCCTTAAGCAGTGGATGGCTCCGAAGAGTGTGAGTTCCTTCTGTCTTCCCTTCTTCCTTTTTCTGTTCTCTCCTTCAGCCACCGAGACGCTGCTCATGGCCGTCTTCTTCAGGTGAAGGTCCCCCTCGTCTCCTTCCCCTCATCCGCCACCGTCGTACCAGAGCCGCTCGGAGTAGTGTTGCTGTTCTCCTCCTGGAACTTCCCCATTGGTAAGTAGTCTTGAGTTTGATGGCCCGCTTCTTCTTCTCGCCATTAACGGCGGTGGCGGCGGCGGTGATTGTCCAGGGTTGGCGCTGGAGCCGATCATCGGCGCCTTCTCTGCCGGAAACGTGGTGGCGCTGAAGCCGTCGGAGCTTGCTCCCTCCTCCGCTGAGTTTCTAGCGGAGGCCATTCCCAGGTACCTCGACGGCGCCGCCGTGAAGGTCTTCCTCGGCGGGCCCTCCGTGGGCTCGCAGCTCCTGGAGCAGCGATGGGATAAGATCTTGTTCACCGGTAAGACAGATCTTGTTCTGTTCTTCCAGCGGCCTTCTTCTGGACTGCTCATCCTGCTCGCTGGCGGCGCCGTCGCCTCACAGGGAGCCCGCGGGTGGGACGCGTCGTCATGGCCGCAGCGGCGGAGCACCTGACTCCGGTCATCCTCGAGCTGGGCGGGAAGTGCCCAGCCATCGTTGACTCCATCGGTTCGAGCGAACAGAAGGTATACCGCTCTATTTGACCGCACCCACGTGGAGTGGACATTTTTAGAAAAGACCCTACATATCCCCTATAAACCCCCTTTATTGATGACTTACCTATCTTCTGCCCTGTTTTGACAATAATATTCTAAAATGGTTTCAGCATTTTTCTGCGACAGAAATATCATCCAAAAAGAAATATAATATTATCATATTCTGATCCAGGTGGCGGCAAAACGACTGGTTGCCGGAAAGTGGGGCCCCTGTTGCGGACAAGCTTGCGTGGGAATTGACTATATCCTCGTGGAAAGACAATTTGCCTCCACTCTGGTAGGAGGTCAAAGTCGTCATTTCGCATTCATAATTTTCAATTTATTTTTTTTATTTACGAGTCGCTTTTTTAAAAAATACCATTAATTTGCTTTTAAATATTAGATTGACATGCTGCGGAGAACGGTCAAGAGTTTGTACGGAGATTCTAGAAACCTCTCGAGAATCGTCAATCGGCAGCACTTCATGAGGCTGGAAGGCCTTCTGAAGGACCCCTCCGTTTCCGCTTCCGTCGTTCACGGTGGCCGCTTCGACAGCGACAATCTGTGAGTCTTCCGCCCTCTTTTTGTTCTTCGATTCGAAGATACCGTTGAATATTTTTCAGTTGAGGATAATAGTTCGTTTAATTCGTGAAGGAAAATCGAACCGACGATCTTGCTGGATCCCCCGCTGGACTCCGAGATCATGACCGAAGAAGTCTTCGGTCCTCTCCTTCCCATAATCACGGTAGGCCGGGGGTTTTTCTTGTGATCAGCATTCTTCATCACAGAATCCGAATCCTATTTTCCATTGCGAACTATATTTTCTATTTTCTGTTCTTCATGTAGCTGGAGAAGATCGGAGACAGCATCGCGTTCGTGAGGGACAGGCCGAAGCCGCTGGCCATCTACGTCTTCTCCAACGACGAGGCCCTGAAGAAACGAGTTGTGGCCGAGACCTCCTCCGGAAGCGTCACCTTCAATGACACCATGATCCAAGTAAGTCTCCTCCTCCACAGATCAAACAAATACCTGAAAGATCATAAACCTTCTCTCTCTCTCTCTCTCTCTCTCTCTCTCTCTCTCTCTCTCATCTGTATTGGAATTGACGTGGTTTTGGGGTGGTGGCACCGCCGGTGGCCGGAGAAGTTCGCCGTGGACACGCTGCCCTTCGGCGGGGTGGGGGGGAGCGGCTTCGGGAGGTACCACGGGAAGTTCTCATTCGACGCCTTCAGTCACGAGAAGGCGGTGATGAGGAGGCAGTTCCTCCTGGATTTCCCCCTCCGGTACCCTCCATGGAACGAGACCAAGCTCAGGTTCCTCAGGGACGTCTTCCACTTCGACTACTTCGGCCTTCTGCTCGTCATGATGGGCCTCAAGAAATGATGATATCCTCAACCCTCCCCTACTCTCCCTCCACGCCGCCCGCGGGGGCTGGTAATAGCAAGTCAGCCCCCCATTTCCTAGGAGGACGTGTATTAGACTTCAGACTTTATAGGTTCCAGCAGCATCTAATGTCTGATCTAGTTCTAATTTACTAAAAATGTGGTGAGTTGGATGTGTTTGGAACCTATTAATGGGCCGGGAAAGACCAGAGAACGGCCCAGCCCGGCTCAGTTCACTTAACCCCAAGTTGATGCTGACACTACCTGGATTTCAATTTCATGTGAATTTATCATATTTTAAAAAATGCACATGCTTTTCGTTACTATTTTTTTTTTTTATGGCTCATTGACTCCACGGTAAAGTAACGGGAAATAGGCATCGCATTTTAGAGAATATTTAAAATAATTTATTTTTTATCCTTTTTTTTTACAATTGAAGGAAATACGGGAAAAAACACAGTATTAAAAATATGTTTAAAATTTTTATTTATATTTAATTAATAATAATAATTTATTATAATTAGAAATAACTTATTATAGCTCTTTAACCTTCTACAAAAACTTCTATAAATAGGGTAAAAACAGGGGTATATTAAATATGGACTCCAAATAATTTCTTTAATGACAGAAAACAACTTTTTGTGGATATTGGGCTCAAATTGGGGCCAGCATGTCCACTTGTCATTGGCGCCAGGTTTCGGCCAATCAAATCTCCCTACGTGGCAGCAGCCACTGAGGCTCTCCTCTTGCCACGTCACCCTCTGCTCACAGCGTCGTCTTCGCCGGCTCCCGCCCAGAGGTAGGAAGAAGGCGAGTGGAGCGAAGGGAGCCGCTTCCTTATCTCGTCGCTCCGCAATGGCAACTCTTGCCGCTACCGCCGCCGCCGCCGCTGTCGCCCGTGTTCCTCCCATCGCTGCGCAACTCAGTGCTATGGTCATGCCTCGTGTGCATTTCTTGTTTACTTTGGAATGCCGTGGTGTGTTTTTATCAGACAGAGAACTTGCTCTATGCAGAATATGAGGATCCGGATGTGGGGGAATTGCTGCAGGATCCCGGGGACGTCTGGCCGGTGGACGGATGAGCCTCTGTACTCCAGCCATCGGATGAAGAGGTGACGCACTGTCGAACTTCTTCCCTTCATCCAGTGAGCAAATGTTTGGGGAAACAATCTTATTTGCGGATTTGCTCCCCATCCGCTAACTCAGGAAAAAATATTCGATTCTTAGCTGTTTAGTCGTTGTGTTTGGTGTGGCCTCTAGGTGACCACTGGAATGTTGGCTATTGACTTTTTCTGTAAGCTAACAATCCACCTGATCTCTTGAGATTGGATATACTTCAAATAATTCCATTCTGGTATATGCATGAGAAGATGAACACGTGCATATACCCTTCCTGTACTTGCATCTTATTTAACACAAGTCTAATGTCTATGCGGATGGGGTACCAATATGTGTGTCCCAACGGTCACAACATAATCCAAGCTTACGACCCAGATAATTGGTCCCTTGGACATGGAAGTGTGTAATATGCTATATTTTCGTTGACAAGGGCCCAAATATAGTGATATAAGTCATTTCCTGCAATGCATTGATCAACTGAAATATACCTTAAGGACCCTGACGTTTATCGATGTCCTATGCCCGTTTCTTCACGTTCGGAAAGTCTGATTGTTTGTGACGTGAGGAAAAAGTCCTTCCACTTTCAATACGTGAGTTTCTATTTTTTCCTGGGTTTCACAAAGTCACATGACCGCTATAAAATCATATGTAAATGGAGGAAACCATACTTTTACTTGTAAGTTTATGACGGAACGAGGATTAAAAATACTTACGTTTTAGATCGATCTCCCATTATTAACTGTAACCTAAAGTCATCATATTTTATTCAAAAAACAGAAAAAATCCACCTGAATGCATTTTCTGCATTTATGATTTATTCTTTGTAACGAATCAACTACCTCCTAACGTGTGATACACTGCCTCTCTTTGGAGAGTACACTTTTCAACCTCAGATGTATTGTTTGTGTAAATTTCATACATTTCTTGAGATATCATCTCCGCTAGTGTGTTTGCACCGGAAGTTCTACTGTTCCTGTGAGTGCCTCTTCTGGGTTAATATCCTGTAAGTGATCTATGCGCTTCAGAAAGAAAGATAGATTGATATGTTGACTTACCTCTAGTATATCTTCAATTTTATTGCCATTGGCTTTGACCGTTGCAAGTTTCTTTCTTGTGATGCTAAATAAGACATGCTTTTGATATTGCCCTCCAAAATTTCTTTCTTTTAAAGTTAGATTTAACTCGTCTGTGGTCCATTTCCTGGAGATGCTGATAGAAAAATTACCTATTTATCAGGAGAGTCTCAGTCTGTGCAACCAGTAAAGATGCTGAGAAATCTTTTCAGAAGACTGTGGAAGTTGACCGACTGATAGATATGCTGAGGGATTCAAATTCTAAGGAAGTAAGTGTAAAATATAATATCTAATCTTTCATCTGCCACTATCACTGTGCATGTGTAGCTTTATTTTCCCTGCCTTGGACCAATGCGTTCGGTGAGAAACAAAAATATGACATTATGGAAGGGGATTAATGATGTTCAACTTAGGAATTTGAAAAAAAATCTTCTTGTACTTAATTTTTCTTTCTAACTTGGAGTAAGTCAACCACCAAAATCTTGAACGTTTGAGACTAACTAAGTTATTGCTTCATTTTTGTTTCAACATAAACGACGTCTTTGACCCAATATGATTCTGTTGCGAAGCCAACCGTCGTCTACACAAGACGACCTAGACCCCCACGTTGAGGGGGGACCACGACAGAATAATGTACTGAGGCCTATAAATATAGAAGAGGCCAAAGTAAGAAGGTAGTGGAGAAAACAGAGAGTGGAGAGGGAGGTCTGTCCCTGGAGAGGTCCGATTCGGGCTCTCCTGTTCCTGAGGATTGATCCGACCTCAGGAACTCACCCTACTGTCTGCAAACCTCTATTGTCTTTCCAATTTCCATTTTCAATTGTTCAATCTGGTTCTTCTATACAACAGAGAGTTGATTCCCTGAATGAGCCACGTCTAAGGTAAGATTAGGGTGAAGACTCGCCCCATATCTCAAGAGGTTCGTAACAGATTCACGGTTGGTTTTAAGTGGGCCAGGCTTGTGTCTGGTTATAGCAAAATGTTATGAACGTTTTGGTTTAACTTGCTAATATCCTCTCCGTTTGCTTTAGAGGTATACGACCTACTTGATTATCCTGGCATTTTCCTGCATTCCAATCGTAAACTTTACCTTTTTTCTTTTGTCTGATGTAATTGAACTAACAGAGTTCCAATAACACTGAGTGATCACAAGCTTATACTAGTTTTGGAAACCTCTAGTTTCATCTAAAGGTTTAAATCCACATTCACTATCCTATGGGGTTCCCTTTGAAAATATAATATGTTACTTAAAAATTGATTTCCTCACTTCTTTCTCCTCTCTTTCTAAAGTCAATGTGAATCATTGAGTGTTTCTCCCTTTCTGTGTTTACATTCATACTGGATAATACTGTTTTCCTAGCCCAGAAACCTGTTGTATTTGACTTCTAATGGCCAAGCTATTGCCCAACGTTACCACTCCAAGGAACTCTTCTACTTTCTGTAGGATTAGATCAGGCAAGACGTAGGGTCGAAATTTTTTCCAGGCCTTTGGATCCCTTATTAAGAGGCTGGCCAGTGAAATTGGGATAGAATAGTTTTACCATTCTCAATATGGAACAATTATTTGTTTCCTTCTATTATGCAATCTTCGTTTCGTCATTTTATTCTTTCCTAATTAGATAGAGTTTTATCCTTTAATTAAGATCCTGCTATACTTTGTTGTTGCCTTTTACAGACTCAAATTCCCTCTTTTATATACTGTAAAGACTATGAAAGAAGCTCGGAGGTTCCTTAGGAGGAAAGCACTAAAACTCATTCATGTTGTTCCGTTCTTTCTTGATCCTCTCTCATCTTGTCACGTAATGTCATCTATCTAGCTGCATTTCTTTTTTTCTTTGGTGAGAATGTTGTTGACGGTCAAAATATAGCGATTAAAGTTAACCAATTGCTGACTGAATCGTCATTGCTTCATTGTTACTTGAATGATGTTTCTAGTTATTCCTTCGCAGTTCTACCAAAGCTTCCACTAGGAAAAACATAGGAGGAAAACAAATAGTTTACATGAATCTAAATACCCTGGACCTGTTTGAAATTATGAATGCTTATTTTAGACCAACTGTTAACTATTGTGGCTGACTATTATCTTTTTTTTTTTGTTCAACCAGCTTGAGAAACTCATCGTTGAGAATATACTGTCCTTTGATGAGAATTTCTGGATTCGGCTTGCAGCTAGAAGTGACACATGCAAATCAGATGATGATAAAGCATGGTTTTTTACTTGGTTGACTTTTCCTGCTTTTCATTTTCTTATTTTATTTCAAAAAAAATCAAAACTTTAGTTTCTTTTCTTGAAAGTGCATTGGATTCTTCCACTGATATGATTAAAATCAAATCCAATAGAATATAATCAAATAACACTTTGTAAAACCATATCATCCGTTAAGTACTACGAAACTTTTGAATGTACACATCTCTCAATCAAGCAACTAAAATTTTCATTTTAAAGACCCGAAGTCTAGAAAGGTGCCATGATGGTTCTCTTTGGTGGGATACAAATGCACATTCTGTATAAGTCCTAACGCACAGAGGAAGGTAGTTCTTGCTCTTCTCCCCGCACAGAATTAAAAGGGCACGTAAGTGAGAAAGTTCCTGTGGTCTTTCTGTGGTCATTCACTGAATCAGTAGTCAGCATCCTATCGTACAAGATGCTATGGGTTGAAAGATCAGTAAGCCCTCCACGTCATCTGTAACAAAGTCCGCTCCTTTTGATCTTACCATTCTTGTAAACCTCTGTTTCGCTTTCCATTCTTCCTACTTTAATAAGCTTTGTAGTTGTCATAATCACTGGGTCGACTGGAACGGTCTCTAGATCCAGACAAAATTTCCGGGATCTGCTCTCACCGACTCCCTCATATGAGCATGATTCCCTATTGTACGAAGTTATTTATCAGAGTTTCTGTAATACCTGTCACTATGTGCACACTCATCATAAACTTTGCTTCCATGTGTCTTTAGATCAGTCAGGTATGTTAGGCAAGATATTCTTGTTCAAAATTCATTACTCTGTCGAGTTAGCAACTGCATCCAATCCACTGCTCTTCTCTTTAATCCAACATGCCTTTATTTCCTTCAATGAGTGGCTTATTTAATATGCGGCAATAATCTTTCTCCTCCTGCCTACTGCGATACTATTTGCAATACTGATGCTGGCTGTTGTCAGAATTTTTTACCAATATCAAATCAAGATCATTTCTTGGCTGGAAAGTATCTCCTCAAGTTGGGACGTGTTTAATTGATTTCATTATGGTAAACATTATTATAGACAGATAAATGTATTCCAGCAACCTTGATGATCATTCTAGCTCAAAGGTCCTTTAGTGAATCAGGTACTCCAAATCGGTTCACCTTCGGTAGTCGCTAACTCTATTCTCTAAGCTCGTCAGGTTTTGGGTGATTTTTCATTATTCTCTTGACAATTTCAACCTTGAATGCATCCTTCAGGGGATTTTTGGGTCAATGAGTTAAAACTATAGTGTAACAGGTGATAAAACTAAAGCCTTGAACCTTCACTATCCAGGGATTCCACCATCCTCTGTTTATTCTTTCTTCTCAGGAAGCTTATTTTTTTATCTCACCAGATAGCCTCATCCTCCCAGCTACCCACCCTTTTTTTTAAGATCATAATGTGTTTCTTTCTTGAATTCTTAATGTAAAGCTGTATCACAGTGTGATGATAATTAATTGTGGTAGGTTTTATGGTTTATGTAGAACGTATTAAGGATGGTGGTTCCTTGTTGTACAGAAAGATTACGAGGAATTGGCAACATCAGTGATGAGCATAGTTGAGTGCGTTGTTCATAAGACCAGGGTAAGTTTTTCCCTCTTCTCACTATTGTTTGTCATGTAAGGTTGATATTTATTAGTTCGGCCATTTTCACATTGAATGCATGGGAAGACGTTAAACTTCATCTTTAGTTGTTGTTTGAAACGTGCTCAGTTATTCCTACGGAATGTCTGACCTAAACGATGTTATCCTTTGTTTTGATGCTTAATCATAGCCTGTGCAAGCAGTAGATGTGTTCAATGGGCCAACATCGGTAATTCCAACCTGTGGAGATAAATATATTTCTTGGCTCAGATCCTCCCAGGCTGGGGGCCATGACCTGATGAATCCCAAGCCTGGCCCAGACTGATCTGTGTCCAATCATTATGGGCTCCATTACAGCCCACGTTAGCACATCAGACCCAACTGATGATATTCATTTTCTGGCCAAATTATACATGCCAGCTTGTGTAGCCGCCACCGTTGACCTTGTAGCTGTGTGCTGCCACACCTGCTACCTACTCCCGGATCCCGTATGTGCCTGGTGTTGGTGGCGGCGAAGACACGACTGCAGCATTAGACTATTCAATCTGTCGCTATTAACTCTCAAATGCCTGCCAGTGGTGGCTTCTGTGTCATGTTGCCACTCCGGCACTAGCACTAACACCCACATCCCTGCCCGGATCAAATGGCAGCGGTGGCTGTAGCAGCATGCTTCCATGCCTGTGCCACTCTCACCAGCTTTGGCCCAACCACCACCACATGTCCTGCCATGCCAGCAGAAATGGCTAACACCGCCCCCCCTACCCACTGTTGGTGGCCTGTCATGCTCATCCCAACATGTCAGATCGGAGTGGGGAGATTTGAGAATTATTTGGTTGCGGAGGGAAGTTGAGCGGGTTGTGAAGTGAGATTTGGGAAGGCAAAGCTAGGACATGGGGATGGATATGGGAAGGGGAGGGAGGAGGACATAGGGAGAAGAAGTCTGGGATATATGGACTTCCAGACCAAATCCTACCTAAGTTTGGGGCCAGTCCTACCAAAAATGACTCAGCTGGATGTCCAAGCCCGTGCCCTTGTGAAACCTGGCCAGGCCAGCTTTCTGGGTTACCTGGCCTAGTTTCTCGCCCGATAAGTAGATGATCTGAGATTTTACATTAAGTTCATAAACCAATAGGACTCCAAGAAACGTAGTATTTTAAGTATTGTCTGCATCCGTTCGTTCTTTTTGCTCTTGTTGCCCTGTGATAAGCAGTCATGCATTTTTAAGATGAAATATTGGAGATTACCGAGTCATGCAATGATGCCTGCTAGGTATCGTTGAAAGTTCAATAACTTTCAATCTAGTGCTCATAATTCCATTTATGCTTCTACGTGGCCATTTTGATGATATCAACGGTATTAACTTCAAATATAAACTAAACCAGGAAGATTCCACACAGACTATTAAGTTAGTGCAGTGGTGATTGTGCAGAGTTCTGCCAAGGCGTGAATTGTTGACTCAGGCCTGCACCAAAAATGTTACTGTAACCATTTCATGACAGCAGTTCAATGTAGACTGGAAATTTAATGGAGTTTATCTCAAATCTATCTATTCAAACATTTGGATTTTTCTTCCTTTATTAAAATGGGAGCCACTTTTTCCATGCTACTGGTAACTTCTTTGCTGGTTACACATTGGTTCCCCTTATTACGTTTTTTAAATGCTGAACTCTCCATCTGCTCTTGTGCTAGAGCGCATCCTGAACTTCACACTATATAGACCTTTCCCTGTCCTGTGAAATCCGCTTTTTTTATTGTGCTTTGGAACAGAATAATGAAAGCTTCTGCTTCAAATACCCCCCCCCCCCTAAATTTAGATATAAGAAGTAAGAAATGATTTGCATACTTTTCTTTCTATTCCTGTACCATCTTCAACAAGAAGAAAACTAACAATTTTTCCTTTTCCTCTCTAAGTGGGTCAAATTAGTTGTGAACACATTTGGAGAATGCCAACAGAGATACTTTTAGAAACAAGGAAAGATAGGCAACCACTAGACTCCATTGTAATTTCACAAATGTTCTCTTATTGTTTTTCTTTAAAGTTAGAAGACCCACTATAGATTTGTTCAATTTTAAGGGCGAATTATTTCGCTAAAAATATATTTCAATGGTCTTATCCTTCTAACAAATTTCTATTATCTCCGTAGAGAAAACAATTGGATCTCTGAGATCTTTATGGCCATGATTCAGTATTTCTCATAAACTATTCTCTATCGGTCTTTGTCCATATATTGAATTTTCCGACTAATTACCATTCAAAAGAATTTCAAAATTAATCATTTTATTGAATTTTTCTGTCGTCTTTTCTAATGGAAATAATTAGTTAGGCCTGAGACTGACAATTGATCAGTTCTACACTAGTGAATAATTTTTTTATTTTCTTTCTGCAGGAAAAAATCGAATCTTCTACTGATGTTCTCGAGTCTATTCTAAAACCAGTGGTTCATGGAGATGAAGAGATTTCTTGGCCTCCGCGAGACCCCCAGGCCATTGTGTTGATGGAGAGAGTAAGTGATGTATTCTCCAAAATGGTTTTGCTGTACATTTTGCTGAATGTCAACTGGACCTTAACTTTCATTTTTAAAAGCAGCCTTATTTTCCTTAGCGTGCTGATGTAAGAAGTTTATAATCCATAAGACCTTGAAATTCCTTGGTTGGTCCTTCGGTATTTTGTATGTGTACTATACAAAATCCGGATTAATTCTTGTTATTTTTTTAGTACATTTATGTGTGACTGCTGAGAGAGTAGTTAGCTTCATTTTTAATATTCATGTAATGCCTGGAATGCATTAGACTTTCAACTTTAAAAGGAAACTCCATTTTAAATGTGGAAATCTGTTAAATTAAGACAGCATTGATCGGTAGAATTTAAAAGTGATAACCAAAATGCGAATTATATGTGGTGGGTCCTTCAGAGCATTGCAAAACAGATCAGACCGGGGTGGTTCTGACACAATAAACCTGACAAGAGATTCAGATTGGTCTGACTTCTGAGCTGTGCATACCCTTAGGTTTTTTTGAAAAAATGAATATTTATGTGTAAAGTTTTATTTCACAGATCTAGCTTAATTCTGTCCATCAAAGCAGCACCTTCCAAGCACGTCAGACTGAACTAGCATTCCCCCTAAACCACTGAAATGTATGCTTCAGTTTCATTTGTTGTTGTTTTTTTTTTTTTTTTTCCTCTTAGGAAATGGAGCTAAAAGACCAAGAAGGGCAATTAGATGAAGGATTTCTTTCAGAGGTGAACGCTCAATTGCGGCAGGTGATTTCTATGTTCGATTTAGCATATGTCATTTATTTCTTGTTCTGTTTGATTTTTTCTACTTTAGTAGTCTAAAGTGCAACCCGATGTGAGAATCGAGTTCAATATGTTTGAAAGAGATAGGTTTGTTAACTTTACGATATGGAGAAATTATAGGATAATCCATAATTTAGCCTGCATTAGATATAAAAAAAATTGTAGAATCCATGCTGATTTGATGTGACAGGTATTTGTTAGTATGTCTAAACCATGATGCACCATGTATAGGAACTCACACCGTGATAATGAGAATCATGAAAACTTGTAACCTGAGGGAATATTGGGAAAGATCAAGTAAGGTTATCTCCCTGTATATGGGATGATAAATGTCAGTGAAAATGGTGGTGGTTTCCCCCTCCTCAGTCCGCTGTGACAGAGGAAAGCCGTCCTTCACTCCATCTGTTACCCTCTCTTCGTGGCAACAGTATTTAAAGCCTTTCATATGCATTCTCTCTGTCACTTGCCGTTTCCATCAGAATCTGCCTTGGGATAAGCTGATCCCAGCACAATCTTAATTCCAGTTGGAATTAAAAGAACTGGCAAAACAAGGGTAGTTTAGCTTGAGAACAGAGTTTTTGTTCTATTTTTCGCCATCCCTATTCACCTGATTCTGGCTTTTAAAACATAATTACTCTCTTCATAATAACTTTTGTTATTTTATGTAATTACACCGGCTTTGGCTGAGTCCCTCCTAAACTGGATTGGTTCCAGTGAACCTCAGTCTAAATAATCCAATAGTTTATGCGTCCCATGTGCTTGCCATGCTATGTATTCTTGAAATATCATTCATTTGTTTGTTAATTTTTCTTACCTTTGTTTTAAGCTTTGAAAATACACAAGCATACTGCCTGTTTACACGCAGGCATTGTATCAATAGCTTGTCTCTTATCCTGAACCGTGTTTATTGAAATAAAATGAATTGAGATCAATATACAGTGGTGCTTGTTGTTTTAACGGGTCTTGTATGAAAGATTTTTCCTTTTTTTCTCTTACCCATATTTCCTAGTAATTAAAAACATAAATAAAGATTGATGCCTCTGCCAGGTTAAAATTGGGCCCAGATCATTCTATGGGGTTGTTTTTGTAATGAAGCAAATTCACAGACGAGACGATTTTCATTGTACTGCCCTGCAAAAGTCGGAAAACAGTATTACCCAGTTGTGACATAGCTGAATAATAATGTTTAATTTAACCTATGAGAAATAGAATAAAGGAATGCGACTGTGATTCTGGAATTATCCAGAGATACAGTACACTGTTATATGAGATTTTCCGCTTTTCGTAGGGTGAATTATAATCAGATTTTTCTTCACATTTAAATGCAAATAAAAGACATCACATTGAATATGCCACACTGTTATATAAGATTTTTCGCTATTTTTTGTTACTTCCACTCGAGGATACCTTTCAAAACTACATTGAATATGCCACACTTTTCAAATCTCTTGTAGGAATTATTTATTCATCTTTCTCATGCGATTTCAGAAAACTATTTGCTTATCTAGTTCTCTTACTCACTTTTACGTATATGAAATTCTATGGTTGTCTTTTTATCTTGACCTATTCTTAGTCCTTGGCAGGCGAAAGAGGATGGAGATAAACCAGGGCTTGAGGCTATGCTGCAGAAGGTTTTGCAGATCTATGCCTCCAAAATGCTGTCCAAGCGTAGCTATGCGAAAAAAGGTGATCAGCTTCTCTTTCTGCTTAACTCCGCTGCAAGAGGCTGTGCTATTTCTACGACCATGTGTATATATGCTTGCTTACAGACGTCCTAAATAATATCACTTGCTAAATAAGATGGTTTGCAGTGAGGCGGTTTACTTTTCCTTGATGCAATTGATAACGAGTGGCAATCTACTGATGATATGGTGGTCAGCTAGGGAGAGATATGGCCCAAAATAAAGGGTTTCGTATCGTTTTTTCCAATTTGAGGAGGTAGAGAGAGAGAGAGGGAGAGATTGGGGGGGAGGTGTTTGAGTTAATGGAATCTGTTTGTTCAACATTGCTCACAATTTGGACTGTTTAAGCCACCCGTCATACAAATGACTGTTTATTCATAGATTAGATTATTGGCCCCAATATTTTTTGGATTGTGTAATATCTTCGTAATTGATTCCATCAATAACTGTGATAGCTTTCTTCAATTTTTCTCATGGTATTGCATTTTTTCCCCTTTATTATTGCAGTTATTTGCTTTGTACTTCTTGTGATTATCTGCCCCTGTTCCCTTGTCAACCGCAGTGAAATCCTTCTTAGTTTCAAAAATCCCCCTTTTAATTAATATATTATTCTGGTTCAGGAAGCGAAATTCTGGAGGATGAAAGCTTCCTGGAATCCATAATTAAAGGTACTCATTCGACATCCTTCAGTATGATCTCCCGAGTCGAATTCAGTTGATATTTTGCTTAGATATTCCAGGTTATCACTTTTCATAAGATGGAGTCTTTGCATTCAGTCAGGGGGCTTCCAGATTGAACTCATCTCTCATTATAGGAGACGGATCCCATAGGATCCTAGGACAGCGGTGCAAAACAGAGGGGAATCAAGAGAGAGAGAGAGAGAGAGAGAGAGAGAATGCTCAGAAATAAGAGGGGAAAATAGGACCGGAAGAGAGGAGACGTAGAGGGGGAGGGTGGGTTCCGGAGGAAACCCTAAAATTTAACATGGCCCATCTACCATGAGCCCTCCTATATCTTACCCTTCCCTTTACACAATCATACCTTTCAAAGGCATTAATCAGATATCTTTCATGTGGTGGAGTGGCTTATATATGCCGACAGACTCCAAGAAAAATTGGCTTCTAATCCAAATTGAGAATGCCTGAGCTGTAAAGACCATGCAGGGCAAGCCACTTAGCCATGTCAATGACTAATAGGTTCTGTGCCAGTGGACTTACCGAGCTATTTCTATTTTGGGTACATAGTTTGCATGCCCTGGATGCATTTCTTAACATAAAAGAGAATGATATCGGAACCAACAACAAAGCATTATAAATCTGCAAAGCATGAAATGAATCAATGATTACAACAACCATTGTACAGCATTTTAAACCTGTAAACCATGAAGGAAATCAACGTCGATCAAGATTCATCTAACCATCCAGAAGGTACGTCTTTCACCATGATCGGGCATTATGATTGTGTAAAGCGCGGAAGAAACCAGCTTCTATTATTAGTAGCGCTATTTCAGTAGTGCTGCAAGTGTTTTCCCATGAATGTTCTCAAGAGTGTACGGTGTTGTCCTGTTATAGCAAAAACATGAACAAGAAAGCCATCCAAGGAGCATGGTTAGTCATCAGATGCTTCCATATTTGGGGTGTAATTTCCATGTTTGCACCGCTCTTGTGATGCAGCACCAGAAGAGATTTGGAATAAGATGCTGATCGATGGGCTCACTGTTGGCAAGGGAAACATTTCACCAGAGGCTTTATATGCCGTCGTTAAGAAGAGAATCGAAAGAACATTGATACGGACGGTGATATGTTCATCCATATTCCTATATATGGTTTTTTTTTTTTTTTTTTTTTTTGCATGCATGCATGTTCTTCGTCACTGGAGTGTAAAATAATTATTTGATCATTAACCCAGGAAGGAGGCTCCTACCAGCAGCGCATCTTGGTCGAGTATCTTCAAGGGATTGAATCAAGAGCAGAGGAAATCGTGCAGGTCTTCCAAGGGAAACAATCATGAATAGAAAATTTCCCTTGATTTTTTTCGCAGTGTGGTTGAATGATAATTGTTTTATTCTTGGAAGGGTGTAAAGAGCTGGGTTTGACCAAAATGGACCATTTCCTAATAATGGTGATAAATATTGCTTTTAGGTGCCGTGTTCGTTCATATAAACCCAAGTCACGTGCTCTCCTCTTGAAGAAGAGATCAACAAGCAAGATGCTCTTGTGTTCTTCGAGTCTCTTTGAAGCTACCCAGAAGTCATCTCAATTTTACCACCAGGAATGGAAATCAGGGATGGAGAAAGTCGCCTCCTTTTTTCAAGGAAAACAACCATAAATAGAAAAAGACCAGGTGAAGACCAGTGCCCCCCCGCCCCCCCTCGCTATAGGACGGGCATAAAACATGAAAATCCCCTGGGATTGGAGAGAAATAATTTATTTTTATTTTTATTCTTATTTTTATTTTGGTCCTTTGACGACCTCCCTCACATCTATATTTTATTTGTCCCTAGATTAGACCATCATTTAATTATTTAATACAAATGAGTTCCATTACTATTAAGATAATTATACAAAACTTGCAATCATGCTCCATAAATGGTTATACCATCTTTACGAGTACAATAAAAAAGGCCTGATTTTTTTTAAAATGGTACTTCATTATAATTTTAAAATTCAAAAATAATACCCATCACAATATTATTTTCAATAATTTAGAATTTAAAAATTAAGGAACATACTAGATCTTGAACACAATAAAACCCATTGCTTTGGAAGACACTATAGCAATCTAATGTCGTATGATTCTATGGAGTACATATGTTTGATTATTTTTCATGATCAAACTTTACACTGATCAATAAATATCTCTTGATGATTTATTTGACCCAAGAACAATTAAATATAATTTTATCTAATAAAGCATTTCCTAAAGAAAAATAAAAAAGGCACCTCGTTTTTTATGCAATCTTGGATTTGGCAACTTGTGGATAGAAAAAGAACTTTCTGACTTAAATATTCAAGTGAAAAGGGTAATGAATAAATAAAGCTAACTTTATACTGATCAATAAATATCTCTTGGTAATTTATTTGACCTATGAACAACCATATCGATGAAATAATTTGATATGACAAAAGCATTTCCTAAAGAAAAATAGAAAAGGGCACCTTCTTTTTATCTAATCCTGGATCAACAACCTATGAATCTTTGGATTTGAATATTCAACTAAAAAGGGATATTGAATAAATAAAATATTTAAATAAACCAACTTTACGATTCAATTATTAGCATAAACGATGGTGTTGGATTATAAATTCATATGAGGATTATGGAGCTTAGTTCTATAATAATACAAGTTGGGTGGGACTGATTAGGGTTTAAGGAAGGTTTTTTTAATCTGAGTGGAGGTCCTGGAGGCCAAGCCTCCATCTTCCTCGTTTAGCAAGCAAAGGCACACGATATCTTACTTATGGGGTTGTAAGTGGATACTTCGCTTGTGGGTATATGTGAAAATAAACTTGGAGTAAGGTACAATTGAAAATAAAAAGTGGTAAAAGTAAAGTGAGCGGCTAGTGGGGGATCTGTGTTGAGGCACGGCTCTGCGGTTGCCGCCGGCGGGAGGGGAAGCTCCATGGCAATCGGCACAGCTTCATCGGTCGCCGGTGGGGCGGCATCGGCAGGCCCCGTGCTCCTGCTTCTGCTACTGGTTGCGTCGGCCACTCGGCCCGTCGCGGCGCTCAACTCCGCTGCTGCCTTCGTCCAGAACGCGGTCTACTCCAACAGGATCGCCATCTTCTCCAAATCCTACTGCATGTGAGTTCCGAAAATTTCCTATCGGAAGATCCAGATGGTACTGTTTATCGTCTCCTTTTTTCCGTGGGGTAGATTTCAGTGATTGCCGGGAGGGGTTTGCTTTCCCTGAATGGGGACGTACCGGGGAAGGTTCACGTTTATCTGTTCTATTTGACCGAGGTTTCCATCTATTTTGAGAGGAAATTGCTTCTATAATTTTCACCACAAGACATCCTAGGAGGCCGATTGATTGATATTTGATTATGATTCAAGCGCCGGTGAATGTGTGGGCACTTCTCTTACTTCTCAATTTCCCAGAAGAAAAAAGAGCAGAAAAATGGTGAAAACATCGGATATTTGATAAATTGATGAAAATTTTGGAGTATTTATGCCTTTATCAAGAGCATATGTCGTTTAATTTGAAAGGATTAACTTTCATACATTATCATCACTGATTCATTTATGGATAGGCATCATACTACATAATTCACAGTAGGATTTATGCAACGCAGTTCATATATTTGGAAACATGAGTTACTTCATTTGATATTCTGCTAGAGAAAATTATCATGATCACTCCTTTCCTCCTCTTCATGATTTTCATCTCCCAGGAGTCTGAGAAAAGCAACTAATCGCGAAAGGGTAGATGAAAATGCGGTTGGCAACCATGAATCCATTGTTTTAATCCTCGAGCCTTTTTTGAATTATCTTCTATAATTGATCCAGGTTGTTGGCCTTCTCATCTATCTGTGGTCTTCAACGATCTTGATAAACTACCCTTTCAGTTTTTCATCAGGTTCCATGATCTTGGAACCTTCAGATAATTGGATATTCATAACTTTGGAAGGTGCTTTCCCTCCCTCGATGAAAACCATTTTCTACTCCCGGGTCAGAAGCCACATGGCATTCTTCCTCTTAGTGCTTCTTCGCGAAGATTCGTTGGCTTCCTGTACATCACGTGAGACACAAGTATTCTGTCCTTTGAATAATGCAACAGCCTCTTTGGGTCAAAACTATATCTGTTCCTGGTCAGAAAATAATAAAAATCGTGGATTGGATGGGGACTCAATCCCTTCCTGGGATCGGAATCCGTGGGTTCCTGGATGATCTAGGCGTTGTTTGAATGATCATAACATCTGATCCTGGATCATATCAGAAATGATTTTTTTTTCTTTATTTTTAGTTAATGGTCAGATGTTTGGGCCACCAGAATTTCTTTCCTTTACTCCTTTTTATTAAGATATAATTCGATAATTTTTGGAAACTCTGTTTCACTAAAAAGATCAAATCATTTTGTTCAAGTAGTAAGTAAAGATTCATATATTATGAAATTTACAGTTGTGGGGTCGCACAATCCCAGAAACCCATTTGTGCGCAATGGAAATCGACCTGATTATCATGCAGATTCTTTTGAAAAATAGGGCCCAAGGTCTGAGAAAAAGATAATATAATTATGGCTTTCTGATACCAAGAAATGGGTGGGTACAACTGCAGCAAATAGCTTGCATTAGTAACAATAATTAGCTATATTTTGAAAACAATTATTTTGAAAAAATAGGGCCCAGGGTCAAGATTCATCAGCTCAAAGAAAATAAAAAAAAAAGCTATTTTTTTTTTCTGATACCAAGAAATGGATGGGTAAAACTGCAGCAGATAACTGGGTAAAGTTCTTGTACCTGGGTCAAGATCGATTGAATTTTTTGGCAAATTTCTCAGGGACACTGCTATCATTTACGATACCATTTTTTTTTTCCTCTCTGGCCGTTGAATCATGTTGATGATCCCTTCGTACCATTCATATTTCTTCAGGTATTCCATGAGAGCCAAGCGTGTGTTCAGCCAACTACAGGAGACGCCATTTGTTTCGGAGCTCGATCAGAGAGGTTCGAATCCCTCCCCAGAAGCCACGCTTGGTTATTTTATTTTATTTTATGATTAAAAAAATATAGATGGGAATCTCTGGGTGTTTGTTGTTTTTTTTAAAAGGTATATCATCCCATTTTTAAAGCATAATTTCTGAGGGATTTCCTCAACGTTGACCCGCAGACGACGGGCCCCAGATCCAGAACGCTCTCTTCGATCTCGTTGGTCAATACACCGTGCCGCAGGTCTTCGTCAACGGAAAGCACATCGGCGGCTCCGATGGTCTGAAAACTCGCAACCCACCCTCTCTCTCTCTCCACGATCTTCAAGTTTAGTTTTTTAGTCATGAATTATTATTGTTTTTGACTTTGCTAGATACCCTGAGGCTGTTGGCGTCCGGTCAACTCCAGAAGCTTCTCGAAACGAGCTAGCGGGCCCGGCCCGGGCCCTAGGAGACGATGATGATGCCCCTTTTCTCAATGTTTACCTCTCACGTTCTCTTTATGCGACGTTAAGTGCTTAAAACGAGCTCCGGGCCCGGCCCGTTGATGGACAGCCACGTTAGGATGGGAGGCGTGGAATCACGTTGCGGCTGTGTGATAATGGCGTAGTTATGATCTCTGGCGCTTCCTTTACGGAAGGTCTCCGCCGCGGGCCCCACGGACTCTGCAACCTTTGAGACCACGTGATGCTTGGCAGATGTGCATGTGAACAGTGAGAGAGAGCGGCATTCGGGTGGGAATCGAAGTGGCATCAGAAAGCGACAAAGACTTCCCGCTCTCGTTCCATGTGGTGTGGTTCCTTGTGTCTGTGGGCGCACGCACGCCGTGCATGGCGAATAAGACAAAGATTGGACAGAGAACAAGGTCGGCGACCGGCCACCGCCGGTCTCCACCACTTTCTCGGCTTTTCCACGGGGATCGGGTGACCGGCCGATCCGGTGGAGGACGGCACCGCAGTTATTATTACTATTCCCGCTCATTCTCCCCCCACTACCGTGCTCCCATTCAAACTCACCGGGGGGGGGTGGTGGGCGGCAAGTTTAAACTCTACGGTACGACAGCGCCACGTCAGCCTACAGTCGCCGGCGGCGGGGCCCTCGCCGGCAGCGCCGCCCGTCTTGTCCTCCTCCGCCGGCTTGTGTTCAGCGTGGTGAAGAAACTCCGCCGTGATTGTAGAAAAATCGCCGACAGGTTTACAGCTCTGCTTTCCACCTACGTCTTTCCAATTGGTCGGTGATTCTTCTTCTTCTTCTTCTTCGTCCGCCTCTTGTCGCTTATTTTTTTTTTCTGTGGAGCATGTGAGGTTCTGACGGATCCTTTGCTTCTTCAGGCATTCCTCACCTGCGCCGATTCCATTCTTCCCCTTTGCTTCTGGTTGAGTCTGCGGCGGCCGAGGGGGTGGGGGGAGGGGCTTGTCGGCGGAGGGGCGGGGTCCGCACCGGATGGCGGGGCAGCCTTCTTCTTCGTCGTCCCGGGGAAGGAGCAGCTCTCCCTTCGGCCACCGGAAACCGTACCCGAGCTCGACGTTCTCCTACACTTCGTCGTCCTCGTCGTCGCTGATGAATGGGAGGCTCATCCCGCGATCCTCGCCGTCGTCGGTGACCTCTCACCATTTTGGAAATGGCGGCGCAAACGGCTTCCCCAGATCTGCTCCACCGGGGCGCGGACGCAGCAGCGGCAGCTCTGACCACCTGTCCCGCGGGTATGGGGGCAGGGGAGCTCTCGACTTCGCGTCCACAGATGAGCAGCTGGGCGAGGCCGCTGGGGACACGCCCCTATCCGGTGATAGTATTGCCGTTACCGTCAGGTTCAGGCCGCTGAGGTAAATAAGGGATGCTGTTAGATCTGGCGGAGTCCTGGATGATCTCTCTCTAGTAAATTGGGAGATGTGGATTCCGTTGAGGACTTCAGCATTGTGAATTGCATGCTTGCAGCGAGCGGGAATTTCAGCGCGGGGATGAGATTGCGTGGTATGCTGACGGTGACAAAATCGTCCGCAATGAGTACAATCCAGCTACGGCTTATGCATTTGGTAATGTGGTCGAGTTTCTTATACTGTTGCTTTGCACATTCTTTCGGATGTCGGGATTGGATTAAACAGAAGAAGATCCATCCGAGGAAGCAAGAATATGCATGCATATGCAATTTAAAGCTAGAATTTTGAAAGAATGTTGCAGAGTATTCTTTTTGTAATCTATGACCATAAAGTCAACATATAATTATTTTCATTATCATACAGTCTATGAGGAAACGTCTAATTTCATTTATGACAAGGGATTTCAAATTGTATCTAATATGTATCTGAAGACGAACTAAGGGATTGGTCTATATGTTTGTAAGGGAGAAGAATGCAATCGAACGACCTGTGAGAATTGTATGAATGAGAAATGAACATCCCATACAATAAGACCTAGGTATGAAAATTGATGTTGTGCTGGTCAGTGGAACTTGGTAATCATCATTTTATAAATACTTACAGAAGGATAAAACACACGAATTTTTGATCTTACGAAATGAACTAGGCTTTTAATTAGTGTCTATTGGCGAGGAATTGTCAAATCTTTCTTTCTGTTGAAAATAACTTTATGCAGGAAGATTATACTACGCATTTGTAACTCAGAACACTTACTTTTATGAGAAAAAATCATTGATTTGCAGATCGAGTTTTTGGTCCTTCGACGGCTACAAAAGTGGTCTACGATGTTGCAGCAAAGCCTGTTGTCAAAGCTGCTATGGAAGGAATTAATGGTGCACATTTGACTTCATTTACCATGCTGTTACTTTGATATTGTCTATTTGTGCTATGTAATTCCTGGAATCGTATGCATGCATGTTTAGAAATCTGTGGAAGAAGATGGATCCGTCCTTTGTTAATTACTTTGCTGGTTTGTGTTACTGTCTAATAGATGAAGATAAAAAACTGGCCATTCTGTTTTCTGACTTAAAACTCGATTTAGTGAGATGAAAAGAACAGATTGCCCCCCTTCTTAGCAGTTAACAACTACGGTTAGCATTACTGTGGAGAATATTGTGCTTGATGTTACATAGTTCATTTCTTTCATATTTGGTGTTGCTAGCCTCATTTTTTTTTTCTTTTGACAAATTTGTTGTGTTGAGAACTGTGCCATGGTCAGTCATGCTGAATTTTGCAGCGAGGAGATTTTTTTTCTTATTGTGCATTTATGGCAGATTCGACACTTTTCTTTTCGTTATATTTTTATATATTTATTTGAAACTCGGTTTTCATTGTGGACTGTGTAGATATCTGAGGTGTATTTGTGATTCGGGTTATGGATGTGCTAGTATAGATCCAAAGTAGGCACCAGCTTTGTATGGCGATATTGCCTTCAATGTTGACTGCACAGATGGGTAAACAGAATTAGAGAATTTGCAGAATAGAGGGAAACTTGATGCTTTCTAAGAAAATGAATTTGCTTCATACTTCCATAATATTCCATCACATCGGTAGGATATCTATGATAGATGGTCATTGAAATAGGCTTATGGTAACGACCACCGTGCTCACGCTGATCATATCATGTTTCTGTTGATACTTGACACTGAAATGACTGGGTCAATGATATCCTTGGTTTAAAACTGAACTACGACCGTTAATCATTGCCAATTCGAAATTCAATTTCCAGAGAGCTTAGTTCCAATATGAACTATACATGCAACATGCCACACATTCATTATAATCCGGGACAATCTCTTCCGTGCCAAAACAAAACCTGTTTCCCTTTGAAATTCCTTTATTTTTCCTTGTTTAATGTATACAACTCGTGACACTCATGTATGTATCACAATATGTCTTTTGTTTGAGCTGGAAAAAGCACATGTAAAAAGAGAACTTCGTTGGGAAGACGATATGCTTAGTTTCATTGTCCACGATGAGTATTAGTTTAATTGATTTTCTTTACAGTGCTTATCTTAATTTACAATCAGATTTCTAATTGTATGCTTTTTTATTGGAAATACAGGCACTGTTTTTGCTTATGGTGTGACTAGTAGCGGAAAGACGCATACGATGCATGTAAGTTTACATTTTTTGATGTTTAAGCGAAGTGCCATTACTTTGAACCAGTTAGACAAGAAGGAATGACTCTTCATTTCATTGGGTCCTACAATAGGCCATTATTTCTCAACTGAATTGTTCATACATCTCAATGAACATTAAGGTCACTGCACAATGTCAACCATTTATTTGCATTGGATTAGGATTTATTACTTTTTGAGACATCTAAAACTGTTAGAAGCTTATCAATCTTATATTAGTTCTGCACAATTCTATGTTCATTTCATATTCAACTGTTGTACCGTTTTATGAGTGCACCTTCAGCTGCATTTCTGCTGGGCCTGACTTGCAATGGATCCATCATAGTCCCTGTCTATTTACTTGCTGGAGTGGTAGTACTTCGCACAATGTTAACATGGTCTTAACATGTCGTAGCTCACCTTTCTTTCTTGCTTAACCTGCACATCATTAAGTATTACATGCAAAGAGTACATTTATCATTATATCTGATGACCACAATAGATGATTGGGATGTGTTTTGGTTGTTTGATCTTCATTATTTGATGTTATTTCTAAAACTAGATAAGTCACCATAATTGTTGGAATGAGGGTGAAGACTTTGCAGAACTTTTCCTCTTCATTTTTGGTTAGTTATAATCTCTAAATATGGTCTCTAGTTTTGCCTATCTTAGTCTTTGTCACAGTGTAACTTTTTTCCTTCTTTTTGAATAATGATTGTGATTCAGTCATCAATAGAGAATACTTGTTTCTTGTCCATGCCAAATTCTTTGTTTCTGCTTAAAAAATGATTATTATTTTTCACCATGTATGTACTACTCTCTCTCTCACACACACGCATACACGCGCAGTGGGGTTGCATATGTCGCTTTGGATAACTTAAGAACCTCATTTCTTTGTTTTTTCACTTTGTTATGATGAAGGGTGATCAAGCATCTCCTGGCATGATACCTCTGGCCATCAAAGATGTCTTCAGCATGATCCAAGATGTATGAGTATTTATATCTTTATCTCTTCTTGCGTTCTCGTGAAATTTTCTATTAAAAAAGTGTCTTTTATTTTGTCTCATTGTCTGCTGTGATTATTTTACGAAGTGATGGCTGATTTTCTTTGCAGACTCCTGGACGAGAATTCCTGCTTCGTGTTTCATATCTTGAAATTTACAATGAGGTTAGTGTCTCTCACTAAGTTACATATTTGCATTTAAGAGATAGGATCTTATGTAACCCTTGCATCTAATGATTGACTTACGATGCAGGTCTACATCTTTCCATTATGTATTATCCTTGAAGTGTCTTTTTTATGTGCATTCGTCTTGTTAGGGCATTATATCATAATAAATCCATTTTTTATCTCATTAATTGTATTACTGAAACTTATTATTTTGATATTTTAAGTAGCTCCATGTTCCGTCTATGAAAATGACTAACTAGTAGAATATGTGGTTTATAGGTGATCAATGACTTGCTTGATCCAACTGGCCAAAATCTGCGTGTTAGAGAGGATGCTCAGGTTTGAAGTCTAAATTGTCTCTCTCTACATTTTTTAAAACCCGCGAAACGAATGCTATCATGAAAAAACTAAGAGAAAAAATGACCATTGCCTTGTTATATCCCACCACCATGTGTGCCCTTTTTTGCCATGCACATGCCTTGTAAGTAGCAGATGGCTCTGGTTATTTGTGGAGCATAAATGCATTACAGTAGAACTATTTTGGATAAATTCTCAAAATGATATATTTTATCATAGAAGCTCAATAAGCCTCTTGCAACGTGCTAATTTTTTTACAGCAGTTTTGATACAAAATATGTACGGATTTGATAACTGGAGAAATTTTTTGTAGATGGCAATTGGTATGATATTGTTTATGTATTGCTATCAAATGCAGGTATTAATATTTTGATGATGAAATGCCATATCGAGTTCATGATGGTTACACATCTTCGTGTCATTGAATATTTTTTTGATAATCTAGGACGTTGAGAATGAATTTCTGATTTGAAACTGAAATATAATCGTGTAGATAGTAGAGTGAGGCATGCTTCCAATACTCGTGATCTTGTGTTTAGTATATCTTTTATTTTCATTTTTTATAGTATAAAGCTGCTATTTGTGCTATTTGACTTGATTTGTGTTGAAGAGTTAACTTAGATAAGAAGTATTGCAGGGCACATATGTTGAGGGCATTAAGGAGGAAGTAGTTTTGTCACCTGGACATGCACTTTCATTTGTCGCTGCTGGAGAAGGTAGTGTACTAAGCTACGATATTATTTATTATGTTCTGGTTTCTGCTGTTTTTGCTTTTGTCAATTTTCCCGTTGTTTTTGTTAAATTTTTATGGTGATGTGTGATGTTTGCTTCTTTACTATGTTGTATGCTTGAAGTCATTCGTTTCATGAGTACAAAATTCGTTGGTAGAAATGCCATTTTCTGATGCTGGTTTTATCACATTGTTTCATGGACTAAACGATATCATTCGAGATGGAAATTGTCTGGTGGGCGCTTTAGTGGTCCACTTGGGTAACTGAGTGCCTAGGTTAGGCATTTTCATGGTGAAAGTTCACTTGGAAATGCATGTTTTACACAAGACAGTTGGCGTAAATTAAGACATGGAATTAGGGAGCAAGAGAGATTGGAAGGTATAGATTAGATAACTGTCTTCGCTTACGGGACAGTTGGTTCAGTAATTGCACAAATAGATGCGGGCGCTTGTAGCACATTGCGTACTATTCTTATTGCTGCATCATTAACAGAGCACTAAAGCCCGTATCCTGGTGTCGGTGATTCAACTGTCGTGGTAGTAACATCAGCAGTTACCTATATGGAAGTGTTTCATGCCATGGACTTACCTCATAACAGTTTTCCGGACTGCGTGGGGCATTGATGTGCTTTACACATTATTTCCCCATGAATCGCTGGAACATTTTAACCTGTCCGTTATGATGATCTCAGCCCTTTGCCAACCTGATGGGTGTGGCCATTGTGCATAATTTTTTAGGATGTCATCCCTACACTGCCTTGCCAACTTGTTCTAACATCATCTTCAATGTTTATACCTCTGAAAACAGTAGTTTATCATTAATAATTTTGAGGTGATTATTTCTAACATATGGAGCCATAATGCTTTCCATTTCATGACCATGGCAATGGAACCTGTGGTTTCACAATCTGCGAAATAACCAGCAAGCATACAGTTCCAAGGAGAATTTTACTCCAGAGTACTTCAGCTGCCATTGAATCATGTTCTTAGGTGGTAACTTGTTCGGGACATATTTAAAATCCTTGGGAGATGTATTTGCATATTCATGTTGATTATCTATTTTGTTTGGATTCTGTGAACTCATTTCTGGACAATGTAGATGTAAGAGTCCACAAACGATCACGTCCTTCAAGTTGCACATTGCTTTCTATCACATCGTTTCAAACGAAGTTTCACCATAACATTCCTCTATTTCGAACCGGGTTGGAATTTGATTCAATATGGAATTACGAATAGTCATTGGCTCACTTTGTACTTTCTTCTATTAATCAGAGTCTTTACTGTAAATGGATTTTTCTACTTGATTTATTTGTATCTGTTTAGCCGTTTGCATTTACAGATGTTTTCCTTGTGCTATGAACTGCAGAGCATCGTCATGTTGGCTCCAATAATTTTAATTTATTGAGTAGCAGAAGTCATACAATCTTTACTTTGGTAAGTGCCTATTAATTACAGCTGTGCTTTTCTTATCTTGTGTGTTTTTAATCGATTCTTTGTTAAAAGTTCATGCATGATGTATTTAATTGGTATACCAGTTGAATATATTTTTTGTGAATCCTCTCATACTCCAAAGTTATTCAGGTTAATCTGTTGTGAAGCATATGACAAACTGCATGTGCACAGAAAATGACTCAGCAAGTAAATAAGTCTGGTGATGTAAAATTATTGAGCCTCTTTCTTAGTTTTGTGCCATGGAATTCGGGCATGACTCGTTTAATTGGCGGATTTAAGTTCACGCTACTGATGATGGAAGCAATGTAGTGACAATGGTGTAATTTCATTCAAGGCTGTTCTCTTGTAGTGGAGGCTATGCAAGATGGCAAGATATTCCTGCAAGTATTGTTAATTTTTCTGGAAAAGTAGATATCTTAAGAAGGTTGGCTCACTATCTTTCGTGGAAGATTAAAAAGATCTATCAAACGTGTTTAGAGATAGGCACTGTGCGATTTAATGATCTCTTGGTTTCAACCACACGTTCCCATTTGTTTTTGTGGCTGCTGTGAAGGTTACAGGTTTGTGGACTATGTTCTCTGTGATCGTTCCTTTGGGATTGTCATGCCTGTTCTGATCCACCAATTTGATCTGCTCTAGTTCACTAGTTCATGAGTATCAGCAACCTAGTGAGACTAATTAATTTGATGATATGTCCTAATTCAAACTGTTCATCAGCTGGAACTTCAACTAAACCTTGTGACCCAATTATCAAGTGGCGCTAGGCTTATTCTGGCCGTATAGTCCTTAAATAGAAGAAAACACATAATTTGTTTCAATTATTGTGATCTCCTCAAGGATTGTACACACTTTGCTAGCGTATGGGGAGATGCCACAAGCCTCGTTGAAGTGCGAAGCAGGAAGATGACAGAGTAAAATCATACTGGGAATATTATAATCGTGTTTCACATCTTATGTCAATAAATTTTTTCTTCAAATAGTGAAGTGCGTACAATATAGGGTCAATGTCTTGTAATGTGGCCTTCTTTTTAAGTGCTGATGGTCAATCATGATGAACCTTAAATGAAGTTAAGCCAGTTTTCAGTTAGATAAACCTAATCTATATCGGTCCATTGAAACTCCAAATACATTAAGAAGAGGAAAATGAGAAAGAATGAAAACTAGAGAAAATTATACACGTTCTAAATGATGGAAAATATAGAAAAAGCAGAAAACATCAACTAATGATTGAGGATCTCTTAATACCTATGGGACTATAAGTGTGACCTGAAAGATCATCTTTGGTTCAGTTCTAACTTAGGGTGCTGATTTTACAGAGACCAATGATTTAATGCGGCATGGGAATGATTCATCTTCCCATTCTGTTCCCTGATTTTGATTGGTGGAAGTCTTTGCTATGAGTTGTGATGAGGGACATATGCTAGGAGGAATGATGCAATTTATGCTCAAGTTCGAAGATTTACAAATTATCATTGACAAGGCAGTCATGCCTTTCTCACTCCCTTCTTTCAGACCCTTCTTCATTTTCATTCACTTGTGGCACTATTTCAGTAGTATAGGTGCTTCTGTGCCATGAGGTACGACCATGGAAGTAATTAAAAATAAGTTCTGTAGTTGGACTGTCTTCTACGTCCCTCGATTATTTGCTTTTTCCAAGGGAATGAAGATTCGGGGACTTCATTCTTTTCTGTTAACAAGGATTGAGGGCTAAACGTTCATTGTTCCTCTCTCTTGTATTTAGTATCCTGCTAGATGAGTAGAGAAACATTTTATGATCTATCTTTTTATTTTTTTAGCTATATTCAGCTACTTGTATCTTTGTTTTTAACAGTAGATAAAATTATCTCAAAACGAAAAATGGTTATTTGATGAATATGATCTATTATTTGCACTTATGGCAGTGTTTAGTTTCTCAGTTACCAATGTTATTCTCTAATTCATTTTAAGTTTGGTTATCTTTGTATTCAATTTATGTTTTGCTTTGTGCTTTTTTCTACAGATGATTGAAAGCAGTGCTCATGGGGATGAGTATGATGGAGTGATATATTCTCAACTTGTATGTTCATAGTCCTTTCATTAACATGATTTTACACAATAGTACTATTGGTAATACAAAACCTTACCTATTTTTGTGCTCTCCAGAATCTGATTGACCTAGCTGGATCTGAGAGTTCAAAAACTGAGACGACTGGTTTGAGGAGAAAGGAAGGGTCATACATCAACAAAAGTCTTTTAACATTGGGAACTGTACGCTCTAATTTCCTTTCTCCGTCTAGTTTTCGGTAGTCTAAGGCCATTGAGTTTTTTCTTAGTTGCAGGAGATGATACCTTCTGTGATAATCTAGAAAAGACAATTATTCCTTTTTATCCTTTTATAATATATTATTTGATGTGAATGCAGTTTGTAGCAATCGTTCTTAAATACACTTGCGGCATTAGGACACTGAATAACACCATTTTTTGAGTAAATCATGCCCGGGAAGCTATTTCTGGCTAATTTTCTCTAGACGCCATCTTCTATATCACAGTCGTGCTCTTTTATCTTTTGGATTTTATGCCTTTTTTTTGTTGACTTTGTCTGATAGAAATCTTGATCTTCAATTATAAGGTAATTGGAAAACTGAGCGAAGGCAAAGCTTCTCATATACCTTATCGGGACTCAAAACTTACTCGCCTTCTGCAATCCTCACTTAGCGGACGAGGACATGTGTCAGTGAGTATGCTTGGCAATTTTTTAGTTTCGGAAAAGTAGACCCTGAAAATGTAATTGAAGCATATTTTAAATTATTGATGCTCTTCCAGCCCTTTAGCAATTCTGTCGCATAGCATGTATTTTTTTTCCCTGGGTTAGTAAGTGTCTATCAATTCAAAATTTTACAGCTCATCTGCACAGTTACTCCTGCATCTAGCAACATTGAGGAAACGCATAACACCTTGAAGTTCGCAAGCAGGGCTAAGCGTGTTGAGATTTATGCATCCCGTAATAAGGTAAAATATTCGCACTAACTCCAGTCTCTAGGTCAAAGTGATATCAATGGTGGAGTTGGTTAACTTGAGAAATGTAGTGACTTTTTAAGATCTTTTGATTCTCAGATTATTGATGAGAAGTCACTGATCAAAAAGTATCAAAGGGAGATATCCAGATTAAAAGAAGAACTTGATCAACTGAAGAAAGGTATGGTTGTTGGCATCAATCAGGAGGAGATCATTACTTTGCGTCAAAAGGTATTCTTTTCCTCCGTGTCAATCATCTAAACTTGGAGAAGGCTATAAATCTTAATGTACTCATTCAGCGTTTTGCTGTGTTTAACGCTGTTGTGTCTGCGAAACAGTTGGAGGAAGGCCAAGTAAAAATGCAGTCTCGTCTGGAGGAAGAAGAGGAAGCGAAAGCTGCTTTGATGAGCAGAATCCAAAGACTTACCAAGCTTATACTTGTTTCTTCCAAGAACACAGTTCCTGGATGTCTGAGTGACGTACCCAGTCATCAACGTGGAAATTCTTTTCGAGATGACAATGTAAGTCCTTGATTAATTTGCGAAACTTTTTTCGTGAAATTCTTGATGTGGTTTAATTCTCTATTTTGTTTCATCCAAATTGCTGCATCCCACATGGGAAAAAAAAAGGTTTTTTGTCAGAAAATCAGTTGGTTTGTCTTATGTCCTCACTTGTGTCTGTTCCTCCCATCTGGAGAACGAAACCCAATGTGTTTACAGGGCGAAAGTTTTGCTGAACTGTTTAGATCGTTTCAACTTAAGTAACGATCTTTCCACTCCCAGTTGATTGAGTACCCTAGACTGTTTAGAACCTGCCTATTAAGTTGATTTTTAACCTTGTTTAAACTGAATCTGACAATTCCTAGCTCGTACATGTTTTATGGTTGAACAACTAGGTAGCTGAATCCAGTTGTTGCTTGGTGATTCTGATAAGAATTGCATTGATTCAAGATTGGACGTATATTTTGGTGATTTTGGCCGATTTATGTGTGATCTATGTTCATTTTGATGGCTAAGCCAATTCATATATCTTGAAATCTTTGGTCTCTTTTATTCTTTATGACTAAATCGTGTCTACTCTGAAATATCAAACCACAGCTGCATATTTTCAGAATTATTTACTCTTGATAGGTGACAAACTCTGAGCAGAGTTTTTTCTTGTTTAGTTGTCTCTATCTTGTGGAATAATGCAGAATCTCATGATATCCTGCCACATCTATTTTGTTTAACCATGCAGTTGATGCATGTATCCAGTTATCGCAAGGGATTTGTGAGGTCACCCGTATAGAGTGCACAGCAGAGCAAATCGAACTATTTTGTTTCTTTTACCTATTCTCCTCCCATTTTTCTATCACATAAAGTTGGTTCAATCATGTTATTTGCATTACTCGGGGAAAGATGTTAACGTTGCATCTTAATTTAGACTTTTTTTACTTTTTTGGTGTAGAAAATTGATATTATGAGTGGGGAATCCCCGTTGGCAATTGGAAGCATCGCTACTGATACAGATCCTCTATCCTCCGTTCTTTTGAGCAACGTTAGTACTCAAATGTCTTCTGACAAAGCGAATGAAAATCAATCCTCAGCTAGTAGTCAGGTTGCTGAATCATCTCAAGGAGAAAGATTGGCCGGCACTTATGGTGGTTTCAAGATCCATGCAGTACGTGGTTTTAACGTCTTGCATCTTTCCATATATTTACTCAGTCACAGTGGGAATGCTTTTATTTTTTGTTAACAACCAAATTCTCGGATAATAACTTGAAACCAAACATGTACATTATAAAAGCGTCACATATCATATATTCACATTAATCTTATTTTTTTTTATCGACATCTAACTCATCTATTGAATACATATCGTTGCATAAAAAATGCACATTGCGCTGCCTTTTTGCTTTAGCATGCATTAATAATCCCCTTTTATGGCCATGATGCATGCTGTTGTGAACTCTATTATTATGCTTACTTTCCTTCGACAACTATTTGATTATATAGTCTCATCGGGTATTGTTTACATTAATTGGTAATCCCATTGCAAAGGGTCGTGGCATTCGAGACAGTTTATATCTTCTGGATGGTAGTAGTGGCTGGATAGTTTGCAAAATTAGGACCAAGTTTTTCATAGATTACCAAACAGTTTAATTGTGAGAAGGGTAATTCGAATTTTTCTACTCCATTCCGTTCTTCGTCTAACCATTCTGGAGCAGAAGTGTAGGTCACATAATTGACCAAATAGGTAAGTTTTTTGGCAAACCCAAGTCAAGTCAACGCCTCATGGTAAAGTTGTTGTTATCATCCCCATCAGTTCTAGGGAAAGTACCTTAGCTACCGTGCTTCATAAAGCAAGGTGTCTGGTTAAACACACGTAAGCAAGAGTCATGGGGGCAGGTGGGCATGCATGCTTCTGAAGTAACTCTGAGAGTTTATCAACAATATTTGGATTCTGTCGTCATACAAGGATAACATTTCATTCCGGAACGTTTCCTAATACTTTGGAAGATACTCTAGTTTATTAGGGACCCGCTATGAAACATTCTATATTCCCTATTGTGAACCTCTTTATTGATCTCTCCGACGAGTTTAGACAGATAACATTGCAGGTATATGTATAAAACATCCCTCCGTTTATTTCATATTGTGGGGATTTTTAATCTCTTTTTTTATGGAATGCATTTTTTCCCCTTCTGACCCTTACCTAGTTTATTTACTTTTGACTTTTGTGTTAATGTGCAATCTTTGATTAGTCAACATCGAGTATAAAAAGAAAAACTAATCACCGATGTAATCATGAATGGATCTTAATATGTTAATTCCACTTATCTGAATTTCCTCATACGGCTTTCCAAGAGTTGATTCTTTTCTATTTCTTCTCTTACTACCGAAAATTCCAGCCCGGGATGACTGCGTCAGACCAGAAGGATCTACTTATGGAGCAGGTGAAGATGCTTGCCGGTGAGATTGCGTTCAGCACGAGTACACTGAAAAGGTTAATCGAGCATTCCGCAGACGCTCCTGATGCCTCCCAAACTCAAGTATGAATTATCATGTCGGACGTTTTAGTACTCATGTGGCGTGCTGTTGATTTTAACGAAGAGGGCATCACGTGAGTTGCAGATACAAAGCTTGGAGCACGAGATACAAGAAAAGCAGAAGCAAATGAGCGCCTTGGAGGTCCAGATTTCTGAAATCAGTGAGACCGCAGCGGATAATGCATCACTCCTGGACTTGCAACACGTAAATGCTCCTACTCTTTCCTTTTTTTAGAATTTTTTTTTTTTTGACTTGTTTAGTTTCATGGGAACAGTTCTTCTGAATGAAACTATCAATTTTTATTCTGTGAATCAGAAGGTGATGAAGCTAATGACTCAGTGCAGTGAGAAGGGCTTTGAGCTGGAGGTAATCGTTCCTCTTCTGACACTTTATATAGCTACCTGTTCTATCCGGCTTTAAGCGATTCTTCCGAATGTATGCTATAAGAAGAAGACACAGTTTCTCATAAATTACTCTCCGTTGACAGCTTAGGACCGCTGACAACCGCATTCTCCAGGATCAGCTTCAGGAGAAGGTTGCTGGCTGCACTTATGTTTCCTTTTCTATCTCGTCCAGGTTCTTTGATTTGGCTGCAATGCTTCCAAAAGGGGGTTCTATTTACTCTCCCGTTTTCCTCATCCCCCGTTCTGCAGTGTTCTGAGAACAAAGAGCTGCAAGAAAGGGTGCGCCTTTTAGAGCAGCAGTTGGGTTCAATCAAGGATGACAGATCGTCGGTCGCCTTTGACGGGTTTTCAGAAATTGACGAGCTCAAGAGACTTCTTGCCTTTCGGGTGATTTTCTTTGAACCCCATTTAATTCCTTTTTTTTCCGAAGAAATTCTGTATTATCTGTCCAGATCTGACTCCACTTATGCTGGTTGACTCTACTGTGCCGACTTTTTTTCATCATTCACTGGTTTGTCAACGCCTTCACGCATGCTGAAGTCAACACCACCAGATTGACATCTAGTCTGACTTTTTACCCCCATGGTGTCTGATTAATCGGCTCGGGCTAAAAACAGAATATTTTTTTTAATACACGAGTAAATATGATCTTGTTATCTTTGCCTTTTGATGAACAGAGAAATGTTGCTTTATGAACGGATATCTACGTTTTTTTTTCTTTTTTTTTCTCCAGAGAAAATCAGTTTTTGTAGACCTCCAGGGGTAGTTGTCTCGCTTTCTCTCACCTGCGCGTGCCCTGCCCGTGACAGGATTCTGAGAACGAGAAGCTGGACCTGGAGAGACTTCAGCTCGTGGAAGAGAACACGGGGCTGCGCATGCAGAATCAGGACCTGGCCGAGGAGGCTGCTTATGCGAAAGAGCTGGCTTCTTCAGCCGCCGTGGAACTGAAAAACCTGGCCGAAGAAGTCACCAAACTCTCGAAGCAGAATGCCCGGCAAGCTAAAGAACTGATGGCCGCTCAAGAGATGGCGTACCAGAGAGCCGGGCCCTTGCCGCCCGGCCATGGCACCGGCAGGCATAGCAGGAGAGGCAGATCCACCAGCAGAGGCCAGGAGTTCCTCGGCGGCGCCGCCCATGACGACTTGGAAGAGATGAGGGCGGAGATGGCGGCGAGGAAGCAGAGAGAGGCGGCGCTGGAGGCGGCGCTTGGGGAGAAGGAGGCCACCGAGGAGGAGCTACGGCGGAGATACGATGAAGCAAAGAGGAGGGAGGCGGCGCTTGAGAACGAGCTCGCCGGCATGTGGGTCGTCGTCGCGAAGCTGAAGAAGGGGGCGGCGGCGGCTCTGGGCGGCGCCGCCGCAGAGCTGAGCGCAGACGAGAGGCCCAACCACGGCTTCGACCCCGCCAGGTGCCTGAAAGAGAACAACGACGAGAACAAGGAGACCGTCCTGAGGGAGATCCCCGTCGTGGACGCGTCCCTGAAGCAGGTCAACGGGCAGCTGAATCAGAACTCCGAGCTGGAGCCCCTCCTCTCCCGCCTCAAGGTAAAAGGTCAACCACCTACTTTCATTACAGAAGTAGCGAGCTTGACACGAGGTTCCTCCTCCAGGCCCGGATACAGGAGATGAAGGAGAAAGACACCGAACCCGCCTGGGATGGCGATGCCAACTCTCATGTACGTAAAATCTGCTCTCATGAAACGCCGCTGCCGTCGCCGCCGCAACTGCTGACCCCGTTTTCCGTCTCAGAGTGTAGGCCTTGCTCCCTTGCCTGCGCTGAGCACCCTCTGTGCCGGGCGGAGACTGTAGATAGAAGAATCCTTACCTACAACCACTACAACTACTGCGACTACTACAAGGCGTGATCATCCTCGCGTGCAGGTAATCATCTCAGCCATCATCTCTTGTTCTGGGCGAATCTTCGGAAATGGTGAAAGATTCGTGCTCAGATCCTCTTCGACGCTGCAGGTTTTCTTTAATGTGTCTTTCAGATGAAGAAAGTGTCCATAATTGTGTCTTTGTCTTGATTCTTTCGTGGGGTCATATTTCTTCGACTCCAGAGGCGCAAGGTAAACCCCCCCCCTCTCTCTCTCTCTCTCTCTCGCTATCTCTCTCTATATGTTGTTGGTCGTTGTGCGTTACCCGGTGGGTAAGAACTTGGTGCCTTCTGCCTCTTACAGTGGTGTATAGATAGAGAAAGTTATCGGCATGTAAATGTGAATCATTCAGAGGGGATATTGATAGCCTGGGGAGCTTCTCTCCTTCCCCTCCTTTGTGTGCAAGCCTGACGGATTGGTCGTCTTCGCAACTTCTTACATCAGATTCTCTCTCTCTTTCTCCTACTGAAGTAAATTTGAGCAGAGTAAATGCCCATCTGCCGCAATGGCGCTAGCGGCTAGTTGCATTGAAAGCAGCCTGCGGCCCTATGAGCCTTAAGTAAGGAGATATGGAGGCAGAAGCCTTACTACTATTGTGTACCATCAGAGAGGCAAGACCCGGTTCAAGTCACTAAGCCCTCTGCATTTGAATAAGCCTGTGGTAGCCCACGCCACATTCAATGGCGTGGAGGCCGGATTCCGGTGGCTTTATGCGCAGGCTTTTGGGGGCAGCGTGGTCAAAAAGGAGGGAGCAAGGACCTTGGGGAATGAGTGGTCTGCTTACCATCATCTTATGGTCTTCCCGGAGCTGCTGCCCCCACCACGGCAGCCGGAAGCTCCTCATTTTCTGTGGCTACTATTAGTTCTTGGGGGCCTCCTCGTCTTCTAGCTGCTAGTTTCTTTTTCTGCTTCGTCTTCTTCTATGGCGGGTCGAGGTCCCAGAGTGAGTGGCCTGCTAGGACTGGTTCTGTGCTGCATTGGCTGGCGCCTGGTGCTGCCCGCCAGGGCGTGCCACCCCTCGGACCTGGCGGCGCTGCTGGGCTTCAAGGCCACCGTCGCCGGGGACCCTTCCGGGATTCTCCGGTCGTGGAATGGCTCCTCGAACTGCTGCTCCGCCTGGGCCGGCGTCGCGTGCGACTCCGCCACCGGCCGCGTCGTCAACCTCACCCTCCCGGGGTTCTACTCCGACGGGGAGGGCTTCGTGGCTGATACCTACATCGCCGGAGTCCTCTCCCCTTCCCTCGCCGGTCTCTCCTTCCTCCGGCTGCTCGATCTCAGCAACCTCAAGCAGCTCGGCGGAGTCATCCCGCAGGAACTTGGCCAGCTTTCCGGCCTCACCCACCTGTTCCTCCAGTCGAACAACCTCTCCGGCAGCATCCCTTTCACCTTCGGCCGGCTCCGGCGGCTCCAAGCTCTCCATCTCAGCTCCAATCGCCTCTCCGGTGCCATTCCAGCTTCCATGGGGTCGATGTCGTCGCTGTCCGAGCTCGATCTGGCCGGGAACAGGCTCTCTGGCCAGATCCCGCCGTCGATCGGACGGCTCAGAGAGCTCACGAAGGTGGATCTCAGCGGTAACCTCCTCTCCGGCAGCATTCCGGCGGGGATCGGCGATCTGTGGAAGCTCACGTACCTTGACTTGTCGGAGAACAGGATCGGCGGGCGCATTCCCGACTCCATCGGAGGCCTCTCCAGCTTGCAGGTGCTTTACATGAATCAAAACCAGCTCAGCGGGAGAATCCCCGCCTCCATCTCCGGTATGGGATCCCTCCAGTTCTGTCGCCTCTCGGAGAATCGCCTCACAGGTCCCCTGCCGGCTTCCATCGGCGAACTCAGGAGCGTCCAGCATCTGATTCTGGAGAATAACCGAATCTCCGGAGAACTGCCCCCTACCATGGGCCGGGTCGGCTCTCTCACCGACGTCTTCTTTTCGAACAACCAGTTCACCGGCGAGATCCCGGCCACATTCGGAGACCTGAGGAATCTTCAGACGCTGGACCTCTCACGGAACAGCCTCTCCGGCCCCATCCCCGCGGATTTCTCCAGGCTGGTCGGCCTCCAAAATCTGGATCTCTCATATAACCCCCTGCGGCTGGCCGATCTGCCGGACTGGTTCGCGGAGCTCAATCTCTTCAAGCTGATGCTCGCCGGCACCGGCGTGGAGGGCCCCCTTCCGGCCTGGCTGGCAGAGTCGTCCATCTCCGTGCTGGATCTGTCCAGCAACGGGCTGACGGGGTCGATCCCGCCATGGATCGGCAACATGACGGCGCTCTCCTTCCTCAATCTGTCCAACAACGGGCTCCGATCGGCGATTCCCCGCGAATTCTCCGACCTCTCCCTGCTGATGAACCTCGATCTCCACTCCAACGCGCTCTCCGGCCCCGTCGACGCCGTCTTCTCCAAGCGGACGCAGGATCCGCTTGGCCACTACGTCTCCATCGACCTCTCCGGGAACCGCTTATCCGGCCCGATCAAGGAGAAGGCCGGGCAGATCTCGGCCATGGACTCGGTGGAGGAGCTTCTGCTGTCACAGAACCCCCTGGGAGGGGCGATTCCGCGCTGGCTGGGGAGCCTGCCGTCGCTGAAGGTGCTGAAACTCGCCGGAACCGATCTGACTGGGGAGATCCCGGAGGAGTTGCTCGGTCTGTCGTCGCTGGTGGAGCTCGATCTGTCGGAGAACCACCTCTCCGGCCCGATCCCCCGCCACCGCGGCGGCATTCCAGCGGCGGCCTTCCGAGGAAACCCGGGGCTCTGCGGCGCGCCGCTCCCTCCCTGCAGAAACCACGCCGAGTCGTCGCGGGGGGGACGACGGCGCTTGGCGGGATCGTTTTAAATCCTCACCCCCTCTTCTTCCTAGGTGGGCCAACCGGGACCAAATTCATAGGCCCATAATACATAATGGGCCGGCCGTGCAGCCCATCATGATCTCCGACTCGTCTTTTAAAAGGTAGCGGCCCGGAGAGTCGATTTAGAGTTCATTTTATCGTTTTCTGCTTTGTTAGCATGAATCTACGAGGACCGAACCAGCTTCATCTCCAGATTTTATTGGGCCCGACCCAAAAACATCTGCGCTAAGCCCACATTACGAGAGCAGATGATACACTGCCATCGGAGAAGTCTAAATAGTCAAAAATATACATCATTTTATACCATGGCTAATATTAAATTGTCACATAAATAAAATACTGCCCCTTTGGTCTCTGTGTACCCAACTCAGCGTGGAAAACTGAGATAATATATATATATATATATCGAGAGAGAGCGAGAGAGAGAGAGAGAGAGAGAGAGAGAGAGAAAGAAATCACGCTGAGCATAGATATGCGCAGCTTCAAACTCCTATGTCGCCGGCTGTTTATCGGACAGGGCTTTCCAAGTTGGGGTTCGCTGGGCACATTGCCTGAGGCTACCTCGTCTTTCCATCAATAATGGAGGAACGACGATACGTAAATGTGCAGTTTTGAGAGGAGCATAAACGAAGCCGCAGAAACCACTAGACGACCATATTTGCGCTGATCCAAAAAGGAAAAAGAAAAAAGAAAATAGTAATTAGGGTTTAATGGGTCTTCTCAGGGTAACGATAGAGAAATAGGGCGCTGAACAGAAGTCAACGTAAGAAAGGTAATGAGAGGGAGAAAAGGGGAAGAAAAGCAGAGGGTGATAGAGTTACAGTGATCTGTGAGCTGGTTTTTATGCCACGAAGAAGGCGCCTAATCTTCCAGGAATATTGATGAAATTTTAGGCGTGGCTACACACGCAAGCATGGAATCTCCTCTCCATGGCAGAAGTACGTGGAGGGAAAATACTTGTGATAGAGATGGAGTGCACCTCTCTTTCGCCCATGAATCGCCGACTGCTGCCCTCAAGGTACCTTGAGATTGGTACCTTGAGATTGTGTAAAGAAAGATGACCATGCGAACTGACTGTTGCATTGGATGCACGCGCAGAGAGAGAGAGATGATGATGATGATATGCGAAATGACTGTTGCCTTCGACGCACGCAAATAGAGAGAGGGGAAGAGAGATGATGCGAGCTGACTGTTGCCTCACACGCACGCACGTAGAGGGAGGAGAGAGAGATGATGATGATGATGATGCAGAATGATTGTTGCCTTAGAGATGACAAGAGGGAGGATAAACGGAGAGGCACGCACAGAAAGAGGGAGAGAGAGAGAAAGAGAGATGATGCACAATGATTGTTGTCTTACCAAGAGATAGAGATAGAAGAGATAGAGATCGAGAAAGAGAGAGGGGGAGAGGGAGGGGGAGGAAAAATGGAGAGAGAGGGCGCGCACACACACACACATAGAGGAGAAGAAGGGAGTCCCCATCGGTAATGGGGGACCACTCTTTCTCAGGCTCTTCATTTGTCCCTATCTGTGGACAGAATAAGTTCGTAAAACAGCCAATAGAAGCACACAATCGCGCATACGTCTGGCAACTCTGGTTGACATCATCATCCGCTGAGCGATTATTATTTACCAATAGAAGCAATGTATTTGGCACTTTTATGTCAACGTCAAGGAAGAATGTGATTCTAAAGGCAGGATAATTTATTTCATTAAAATTTTAAAATTGGTAAAACGTTTTAAAATTGCATGACAACTTAACACTTTCTATGCATACGAGCTATTTAAAAGTCTCAAAAAATTTCTAGTCGAGTGTGAAAATATAAATTCACTACTTAAAATATAAAATCATTTTGATAAATATCCGATTGTATCACCCTGCATGATCGATCAGACATCAGGAAACCTGGACTGCACTTGGCTCTAGAGCAAATTCCTTTAGCAATGTGAACTTACGTCACAAGGATGGGATAATAATTAAATGAAGTTTATAAAATTGGTTTTATATAAAAAAATAATTATTCTATATAGGCAATCACAAGGGTGGAAAAGTGTTTAAGCAAGGATTCTTAAAATATTAAGATAATATGCGATACAACACCAACCAAAATTAGTTGAAAAAAAGAATGTCAACGCTGTATTGAGTAAGGTGATCTAGAAGGAGCTTGTGAGGATGATCTAGAATTTATCAAGGAGCATAATGAGTATGAAGAATTTGTGAGAGGCCAGTCTTGTTCACTAAGTGGGGAGTCAATTGATAAAAGAAAAAAACTTTACGACTCATGGGAAGAGGTAGTAGATGGATCTCTAATCTACATTGTCCTGTGCGTGCTTGTGTGTGTGTGTGTGTGAGAGAGAGAGAGAGAGAGAGAGTATGTTGATGGCATCACTCTTCCTCCACTTGAGAGCACTAGGTCGTTTCAAGTGAGTGTCAACGCCTTAATCACCTTCACTACTCAACGCTTGCAAATGGAGAGAGACTACTAGTATTTTGATGCAAACTCTTCCAATGACTCACAATAACAACGGTTGTTCTAATCCAAGCCACCAGAAATTTCAAGAATTTTCTCATAAAAACAACTAAATCCTTAGTTTCGTTCAAGATTACAAAATGTTGTAGAAATAATGTGTATATTTTTTATATATTGGATGATTATGAGATTACTTTCTATGATCCCGTAAGCGTGCATGACAAATGGTGTGATCCATCGTCGTCCATTGAGAACGATCCTCTCCTAAAATACACATTAACAGCATCCTTGATTGGCAAGATTAGGTTAAATGGGTAATGAATAAGTGAGCGATCTAATCCCAAGGATTAGGAAAGCTAGCGATGCACACAGAGGACAGGTTTCACTGCTCTCTCGTGAAATGGGCGGCAAGTTTTAGCGCTATCTCGTGTGATGAAGGGGTTTAACTCTGTTTGATCACACGGCAAGGAGTGGACTAGCATCATCTGGACCCTATAGAGATCAACCATGAGATTGTTGAGTGGTACTCAACAAGGTTGAGTTCTATCCGGCCGAAGAGAATCAGTGGGCATACAACGAGGCCGATTCTTATCTTAGTTTCAGTAGAATTTTTCAGCAGAATTTTTCATTAGATTTTTCAAATTAGGTAACATTTAGTCTAGATTTTCTTATTAGTTTCAGTTACTGTTAGCATTGGTTGTCTGTGGATACTTTTCAAATATGTTTTACACTCATCGTCTATTAAGGAGCCCTCGGAGTTTAGTGAAAACAGTAAAATGAGCCATGACAAAATAGTAGTACTTTCTTCTACAGGAACTAACTCAAGGAACGAGGGAGCCATCTTCTTCAACCTTTTGATGGGGCCATTAGGTTTGCACTCACCACTCGCTTTCTGAAGGAGAGGAGAGGGAACCGTAGTCAACACGGGCACAGGATTCTCCCCTACGTGAGGTTCGATGGATGAGGTAGCAGGCGACCGCGGTGACGACACCCCCCCTATTCTTCTCATGAACAGACGGCGCCACCACCGGACCCAGTGTTCCCTGGTTGTCGCGTGCCGGAGGAAGAAAAAAGCAATTGTTGCGTGGCCTTATTGAGGAGCCTCGCGGGCCCACCCGGCGGCGCCACCGCGCGGGAGGATTCCTGCCTCTGCAACGACCGCGTCGGAGTCCAACGCCAACAGACTACCCGTTGGACCCTCCCCACGCCTCTCTGGCTTCCGTGATAAGGCGGGCGGGTTTCCCTGAAGGGCATGACTTCTCTTCCCCCCCCTCCCACTCCTGGTTTGACGTCAACCCCGGCCACGAAAGACAGTGAGGGATTTCTCAGTCCGGCCAGGAGATGTGTCGTTTAAGGTTTATTAGACCACCGGCTCTCAGACTCCGCGGAACTCTCCCTCTCTCTCTCTCTCTCTCTCTATATATATATATATATATATCTTTCACTATCCATCTGTCGCTGTATCTCCTAAATGGAGGTCAAAGAAAGAGAAACGAGAGTGTGGAGAGAGGAAAATGGACACCGAGCTATCGGGTTGGATCCCATGGAAGTCTGCGTGGAACTTGATGCGAGGGGACGGGTAGGCCGCCGTCAACGGCGGAGGAAACCAGGTAGAGATCGGTCAGCGATCAGTGGCGGCGATTCCCAAGTTCAGTATAATCCAGATTCGAAGCTACCAATCCGGCATGGTGCAAGGACTTGCGGCTCTAGCGGCACCACCTTCCACATGGCCCGCACTTGCTCTAATCTAGATAATAATGGACTTGCAAGAGGCCATTAATAATTTGACCAGTGAGGCTGACTCCGTTGACTAATCAATATTTCCATAATATTTTTTATTGAAACTTTTTTGCGATGAAATTTCTCGAGGAAGAATCCGTCCCCGCGGAAACGCGGTACCATGCGCCCCCCCGCAGGTGGGACGGAGTTTAAACGTGATCCTCGGCACGCGGAACATGACCTGACCATTGAACCCGTCTCTCCGGAGAAGGGCCCACCAAGGGTGAAAATCTTTGACGTGGCCCAGCGGAGGAGGAGATCCCGCGGAGGCGCTGACTAACTGACAGTTGACTAAGTCAGAGCTCCGGATGGCGCGGCATCGGAGCACGTCACCCGCAGGCCTCAGAGGTGGCATCCAACACCCCACGTGGACCCCAGTTAGGCCCCTAGTTCGGCCCCTCCACGGCTCGTCCCCATCTTTCAAACCACGATAACATAAAATACTCCTCCACCCCACGTCTGTCCCCACCTCACGTGTCCTCACCGACCCCAACCCAACACCTCATCATATCCCAGCTAGTATCACGAGCAAGTAAGAGCGAGCGAGAGAGAGAGAGAGTGGGGTGGGTGCGAGTCGAGGGGGAACCCACCATGCTAGAAGAGGAGCGGGTAGCGGGGCGAGTGAGGTCCTGACTGTAGAGGAGGCGGAGAGATGTAAGAATATAATCAAGTATGAACTCGGCATTACAGAGGACACCATCGCCCTCTCTCTCTACGTCTCTTGCAGAAGTTGCGCCAGGTGATGACAGAACGGAGGAGGGAGGTGGGCAAAAGGGGGCCTGTGGGCGGCGGCGCTGACACAATTCCGAAACTCTAAAACAAATCCTCTCACTAAAAAGCCTAAATTCCTAGCTGGGTAGAAAGAGAAAGCTCCAAGGAGTTAATGGAAAAATAGCGGGGGAAAACGTGAGACCTGCCTAGTCGCGGGGTTAGAGAAACCCACACGGCGTTAGACGCCGGTAATGTACAGGCGGCCGAGCCGGCGAGGGTCGGCCGGTTCAGACGACGCCGTAGGGCTGCGGCGCCACCGTTAGCAGCGGCGGCAGGGGGGAGCAGGCGGCGACGCCGGTGACGGCGGCGGGGGCGTCGAGGATCTCCTTCTTCCGGCGCATCTCCAAGACCTTGCGGTGGCTGTTGGAATGGATATGGCTGACGAAGGTGGGGCTGCCGGCGGGGCGGTACTCCGGCAGGAGGCGGCCGGACTTGTAGCGGACGCCGCAGGCGTTGCAGAGCGTCTTGGCGCCCATGGGCCCCGCTCTCCACTGCGGCGTCTTGTCCACCCCGCAGTGGGTGCACCGCCGCCGGGTCTGCGGCAGCTCTCCGGCGGCGCCGCCGTCTCCCGCGGCGGCGGCCCCCGTCAGGGCCTTGGGTTTCCGCCCTTTCTTCTTCTTCACTGGAAGCTGAAGCTGCTGCGGCGGGTGCTGCTCGAGTGTGAGCAGGAGGGGCCGTCCTGAGACGCTGTCGGGGAAGAGGTCGGGGTTTCCACCGCCGCCGCCGCCGCTGCCGGTGAGGTTTTCGTGCAGGAGGCAGGAGGAAATGGTGGAGGAGGCGGAGCAGGAGGAGGAAGAAGAGCCGGAGGAGCAGGAGGAAGAAGATGACTCTGTGAAGAAGGGCGGGCGGCAGAAGGACCAAACCCGCCCGCCGGAGCGAGAACGCTTGCTCCGGGCCTTGGCGGGCACAACCAGGGTGTCCGTCGAGAAGCAGCAACTCCCCCAGGTTCTCTTCCAGGAGGCGTTTGCGCCAGCGACTTGGGGCTTGGGAGGAGCCTCCGTCTTCGACGCCGCCGGAAACGGAGCAACGGCGGCGGGGAACTCCGAGTAGGAGTCGTCCACGAACCGGGAGACCCACTCCAGGTCTGCCACGTCTCCCGCCTGCTTGTTTCGAAACCAGAAAACCAGACATCAGGAGAGGGGAAAGGAAGAGGGAAGATTTCAGGTTTCAGGTTTCTCTCTCTTATGCTTCTAGCAAGAAAAGCTTGAAAGAGAGAGAGGATGAGCAGGGTCTCACAGGAACGGTGGGCTCGGAGGGCGGGGGAGCCTGGAAGGAGAGGACTGAGGAGCTGTCCAAGTCAATGGGGGATTCCTTCCCCTCTTCCTCTTCTTCTTCTTCTTCCACCTCTAGGAAGTCCTCCATGTCGCTGGTCAGCTCCTTACCGTCCCCCAAATCGAGGAGGTCGTCCACGGAGAAGTCCTCCTCTGCCGGGGGGGGGCAGGGGAGACACGGGGAGCTCTGCTGGCACTGCCAGTGCCCAGAAAGCGCGGCGGCGGTGGAGGAGGAGGAGAACATGACCATCTCCTGGTGGAGGCCGGCCTTCCTCAGCACCGCGGTCTCCACGCAATCCATCGATTCCCTTCTTCCTCCTCTTACTCTTCCTCTTCTTCTGCTGAAAATCTCTCGCTCCCTCCCTGTCCCTCTCTCTTCCTCTTTCTATTCCTCCTGTCAAAACCCTGCGTAGAAATTGAGAAATTCTTATTTTAATATATGCGTGACACCAGGCGGAGAGAGAGCGAGAGAGACGACGGGACGCAGAGAGAAGGAATGGCCCTGGGAAAAGAATCTTAAATTAAAAGAAAGGAGGAAGAAGAAGAAGCGAGGAGAGGGTCCGGGGGAGCGAGCGGGAGGACCCAATAAAGGACAGACCACAGGAAACAGTCCTCCCTTTCCTCTCTCTCTCTCTCTCTCTCTCTCTCTCTCTCCCTGACTTTTCTTCTTTTCAGACCCCGAACGAAAAAGAAGAGAAATTTCATCCGCAAAACAACAGTTTTGCGTCAACCCCGATCTATCGTCGTAATTGCCCGGTTTTACCTGGCCACCGGAGGAGGAAGGGAGCAATAATGACGACCGGTGCACTTGCGCAGGACGAGGAGCGGAGGAAATGCTCGGCGGGGGAGGACGACGACGACCCGTCCGGTGGTCCGTTCGGGGTTAGAAGCGGGGGGGGTGTTAGAGACGACTGCCGGAGCCGGAGGTTGAAGAAGAAGAAGAAGGTAGGGGGCGGAGGGTTTGGTGGAGCATTCAATGGCTGAAAGAGCCCCCCTGCGCGAAACAAATGCACCCTCCCATCCTCCCCCTCACTTCTCTCTCTCTTTCTCTCTCTCTCTCGCGCGCGCGCTCCTTCCTTCAGAAACGAAACAACCAACACGCAGCAGGCTTTACCGCTTTTTCACCTTTTCTGTGTGGTTTTTTGTACGCGACGAGGCTTATTTTTAGCAGACGCGGTGGAGGAGGGCGGTGGAGAAGTCTCGGAAGGAAACGGCGGTCATGAACAGTAAAAAATATCGTAAACTAAGGAGACCCCCGACGGCGGAGCCGCCAAATTCCCCCTTCTTTAATAAAAACCCTCCGCCACCCGCTGAATTCACCCGGCGGTGGCGATCCCCCCGCCGTCGGCGACCCACCCTTCGCCTAAGTCGGTCAACCACCGTCGGTGGGTGCGACCGGCGGGCTCACCGTCGGATAGCGCACGGCGGCAGGGGAATTCTCCTTTTACCAGCTCCGGCTTAGGGTGGCGGTCAACACGTTGCCGTCGCCATCTACTGGCGGCTACGACGGGTCTCGGCGACGACAGCAACCGCGTAATTGGGTATGCAGGATCGATACGGGGCCAACAGCTGGAACTCCGCGAACATGACCGGAAAGGCCGAACGGAGGGGCCCATGACGACGCCTGTGAGGACGGTACCGCCGTGGGAGAGCGAGCCTCTGTAGAGAGAAAAACCAAGCCTCAGCCTCAGCCGCCGCCGCCGCCGCCGGTCCCCGTTGACCTGCGCGTGCGAGCGAGTGGCTGATGTTGGGAAGGAGGGGGGGAGGGGGTTGGACAGCGACGGGGAAATGGTCTCATCCGGTTGCTGTTCCGGCACACATCACGTGCTCGTGGGTGGTGGGCCCGCCACCAGCGGCCGTTCGTGCTCGGCGGCGCCGCCCACAGACGGCGGGGGTGGTCTGGTAATTTGGCATGGGTCCACGGGGTAAAACTGGAACTCGAAGTGGGATGGGGGGGGGGGGGGGGGGGGGGGGGTCTTGCTTGCTGGCCTCGTCTTCCTCGTTTTGGCCCGGCGACCGACCGGTCACGTGGAAGTTTCATTAATCCAGCGGGGTTTCCTTTGCGCAGAGAGAAACAAGAGAAGCGTGAACCCAGGAAGGCGGCGGTGGCGGATGGCGCCGCTCCTCCGGCTGGGCGACGTGGCGGCCTCTTGGACCGCCCGATTGCAGCACCAGCGGAGGATCGGAGCCGCAGCTGGGAGAATCATCGAGCGGTGTGACGGGCTGGCCCGGCTAGCGAGTGGGCGCCCTTCACGTCAGGTCACGTGCAGCGCAAGGACTGTCTACATTGACTCCTCTCCGGGGAACCCGTACATTGCACCTGCGAGACACCGTACAGAAGATACCCAATCCACTGACGTCAGGAGGAGCAATGACCTCAGTGGGCTCGGGCCTTGCTGGGCTTCTGTTACTGGACTTTGCCCATTATGGGGACCATTGACTCTGGTTTTTACTCCAGAGTCAAGAAGCTCCAGTTGAAGGTCAACATGACCTTATTTTATGCCTTATCTAAGACGGCACGTGTAAGAAAAAAAGAAGCATAAGATGGATTTTTTAATGCTCTGTCGACCGTTGACCGAGGGACCCGCCATTGGCAAGCTAGGATCTTATACTACATGCAGAACTTCTTCTCACAGGAAAGAAGATCATATCTTTGCTTAATCGGGAATAAAGTCAAACTAACTACAGCCATGGCGATCTTCAAACCTCCGTGGTGCTGTCAGAATCGTCGGCGACTGGACGGACCGCCAGTGGGATCCTCACCGCATGGAATCCATCCTCCCAGGTCAAGCTTCCGAAGGAGTACCTCCCCCGAACCCTAAAGAGGGGCTTGAAGTTGACCTCGAATCTGATCTTCTTCACTGAGGAGTTGAATTCCAGGATCGCCGGAGCCACTCTGACCCCAACCCCAGGCGGCGCCTCCACGCGAGCTCTGTATGTGGACGCCACAGGGCCGACGTTCGTCGCCGTTCTCGCCACACTCAGCCTTCCCCTAAGCTCCGGGATGGAGATGGAAGGCAGATTGAGGTCGCTCTGGGGGGAGAATACGGCGGCGCTCCGGCAAATGGTTTGCCGGCGGGCCATCAGGCTGACGGCGGTGTTGTTGTAACCCATGGAGCAGAGAAACCGGAGGTGACCGGAGGTGCCCATGTCGAACACCAGGCCGGGATCCATGGCCCTGTTCGGGTCAACATGGCCGCCGCCGTAGTCGAAGGGGTCGCCGTTCTTGTAGGGGGCTCCCTCCGCCGTGAGGCTCTGGCCGGATTCCGCTGTTACAGAGGCTGCCGGAGGGAAGATCAGCTTACAGTGGGATGGGGATAAATGGGAGAAACTTCTTTGGTTTCTAGCTACCGGAGGTGACGAGGGCGGACTTCAGCGCCGCAGGGCTCCAATCGGGATGAACGGACTTGAGCAGGGCGACGATGCCGGAGATGTGGGGGCAGGCCATGGAGGTCCCTGATACGATCTTGAATGTTGATGGAGGGACCCCAGGTGGGGGAAGGGAAGCTGGGGACCATGAGGCGAGGATGTTCACACCAGGGGCGGCGATGTCAGGCTGTAGAGAGAGACCAGACCAGCTATGAACTAGCTCACCAGAAACCTAGATTCATCAAGAAGAGAGGGCGTCACCTTCAAGATGGAGGGAGAGAGGGAGCTGGGTCCCCGAGAAGAAAAGAAGGCCACCTCGGGGGAGACCACCGTCCCCACCGTTGTCTTCGTCGGGTTCAGTCTTACGCCTGGTTCTCTGGAGCAGAGGGAGGAACTCCTCTGTGAGAAATCTTTCAGCACGGGTGTGAGATTCTATGATTCTCACCTTGTGGTGCCGATGTAGGAAAGAATGGCCGTCCCAGTTTCGAAATCTGCCACGATGCAGGGAAAACCCAGGGTGGAAGACACATCCATGGTGGGAAACTGGGCGAAGATCAGGCCCACGCCGCGAGCTTTCATCACAGTTCTGGTCGCAACGGAGGCAGATCTCTGGAGACGGGACTGGAAGCAGAGCACCACCTTCCCCCTGGCTAAGGTGGCATTCAGGGATCCTCCACTGCAGCTTCTGCAAGGCGAGGGCCTCCTCGCATCAGACAGAGACCCTCCACAGTTGAAATCAATTTACAGACAGATGCCACACCTGGCGTCATCAGCTCCTGCTGAATTAGAAGCGATGTTTTGGCCAAACACCAAATCATGGAACTCGCCCTCCTTCACCGCGTATAATGACTGACCCTGCATTGGGATCGTGAAAAGAAAAAAAAAATGAAGCCAGTTCTCTTACTCTGCGATGAAAATCCTGAAAAAGACATGAATTTACCACTAGGGTTCTGTTGTTTCTGAGCGTAATCAAAGTGGGGAATGCCCGATCTACGGTGCTCGCCGCCACTGTGATCACCCAGGGAGCAGTGTTCATGACGGTCTGAGCGTAGGGGCCGGAATTCCCGGCGGAGGAGACCACCGCAATCCCTCTGGCCGCCGCGTGGAAGGAGCCGACGGCGAGCACGTCGTCAACATACGAAGACAGAGGGGGCGGCGATCCCAGAGAGACGGAGAGAACGTCAACGCCGTCGGCTATGGCGTCGTCGAAGGCGGCGAGGATGTCGGCGGCGCTGCAGTCGCCGGTGGCCCAACAGACTTTGTATATCGCCAAGTGGGCATTCGGCGCGCCGCCTCTGGCCAGTCCCCTCGCAAGCCCCGCGACGGCGGCGTTCTCCACGGGAGAGCCGGCGGCGGTGGACGACGTGTGGGTACCGTGCCCGAGAGCATCTCGAGGGGACAAAAACTCGAACACGTTGCTCTCATTGAGCTTTCCGAACTCGGCCTCGTACCCTTTGGCGTACCAGCGGGCCCCGATGATTTTCCTGCAGGAGCAGCCCTATGAAGGAGATCTCAATTACACGGCGTATAATCTCCGTATCTGAGGAGAGCTTGCTATAAATAAATGGCCATTTGTGGGCAGGAAGATGATGATGTTCTAGAGATTTTATTTTTCCGTATTATTGGAACAAATCAGAAGCTTGGCATCTTACAGGGAGCTGATCGAGAAAGAGGGGGTTGAAGATGGCCAGCGGCGGCTGACTGACCTGTTGCAATGGGAGAGACTAAAGTCTTCGCCTTCTTGGCAGATCCCTCTCCATCGAGAGGGCACTTGTCCGATCCCTTCCTCCCTGAAACTTTCTGATTCGGGCCAAATACCTGGCAGCAGAATTTTTTTTCCCAACAGGAGAGGCTCACATACAGGAGAACGAGCCATGAATTCCACTTGCATTTCAGAGCAAAGAATGAGACTTTACCGGTATCCAGAAGGCCGATGATCGATCCTTCCCCAGATCGACTCTTTGAGAGAAGCCCGCTCCTGGGCGCTGGATCCAGTCGCAGGAAATCCCAGCTCCTCGTTGTGTGGAGATTAAGAATACGATTGGGAACGACGTTCACAACCCCGGGGAGATCTGCAGAAGATGCGGATTGGATCGTCGAACGCCAAGCAAAGAGTTCAGTGGGAGACGCACGCACCGGCGATACGTTTAGCCTGTGATTCTGTGAGAACTGCCGCAAACCCTGAAAACCCATGTTTATAGCTGTAGAGGATCGATGAAGCTGCTACTTCTGGGCTACAGGATGCAGGTCGGAAAAAGGCCGGGTGCTCAGATCACAACAGAACAGATTTCTTTGATTACACGAGACCACGAGGAAGAAGGCGAATTTACAGACGAGGACTGCGAAGGGAAAACGATTTGCCGGCTGTTACCTTCCCAGAACAGAAGAGAGGATGTCGTGGTGCAGCATCTGGGCGAGGTGGGGCTCGTCCTGGCGTCTCTCTCCCATGTAAACAATGTGAACCTGGAAAGAAGAAGAAGAAGAAGAAGAAGAAGAAGAAGAAGAAGAAGAAGAAGAAGAAGAAAACAGAGAGAGAGTTAGCGAACGGCTGAAGGAGAGAACGCACGAGCAGACTGCAGGGCAAAGAGAGAGGAGAAGACAGGAAGCTGCTGGTCTACTCACGTTGCTGGCAGAAGCGGCCAGGAGATTGATAAAGACCACATCAACAAGAAGAACATGAAGAAGAAGATGGTGATGAGACAGAAAATGAGGACCGATTAGAGCCATGTTTCTGTTTCCTCCACATGGAGAGAAGAGAGGAGTCGATGGATGCACCAGGGGAGAGAACAGGAGGGGCAGGCTCAGAAGGGAGATGTCTTATAGCGAGGGAAGATAACGCCGGAGCAGTACCCCCGCCGGGACCACCGTCACCCGCCGGCCGGTGACGACGAGAGTGGAGTAGAGAGTGCATCGCCACCGTCCCATCGCTCTCAATCGCAGCTGCTGGTCTCTGTAGGCGCAAGACATGAAAGCGGAGGGTGACGTTCATCTCGTCCGCCTTGCTGGCTCTGCACCCGCCATTATTGTGGCCTTGTTTAATGCCGTGCTCCACTGCGGACCCGTTTGTCTCCATCCACCGGAAGGCAGAGGGGATGGCTAGAAAAGGAAGAAGTGATGACCGGCGAGTGGTGCGGCTCTGGGCACGGCAGGTGACGTGTGGTCACCTTTCTCCTCCCACCAGCGCCGCCCCTGCGCAACCGTGCTGGTGGTGGGTTTGGACGCTGGTCACCACCACTCGCCTGCGACGGCAACTCCAGCGAAAACAGCGGCTGTTGCGGCCGCAGGCGTTGTCACAAGGAATCGTGTGAGTATACAAGTGACTCTACAACTTACAGAAACTATGTACGCTTTCAACTTGACCCTACTCAGTAGTTCAGATAAAAAATATTAACACTCCCTCACCTCCAACGGTAGTTCTGGATTCTTTGGCTTCGTTTTCTTTAATCCACGTAATCTCACCATTAAAATTATATATATATTTTTAAAAGTAGTGATTTCCTTGGGATTTCCTTGTTTTCAATGGGTATCTAGAGCTCTTTACTTCAATATATAAAGAAGTTACTAAGATTTTTACTACTTTATGAATATTTGTCTCCCACACTTTCAAGACCCTTCATTTGTCCATGTCCATCATAAAGTTATCTACTTGTTCTCTACTTTGTACTCTTTATATTAGGGTTGTACGATGGGAGTTATGAAGAGAGAATGAGGACTAGAAAAATGACATCTCTCAAACAATCTCGAATGTTATATTGACATATTAAATGACTCTCACATGAAAGGATTGCATGAGAGGTGCCCAAGACTTCCCCTCAAGATGAATTGTAAATATATTCACCAGTCATCTTAGGTAGTAGGAAAAATAGATGAATTGACAAACTGCAATCTACTGAAGATATCAGACGGGGTACCTTGACACAAAAGTCCTAAAATAATTATTGTAATCAAATTATTTCTATAATAGTAAAAATTAAAGAACAAGATATTATGGATTATTTCTTGGTTTTCTATGAAACCAATGGGTCTCCAATAAAGATACAATACCTAGTGATGGATTTAAGAGAATCAAAATATGTTGGCGAATATGTCAAAAACTATCCAAAGTTGTAAGGAAGATGTAGTGGAGAAGAATATCTATTAATCAAGATGTGCTTTGACATCATAGAGTCATGAGTTGACTTAGCTTGTGAGCAACAAAGTCAACACAATTGTAATAATGTTAAATATAATGGCCTATCAATCATTATCTAATATTATGAAGTGTCATCACTTAGCTGTCCATTTGTTGCATCAAGGTCAATATAAGGATTAATTAGGTAAGAGCATGTTTGGCACCAAATATCACATGTCTTCAAATAATGAAAGATTGTAATGATGTAAGCCTAGAATAATATATGATCTAGAATGAGAGATCTGTAGACCTAACAAAATATTTGAGATTATAAAGCTCTTTAAACTTAAATTGGTGATGTAGAAATATTTTTGATATATTTGTGAGGAATAATCTAACTAGTATAATGTCTTCAACATATAGAAGGATACTCACAAATGATTAAATAGATCATTTGGTCAATGATAAATAATATTACTTTAAATAAATGAATTTAAATTAATTTAAGTAAATAGTTTGGAGTAACATTGTCTAGATGATTATTAGAGTCTTTAAATCAACTTATAATCTGTAGACAATGTTGACAAGTGAGAGTCTTTCCTTATAAATGATAACTCAAAGGTAAGTCAATGTAGACTTCTTCTCGTGAGTTACTATGAAAAAAATATTATTATTTTTGAAGTATATAAGATATGAATTATATTTAGATACAAGAATAAACATTAGTTTAGTAGTGACGTATTTGACTATTAGAGAAACTTTATAGCAAGTTACTTCTTTTTTGTTGTGTATTTTGCAACAAGATAAGTTTTGTAGTTCTCTATGAAATCATTTGAGCACTATATGGTTTTGTATATTCAACAAGAACCAATTCTATATTTTTCCATTGATAAATGAATAAGTGACCTAGTGTTGTTGAATTCCACAACATTTAACTCAATCCTCATCACCTCACATTAATGAAGATATGCAACTACGTGATAATAGAAATTATGATTCATAATTAGATCAAATAGATATAAAAAATAATTTGAAGATGATAGATGACAAAAAATTATAATAGTTGATTGATCCATTAAGGTATTATTGAATTTTAGATCACACAGATCAAGAAGGAGAGGTTTAATTGTTTGAATCTTAAATTGACTTTAATAATTTATTTTTAATATTTTTAATCTTATTTCTTGATTCTAATCCTAAACTTTGTACATTATAAATGTAAATCAGTCTAGAATTTTTTAAGTAGTTTGGTCTTCTACTCACATCTACTATATATTAAAGTTTTTCAAAATCTAATTTAAAGCAAGAGTTGATAATTGCATTGTAGATAGTATGTCATACCTACAAGCACACACCCACATTCAATCATCTATTCTCTCTCTTCCCCACATACTTGAGTCTCATGCATGTCCACTAGTGAATCTAGAACACATCAAACTTAGCTCATATCATATAGGACCTAGAAGAGGGTCATAAGAATTGACCCCATTATTCCCTATGTTATAATCTACTATTATAAAAAGGTTCCCTTCTATTATTCAAAGATTTATAATTTATCTGAATACTCTCTAAAAATATCATACTTCTACTATGGGAGGACATTCTTATTTTCTTCGTACTTACAAGTGAATCAATTGAGATTTATTCTAAATGAGTGAAAAAAGATATGAAGAATTTTGTAAACTAACACATTTCGTGTTACAGAAATAAATACAAGGCTTTATCTCATCTATGACTCCTCTATCCCCTTTTAATTTTGATTTGAATATGAGAATAACTTTCAATAGATTTTATCAATGGTTACCTCAAACTGATGGTTTTAACTCTATCCTTGTTGTAGATAATAGACTTAGTAAATTTGTACATTAATCTCCTCTTAAACACTCATATATTACTCAAAGGTTGCCTAACTCTAGGTCATTTGGCCGTCAACCATAATAACTCATCATTGAGATACTATCTTTTTCACTTCATATAAGTCAATATGCATCATCTTTTCATCATTATTATTGTTGATATATTATTGTGCACTATTCTAAAACTATAGCTTCATCAAGCATTCTATATTACCAAAGACTCCTAATTTACATTTTTCCTTGAAAATAAAAGGAGTGAAAGTTATTGGTCCCTTTATGACTTAATGCATCAAGAGGGGAGGGTGACTTGATTTATCTCTATTTGTTATTTAATCAAATATATATATATAGATATATATATATATAATGACTGAAGAAAAAATCATACAATAGATTTTTATAGTGGTTTGACAAAAAAAAAAAAATCTACATCTACTTTCAAAGATCTACCTCATTTCCATCATTCCACCGTCAGAATACACCCCTTGATTTCATGGAATTCAAGAATCTCTTTTATAATCAGCCTCCAAAGCCTCTAACCACAACTTATAATTTCAACTTTAGAATTCCTAAGTTAAGTTCTTATGTTTTTTTCATTGTAGACATAGATATGCCAAACACTTTATGTGACTACATCGATGACACACCAAAAGTGTCTCGATCAATTTACATGTCACACAAAAAAATGACAAACAAAATAATATTAAAAATAAGTTTGCATCAACCGTCAACAATTGATTTTCGTTTCACAAGAATTTCAGTGTGTAGAGTTGCATGAAGAAGTTTTTGAGTCAATAGAGAGGTGTGTGAAGCTCTCTTAAATCAATGAGTCTCATCCTTAAGGTTTAAAAATTGAAGGTAGGTTGACAAAGAAGAAGAGCTGTACCTTGTGGAGTTGCCATTGAGTTATAGAGTGATGTGGACATTTTCTAAGGAGTTCCTTAAATCTTTTACATAACTCCTACAATAACTTTTCTATTTTTTGTGAAAATTTCAAAATTGATTTTCTCATTATCTGAACTTTCCCTACATAGTAGAATTTAAAAAAAAAAACTTACTATATTTCTCTCTAACATATTAATTCTTTATCTAAGGCTCTATCTTTAAGTAAGGAAATAATTTTGTTTGTAAAGCATATGAGTTACAGTATGAATTAATTCACATGCTCAGAAAAATTGAGATAAATATAAATGAGGTTCTTTAGTTTGCATTCTAGGAAAAGATTGAAGCATTTGTAGTGTACTATGCCCAATATCTAGTTAGACATTGTGGTCAATAGGTATTCTAATATGGGATGAAGCTTAATATGTATTAAGAACATAACAATCTTGCATCAGCCTAATTTGAAAATAATTTTATGGCTGGTCTAAACCTTTCTTTTGATTTGTGCTACTTTGAGGATTCAAGCCTCTTCCTATTTAGTCTTCCTACTTTGAGGTCTAAACAATCTTTTCTTTCTATTTAGAATTAGAATAACCCTTATGTTAAGAAAAATAAATTACTATGAAAGGTAAAAAAAATTAAAAATCTTTTGGGCGAGAAGTGAGAAAGAGTACCACAATTTCTATTCAATGCACAATTTGATCTCTCAATTTCTTTCAATTTTCAGTTTACTATAAAAATAGAAATATAAATAAGGTGAAATGTCATCAACTTCAACTAAACAATTAGAAATTCCTAGATTTTATTCAAATCTTCCCTAGCAACAGCACCAAAATTTGATGTTTACTTTAGTTGTTGATATAAAATGTGTTAAATTTAAATTTTAAAACGAATACTACTAAAAAATAGTATTAATAATCAAATGGTGAAAATAAGTCAATCCCAAGGAAGAGTGATAAAGTCATGTGCCAATTTTCTTATTTAAAAGTTGATGTAAGATCTAAAATAATTGAATAGTAGAGGCTAATTTGGCATATTTGGTATTTATGCTTATATATATATTCTTACATACATATGACATTTTTGGAATTTTATTTATTATCATGTATATTGTAAATAAAATTTTAAAAAAACTTCAAAATAGGTAGCATTGATCAAGTCAATATTCACCTATAAGAAGAGAGAGAGCAGTGGGCTGCTAAGACATGCAACCAAAGAAGAAAGAAAAAAGAATTAGAGGGAGAGGAAGCATGTGATGGAAGCTCTTCTCTTTAGGAGGATTTCAATGGACATAGTCTTGCCAAGAAAAAAGATGACCAACACAAAGATTTATAATAATTTAGGTCATGAAGACCTATGGTTGAGATCCAAAAAAAAAAAAAAAAAAACTATGTTCTAGCAAGTGGCTTGATCAATTGTTGGTATCCCCACCCTAAGGCTAAGAACCAAGGTCTATAGTGCATAGTTTGCAACTTAAACACATCTCTTGTGACCTTGTGTTGAGGCAAGAGATAAATCTTATAACCATTGTCATACTAGAAAGGAATATGTTGCCACTATTATCACCATGAGCATTAGTGCTGCCATTCTTGACTCCTCTACTGCCCGTCACTGAGAAAAAAACTCACAACATTGCTATTGTCATGAATGTTGCTATCACTATTGCCAGCCCCTCTCCTTGTCATGTTGAAAGTGGCCATCAAATTGCATGCACTAACTCTACCCATTTCATTTAAACATGAGAACCATTCCCATAAGTTGTTGATTTCAATCCTAATTTGCCCTAATTGTCCTATTTGTCAATAATTATTTCATATAAGTTCCTAATAATTAAAGTTCTCACAAAAATTTGTCAAACAATACAGAAAAATGTCTTTAAAAGGTCAAAATTTCACAGACAGTGATTAAAGTTATAAGCATTATAGTAAGAAAGATTTCAACTTATAAATTCAATGATTAAAATAAATATTATACATTTAAATGACATAAATAAGTATGAAAATAAAATTCATGAATCAAATTACATTTTTCCTAAATCAGCTTCCTAATGATGTACTTTCCTATGAATTGATATAAAAATTATAAAAGATATAACATGAATTAATGCATAAAAATATGGTATTATCAACAGCCAAAGTAGAAGTGACCTGATAATAATACACTTGATGGTCTAAGAACCATGCATTAACTTTTTTTATCTTGTTTGAAACCCTAAAATGACATATAGAACACATTATTGGATTTTTTTTAATGATATTGTGAAATTTTGGTAAAGGTTTCAGATAATAATTACATCAAATGAAGTGAAAAAAATATGGTCATCGCATATGCTTACAAAAAGTATAACATTGGTCACCTAAATTCATGTCTAAGTAAACTAAGGACTATTTCACCTTATTTATACCATACATCCATAATGAAGGCTTGTGTCCATGTATTATATCAACATAAATGAGAAGTATCCCAAGCACCACATTAGAGAGTGTAATTGGTGGTTAAATTACTTTTTAGTTTGCATATATTGTTGTAAAATCAAAGAAAATAAGCCAAATTGAAGATGAATAGAAAAGCCAATGGCCAAAAAAATATATTTCTAGTGAAGGGAATTTTTTTTTGTCTCTCTTATTAATTCAATTCAAGCTCTTACTAATGTAACAATAAGATTGATTCAAGATCTCTAGATGATAGAGGCAAGTGTCCAATTATCATCTTAAGAATAGACACAAATATTGTTAATACAGCTGGAAAACTGGTCTCAAGTGAGAGATGGAAGGCTTTTGAACCAAAAGGAGAAGTATAGTAAGATTTGCATCCAAAGAGCTGAAAATTTATTTATTTTATACTAAAATAGAATTTAATATCAACTCAAGTAGACTAAAAGCCAAAGATTCCTAAAGATACAATTCAACTCAATTCAGTTTAAAATAGTTTGGTTGGAGATTTGGACACATGTTAAGTGTGTCAAAATCTCAATTTCCATGTTTATATTTATTTTCACATTATTTGAATTTCAAATATTCCCCTCAAACTATAAGGAGTGTTATAACAAAGTCCTTCTATTTTAAAAACACATTTTAATTATTTTTCTTTGCTTTCTAAGTTTATAACAGATTTTTCCTTTTATAGGCTAGTTAGAACTAATTTTTAACGTATAAACTAAGTTCCCCCCTTATAGTCCTGGAGGCAATTCACATTTTCATCGGTTTATTTTTGAGTCCCCTTCCTCTCTAGAGGTTCTTCATCTTTGTTGGTGGATTCCAACATCTATGTGGGCTTAGGAAGTCATTTCTGATTATGTGAATCCAAAATCAACTCCTTGTGGACTAAAGGGGGGAGGTTTCTTCACCTTGTGGACTCAAGGTGAAGTATCTTCACAGAAATCAAGTCTTTTTGTAGATTGAAGGATGAGATTTCAACATCCTACAATTGAGGTTGCATCAATTGGATCAAATCATTTATCAACTCAATTTTTTGTTGTGTCAATTGCTCGTCTAGATTTTTATGCAGAACCTAAGCCTTATTAATTTGATCTCCATTGAAAAAATATTTTTGAGTCAACTAAACAATCGAAACTGTTAATTTTTGACCAAGTTCTTGGCATTCATATTGTTCGCAGTCCACATGAGTTATTTGGTCTGTAAATGATAGCTGGGTAATATAACTATTCAGTCGTGTAGTACAGTCCTTCCCCCCCCCCCCACCCCCCATCTATCTTCTCCCAAACCATAAACGTGAAAAAAGATGGTGATCCTTCTCCCCCTCATCTATCTTCTCCCAGAGCAAGAAAGTGGAAAGAAAGATTGTTCTTTTCCCCCTCATCTTTGGTGAAAGCGATCACTGAAAGGCTGGGTGTCTTCAACTTTCTTTCCATTGCCTAACCACCTGTCGATGGGCTGGCCATCAATCAGCAGGTTTCTGACGTTAACAAACTACACACTCCCCACATGTCGTCAGTTCATGGATACCATATGTTAATGATCGCAATTTTTTTAAAAATACGATGTTTTCTTGAAAAAAAAGTTGGGTTTCTTGCCACCTATGATGCAGTTATAACATTCCATTCCATTATGTTCACGTTAGTGTACTACCATGCAAGTTCTTAGATGCCTGTAAAATCTAGAGCGACGACTATATACATATATAGGATACCCAAATTTTACAGTTCAATAATGTTACATCTATACACCAGCTTAAGGAGTCCTCCGTCATGATCACCCATAGCTGACGCCACTGGGCTTAGGAGAATCGCCTTTGCAGTCACCAACCATATAACTCTCTCTCTCTCTCCACCTCAAGAGGAGCAGGACTAATCCATCCCAGAAGAAACGAAGAGGGGAGATCTGGAGTGCAAGGATTCACAAGGATATAGAGCCCTCCAACCTCTGTCTGACTCCCGTAAATGTCTCACTATTCTGATGTAAACGACAAAACCAAGTGTTCCGTCCTTGGGGAGTCTACTTGATGTTGGTTATACAGACTTGAAGAACAGATACCGATTTAAACCAGTTTCTTGGATTTGTGTTGCATATATGTGTGTGTGTGTGTGTGTGTGTGTGCGTATGAAGAAACTATGTATATTATTAATGTATTGACGTAGATTATGAGATCATATCAGATGTCAAAGCCCGCTCTATAAGTTTTTATCATACTCCTGCGTGAAATAACTTATCTGGTCAATGCATGGACGAGACGAGCCTAGGATCTACGACATGACAGGAGTGAGCCCCACATCATTGGAGGTCCAAGTCAACGTGGCCTTGAGACGCCAACCCGAGTCAGATTTTGGAGCACAGTTATCTATCTACAGAGCCCTTGCGAAGTGGGGTCGGATGAATCCAGGGAAATACGTTAATGTATTATGGCAAATGTGACCTTATCTTGGGTAAATATACAAGGAAAGTCCACACCTAACTCCAGGTGGGGCCTACCCCCGTCCCCTTCTCCGAACACGATACATAACCCCGCCCTCCCCTGAGTATGCCTCAGAGGGCAAATCTCTGGGTTTGAAGTTAGAGGAAGGGAGGAAGGAGAGTAGGAAGAAGCATGGAAATGTCAGGACCTTCCGAGAGCCCGCAGTCCTTCTGGTTCTTCGCGCTGCTGCCCATGGCCTTGACACTGGGTTGGCTCGCGGTAACCAGGCGACGACTCCCGCCGGGTCCCCGTGGGGTCCCCTTCATCGGCAGCATCCTCAGCACAGAGCAACTGAACCACCGCGGCCTCGCGAAGCTTGCCGAGCGCTATGGTGGGCTGTTCCTCCTCCACTTCGCTGCCACCCGCACGGTTGTCGTCTCCTCGCCGGAGATGGCCCGGCAGGTCCTTCAGGTTCACGACGGCGTCTTCTCCAACCGCCCCGCCACCGCCGCCATCCGCTACCTCACCTACGATCGCAGCGACATGGCCTTCGCCAACTACGGGCCCTTCTGGCGGCAGATGCGCAAGCTCTGCGTTATGAAGCTCTTCAGCCGCCGGCGGGGAGAGTCTTGGGCCTCAGTTCGTGACGAGACCGACGCCGCCGTCAGGGCCGTCGCCGCCGCCGCAGCCGCCACCCCGGAGGCCTCCGTCAACGTCAGCGAGCTTGTCTTCAACCTCGCGAAGGGGATCATCTACTGCGCCGCCTTCGGTTTGAGCTCCAGCGAAGGGCAGGACCAGTTCATCGCCATTCTGCAGGAGTTCTCCAAGCTCTTCGGCGCCTTCAACGTGGCCGACTTCGTCCCATGGCTTGCACCGCTGGACCTTCACGGTCTCCGCAAGCGCATGGAGGCCGCCAGGGCGGCACTCGACGGCTTCATCGACGAGATCATTGACAAGCACAGAGTCAACCCCAAGGCCACTGATGACCTCAACACCGACATGGTGGACGAGATGATCGTCTTCCTCGGCGAAACCCCCGCCGCCGACGGCGACGAACTCCAAGCTTCCTTCAAGATCACGAGAGAAAACATCAAGGCCATCATCATGGTACGTATGGAAAAAGGGGGGAGAGAGAGACCCAAAACCATCAATATCCCGTTTCTAAGTGTTACTGTGGAAACAGGACGTGATGTTCGGCGGAACGGAAACTGTGGCATCGGCGATCGAGTGGGTGATGGCTGAGCTGATGAGGAGCCCGGAGGACATGAAGAGGGTGCAACAGGAGCTGGCGGAGGCGGTGGGGCTCGACCGGAAGGTCAACGAGGGGGACATAAAGAACCTCTCCTTCCTCAAGTGCTGCATCAAGGAGACGCTGCGCCTCCACCCACCCATCCCGCTCCTCCTCCACGAGACAGCAGAGGATTGCGAGCTGGCCGGTTACCACATACCGGCGCGCACGACGGTGAAGATCAACGTGTGGGCCATCGCCCGCGACCGCTCCGCCTGGGAAGACGCCGACTCGTTCAAGCCGGCGAGGTTCGCCGCCGCAGAGGCCCCAGATTTCAAGGGCTCCTGCTTCGAGTTCATCCCCTTCGGCTCCGGCCGCCGGTCCTGCCCCGGTATGCAGCTCGGCCTGTACGCCCTGGAGATGGCGGTGGCGCAGCTACTGCACTGCTTCAACTGGGAGCTGCCAGACGGCATGAAGCCCTGCGACCTCGACATGAGTGACGTGTTCGGGCTCACAGCGCCGAGGGCCGTCAGGCTAGTCGCCGTGCCCTCCCCCCGCCTCACCTGCTCCTTGATTTGAGCCCTGTGCTCATCTCGCCCCTCGAATGAAGTTGTTTGAATAACCACGAATCTGAGGCTTAAGTCCCTGGGTCAATGGCGACTGCCGTCGGAGACCCTACTAGCGTCCTAGCTATAGTCAGATGGCTCTGGCTCAGCGTGCCTGAATAAGAAGACTCCCCTCCTCCACCACCCCCACTTGGTTCCTTTACATCTCACTGCATATCCCCAGGCGTAGCACCCGATCACTCTAACTGCCGCAGGAAGGACGGGAGAGATGAAGAAGCAAAGAGACGATCAAATGGAATACAAAAGATTAAGACTCTGATCCCGAAAACTGAAAACTCTCCGGCATCAGATATCCCCAGGGGGACGACTTCATCGACCCCGCGCCTCTCCGTAGGCCGTAATCATCGCCGTCGATCCTCGTTATCCAGCGGTGTTTCTCACATCAGAATCCGGATCACAGCGAGGCCGACGGCGGTAATGGAGACGAGAGTACCAATGCAGTACTTTATGACGTCATATTTCGCACCTTCCAGCTGGGCTTTCAGCGCATGAATCTCCTGTAAGTACAATACAGGTAACGAGTTCAGAATAGGAGATCTGAGGATCTTCTCCACAGTTTTCTGAAGGATCGAAACCTCACCCTGTCGAGCTTGTTGGTGAGCTCGCTGGTTTCAGCATTCTGCTTGGCCAGCTCGTCGCGAGTACGCCTGCAATGGCCATGATAAGTGGGGTTTAGTAGACGAGAAAACCAGGCCCATTTGCGTCACAGCAAAGACAACGTTGACATTCACACACCCTCTCTCGAGATTTAAATCCAGACGCTGCCCAGCAGTGACCTTATCGATCTCATATCTGTTGAGAAAAATAATGCTTAGAAGTGAGTATTTAATGATGCAAACAGGAGCTGTTCGTCCATTCATATCCATATGAATCACCAACCTCAGTTCACTGCGTAGTTTCTCGATATCAGTCTTGAGTTTTTCTGTCTCACGCTGCAAAATCGAGAAATGGTGTTCCTGAAACAGAATATGCACCCACATTTAGCAAAGCATTCATTCAACGCCTAGTGCTGGTGAGAATTATGATTGAGGAATCCCTTCAATAGAGGATATGTAGAGCCATAGGATACGAGGAAACCAATAGATAGAAACTGAAAGTACATCCATCCTCTAGAGCAATCAAGGAACGCAGTTTCCAGTTCAAGCACAGAAAAATATTCAAAGGTCTAACAAGGACCATTCTCTGTTTTCCCAGATCAATTCATTCTTCACCTGAGTGCTGACTTTGAGAAAATCTCATATATCTGAGGCAAACAATCTCCTCAACTACGCAAGAGAATGCAGAAGATTACCCACTATAAGAATCAGCAAAATCCATAAACCCACGAAGGTACTTTTCTACATGCAAATATCACAGTGTAACGTTTGATACAACCCCCCTTGTCCTAAAGTCATGCTATTTATTTTTCCCCATATGGAGGTAAACCTAGATTTATGGTTTTTTTCCTAAAGTTAACTTATAAATAAGATTAGATAAAAAATCTCTCCAATAAAGCTCCAACAGAAAAACTGTCTTCGCTTTGAAATGTAAGGCAAAATATGAGGTCCTGTTTTAAAGATGATCCTCCGATCAAAGATGAAAGCAATGATTATCAACTCAAATGACCAAATTCAGTATATCGGTTGCAGATCGACCATAAGACATCAACATCAGTTTATCTTTATCAATAATCCCTTATTTAAGAGCTTAATGATTATGCAGTTACTTTTCCCATCATGCCATTACATGGATTACACTGGATGCAAATGTGCGAGATGGGTAAGGCATTTAAAAAAAAGGCATATTCGAACCAAATTCTAAATAATGAGACAAGCCAATAAAATTCAGATGCAATAATCAGATAGCCTCATGTTTTATTAAAAAAATGTATGATAGCATGTCCATCTGATTCCATCCCTACCAAATGTTGACCAAAAGTAGGCTTTTTTCAACGATGACTTGGTTTATGATTTGAAACCACATTTTCAAAGGAGCTAACGAAATCTGCTCGCTCCGTATTTAGTTCATTGATATATCATCCAAGGGAGAATAAAAATTCAACCATGCTGCCAAACCAATAAGCCTTGATCACCCATCAAGACAGACCCCACTCTTTAACACACGCTCTCCTTTCTGAGACAAAAACTCGCCAGCACTGAACAGGTAAAAATTTTCACATATCAGCTTCAACCGAAAAAAACATTAACACAACCTGAAGAGAAAAATAAGATGAAGAAAGCTAGGCACTCCTCTTAATCAGAATAGCAAGGAGCCACAGGCAGACAAAAGTGGTAAAAAGCAAAAACGTAATAAAAAAATTCTGGGTACATTTCACATTTACATGGAGCAGAAGATAGATATAAATTACAAATACTCAAGTGGTAATACGTATCCCCAAAACTCTTGGGCCGGCATTTAGGTTATATTAATTGAAAATATATGGTGTTCTATATGCTCCCAAAAAAAAACTCACGACCCCTTTTGACACTCTTTTAACTCCATACAAAATCGGAAACTGTCTAAGAGATCTACATTAAAGCTAGCATCTGTTTCCTCCCATATACCTAACAGTGATTACATTTCACTTCCCACAGTCGAACACAGAAAAGAAAGGTCCCTCTTCCTATGGCTGTTTATAATTGATTCGCTTGCAGTAATAGAGCCCTTTAGAAACCAGTTGTATGTTTGTCCAAAAAAATGCAGTGATGTCTAAGAAATTCAGTCTCAATGGTAGTTCCCCGAAACGATCCTCCTCAAGTTAACAAAGATTAGCATTATTCTCAATAATCATGAATCCATAGTTACCTTGAAAACCTTTGGCTCAGGAACCAGTCCAAAGTAAGCATCAGCGCTTTGTATTCCAAGAAGCTTTAGAACGTCCTTTGCTCCTCTAATGTTACATTTATCCAGTTATATTCGTATACATATTTGACATTCAAACATTCAACTGGATACTATGGGTCAAGTTATAACATCGTGATCATCACCAATGAAGACATTAGCTGCGAATTTTCCTGAAAGAAAATGTATCCTCTATAGGGATGTTCCCAACCTGAATCTGTTTGGATCATATTATTGAAGATCAACACCATTAAAGTATATTAAAAAAAGTAAAAGAATGATGTCAATCACGGTCTGCATGATCAATCTAAAATCAAGGGGTCATAGGCAAGGAACGGCAAGGTTAAAAAGTAGGTTATAACTTGACATTACCATTTGAGTTTCATGGTTTTCTGATTACCCTCGGAAAGTATGTGCCAAAACCCTCATTAAGTAGTCAATAATGCATTACCCTCTCTTTTTGCATCCTATGGTTAAAAAAAAATTCTTTTAATCCTCAGAAAGTTGATCTTTAACGTAGTGTAAGCATTATATTAATATTTTATTTATTAAGTCTGTTCCTCTCCTCCGGTTACAACATACATTCTCCATTGTGTAATCATAATTTTCTGAGGTTGGACTAATGATTTTTCAGTACATCAATACAGAGAGCATCATGGTCAGGGAAGAAAGGGATGTGAGGAGAATATAATGGAAGTGGCATGCTACTCCAGATACTAGAACCGCTACAGGACAATTTCAGGTATTTTTTCCTCAGGCCTCACTGGTGCATGCTATCAGCACATAACCGGAAGTGCTAGACGAAGAGTAGCGATCATTGGTTTCCCAGGCAGAAAGAGTCAAGGCAAATGCTAAATCAGGCTGCATTTTATGAAAACCATGTCTGCAAGAAGGCCACAATAGGATGCAGGCTGGCATACTACAAAGTGAGGAAGAGAGAAACATGGATGGAACCACTTCTAATTTTTTTTTCCTCAATAGATCGTAGAAAATATAACACCAATACTTAGTTGGATATAAAATCAAGATACAATACCTCTCAAAAATTCTTTCTGTTCTTTGTTAAACAAGTGATAATCTCACACCTCTGAGTGACTGGGAATACCTTTTTATCCAAACGCTTGATTAAATGCATAGATAAATATCCTATTATATTCTCTCAGCTTCCACATTCCTAGGCTTCGAGCAATGAATTCCCATGGTCAACCGTTGCTCTATGGGCAACTATAAGGAAACTTTGAATTAAGTCAAGGGTTCCATTAATCAGATGCTTTGAATAACCCAGGCAGAGAAAATTGCAATCGGGAATTGCAGTGGTCTGTTGCAGACTTTCCACTTGCGAACGTCTAGAATACACGAGCTTTTCAGTTGAGCATATAACTGTAACCAAAGTACAGCGACTGAGCGAGAGCAGATAGAAACCAATCAAAATTATACCAACGTGGGCTCAGCAAACAGTTTCCATATCCATGTGTTTCTCCCCAACAATATTACAATCTATCAATGCAACGATGAGCAACAGGATCGGGGTATTCGATGATTTACAAGATAGAAGTAGTTTTAAGCACAACACCATTTGGGTGGGGATAAGGGAGCACGACCGATGGATAAGTTACCTTCTGGAGCTCGCCCTGCGAGGCAAAGGACTGGGCCACATTCTCCAGGCTGTCATTGAGGACTTCGGTTATGGCCGAGGTGATGGCTTCAGCGTGCTGCGAGGGGATGCCTTGGGCCTCAAGCCTCCTGACCTACAAAATATCGTTACACAACAAATGGCGGTCAATTCGCCGAACACGGTATAACACGTCGCTATTGGCAATATGGAAACGATAATTTCAAAACGGCTCCTACACGCCACGCACCAGCGCCAGCGTGTCGACGAGGAACGCCCGCTTCCCATTTGCCTTGTTGAGTAACTGAGAGACGTAGCGGATTTGGCGACTCCTCCCAGGGTAGGAGCCCTGGCCGCGGAGGGGAAACGAGTAACAGGAATAGGAGCAGCGTGTTGGCACGACAGCGCTGAGGTCTGTGACCAGCCCCGCCACCGCCTTGGAATTGTACCCCGATTGCAGCAGGGCCCTCCTGCACGCAGCCAATGCCGCGGCCATCCGACGGGGATTGAAACCAGGGATAGAGAGAGGCGTAGACTGTGCCAACAACAAGAGAAGATCGAATCAGATGAAAATGGCAAGAGAGGACCCGGCGATGGCGACGGTGATGGAGGATACGGATGGGGGGCGTCCGTTCCCTGCTTCTTCCAGTCACAACTTTAGAATACAGCCCGAACCCCCCTCCCTGCTACACCGAGAATGGAGCAGAAGAAGAACCCCACCCTTCTCCCTGTCCGTCCTTCACAGTCCTCCCTGGCTTCTGCTGCCTCCCACACACAGCGCGCGCGCGAGAGAGAGAGAGAGAGAGACGAGGGAATGTGAGGGGCGGAATTGACTAGCAACCTGCTGTCTATTTACAGCACGAGAACAGCTGAGAAACGACCGGAGAAACCTTCCCCCGCGTTGACGTAATTACCCTTCCCCCACTGTTTCATGCCCCGTCGATCAACGGTCAAATGGTCAAACCCGTGCGTCATCGGGCGTCCAAAGGACTAGAAGGTTGACCGAAGCGAAACTACCCCAAAATTCCCGTAGGTAACACGTGAAAAGAAACTTCCATTCAATTATTGGAATCATATTCCCAATAATTCCATTTTGCAATTTTGGAGGACTCATTTTAAAACACGTGGGTTTTCAAAATATGCCTTTTTCACGTAGACAGTTGACATTTTTTGTAAAATTAATTATCAAAAAAAAAAAGAAGGATAGAACACCCCTCAACTTTTAATAGGTGACGAATAGGTGCCCACGTGGTTTCTGCGGTCTGCATCGTCCCGCTGACTGGTTCCCCGTCTCCAAGAAGTCTCCCCAAGTCAGCCCTCCAGTTGACAACGTCAAAAAAGTCCAAGTCATCCGGATATCGGTCAACCGGATGAGAGACCAAGGGGGAAGTCGTCCACGACCACGGGGACTGCATACATCAAAGCCTCTCTCTCTCTCTCTCTCTCTCCTCTCTCTCGCGCGCGCGCTCTGAGAACAGGTACTAAACACAGAGAACCATGCAGAAATATTACGATCAAATGCGAGCTCGTTAGGCAGGGGTTCTACCATTTTCCTCACACCCAAAATTGACGGCTGTTACAGGAAGCAAAACCAAATCAAATCCAACAAGCGGGTGAAGAAATCCGAAGGAGAAGACAGGGACAGAGTTTGACTGACAGTCCAGAGAGAAAGAGAGAGAGAGGATCTCAAGCTCCGGCCTTGCGGCGCCCGACCTGGGCGACAAAGCCTGCCTTGATGGGCGCAACCGACCTCGATGAACTACACTGCAAGAACAGACACCAGGGATCAGTAGCTCTTCTGAAAAAAATCATGCCATCAAGGTTCTCATCACTTGATTTCTTCAGAAAAATATATTATATGGTAAATTCAGTAGATAAGATTAAGAAGAGTAAGGAGATGGAGGGAATGCCCACCTGCTCGCACCGAAGGAAGAACAGACGATTCTCCTTTGACAGAATAGTGTTCGGGCTCTTGCATCCATGGCAAATGACATACTCATCTGGAAAATCATAACCAGAGATGAGCCAATCCGCCACAAGATATGCACAAGATGGTTGAATGGAGCATACGGATGATACACATTCTGTATATGAATAATATATATACATATATATATATATATGAATACGATTATGGCTAAAGTGGTTGCTGGATGGATCGACGCTGTTGAGCGATGGCAATAATGGAAGAGTACGTGGGTTTCTCCAGGTTTATTTCTCTTCTCATGCAACATTTCTATGTTGATCAGGTAACAAGATAAAAATATCAGCTGATCTTTTCTGGTATGTCCCCCCATGGACCTAGAAATGATGCACAGGTTTATAAGAGAGAGAGAGAGAGAGAGAGAGATGGCTAGGTTTAGTGTCTTTCTGGTGGTCTGAAGTAAGAAAAAAATCTGCATATGGGAGGACTGTGAAAGAAAAAGGTATGGAAACTTAAAAAATCGAAATTAATAACAACTAGACCCTAATTATAAAAATGTAATCAACAAATAGTTTCAGACAATCTTAAAAAAAAAAAGCGCCGGATATAATCTTACAGAATATAGTTAATTATAGTTCACATAAATCTTACAGAATTAGCTACTTAACAAAGTAATGCATGAATCTAAATGGTAGTAGCAAGACAAAGGAAGGTGAAGATATAGATCCCCTAGCAGAATGAAGCAGTCAAGAATAAAAACAAAAAAAATAAAATCAGATATAGTTAAAAAAAACTTACTGACGTATCGCCGAAGAATTCCCTCAAAGTTCTTAGGAGCAAATCTTCCCTTGACAACCAGCCTCTGTTGCCCATCAAGAGATCCGCTAGTTCCCATTTCAGCGAGTAGAAAATTCTGGACATGATCCGGTTGCCTATGCATCCTGAAAGCTAAGATTGTTAGTACTCCCTTGACTAATTGCAGAGGCTTATGATCCACAACCGGCACATTAATCTTTTCATCAATAAGAATAGGCAAGTTTATTATTACATCAACAATATCGACAGAAGAACATACAAAGATAAAATTTAAAGGGAAGTGCAGCACTTATCCCACTACTTCCATAGCTTGATGATTTCATCTTTTTTTCTAAAGCAAAGTGGATGATTGATCCTCAACGAATAAAGACAGACTTATCATAATGGGACTCCACCAATCATTAATGTAATGTACAACTCCATTTATGTACTTTAAAATCTTCTGATCTGATGCAAAGGTAGCTATGTCCTACAATCTCAGAAGAAGGGGAAGGAGAAAAATAAGAAGAAGATACTACATGAAAAGCTAGACAAAGAGATCAAAAGCTCACAGGCATGCTCTGATTCGGAGTACCCGGAGTTCACTAGCCAATAACTTGAAACCCACCATAACACAGACTCAGGCAGATTTCTCAGCAAACTACGCAACAAGATTAAGAACAACATCGGAAGTGCTAGAAATTTATGAAGCATTAGCAAATCAACCAAAGCAATTGTCCATTCTACATGACGCTACTTGGCTCCAGACTACATTGAACATTCTAGACTGATCTATTAAAAGGCAGGGATTACATTTCTTTCGGCAAAGGAAAATGATTGCATTCCACCTATCAACGACATGATGTAGCCAGTCTAATAAGTCAGCATACCATGTGGATTTCAGTATTTACGAAACATAAATCTGTCATCAATCTAAAAAAAAATGAGGATGGCAAATGCGCACTCAAGTTCATAAGTTGATAAAAAAATCAGAAACAGATATTTACAGAATCCAGGGGAAGTTGAACAATGTAGCCAGTGCAGGCTCTGTCAAGGCAGTAAACAAGGAACCAATCTTTCCAAATCAGGAATTCAAAGACTCCACAAGCCCATCAATGACAAGATGATACTACTGATGAAAGGGAAACTATAATCGTGACATAAATAAAACATGTGAAACTAAAAGTAACATGTCAAAGAAAATGGAGCGTACGTCTTGCAAAGATCCATAAAATTCACAAAAACTGTCTTCTTAGTGCCTTCTCGAAGAACCTGGGGTGGCCTCATCACTGTTCTGCGCCTATCTCCAGCAAGATCTGGATTGTTCTGACGTAATATGTTGAAAACTCTATCGAGGAGCTGAAAGAACACAAGAGACTAACGTCATCATCATCTTCTCAACCACGGGTACAATAACTATCAGAATTACCCGAAAAAAATGAAGATGGGACCAATGAGTCTAAAAAAAAATGAGATTCATACAATTTATGTGACTAAACCACAAGTCATTGCCTGAGTTGTTGCCATAACTTTAGCATTCCTTTCTACATTACATCTTTTGATTTTTGTTCTCCTCAAACGTTTCCCATCTCAGGTATAGTGTATTTCATCATTTCTCGGGACGGTGAAAATCATTTTTTTCTCATTTATTCTACTTCTTTTCTGCACCCTTTTCTTTATACATATTTATTCATGTAAATTGATTGTATTCTTTATATGCCAATTCTTGGTGGATCCAGAAAGTTCATCTGAAGTGGCCAAGTTCAAATGGAGAGAGGTGTCATTATGACATGGAGTGATGTATATTATGTAATGAAAAGAATGACATCATTGAAGAAAAATGCAACCACACCGCTATTCCATTAAAAAATCCAGAATTTTTGTAATTAATTTGATGATTTTGGTCTGCTTGATTCCCAAAAATATATATGCATTTAAATATCAAGCAAGCAGCAGTAATTGGTTTGAAGTTAAATATCTACTTTTATCATGTATTAATTCCAATTTCTCTCAAAACCAAAGCAAAAGCAAAGCATCACCTCTTCATAAAAGTAATCTCGGACAGTGCCTTCCCAAGGAAATTGTACACCTCCTCCAAGCACAATACCTTCCGCTTCTTCATCTTCAACAGGAGTGTCAACTAAACAGTAGAAACATGTTCAATTCGATAACTGAGTTTCGGGAATTATCAAATAAATGTCTCCAATTTCAACCATATCAACAGGTGTTCCATTCCAGTCATCGTCAGATAAGAACAAATATTTCATAAGGGAACTTACCCACATGTTCTTCTCCAACATCACCACGTTCTTCACTAAGGAAATCGGTTTCGACCTAAAATAACAGAACAACAGAAATATAGAAATGTTATAGCGACACAGGTGATAAGGGGACATAAATTTGGAAAAAAGTACGCCACTCTGGATTTCAAACGTCACTAAAGGATCATCCACTGACTAACCGGCTTCTTTTTCTTTTTCTTCAAGCCAGCAAAACTAGGTTCAAGACCCTCAGAAACTACATCAAAAAAAGCACCCAAAGAAAACATGAAAATTTTAAAGGCATTAAGTACAAAGGTAAAAATTTTAAAATGTGAGCAATCATACCTGAATATTTCTTTAGAAATATAATTTTAAAAAAGGTAACAGTGACCTCTGATATTTCAAAATACCTGACAAATTTTCTGTTTTTTCTGCAAGTTTCTCCACCTCCTCAGTTGGTTCCTGGATAACAACCTTCTTCTTTTTCTTCTTCTTCGTGGGGTCAAATGGTGCAAGCTGCATTTCAACAAGAAAACATATTGAGGGATCTAACCTTAGAAGAAAATGGATGAAAAGAAAGAAGCACGATGAAGTTCGTAATCTGATCCTAAACAAGGATGTTCACAAGAGATAATAAGGGGAAACATTCATTTTCTTTGCATACACATTTTAATCTCCCGTATACCCCATATCATATATTTCATCATGAAGAAATAAGACGACTAATCTAAATGATCAACTAGTGTGTGTAGTGAAATTCGTTGATTAAGTTATTCGTGTAAACATCACTTGTCATTATTGACAACATTTGCATTACTTTATGTAATAGAAATATATGGCATGAGCCAATGGTTATCAAAGGGAAAAAACATGAAAATTAATGGAAAATGAGCAGGGATCATCAACTGATACCCAAAGAAATCTTTGATCAATAAAACAAAGTCCTTATGGATCTTCGAAACAGCCCCTACTAAAAGAAAGTATTGATGTATAAGCATTTTTTATTAAACAAGTAGGTAAAAATTTAAATAACACAAAAATATCTTATTCTACTTTTAGCCACATCATTATTCCTCTCTATATTGTGTGATTTGACTGATCTGCTTCGAAATGAGACTGTAGCCGGTCAATATGGCATTCAATCCCATTATAGTAATTATTAATGCTGGTTGGAGTTGGACTCAACACATCTGAAAGATAACTGATGTCTTGAGTCTACGAAGTAATCCCCCCAATCGACAGAAAAGATGAAATTATCAATAAGGCTTGCTTCAAAAGAGTCATATCGGCAGGTACATGATGACAGGAAATGAACATCATATCATCCACAAAGTTATCCTTCCCAAAAGTTTCGGACATGAATGAAGATTCTAAAAAGACACGAGGGACCTTTCTGCAAAAAAAATAGCTCCAGACATTGTGATGCAAAGAGACACAGAAAACACCCCATACACATTGTCAAAAAGATCCAGGCTACCCCTTATTAGGCCGGCATCTCAGAAAGCTTGGTTACATGGGTAAGCGGAAATCAGATGTGCAGCATGTGACAAACACAATGGACGCACTAGATGGAATCAAACTCGATGAGCAACATAAATCTTGAGAAAATCCAGCCATCTACCAGTACCACTCAAATGACTGACTTGTCACAATATATAAAAAGAGAATTATATAAGAATACGTATGAACTGCTAGTTACATCTCATAAAGTTTAAAGTTATGCAAAAAGATACTCCATGCCGCATCATAGATTGAAAGATTCAAGTACTAGGACTGGAGAAGCTTTTCAGATATGGATAAATTTACTGTCATAAGGATCTGCAATAAGTTTCTTTATAATTAAGAAAGACAAAGCCAACCGTTAGATTAACCGAGATAGTTATTTGCAATGAACTTCTTTACAGACAAAAAAAATTGTTCATGTGATATAGACTGAAACAGATACATATTTTCTTGCTTACAGAAGACTGTAAGGCTTAGACCATACCTCTGCTACATCCTCCCTCACGTCAACAAATGCTTCTTCGGCCATTATCACTTCACTTTTGCCTGACAGGAGTTAATAAAGTTAATACAAGACATGGGTAGAAGATAAAAGAACGAGTTGTAGCTTACGCTTGGCATAGTTCAACTCGTCTAGAAAATAACTAGAAAAAACACAAATAAAAACGTAAACGAAATCATTAACACAAAAAAAAACCGAATACGGATGTTAATATGTACGAGACGATGTTCCACGTTCACACCATCACTGTTTACGAAGATTACCACGATAAAAGAAGAATAAAAATGACGAACACAATCGATAGAGACCTCTGAGAGATAGCTTCCAAGGCTTCTATACAACTAATGGCATCCCTATGCCACTTTGGGAGCAGATCGTTTCTCATGAAATTTCGACACGAACCGCCGTTTTTCTGCCGTCGACGGGTAGATGGACGGGTTGATTGGTAAAAAAAATCTAGATAGGCAGATGGGTAAAGACAGAGGGGAGGAAGAATGCGAAAGCGCCGTTGGAGAGAGAAGCAAAGACACAAGGAAATGGACAAACAGACGGAAAGAGGAAGGAGCCGGCGCAGACAGTAAGACGGATGAAGAAAGAAATAGAAACAGGGATGGAATCGTGGGGTCGAGATGGCGAGCAAGAGGAGGGAGAATTGCGCAGACAAGGAGAGAGAGAGAGAGAGAGAGAGAGAGAGAGAGCGAACCTGCTCGGTTGCCGACTGCCGGCAACAATGGAGTCGGCGTCTCCCGACAAGAGCGGCGGCTCACGAGATCGGCGACGACAGAAGGTCTGAAATGGAGGAGGCCGGACGGAGGTGGGGGAGATGAAAGGGAAGAAGAGCGGGTGTTAAGGGTTTCTGCCCGCTTACTTATTGGGCTTCCATTGCCCTAACCTACCCAAGTAAGCCCATTTATAACGCCCATACCCAATACGACAGCTATAAATTAGGCCCACGGATACTCCCCTGTTACCGCCTCGCCGCCGGCATGATCGGGCGGCGCTTCCTCCGCGACGGCGAACATCTGGTCCGCGTCTTTTCCTCCTCCACCACCACGAGCTCCCCTAAACCTGGCCGGATCCCCACCTTCCTTAGAGAATCCGGCGGCTCCAATGGCCCATCCAGCTGGCTACTGGTTCAAGAACCCGTCGCCAGCCTATGCGCCGATGGCAGGTTCCAGGACGCCGTCGAGGTCCTCTTCCGGCGGCGCGGTAGCGTCGGCGATGCCGTCGGATTGCTCGACGTCGTCGACAGATTGCATCAGGCGTCGCCCCAGGTTTATCCCTATCTCTTCCAACTGTGCCTCCGCCATGGCGCCGTCGACGACGCCGGCCGCGTCTTCCGGCACGCCATAGGATCGGGATTCCAGCCAGATGTTCTCGTTTCCAACCGTCTCATCGCCATGTTCTCAAAATCAGGCCGCCATGTCGATGCTCGGAGTGTATTCGACCGGATGTCGGAGAGGGACGCCTGCTCGTGGAACACGATGATCTCCGGCTACGCGAAGAGAGGCGGCATGGCGGAGTCACGGCAGCTGTTCGACCTAATGCCACGGGGGATGAGAGACGGTTTCTCGTGGAGCTCGGTGATGTCCGGTTACATACGGCACGGCCAGCCAGCGGAAGCCCTGAGGCTCTACCGGGAGATGCAGATGGACGGAAGGTCGGTCGGGAACAAGTTCACCGTCTCAAGCGCCCTCGTTGCGTCGGCCGCCGTCCTCAACCTGAGATTCGGGAAGGAGATTCACGGCCATGTTATCCGCGGCGAGCTCGCTTCGGACGCTGTTCTCTGGAGCGCCCTCTCCGACATGTACGCTAAGTGTGGAGCCATAGCCGAAGCGAGGCACATATTCGAATGCTCCCCCAACAGAGACGTCGTCTCCTGGTCCGCCATGATTGGGAGGTACTTCGACGCGGGTAGAAGCGATGAGGGCATGAGGCTCTTCTCCGACATGCTGCGATCAGGAGTGAGGCCCAACGAGTTCACCTTCGCGGGGATCCTCAACGTGTGCTCGGAGAGAACCATGGAAGCCCTGGGGAAGCAGGTCCACGGGCACATGGCGAGGATCGACTGGGATCCCTTCTCATTTGCAGCCGGAGCACTCATCGACATGTATTCCAAATGTGGGAACATCAGCAGCGCAAGCAAGGTGTTTGAAAGTATGCCGCAACCGGATCTGGTCTCCTGGACTTCGCTGATTTCCGGGCTAGCTCAGAACGGCTACCCCATGGAGGCTCTCAGGTACTTCGACTCCCTGCTCAGCTCTGGCACCAAACCCGATCACATCACCTTCGTGGGGGTCCTATCTGCCTGCACCCACGCCGGGCTCGTCGACAAAGGGTTGGAGATTTTCTGGTCGATAGAGAAGGATCACGCGCTGGCTCACACCAGCGACCACTACGCCTGCGTGGTCGACCTCCTGAGCCGCGCGGGGCGGTTCGCTGAAGCGGAGGAGATCATCCGCAGGATGCCCATGAAGCCGGACAAGTTCCTGTGGGCTTCCTTGCTCGGCGGCTGCAGGATCCACGGCAACATACGGCTCGCTCGGCAGGCGGCGGAGGCTTTATTCCGGCTAGAGCCTGAGAACGCCGCCACCTATGTGACCCTAGCCAATATCTACGCCACCGCCGGCCTCTGGGACGAGGTGGCCTGGACCCGACGGCTGATGGAGGCGAAAGGGGTCGTGAAGAAGCCCGGCTCCAGCTGGATCGAGATCGAGAGGAAGGCCCACCGGTTCCTGGTGGGGGACGACTCGCATCCCAGGATAAATGAGATCCACGCCCAGCTGGAGAAGCTCTCCGCGAAGATGAAGGAAGAAGGGTACATCCCCGACACGCAGTTCGTCCTCCACGACGTCGAGGAGGAGCAGAAGGAACAGAACTTGACCTACCACAGCGAGAAGCTGGCGGTCGCCTTTGGGATCATCGCGACGCCCCCGCCGGCGGCCATCAAGGTCTTCAAGAACCTCCGCATCTGTGGAGACTGTCACACGGCGATTAAGTTCATATCAAGGATTTCCCAGAGGGAGATCATCGTGAGGGACTCGTCCAGATTCCATCACTTCAAGGACGGAAGCTGTACCTGTGGAGACTACTGGTGAACTCGGTAAGGCCCCCTCTTCCCCAAGCACATGGCTTGGGATCCTACCTTGGTCAACCCAGTTAGAATCACACTCGCTTTGACTCGATTTGACATTCTTACTGTCATCGAACAATGGCAGTGTCATTTTCAGTATAGAAAGTCAACGTCTTGATGATCCCCCGTCTACGATCAGGTACGGACCAGGGCGCAGACATGCAGAGGTGGCGAACGAGAATATGGTTTCCCGGTGGAGGACGAAGAGATTCTCGGCCGTGACGCGGGTTGGAAAGCGGCGGAGCAGCTCGCCGGTGCCGGTGTTGGGCGTCCCATTCGTGGGCGGGGAGGAGGAAGACGATGACGTGCTTCAGCAGACCTTCAGGTCTGGTAACTCCGCGTCGTCTGAGTAATACCACTGTCCTCAACAGAATATTAAATTTATTTGTAGATAAATAAAAGGGTTTTTTTATAATTTTCCTCCTTTCGATTTAGATTTTTGACATAATTATATCTGTAATTTAGAGATTAATAGAATAATAACGGACAAGGCTAGAATAAGAACGGCTACGGTTGAGACGAGCTTTTTTCCTGCTCTTCCTTTAGAATCGATGACTCGCTCTGAAAACCTAGTGAGGCAACTGGGGAGCGTCCATCCTCGACCATGAAGAATGACGATGAGCGCCGCCGCGGGTCTCCTCGCCGCCGCCCTCCCCGTCGACGTGGCGGCGCTCGCCAACTCCTACGCCGCCCACCTCAACCGCCTCGCCCCGCTCGCCACCGCCTCGCCTCGACTCCTACTCCGCCGCCTCCGCGCCCTCCACGGCCGCATCCTCACCTCCGGCTTCGCCCCCCGCAGCCACATCCGCAACCGCTTCATCGACCTCTACGCCAAGTCCGGCGATCTCACCGCCGCCCGCAGCCTGTTCGACGCCGCTCCCCGACCCGATGTGGTAGCCAGGACGACGCTCGTCGTTGCCTACGCAAACTCCGGGAATCTCAAGCTCGCACGGCAAGTGTTCGATGAAATGCCTCTGGGAATCCGCGACACCGTCTCCTACAACTCGATGATATCGGCTTACTCTCGCGCCGGCGAGGGTGGCCCCTCGGCAGAGCTCTTCTGCGGGATGATCCGCAGCGGTCTCTGCCCCGACGACTACACGTTCACCGGCGTCCTCAGCGCGGCGGCCGCCGTCCCAGATATCGACCTCCGCCAGTGCGAGCAGCTCCACGCCGCCGTCGTGAAGTACGGGTCGGAGTCTGTCGTATCTGTCTCCAACGCCCTCATCGCGCTCTACTTCAAGTGCTCCCCCGCGCAGGCGGTCCTCTCCGCCCGCAGAGTATTCGACGCCATGCTGGCCAGGGACGAGCTCACCTGGACGACAATTCTGGTCGGCCATACGCGGCGCGGTGACCTTGACGGTGCACGGCAGCTGTTCGATGGAATGTCGCAGAGATTCGACGTTGTCTGGAACGCGATGATATCAGGGTATGTGCACCAGGGGCACTCCTCGGAGGCCTTAGACCTGTTCAGGAAGATGAACTCGGAAGGGGTTCCCATGGACGAGTTCACCTACACCAGCGTCATCAGCGCCTGCGCGAATTCAGGGCTATTCAGGCTCGGCAAGGCCGTCCACGGCTGCATCACCCGCTCTGGAGGGATCGAGCTCTCGCCGGAGGCGGCGTTGCCCGTCGAGAACGCTCTGGTCACGCTCTACTGCAGGTCTGGCGAGCTCGACCGCGGCCGGCGGGTGTTCGACAGGATCAGAGCCAAAGATTCCGTCTCGTGGAACGCCATCCTGTCGGGTTGCATGGATTCGGTGAGGATCGATGAGGCGCGGGAGATCTTCGCCGCCATGCCCTGCAAGAACCGGGTGGCCTGCACGGTGATGATCGCCGGGCTCACGCAGAATGGCTTCGGAGAAGAAGCGCTGCGGCTGTTCGGCAGCATGAGGGCGGCGACGGCCGGGGGGATCGACCCCTGCGACTACGCCTTCTCGGGGGCGCTCGCGGCCTGCGCCGGGCTCGGCGCGCTGGAGCACGGCCGGCAGCTGCACGGGCAGCTCATCCGCTGCGGCTACCCGGCGAGCAACTCGGCGGCGAACGCCCTCCTGACGATGTACGCCAAGTGCGGCGCCGTGGAGGCGGCTCGCCTGGTTTTCCTCGGCATGTCCGGCCCCGACGGTGTCTCGTGGAACGCCATGGTCGCCGCGCTCGGGCAGCACGGGCATGGAAGCGAGGCGGTGGAGCTGTTCGAAGAAATGCTGCAGAAGGAAGGAATCCAACCCGACCGGATCACCTTCCTCACCGTCCTCTCGGCCTGTAACCATGCCGGCCTGGTCGACGAAGGCCTGCGGTACTTCAGAGCCATGGAGGAAGACCACGGCTTCACCCCTGGGGAAGATCACTATGCTCAGGTGGTGGATCTGCTGGGCAGGGCGGGGAGGCTGGCGGAGGCGATGGAGGTGCTCCAGTCGCTGCCGTCGGATCCCAGCCCGGCGATGTGGGAGGCGGTGCTCTCCGCCTGCCGCATCCACGGGGACATGGAGCTCGGCGTACAGGCGGCGGACAAGCTCCTGGAGATGAGCCCCCGGCACGACGGCGCCTACATCCTCCTGGCGAACATCTACGCCGCCGTCCGTCGGTGGGACGACGTCGCTCGGGTGAGGAAGCTGATGAAGGACAGGCAGGTGAAGAAGGAGCCTGGTTGCAGCTGGGTGGAGGTCGCCGGAGAGGTCAACGTCTTCCTCGTCGACGACGCTTCTCACCCGGAAATCCGGGAGGTTTACAGGTTTTTGGAGGTGCTCGGGGCGAGGATGAGGAAGGCGGGGTACCTCCCGGACACCAGATTCGTCTTCCAGGACGTGGAGCAAGGTCAGAAGGAGCAGGCGCTGTCCACCCACAGCGAGAAGCTGGCGGTGGCGTTCGGGATGATGAAGCTCCCACCGGCGGCGACGGTGAGGGTGTTCAAGAACCTGAGGATCTGCGGGGATTGCCACGCCGCCGTCATGTTCATGTCCATGGTGGGGGAGAGGGAGGTCGTCGTCAGGGACGGCCGGCGGTTCCACCACTTCAAGAACGGTGCTTGCTCCTGCGGAAATTACTGGTGACCGTGGTCGGATCCGTCCGAGATGGTCGATTCGGACGGCCCAACCTCGTTGACTTTTCCTCCTGGGTAAGCTGTTGTCCCAGCAATCGTTCTCGGTTGACGAAGACGCGGCAGACATCGTTGACGAAGGAAAAAAACATCATTACCCAACACTTGGAATATATTCTTACATGATCAAGTAATAATGGATATATGTTTACGCATAGTTTTACTTATAGAAGTAAAAATAAGCATAGTTTAATTATAAAATGTATACATATGCATAGTTAAACTTTTTAAAAATAATCATATATCTAGCCCAAAAAAATAAAAAGTCTTCACATGCAACTCGTTTTTTTATTTTACTGCGTGAAATAAATTATTTTTAAAAAATTGCCCTAATTGTAACTGGTTCACGAATAAGTGTACTAATTCGTGATAATGTCCCATAATGTCAGGGTTTTTATCTCCCGATATTATATAATTCGTGACAATCATCATGCACTTGACTTCGCGTGTACGTCTGCCATGCTGGCACGGTCCTATCTGATCCACGTGGCCTGGACCAGTCTTGTCCAGCCGGTTTGGTTTTTTTTATTGGATCTAGAGAATCCTGTCCGTCCGATCTAATACCGCCAAGAGCTTGAGCCCCAATGGACCACGCCTTGTGGTGGACCCAGTTCTACCGAACTTGTCGAGACCGTTGGCATCCCATACGCCGCCTTTTTGTGACGTTACGATTTTATCCTCAAAAGTAGTTTAATTAACGCGTTGTCCTCCACTTTCGCGATAGTACTGTTTCCTCACGGGGATCAATCCTAGAATAGTCCAGAGAGTCGGACGTAAAAACTTAGGTTACTATCATAAATATATGTGGTTGAGGGTTTAAGAGACATCTCTTTCTCCCTTCTGGAATGACCTCTGGGGAGTGCTGCCGGTCTTCTCCGCCGCCGCAAAGTGGGATCAGTCCGGTCGATCTAAAGAGCTCCGACGGTGACCACCGCCGGAGAGCATCTCTGGCTTTCGGCTGGCTCAAGCAAAGCTCTTTCCTCTGAAGCACGAGGAGGATGAGGCGGACGGCGACGACGGCAGCGATGGGTAGAGAAGAGAGCTGAGAGCGCGGCGAAGGAGACGAGCTGCGAGGAGGACGCCGCCGCCTCTTTCTCTCTCCGCTCTCTATCTCTCCCTCGACAAGCCCTCCCTCAACCAAGTCAAAAGAATCCACTCTCCGTCCCGAGCTTACCCATTCCAGGCCATCCTCAGCCTCACAGAGCCCACCCGCCAACCAGAGATCCGTTGATCATCAGTGTGCATGCCGTGACCTCTCTCTCTCTCTCTCTCTCCCCCGCTTTAACTGTCAACAGACAACGAATACCAGCCCATCCAAAAGAAAGAAGGCATCTTTAATGACCAGTCTAGAACTGCTCCCATCCCAGATGGGTACTCCTCGTATGGGTGAGGCTTCTGACATTGCCATTGCCAGAATAATCTCTCAGTAAAGGCGACAAGTTCGATCCTGTATTTAATACATCATGAACTCATAAAATGCCATTGGGCGAGTAGACATCCGATGGGAGCTTATCGTTATATTTGGATATTATGGGTAGATTTAAAGGAGGGTCTTTTTCCTTCAATACCACCAGAGGAAAGCTCGGCGGGGTCTGGAGATTAGGCCAGCCTCCAGCCATGACCGCGGTTGTCTCATCAGTAGAATCGTCTTTTGATCTGAGGTCCCGTCTGATCGATCGTATGCTTTATTCCTCTAGATCGGATTGGTAACGTCTGGAGGACGAAGTGTAGGGAAGAAGACCCTGGCAACCCTGCCTCGTGCAATTACAATTTCCTGACCCATATCATTAATGTTCCAGCTTCTCTCGCTCTCTCTCTCTCTCTCTCTCTCTCTCTCTCTTGCTATACAACCCATGCAGTAACCAGTCTTCTCACCCTAAATTGAGGGTAGATAAACGTTTCATCCTCTTGCTCCCTCCCTCCCTCCCTCCCTCCCTCTCTCTCTCCATCTCCCTCTCCCCCTCTCCCTATCTCATATCTGTGGAATAAGTAGGGTAGTGATGAGGTGGCGGAGAGAGAACTCTCTCGTGGCCGCCCCGCTGCATGTGAATGACTGACAAGGGCAGTACCCGTGTCGGCACATACACGGGCTCCCCCCGTCACTTCCGGCCGCAAACTCAAGCACTAACCCTAACTCTTCCTCCTCCCTCCCGTGACAACCCTTCCATATAATCCCCAGTTATAAATAACGGCCCCCTGCCCCGCCATCGTCCCCCCAACCGGCTGGTACCATCTGTCTCTTACCCATTCAGGAGAGAAGGGAAGGGAGGAGCCTTCATGGCGCTGCTCTCGACTCTCCCTTCTCTGGCTTGTTTACTTCTGCTGGCAATGGCCCTCCGGCCATCCTCCGGCGGTGGTTCTCACGACTACGGCGAGGCACTGAGCAAGAGCATACTCTTCTTCGAGGGGCAGCGATCGGGGCAGCTCCCCGCTGACCAGAGGCTCAAATGGCGGGGAGATTCGGGCCTCTCCGACGGGGCGGAGGCCGGTGTTGACCTCGTCGGCGGCTACTACGACGCCGGCGACAACGTCAAGTTCGGCTTCCCCATGGCCTTCACCGCCACCATGCTCGCCTGGAGCGTGGTGGAGTTTGGCGGCATCATGCCGCCGGAGGACCTCCGCCACTCCCTGACGGCGCTCCGCTGGGCCACCGACTACCTCCTCAAGACCATCGCCCACCCCGACAGGGTGTACGTCCAGGTAATGACGGTCCACATTGCTTTCTGCCTCTCTCTCTCTCCTCCTCCTCCTCTCTTCGGGTTGAGTTAAAATTTGCAGCTTTACTGTGCTCGTAGCATTAACTGGTTTAGGGATCAGGAAAAAAGGTGACTTGATTGGTGTGGAAGGGAGAATCATGGGTGTCTGTCTGATCAGAGCCTGACGATCCTCTGACTCTCCCTGGGGCGGTGTTGTAGTACATGATTGATCTACCGTGGATTCTAGTCAATATTTGCCACTTCCTCAGTCAACGATGATGGGGAGCTTCCACGAGAACGGAGCTGATGGACTGATGTAGCGTAATGTAGAGAGAGAAACCTTAGTTGCGTTAGCTCCGATGTGATTGATATCATTAAGTAACAATGGGCGTCAAAGTAGGATAGATTCAGAGCTCGGATCGATTTTGTTGCAGGTGGGAGACCCGCTGAAGGACCACAACTGCTGGGAGAGGCCGGAGGATATGGACACGCCGCGCACGGTGTACAGCGTCACGCCCGACAGGCCGGGCTCGGAGGTCGCCGGCGAGACGGCGGCGGCGCTGGCGGCGGCGTCGATGGCCTTCCGAGAGGCGGACGCCACCTACGCCGAACGGCTGCTGCGGGGAGCAACGACGACGTTCGAGTTCGCGGACAGCTACAAGGGCGCCTACAGCGACGACACAGGGCTGAAGGCCGGCGTCTGCCCCTTCTACTGCGATTTCGACGGCTACCAGGACGAGCTCCTGTGGTCGGCGGCGTGGCTCCGGCGAGCTTCCGCGAACGTCTCCTTCCTCAGCTACATCCAGAACAACGGCAAGACCCTCGGCGCCGACGACAACATCAACGAGTTCGGCTGGGACAACAAGCACGCCGGCATCAACGTCCTCATCTCCAAGGTTCTCTCCTCTCTCCCTCTCTCTCTCTCTCTCTCTCTCTCTCTCTCTCTCGCGCGCGCGCGCGCTATCTACCTCTATGAGAGAAAGGGGATCCTGAGGAAACGTCGTTAATGGTGGCGACACGAGGATGGCATTAATGGCGGGAGGAGGTGACTGGTCCCTGTCATTGTGGGGTGTTGGCTCAGGAATTCCTGGAGGGGGAGGTGCTGTGGCTGCAGTCCTACAAGCAGTCGGCCGACAGCTTCATGTGCACGCTGGTTCCGGAGTCGTCCTCCCCCCACATCGAGTTCACCCCTGGAGGGCTCATCTACAAGCCCGGCGGCAGCAACATGCAGCACGTAACCTCCATAGCCTTCCTCCTCCTCGCCTATGCCGACTACCTCGCCCGCTCCTCCCGCACCGTCGACTGCGGCGGCGTCGCCGTCGATCCCTCCTCCCTCCGCCGCCTCGCCAAGCAACAGGTGCTCATCCTCTAATTTCTTTCAACGCTCATGGCGGTGGCTCCTTCTTCCTCCTTCCCCCCGTTGATCATGGCTGTGGTTTGCAGGTGGACTACCTGCTGGGGGACAATCCCATGGGGATGTCCTACATGGTGGGGTACGGGGAGAGCTACCCGCAGAGGATCCACCACCGGGGGTCGTCACTGCCGGCGAAGGCCGACCGGCCGGAGCAGATCGGCTGCAAGGAAGGGTCACCCTACTTTAACTCGCAGGCCCCCAACCCAAACATTCTGGTCGGTGCCGTCGTCGGTGGCCCCGGGGAGGACGACGCCTACGGCGACGACCGGCCAGACTTCCGTAAGTCAGAGCCCACAACTTACATCAACGCTCCCCTCGTCGGAGTCCTCGCCTACTTCGCTGCGAACCCTAGCTAGCATTTTGGCCGCCGGTGATAGGATCGGGCCGGCGATTCCGCGGGCAAACCCTCCGAAATCTCCGAGCGGACTGAATACAAGCTATATTCTTTGCTCACCTTGGGAACACCCCATCGAGGAGCCCAACAGAACCACTGAGTAGGGCCCATTACTTATAAACCTGAGGAGGGGGGAGGGGTCCCGCCGTCAGAATGCCCAATATGGGACTAACCATGTGGATAGCCCCTCTCCTCCATTTTGCTTTCCACAGAATACAACAATCTCCCACTTGAAAGATAAAGTCTCCCCACGCCGCACCACGAATCCCTTCGTATGCGTCGTTCTGCCCGCGACGATCCCGCGAGTACTCTCCTCGCGTATTCCACGTCGCCCAGTCAGTCCCAAGTCGCGCCCCACGAACATCTTTGTGCACGTTTCCTGGCTGCTGCCGCATCATGCTCTCACTCCACGAGAGACATCAATGAACTGCCACTAACTGGGAATGGTTCCAACACGTGCTACCGCAATTCGCACGCTGCTTTCCACGCCAGATGCTATCTGCGTCTCTCCAGCGCACGGCACCTGTGTTCCAAGCGTCCGTTACACCCGCTCCGTGCCAGCGCCGCGTACGTTCTGTGTCAGGGCCTCCCCGCGTTGTCCCCGAGGCCATCGCACGTCCTCCAGTGCCTAGGCCTCCTTCACAATCATCCAACGCAGGCCCTGCAGCTGCGCATCTCGCTGGGCGGCGCGAGATCACACCCTGCCATGCGTGAGCCTTCACTGCGCACGCGTTCACCGCCCGACCGACGCCATGTCGCGCGCCTCAGGTGTCCCGTTGTTCTGGCATCGTTCGTTCCATCCTGCGCCTGCTGCACATTTTGACGAACATCTTCAGCGCATCAAGAGCTGTCGTGGCACGACTTCTTCCTTGCCGACGCGGTTACGCACGACTCTGCGCAACTTCGCGCAACTTCGCGCATCTTCGACCTTCCGCGACCCCATCGCCAGCTCGATCCGCGACCGTCGTCGCCCAGCCACTCCCCGAGCATCCTCGCCTGGCTGTCCAGCGAGCGTCCCCGCTCAGGCCACCTGCGACCTTAGTCGCCCGATGCTGTTCTGCGCCATTCCAGCACGCGTCGCCAGCGTGCAGCAAGACCTCCCGCGACGTAGTCGCCTTGGCCGATCCACGACCGTCATCGTTTAGCCATTCCGCGAGTATCCTCGCCTGGCTGTCCAGCGAGCGTCCTCGCTCAGGCCACCTGGGACCGTCGTCACACAGGCAATTCCGTGGCCTTAGTCGCCAGGCGCTGTTCTGCGCCGTTCCAGCGTGCATCGCTTGCACGATCTCCACACGGTAAACTCCCCCTGTCCGACACAGTTAAGCGCCAAACCAACACATATCCTCAGCGCCGCTACGGTCCGGTGCGCGCTTCTCATGCGGCTCCTCCTGAAGTGCTGGCGCCGCTCCACACGCGCCTCCAGCGCCACTCCGCAGGATAATGCACGTAACCGCACCGTACGGACCACCGCGCGGCACCCAGCCGCGGCGGCACCCAGCCGCGGCGGCACTGGGGATTCGGACGCCACCGTGGTTGCTCCCTCAGTGAGTAGGGCCCATTACTGATACAACTGAGGGAAGCTGTGTGAAGTAAGGAAATATGAAACGAACAACTCACGACGAAGATGACACCAGGATTTTTACGTGGTTTCGAAGGGCTCCACTAGACGTGAAAGAAGTATGAGCTGTTTTTCCCTACAGCCCGTTGGGTCCGTGAGGGTGGCTAGACAGACCGGTTCTCCAGTGGACCCCGCCTTCCAGGTATGAGCTGAAATACCTGGGCGACCGGGGGGGGAAGCTTTCTTTTACATGAAATCTGTTCTGGAGAGATAGAGAGATAGATAGATAGATAGAGAGAGAGAGAGAGAGAGAGAGAGAGAGAGAGAGAGAGAGAGAGAGAGAGAGAGAGAGAGAGAGAGAGAGAGAGAGGATGATATTTTAAATTTAAGAAAATATTATCACGTATTTTTTAAAAAATTAATATAGACTAAAAAGATTGCCCCATATTTTCACACTCAAGAGACCGTCTTCGAAATAATTAATGTTGGGAATTATTTTACCCCTCTGGCCCGTCGAGGGCGCTACATTTTCTCAAGATTTTTATTTTATTTCATTATCAGTAGGAGCAGTAAATAATAAAATAAATAATAGTGGCGACAGAGGTAAAGGAGGTGGGGCCCACCAGGGCCCAGGACACGTCAGAATCGGCGTCCTGGACCGCCGTCGAGGCCCAACGACATCACTACCCGCCCGCCGTCAGCTACCAGTCAGGAGAAAGCGAGAGAACGGATCCGAGGATCCTGGCCGCTAAATCGGTGGACCCTCAAGACCATTACGGTGCCAATCGGCTGAGCGGCGGCGCAGGAAGCGCTGCTGCTGCTGCGGGCCCGGTGAGGGAGAGTCAGAGGGCTCCAAGCAGGGGATGTACGCCAAGAACTGAAGCTACTAAACCACGGGAAGAGCTTCTCCTTCATCGGAAGAGATCCTCTGCAAGAGGACTACGCATCGCTCGCTTACCAGCTGGTTAGATAAAGCTGCTGAGGCCTCCCGCTCTGGTGGCCCGCCGCATTACACAGAGCCATAGAAGAACGCTTCCCAGGGTTCCTGCTGCTGCAAGAGTATAAGGCGACTGTGGATATGAGTGCGGATCATCTGATGCGATAAAGCTGCCATTTTTCATAAAAACTTGCTCTTAAGAGTAAGGCGTCTGGTCGTTGGAGCACCCCAGTCGTCCTCGTCATCCTCCAATGAGTTCTTCGTTTACATGTCAAAAAATCCCGGTTGACCATCATCTGAAATAAAAGAGGAAATATAAGTTGACCTGGATTTGCTCCTGAGGGGAAGTTGCCACATTCGTCAAGAACGGAACCCAGATAGGATACTAGAAACTCTGGATGCTGAGAGCTATTGGTAGGAGGAAGAGTGTGAAGCACTGTACATGGAAGTTGGAGACTGAATGCTAATGAATTTTACTCTAAATAATTGCATACTAATCTTAATGAATTGTGTACTCCACACCATATTTGCTTAGGCTCAGATGCCTTGACTTTGTTGCTTATATGCCCAATATATACAGCATCTCCAATCTAAAAGAGAGCATTGATCATGTGTTTTTTAACTATTGAAGAATAATAAATATTTAATATTTAAAGTGAAACTATCTACACTTCCTTAACCCAGATGAGAGAGCCATCCGATATTTCATCAGCCTGATCTGATACAAATCCTACATAGAATCAGCTACTAAGTAGGCCATCATTACCCAGGGGGCTATTGATAGGTTGTCCATACAGGCAGCTACCAGGTGTTGAGCTTAATATCTTAGTTCCTTCGATCTATTCCATTGACCTGCTGCTCTAGGACTAGCTGCGAAACTCAGCCTCTAGGTTCATTCCATACAGATCAAGGGGCGCAACCATTCTAGGATAAGAACTTTTCATAGAATGATTCCTCGGAATTTTCCTCTTCCCACGTCAGCTGGGGCCAGAGGAGGACCCAACTCCTAGTCCATACAGTTCTAATGAGTCAATGTCAGATTAAAGTTTGACAATATATCGAGCTGAAGTCAACTCCGGCTACACATCATCACCCGATATCATTAAATCCATCACGTTTTGCTAAAAACAATGAGAATCGTCAAAGACCAGAATAAACATGTTAAATAATGATCATAAACAACCAGGTAGTACAACGTTTACCTGTATTTTGACACTGCGAAAGCCACAGGTCCATGTGTTCTATGATCTGCGCTCTCACTTTTTCAACCGCTTCAGGAGATGTGCAGTTTTCTGAACTCCCTGAAGAAGGTAAGGACATAAATAACATTATTTGAAGCATCACTTAAAACAAAGAATGAGGCTATTAGTGGCCATATGCCACGACATCATGAATTTAGGTCGAGTGAGTGAAGGATACCAGAAATATTAAAACTGAACCAAAACCTAACCTGGGTTTGCTATCAGTTCTCCACCCTTAGTGCAGGGACGAATTACCATGGGATATTTAAAAATATTACCCAAAATCTTGTGTGTGTTTGGTGGGGGGGCGAGGGGAGTTGTGATTGACATACTCTTTGCTGACCTTTACCACTTTTAAATTAGATTCCATAAACCCATTTATAAACCTTTTGGCACTCTGTTGACAGGTCAGGTCCCACTTAAATTGAAAGTCCTGTGTATGAGTCTGATCAATTCAATCGAAAGAATCACAGTATGACATTTTTTTGGACCACAGAGTCAACGATTTATATTTTTCATGAAATAAAGACTCACCTTTCATGTTGAAGTGAGACTGAGGACATCCACTCAAATCACTGCAATGGCCGCAGTTATGGCATTTGATGGTATATGAAGGCACTGAATGTTTGCAAATAGGGAAGGACTTTATTAATAAGATTAAGAACAGTAAAAGATGGAATGAGCACAGACGTAGCAAATGAATAAAAGTTGATTATTATTCATGAAATATGGAGAGAATAAAAAAAAAGGAAAATTGCGTGCATGATAATATGCATGGACCGAAGAAGTACGTTTTTACGAAAATCCAAAATCAACTTTTTTCTCGAACAAGAAATACGACGTGATTAATCATTCGCTATCATTGTAATTGCTCAGGCTTATTTTCTAGATAATTCTTCATCTTTACTCTCCAAACATTCTTTCAATTCTCACTACAGTCGGATTACATTACATCTCAATATTGCAGGATTACTCACGAAGGTCAAGGGCACAACGATTTTTTTTTCAAATTTACATATTGCTATGTAGTTGGATCAGTGATATTTTCCACAGAATGCATGGTGAGACTCACTGTTTTTAGACGACTTCTGCTTGGAAGCATGGCGCCATGGATCCTGAGAACCATTTGTAAAAATTATCCTAGAACCTGCACCATTCATAAGATAACATGTAATTGATGTGCACAGAAACCATGATCATAATAATAATAATAATAATAATAATAATAATAATAATAATAATAATAATGGCTGGTAAATTTAAATTTGAATAAAAAGCATTAACTTATTTCCTTCTTGAAGTTCTTTATCGATCAACAGAAAGCAATTATATTTTACACAATGACAAGATACAGAAAGAATGGCTTAATTATTGATGTTTCAGCATAGGTGTGACTACTTAATATTCTTTTAGGCCAACCTGAATTCTAAGATCTTCTGAAGAATAAAGAGTTTTGTACATAGCAAAGCATGACCTTCTAAATTAGATATGGAACCTGGACCAGCCAAAACGGTCACTCAAGGAGGAGAAAGGCCTGTCCAGATTAAAAATAAAAATAAAAATCTATCTGTGATGTAATAGTGGATATGCACAAATATCTTGATGAAAAGTTATGGAGATCGGTGTAAATGAGGAAAAATTTGAGCAATACAAAATGGAGGTAGCTACTTCTTTAAGTTGAGATTTAGGGAACAACTTGCTCTGCAATCATCAAAATTCAACAAAAAATTATGTTAGTGTTCTCTATATCTACATGAATTAGAGACCATATACAGCGAAAAGGATAAAATCAGAACAACAAATAAAAATAACAGTATCCAACGAAAAACACATAAAAGGTCTTCCATGACACACACTTGATGATTTTCAAATGAACATTGTAGTTTCCTTCTAACCAGAAAGATAAAATGGATATAAGGACCTCAACTCGATTCAACAAGTTTCTAAGGAATTTATAGATGCACCTTTTCACAGTATTACATAATGCGTCTCAGTAAATTCCTGTGAGAACTTTACCAAACATATTCATTCTGGACCTATACTATAAAACAAAGTAATTTAATGAAATGAAACCCTTCAATAAAGAATGCAGTAAGTTTTAAGGGACCAAGTAATTCTTTTTGGATAACGCAGTATTTCTATAGAACAGATTTAGCGGGAAGTTTTCCATAGAAGTAATAGCAAAACTCAGAGGATAAAGAAATAACCAGCAATCTTTGTGCCGCCGTAGTATATGTTGGTCATCTCCACCTGAGGGTAGACTCCATCTCCAAAAACATTCTTACAAAGATCCAAGTGATAACTGCAACAAAACCAAATAATTTCTTGAGACATTGGAAATAAAATATTGATAAACACGTATCTCTTTGGGTGCCCATAAATGCATGCATATTTGAGTGTGTACATCCGTGATACACATGTACGTGTTGCAGAAGATTACAGCAGCACAAGCAGAGTATGTACACATGCGCAAATTACATGATCTAGTGATATCACAGAATGGCCACATTATTTGCATCCTTCACATGCACAGTTCATGGAACTGATTGATTGAGAATAAAAGCAGGGGTTCCCAACCATATTTCCAGCCAAGGAGATATACTTCAACTTTAATTACCCTAGATCTAAAATTCAAACGATGCTGTGACTTTCACTTGAAAAGTTGCAGTCCCAGGCTAGAACACTCTGTGATAGAACGAAAAATAAGAAGTGGTCACGCGGAACGGCCACCAACAGGTGACTAGTCAAAGTGTGCTATACATGTAAATATGCTTTCAGGTTTACGAGTCCGAAACTTGTTTTTGCATTTTTGAAACATGATCGATTGCCACAACCGCCCTCAGTTATAATATATCTGATCGAATCGAGTTAGCAGAATATATGGTAAGTGCATACTTTATGTCAATCCTTGGAGACCGGATACTGTCGTTATATGGTGCAACCTGGAAGTAAGCAACTTCAGTGCAAACTTGGAACCACCATAGCCTGTCAGCTGAGAGACAAGAAAAAGGTAACTAAAAAGTGGATTGTACAATTGATAAAATCAACCCAATAAATTTTAGCAAAAATATGACACATCAATTTTCTCTTGTGCGAAAGGAGAGATACACAGCACTTGAAAGTCAAAAAGCACGTTACCACTGCCATCACCAACAGAGACATTCTTTAAATTCTCTTGATCATATGTTTGGATTGTCGCGCCAAAACTTCCCAAGTAGTAGTCCTTCACATAGTCAGCATATGCTTCCTGAAAAGGAGTCAGTCATGGATCCAAATCTTGTTCTAACACATATTTGACTATAAAGCCTAAGTTGGTCTCTCTTCATTCTGATGAAATAAGTACGTCATAGACATTATTCAGCTTTCTTAGTTCCACGCAACAAGACTGGCACTGGTTTTCAGGATAATGAATCTTGATTGAATTTAGCTCCATCATAGGGAGGAGGATTCGCCTTGATTTGGAATAAGAAAACGAGGAAATGGAAGCTTTTAGTCTATCAGGGCAATTTTTTGGTTGCAGGGACTAATTTTTTTTTTCACAAGTTTATTTGAATCTTCTACGGTTAACACTACTAATAAAATGCCTTTTTTCAATAACTATAAGATTTGGATTACCAAATCAAATGATCAAAGCACTCATGCAACAAGTGAACACTAACAGCACGAATGTTAATTCCAGAGAGCCTACTCCCACATAAAACGATAGGGAGACATCGGTGATCAACATATAATTCTTCACCGTCTTGCACGTTCTGCATCCCAACTAAGTGGGAAGACGAGGGGAGCAGCAATCTTAGCTGCAGCAGCTACCTGAATAAACGAGGAAAGAAGCAGAGTCGAAGCCCTAAAAACCTCTTTGCCATTGAAATCTTCCCCGATCGAAAGGGTAAGGATAGAAAAAGAGCCCCTACGATAGCTCTGAAAAAAGTGAAAAGAACATTTTGATGATCCCTGCTGTCCTTAAGGATCTACAAGGTGCACAATTTATTTCCTCCCGTGCCTTTGAATTTGGTCGATGTATCTTCTGTGGTGATTCTCCTACCTAGCACTTAGTTGTAATCGTGACAGGAAACATCCGGCCAGAATTTTAAATTCAGAATATCATTTCTCTATAAGTCAGGGACTGCTGTTTGGAGCTTTTATAGCGTTAGGCCACAGGTTTGTCCTAGATGAGGCACCGGGTCAACTTTCTGGAAACTGAACGCCCTAATATTCAAGTATTGATGATTCTGACATTTTTTTCCTCATCCATGTTTCATGAACAAGTCCCTAACAATTCTCTGTCTTCCTCCAAAGCAGCAACCTCAAAATGAACCCAGCTGTCCCTAATGAGGGAATGTAGTTTTCTTCTCCATTGCTATCATTACAATTGCAGAATTTCTCAATCTGGGGCTTTGTTGCTGATGTTGGAACCATCACATTTAGGGACTCCCTGGGACTTCCCTCTAATGTTGATGTGTATCTTTCCATCTCCGATCACTTTGCCCATACATCAGATATGCAAGCTTGTCCTCCAACACAATCAGTAAAAATAAAATGTATAAAGGGAAAACACATAGGCGAAGTTCATAAATTATGCCTCTAAAGTTGACATGAAGAGAAATTATGGTATTGAAAAGGTTACTACGCAGAGCATATAATCATCACAACTACAACTCAACGAAATATAGGCACTACATCTTTTCCAGTGATGAACCCATTGCACAGTAAGTTATTAAGTGTTACCGTGATAGTGACTCACCAGTAAATCTTTCCCTGTTTTTTTGGCTTCTGTGACCGGGGAGCACAAACGATCTGGGTTCCCATACTGAAACTGCATTGCCAGGATAAACTTTCTTACATTCAACTAAACATTTAGATATTATTATTTGCATAGTTGTAAGGTACTCATTAAGTTTGAATCAATCATTCATACCGCTATAACAGCAGCATCAGCAAGCAGATACAGGAAATCAACATCATTCTTTAACTGCAATCCTCAATCAGTTCATTAATGAGAAGTTCAAGAGACTATTGTTTAATGGCATCATAAAGTATCAGACTATGCACTAGTGGAAGCTTCACCTAAAGCTTCCAAAAAGAACTTTATAAGTACCTTAGATGCTCCAAACATGCCTTTCACTGCACCTGGATCAGCTAACAGCTTTTCGTCAACAAGTTTGGATATTTCTTGAAGCACAGCTTTACATTCAGGACCAGCTGACTCTCCAATCTAGAGTCAGAAACTAAAAAGCAATCAAGGAAAACTGTATTCTAACATGCAACAAAGTGATTAAATGAAACGACAAAAAAAAATGTACCTCAACACAGATAAATCATAAAAGAGGAACAATTTGAAGTAAATCTTAGCATGATTGAAATAATGAAGATGGCAAATGAGTTAAAGGAAGCATTTGTCAAGGATTGTATGTATATGTCAGAACCTGCTCGTCAAAATCAGTGAAGTTGTAAACAGCTTGAACAACTGCTGAGCTTGCTAGACTTCCACATGTCAAATGAGGAAACTTAAGCCGAAACCAGGCACTTAAAGCTCCAGAATATGAACCGCCAAAAACAAACCAGGGATTTTCCGTATCTGAGATATTGTTTCGGGTATTCACCGACTCCTGTAAAATCATGATAAAGAAAAAACGTTGTAAAACATGAAAAATATATTGGATAATATCATAAGACAATCATTATAACCTAGAACTAAGCACTTGATGTGATTCTAATATACCCTAATCATACGAAGATAATCATTTTATTCAAGAAGATAATACAATGATTTACATCAAGAACATGACAAACTTGTAATCATTGTCTTCTTATCTTCTTTCTCCAAGATCATACCACTAGACAATCAACGTATTACATTTGATAAGAAATTACAGAGGAGATACAACGAGAATAATAAGGGTATGTTAAGCCTAAAATTCTCCTGGTTCTGTTGATGAACCTCAAGGTGAGAGATAACATGATAGTGGTGGAAGAAAGAACCAATAAGTCATCTTCATTAAGAGGCAATAATTGGTATCGGCCCAGAAAGCAGGACTTGAGTACTTGGCAAGGCCAATAAATAATAATTTATATAAAATAAGATGGTGAAGTCATAGGTACTTGGCAAGGCCAATAAATAATAATTTATATAAAATAAGATGGTGAAGTCATAGGTAAGACTTCCCGCACTGTTGGGCTTGGAGAAAATCGCGTCAATCAAGGAGATAGATAACCTAAGTCATATCGTCATAGGGTGCAATAAAGTACGTTTAAGATTGAATTGTAGTTCAAAGCATCATTTAATTGAGGCTCCCTTCTTATGTATTAAAGATTTCCATTATCATGTTCCCTGCGTCTGACACATTTGTTCAGTAATTCCTGGTAGAAACTTTAAAATTGATGGTAGTGATTGCCAGCAGTTGCTCAAAGTTAGGATCAGGCTTCTCCAATCGTTTCAAACAGAAATAGAATCTCATGCCAGTATGTTTTTACTATCATTCAGAGGAACAGTCAACCTAATTCTTTTCGTACAAGAGTGCATAATAATTGAAAGGAAAATTTCTTTCTTTGAAATTAGGACGGATCCTTTGGAGTCACACAATACAGATGATTTTTTTTTTAATGAAATATTAGCCTCCAAAAAAAATTATTATGTGTATCATGAAAGAGATGTTGAATGGTTTATATTTTGGCAAAACATTCATCAGAATAAGAACTTGTACGAACGAATAGAAAGATTTCAATTTGGATAAGGTTTAACGTTGACCATTCTCTATTCGGGTTGTCCTCAGTGTTAAGAAGGTCCACTTCAGGCAAGGATTTAAAGGCTGAATTTTACAGCTAATTGGTCTAGCTATCCCAAATGATCAGCCGTACAGGCCAATATGGCTGATAATGTAAATACCATTTAAATAATTCCAATTTATAGACAAAACATGGTATTTTTCTGCTTCAGCTGCTTACAGTCAATCATGGGAGGGTATCAAACATTTTTTATTGGATTCAGGTTGATTGCAGAAGCATCAAACTGTGTACCTCAGTAATTCCCAACATGCTTTGCAGATCCTATTGGACTGAATAGCTACAATCTCTCCTCAATTGATCCATTCAGGTATCTGAATGGAATGACATCTGTTAGATTAACCTAAAATTGTGTCAAAAAAAAGCCCTTGGTGAATATATTCCATAAATCTTGAGATTTTCAATTGAAATCTGGAGTTGTTATTGTAAAAGAGATGTGTTCTCTAATTTCAGCGTCCCTCCAGGCTCTCAAATTCTATTTTTTAAATGCTTCTAATTATGCTAAAGATCTGCCTATCGGCTCCCAAAGATTCTTGTGGATGCTAGGAAAAAATTCACCGAATTCATGAACATAAAAGAGAGCTATATTTCTAAACTTTTTTGAAGATAATCTCTAGTTGTAAAGAGTTTTATCAATCCATAATGTGAGTTGACGTCAAATCCCAATACGACCTCACTCAACTTGTTTAATTTATGAGTCCTAATGCAATACTACGTCAGCCAACCTTGCATTATACATAAAGAAAGTCAACTGGATCAAGATTCATGGGTCATTAAAACAACCGAAGAAAAAGATTCACTCAAAATTGGAGCAGACCAAAAGTCGGGCTAAATTGGGCTTCGTATAACATAGTCTCCCTGTGTCTGGATCAGGATATTGCCCAACTCAAAAAGACCCAATCATAAATCAGACCCACTTCCGAAGGCCATAGGCATTCAACATTTTATCCAACTACACTAAAGGGGAGTAGACCCACATCTGTGGCTGGCCTTCAAACACAACTTGTGCTAGACCCTGTAAATGCTAAAAACAGACTTGCTCTGTGGACTGGGGGGATATAGCTTGTCTTCTTTGACCTATGGTAATCGGCATGCACCCAGCATCACGATCATTTCAACTAATTTCTTAGATAAAGCAAACCTTCTAAAACGTTGAGAATCTGGAATCACAAGATGTCGTATAAGTTATAGTATCCATCTATCAAGACAAATATCGCAAATTTTAGGAAAAAAATATCAACAGTATCCGAAAACACAAGGAATTTTCGTAATACTGATGGAAAATAGACGAGTTAAGTACAGATCAAAGGCATAATGGAGAAGATGTACCTGATAATATTGACGGAAAATAGCCAAATCAAAAAGAGCCTGCTTGGAAGAGAGATATCTCAAATTTTCTGTTGTATGAAACTTAAAAGGGGAACTCTTCCCATAGTAGCGATGCTCAAGAGAAAGAATAACAGCACCAAATTTCTTGGCTAAAACCTGATTCGGGAAATGCAGCATAAAAAAAATCATTGATAATTTTATCCAGGATGGTGACAACAGGAAATAATAATCAATGATCCATAAAAGCAAGAAAAATGAATAATTAAAAATCGAAATCGTCTAAATTGAAGTTGATTTCAATTTATCCATAAGTCACTCAAATTACTCCTACCTACCGTTTCATATGACAGAATAAAAGCTAGTTAATATACTGAATGTGGTAGGACTGTGATTGTAAAAACATTAGTAACTTACAGCAATATAATTGTTTGATATCCCACGAGATGTGCCCTCACCCCCAATTATCAAAAATATGGGTGCTTGAGGATCTTGAACATAACCTAGAAACTCATAGTAACGCTGCTTGAATTGACGATGATCCTGAAATATGCCCTCCAGAAATATTAGAAAGTATAAAAATCCATTAATGAGAGAATGAATTGCGTAGAAGGGGGACATTTTGTTTTGATCCTCAAAAGATAACCCCACTAATAAAAATATTCCTTGAAATTATCTGACCACAACATAATCAGATGCATCAATAGCAGAGTCATTATCAGGATATTAAACAACTTCAGAGAAAATCATTATCAGCATCGTCTAAATGACAACGGCAAGCCAAAGTACAAAACACAGATGATGATTCACTCCTCAAATGTCAGTGCATCAGGAGCACCGAAACATCTAACACGAATCAACCAGCGTCCAGTGTAAAATTTTTTTGGCATGGGATAAATCTTCCAATTTGACGAATTATCGCTTTGACAGAACTTGAAACTAACAGGAACATTCGGATGGAAAGCCAATTCTCGTCATATGTGCTAAGATGCATCCGTTCTCTGAAACCATGATGGATGGTAAATTAAGGGAAAAGGTAGGTGGAAAGAAAACGTTGTTGCATATGCAAAAGGAATAGAAAGAATTTGTGCTCCTTTGAGTGGATGTTGACATTAGATCTAAAACAGACTGGGAGTGCAAAGTGTGTGATGTCAAAAATAAATCAATAAAATATATCATCTAGGCAGGTATAAGAATCTATGAGATCATGTCAGACGAACAGATGTAAGTTGTAAATGTCAGTGCCAATATATCTACATTTACATATCATAAAAACCAGTGATAATATCTTGGAACATATGGTTATGAAATTCTTTAAATCTTTGCAGTGTGCATGAGTGGCGAAGAGAAGGTTTCCATGTTTCCTAGATTCTTACAGGGTCCAAAGTTTCATAGTGAGCCACATACCCCTCACATTATCTAATTTATTTTACAGAGTGAAGTGAGCACACACAACTGCCAGAACACTGAACAACAGCATTTCACCCCCTAATAATATCATTATACAATGTTGGCTCACTTTCATCAAGATTTTCTCCAATGAAAATGAAATTAACCCTCCTGAATGGGAATTTAAAGAAGATAATTACATCAATAAAGTTGATGCTTTGATGTAATGTAAAGAACGCCCACACTATAGACTGGACGACAATATGCAAACTTGATCATATTTCCAATGATAGTATCCCGAGTTTAATGGTTTAAACGCAATCTAAGGACTTAAAAAACAATACGGGTTGAAGAAGGAGATCGAGGAGAAGATGGAGGAAAAATAGATTCTGTGGACAGCAAACATAGGTGCCAACAAAAGCAGACAAATTTTTTAGGGAAGCAGTGATTAAGATCCAATTTAATCTAAGAAAAAAAAGACTGTTCAAAACAGTTCACGATAAGCAGTTTCCGATCCAATTTGAGGACTGCTATGTGACAGGATATTCCCTCGGATGGATTAAACAGGTACGCTTTTTTTCATTGAATTCTTAATGTGTCCACACTTTTTTGAATGTAAAATATAATCACGGATGCTAGATGAGGCCATCCACCGCACAGAACAGAAGTAAAGAAACTACCCCATAGGAACTGTGGGTAAAGTTTCGAACATTGTGCCAAAAGGCTGGCTACAAGAACATTACCGCGGGGGCGAAGTGATCGAGCGTCTGATTAAACCAGCGCTCCTCCGTAGTCAGGTATCGCCCCTCAGCTCCGGGCAGGCGAAATCTTCGGCACTCAGCGCCGGGAACCGACAGCAGCAGCGAGAGAACAATGGTGATCAGAAGCATACAGAAAGAGGAAGAGTCAGACATGGTGGCCTCCTCCGACCACGCCGCGCCGACACGTATCGCGGCAACGGTGCGGCGTCTGGTGGTGAGCTCCCTCCACGCAGAGATTGGTCTCCTCCCCCGCCCCTCGTCACTCCCCACCTGGTCCGATTAGGAGAACGTTGAGAAGATCTGCAACTAGTACCATTATCATCAAGTGGAATATACACTCTTGGGCCTTCTGCGAAACATGCTTTTTCTTGGGCCCTGGCCCAGGTAGTCCTTTATAAGAACACATGGGCTCACATTTTGGGCCTAAAGTGGTGCGCTCTAGCCCACGTGACAAGGCCCATCTAGTGGACCAACAAAATCATAGTGACTAAGCTCATCCGTAGATTTGGCCTAACACCACTTGTTCACGATCGAATCTTATAGAAATATTTTATTTTATTTTAAATTACGATAAATTTTAGGGGTATATTATCGGGATAATTACTTTTATTGTTATTTTCAAGTTAGCTTGATAACGACAGATGAATTATCACAGTAATTTCTTATAATTAAAATATAAAAGTTTTTCATATTTTGGAAACAAATATTTTCTGCTCTAGGGCCCAGCGGGCGGTTGCGTGGCGAGTGGGGCCCACCAGGGGCAGCTGCTATACAAAGACGTACTCCTATGGGTTCTGCTTTTTCCCGTAGGCCTGGGAAAGCGAGCCGGAGGGAAGGACGTACTTGGGGAACAGAGGTTCTGTGGCATTACCCCTTCCCCGTTCCGGGGGGGTTCTCCCGTCGAGAAGAGAAGAGAGGCACATTGGGAAGAGAGGTTTGGGGAGGCTGCGGTCTGCAGAAACGTGGATCCGCTTGAAGTCAACCGGGATCCTTCTCTCTGGTGCGGTGCGTTTGTCTGTGGTTGGTGTTCATGTCATGCTCTTGTCATTGTGATCGTTTTTACTCTTGAGTTTGATTTATTTGAAATTCTCGTTTAGGATGTGTTGCTCTTTGGTTTACAAACGTTTGGATGCATTTGTTTTTTTTTTTCCTCTTCTGTCATTGGATTGGTACTTGATTCACGTGAATGAGATATGTTCTCTGGAAGTAGGGTGTTCAAGGGACGGTGACCGATTAAGAGCTATGTTTTCCCTGAGCATGATGATAAAGCGCAGAATAATTACTCTCGTGGAGGGCATTTTAAATGTTTTACAGTGCTCTTGGCGTATGTGTCTGCAGCAGAACGACTTTCAATGCTTTCCTGTTCTTATTACATATTTTCTTTATCTCTTTACTCTCTGCTCGCAAAATTCGTATATTTCTCTTGTCCTATCCTCAACAATAGCATAAGCATCTCTCAGTTTCATCACTTGCTCCTTGGGATTTTCTTAGTGAGAGAACAAAAGTTGTTAGGGTCATCGTCGTCACTTTTCCCTGGTCATGGCGCCCAGTCCACTGCTTTCCATGCGGTGATACTTGCCACGAAAATTTATTTTCAGAATTTATGCCATGAGTCAGTTTGGCGAAAAAAGCTTTTGGAAGCTTTGACAAAATGAAAACTATCCACGGATGTTGAATTTAATCATCTGAAAATTACTATCTGATGGCGGCCGTTTAAACTATCATAAAAGCCCGTAGGTCAAGAGAAAAAATTCATCTGAAGACTGACTTTAAACTGCTGTTTGGGCAATCTTTAGGAGTTTTTCCACCCCCTTTCAGCATGAATATTCGACAAGAACTTCAGTACAGTTTCTGATCATGGATTTCTCAAATTCAGCTGCATTGATGTTTTTTGTGAGGGTAACATTTGGCATAAACTTACTGGGTGTCGCATTTGCCTATGCTGCCGGCTTCAAAAAATCCTCAAAACTCCAAGCACATTTTTCTCTCCGTCATCAAAGTTCGAACTTGTAACGTATTATGTAATTCCTTGTTTCATAAAGGCCCGTTTACATTTTACAAACATATTTTTTGTTTTTTTATCCATCCATACATGTGTAAACAGATGGATTAAATTGAACTAGAAAAGCAAACTAATTAGCGAGGTAAATTGCGAAAAACATGATATATAGATATAAATAGTAATGAGAAATGACAAATCCAAATATTTTAGGCGGCAAAACATAATCCTTTAAAAATTCCTCTTTGTGAAGGGCAGAGGGCATTGAGGACCTATTCTTCAGTCGCTGATTATAAATCTGTGTACATTATATCTCAGTGCTGACGTGTGTAACATGTGGTCAGGTTGTTAGACGATGCCAGATTGACCATCTCTTCGTCCACTATTTCTGTACAAGGAAAGTTAATTTAGTTTTTATGATGAGGCACACTTTAAAAGAGGATGATTCTACAGGGTCATTGATGACCCAAAGAGAGGATAGTAATTACGAGTCTGATATTGACAGTGAATACAATATATTTTTGGATCATCTTAAGGAAGATGGCAGGTCATATGTCTTTGAAATGTCACCTAATTTTGTCAAATATGAAGAAGAGGATGGTTTTTTTAGTGATGATGGTGGAGAAATTCATGGTAATATAGAAACATGTCCAAGGCTGCGGAGCTATGCTGTATGCAAAGAGAAAGTGGCGTATGGACAATCTGAGAGAGAGATACTAAAGCATCTTAAGCTGAGAAAAATTGCTATTGATCCTTGTTATGAGATATTCCTACGTCGTGTTCAGGTGAGGGGTGGCTCCTTACTCCTCAAATTAGCCAACGGCACGACTGTCAATTATGAAGAACAAATCGAAACCCCAACTACATCAATCACAACTGAGGTAACTCCTATTCCTGCCAAAGATTCGGAATGGCAGTGTAAATCTTCCATATTTTATTATTCATTTGTAAGTGATTACAGCTTTTAATTGACTGGTTTCAGGTAGATCAAAATTTTTCATTTTCTTTGCTAAAAATATTGTGTAATTTCAGGCGGCTGTGTTTGAGGATAACGAAGCATCCGGTGAAAATCGCAGATGCAGTAAGAAATCTTACTTTAGGAAAAGACTGGAAACTATTAGTGGTAAACCATTTGATCAGGACGAGTTTGAACATCTTTTTAATGAAGTAAGAATTTCTAAACCGATCGAGAAAGATAAACAGTTACGTGGTGCTACAAAGACATATCAAACCACAGAAATGGGAAAATCCTATTTCGATCATCACCCAGGTAAGTCGATGTGCATATGCCACAATTTTTAGTTTGAGATATATTCCATGCTATCTTCTATAAAGAAATTTAAATACTAATATGACGCTTTCAGACACATTACTCAATCCACCTTGGCATTTGTATTAAAAGATACCTCGTTTTAGTCTACGAATGTTTCAGCACGCTAAAGATTTAACTCTAAATATCAAAGTTGTACGGGCACTACTTGTTTCTTCAATCTTATTCATTTATGCTTTCATCATTTATTATTTACTTTTATTTCCAACTGAATTAAATTTCGAAAAAAAAATTCTTCGATTTAAATAATCCAGCATTGCTTATTTCTTCTATTTTAAAATGTTTGATTATTCTTGAAATATTTCATTTGAAGCCAAATAGTCAGCTTTTTGTGTGAGTTTTTTCTCTACCGCCTACTGGATCACTTTTTTTTATCCTCCTTATTCATTTAAGTCAATTATATGTTTCTTAACTATTAGATGTTAATACTTAGAAGGGAACTACCTCTCAAATCCATGTTAACCAAGAAAGGGCCACTTACTCAGTGAAGTATCTTTAGATGGATATGGCTGCAGGTTTGATTACCACAGAAAACCTTATTGAAAATGCTCATAAATTTTAAGTCATTTCACAAGCAAAGGTGATAGGTTACGGACATCAATATTTTAAATTATGGCGTCAATGGATCAAAAACCAATCTATATATCAATCAATTATACCAATCCCAGGAAATCTTGGTTGTCCCTCAAATGCATAATCTGTCATGAATCTTGTAATCAGATTTGAAAAATATGAAAAGATTTAAAGACTTTTGAGCTATAAAAATCACAAATCTAATTTTCATTTCGAACTAAAGCATCAGGCATCAAATGTCCAATAAGTAAATTAGCTAACATTTGTAACATTACAAATGCCATGTTTTAGGTTAAAAAAGAAACTAATATCCGGCATTTTTTTACGTTACAAAATTATAACTGTTCTATCCATAAATATATCTTTGTAACATTGTAAATAGTATTCTCACTCGATTCTGAGCTTTTCCCAGCTTTTAAGACAATGACAATTTGAGTACTCCATTGATTAGATAGTAGAATATCTGTGTTTGCATGTTGTCTGTGGGCAATAGATCCTCCAATTCTGTCTGGGTTTCTCGAGTGGAACCAATTCCACTAATGTTGTGGATCCCACCATTTCTTCTGTTTTTCGTCCCCACAAATTCTGTATGGCTGCTTGAAAACTGTATTACTTGCATTATGCAGTTATTGAATTAAAATGTTGTCATAGCGAAGGAATATCATGGGAATATTCTACTATCGTTTAGCTTTTTCAATTCAATATCTTGAGAAAGAAAAGTATTCTCAGCTCGGAGGGAGAGAGGATGGGACCTCTGACCTGTGGGTTCAGCTGTGGATGATCCTCGTAAATTCTTCCGATTAAATTTATTTCAAATTATGCTGAAAAATTATAAAATTTCATCTTTACATATTTAACCTTTTTGTCCATATACCCTTTCATAACCCAGACATTTTTTTTTGCAATTATTCTAAATAGCATAATTAATTTTCTTTATGATACATATTTTTCCTTAAATTCCTAGATTTTGCCAAGAAGGTTAAGACGGCTTGCTGTGACGTCCACCGTTTCAAGCTGCTCCATGGCTTCTTCTTCTGGTTGCAGGTACCGGGTTTTCTCCCACGCCCATCCTTTTATCCTCTCCTCAAATTTGCCTCTTCTGCCAATTTGGTTGGTTGGATTCTTTACTATTTCGGTAGATTTCTTGGAGGGTTCTTAGGGTTATTTCTAAATCTCTTGTTCAAAACTCTTCCCAGAATCTGTGCCACGATGGATCATTCAGACCCTGGTTAGATGATTGCTTCAACTCCTGCGACTATTGCCAGTGAGCTGCTCTCTCTCTCTCTCTCTCTCTCTCTCTCTCTCTCTCTCTCTCTCTCTCTCTCTCTCTCTTTATTTCTTTAAAAATAAATAAATATATATGAGCTGTTGCGTTACTTCGTTTATGGTTTTTCATGACGTCAACCTGGAGATCAGGCTAGGGTTTGGCCGGTGGAGATGATGAACATCGCCGGTCTGACTAGACAAAGGCGACATTCCCGTCGTCATTCCCGTGTCGGAGTAAATTGGACAGGAAATCCGCCTCGGCGGAGCTCTCCAACATGACGCCAAGCCCCCTTTACTCGTTCCCGCGAAGCGTTGTTTCTCGTCGATTCTAGGGGGCACTGGCGTCACGGCCAGTTAGCCTGGCCGCACGCTGCCCTCCGTGCGCCTGGCGCGTGCCGCGTGACTCCGCGCGCGCGCTCCCGCACATGCTGTGTGCCTCCACGAGCGCGCTCGTGCCGCGCTGTGCCGCTGCTGTGCCTGCGGCCGCCAAGGTCATGACAACTGGGTCTCGATAATTGGGACCTAGGTTTGACTTTATTTGAGGTTTCCCCTACGTTTGGGCGTCAGATTTGTACGAAGGGATCGAATAGTCTTAAGATTATCCGCATGGTTGACTTGTTCAACCGAGACGTGCATGCCGGCAACCGCGTCCCCGGATTAGGATAACCTTTAATGGCGGTCAGAAGGGTTTCGCAGGTCTGACACGCTAGCTCGTCTATAAATGCAGGGAGGGCTCCTCCGGTGCCGCTGGTTAGAGAGAGAGAGAGGGAGATGGGTTTTGAGGAAGAAGCCTCGACGGGGACGTCGGCAGATCCCCTGCCGTTGCTGTCTCTCAACCACGTGTCGTTTACCTGCGAGAATGTGGAGAGGTCCTGCGAGTTCTACCGTAGGGTTCTGGGATTCGTCCTCGTGCGGAGGCCTTCTTCCTTCGACTTCCGGGGAGCGTGGTGAGCTTTCTCGTCGAATTCATTTAGACAGAGAGAGAGAGAGGGAGAGAGAGTGAGAGCGAGAGAAAGAGAGCGAGAGAGAGAGAGAGAGAGAGAGAGAGAGAGAGAAGCATGAGGGACTGTGGCAAGAACCCAGATAGAAAGATTAGAGAGAGAGAGGAGCGTAAGGGACAGTGGCAAGAACACAGATAAAAAGATGAGAGAGAGAGAGAAAGAGAGATCTTCCCATGCACGTTGAAAACATCTCCATCACCAACTCTTTCTCTTCACGCAGGCTGTTCAACTACGGGATCGGGATCCACTTGATAGAGCGCAGCTCCTCGCCAGACGCGCCGGCGAAGCCTTCCCTGATCGACCCGAAGGCCAACCACATCTCATTCCAGGTTCCCATCTGTCTCCAATATCTATCTCTTCTTCCTGCTGAATCCCATATCTCCGACTGCCGGCAGCTCACGAACAGGGCCGGTGACCGCAGTGTACGGACGTCAAGCTGGTGAGGACCAAGTTGGAGGAGATGAGCATCGACCACGTGGTGGCGGCGGTGTCAGCGGAGGATGGTGTCGAGGTCGGGCAGCTCTTCTTCCATGACCCCGACGGGAACATGGTGGAGATCTGCGACTGCCAGAAGTTGCCCGTGCTGCCCGTCTCGCCGCCAGCCTCCCCGATGGGGCTTCATCTCGTTGGCAATGGAAGCGGCGCCGCCACCGTCAGCTCTTCCTTCTGCCGCCGGGCATCTCTGGCCCCACCATTATATAGATGGCATCTTCTCAAGAAACACGTCATGAAGAACGTTATTCTCCAATAATATGAACACATTTTTTATCATTTTATTGACGCAGATTGAAATATACGGAGTTGAAATCTTGTACTTGTATCTAAGAAAAATAAGATTTTTGTGAAGATTCTTTACCCTGAATTTACTTGAATCCATAAGAGATTGGTTTTAAATCTACACATTTCTCTGAATCAAAGAAATTGCCCCTTGAATCCATAAGAGATTGGTTTTAAATCTACACGATTAAAATAATTTCTCTGAATCCACAAGGGGCACTAGAATCCACTAGCAGAGAAAGATCACCTCATAACAGGGGAAAACTAGTAGAATAGATTGGATGTCTCTTTGACTACAAAGGGGACACTTTTAAATAGGTTAAAAATCAATTAGGATGTTCATAAAAGTAGAAGGTTTTGTTATTAGGCACCTAAAATTTGAATTTCAACATATTTAAATAAATTCAAAATGACTTGACTTGAAGTGAGAATTGAAAACAAAACAAGAGAGCTAAATCTAGGCGTGTTTGAAGTGTTTTTTATTGGGACCTTTATTATTGGGGGGAACTCATGTCTTCAAGCTTCTTGGGTCGGATATCCACTTGAGTTTGGCTCCAAACAAAATGCATCATTTATGTATCGTCTTTCTCTCTCTGAATATGACAAGATATTAACAAAAAAAAATAGGCTTTAAAACTCACAACTACTCTCTCTCTCACTCACTCACTCAAGGATGATGAGATGCAGAGATATGGGACTAAAAATTGTTTAAAAAATGAGTGAAATGTAGAAACTAAAACCCTCCTACCAAGAGATTGTGAAGAAGAGAGAAGATAAAAATAAAGTAAAATGGATGAGAAATATAATCAGATAATAAATATTATTCTGGTAATTGCTTAGTCGACTTGAGATTTTTATCTTCCAACAATTAAAAGATGGAGCAAATACATGATCATTATCTAATATTTTACATTAGCCCACGAACTAAATCGAAACCTTCTTTTGAGGAGAATTAGTTAGCAATTCAATTTGTTCAACCATGTTAGAGCTTGAGGGTTTTAGATAGAGCTACAATAAACATGAGCCCAGCACCAAATATGACTTAAGACAAAATATTATATAGAGATCCTCTCCACCATGGCAATAGTATCAACTACTACATAGAAATAGAGTTAGTGAGAACTTCAAACTACAATCTAACCGATATGGACTCACCATCTTGGTGCCCAAAAAAGATAGACGACTAACTTGGACAATTGAAATAAGTTGACATTACAGATGACATAGGACTTATTTTCTAGGTCATTTTTCAGGGCCACCTTTGAAAGATCCAATATGAATCACAGTACCATTATGATGGCTAGTGCCTTCGATGACATGCATACCTCGAGCCTTCAATAAAAAAGATATCAACGTCACAAGTTTGCATCATCAAAGAGCCAAAATTTATTCATACAAAAAATGATTTTAAAACTTAAAAAATACATACTTGAGTAGATGAAGGCTGCCCTTGAGCATGTAAGGGTCTAGCATTAAGATCGATCATTTCTGCATTTATATTTCTGCACTCATCTTTCATAGTCTCCACATGAGGAATTGTGGTAAGTCGGTGGTTTTGTAATTTTTCTTTGATCAAAGATTTGGGCATCTTCTGCTCCTTCCTCTTCTCATCAGGACCCAATGTTTGCAAGGCCAAGCCTTCGCTATTATTGGCTTTATCCATTGGAAACTATACAAATACAACTAGGTGTTAAGATAGAAGTATTGTGGGGTACAACCATGAAGTTGGTAGATAGAGGACAAACCTCAACCCTTTGCCTCAAAAGGAGATATCTTTTATGTGTTTGTTTGCCTCCAACATGTACTACTGTATCACATTGTAAGCATAGGGAGCTTCCATCTATTTCACAGTAAAAGAATGCTGCACACAATCCAAAAGAGGGGAATGAGACCCTTTGAATGAAGATGAAAAAATATATCTTGATAGGTGATATGTAAATCACCAGGAGCATTTTCACAAATGTCGCAAAGGGGGACATCACTAGGGATGGCGAGCCCTACACGAACATGTCGGCTAGCCAACTTGTTGCACTTGTGGACCTAAAATATGATTAATGTAAAATTAGATCATCATAATTTGATAGTTTTTTAGTAAAAAATATTCAAAAATCGACAAAAATGAAAATTAAGGGAGAGATATATATTGTTAATATATTTGAGCTTGTTCTGAAAAATAGATTTTTATTATTGGGCAACCTCAAAAATCTTAAGCAAGGCATTATAGGAGAAGAATAAATGAATTTTTATATCATGATGAATGAAGAAAAAAAGGTTTCAAAAAATCCCCAATTTTTTTCATAAAGATGACCTATTGAAGACAATATTTAGGAGGAATGACCCACTACAACTTGAGTGCTTAATACATTTTCTCAACAAAGAAAATTTTATTTTTTGCTAATTATCACATTTCAAAATTTGAGGCAATGACTTTAGAAGGCCCATTATATAGATAGTATATGCATTCACTTCAATTAACAATGAATTATTTTTGAAAAAAATTATAAAGAGATTCAATATGACTTAAGCTTGATTCAGTTGCAAAGTAGCACCTCTAATGTGTAGGAATCCAAATCAAGGTTAAATAGAAGAATTGAGGTCAACCTAATTTTCTAATGTTAACCTCAACTTGGGTGGTTGGGAAGAAGGAGATTTTCATTAAATCAAGAGGTAGATGAGGTTGAGATATATTACTTCATATGAGGCAATCACCACCCAAATCATACAATAGTCATAGCCATATCATAGTAGAAATATGACTACTAAAAGGAAAACATAACGATTTTAGTAGAGAATGAGTCAAAATGAACATATAGAGATATTTATTTTTTATTATATAAAAAAATAAATAAGTAGAAAATAAAAAGCAAATGACTAGAGAACCTACTCTAACATTGAGGTGTCATATCCTACCTCTGATCTCTTGGCAAGGTAACTCACTAACCACTATGTTGAAAATATTTCAGATTAATACCTAAATTTTTTGCCTTAAATTAAAAAGACAGACATTTTTTTCCACATTTGTCAATAGTTTTTCGTTAATATAGTATAATATTCAAATCTTTAAACTCTTATAAAAGAAAACAACCAAGTAGTGCTTGTGTTTTCAAAATTTCATTGATTCTCACTCCCAAACTAAGAAAGTAAAAGTGATGATGTTGAAAAAATATTAATACTATTTGACTAAACACTCCATTTGAAGTAGTTTTCATAGTGTTTTATCTTAAACAACCTTGCTCACATCTACACTACACTATAGCTCCACACACATTAGTATGAAATCTTAGTAGTCTCTAACCTTCAAATTTTCTCATTGGTAGTTCTATTTAAATCACTTTAGTAACTTATTTGAAAGTTTTCCAATGACAATGAAAGTTTCCCCTTTTTTTATTATATAAAAACTAATGCACATACACACATACACAAAATACTAGCACAATCACTTACATCTCTTCTTATTATCTCAATATCTATTTCCTCAATAAAAAATAGTGCATGTACACAAAATGCTAGAGGTTTTACTAAAATGATATGAGCATAAAAAAGAGCTAAATAATAATCATATCGAGTCCACTAACTTCTAGGCACCCTATATCAACATAGAATAGGTTTTAATATACTTTGATAAATGATATGCTAATAGCATTACCTTCCCAATGATGTCAAATGGTTTGTGAACCAAGTAAATAATCCAAATTAATGATCCCTCAATGAAACTAGATAAGTGTCAAGAATGAGAGAAATGGAAACTTTAGAAATTAAAATTTTAGAGTAAGCTAAAATAGAGTAGGAAAAATTGATAGAAAAGAGACAAAGATAGAAAGACAAAGTCAATATAGTTAGTTTAAATAAATATAAAGAATAAGACATCAATGGACTCAAGCATAATTGTTATCCAACCCTTCCATATTTATAAGAATGCATTTTGATACTATGAACCATGGAAGAAACTTTTAGACTCAATCGATAGCATGCCACAATAAATGCAACAAATAAGCTACCACAAGATCAAATCAAACCTCGGGAGTTGAACTTGATATATTTTGAGAAAAATGGGTGCTATGTCACACAATACTTGGGTTTTTCCTCTTTTGATAAAACCCAAGTTTTTAACTAAATGACAAGGATGTGAGTTGAGACATACTATCATAAATCTGTGCTATGATGTGAAATTGGGTGACATATCCTAACCCACCATTATCATTAGAAAAAAATTGTCACACTAATATGAAATTAGTATATAACAGGACACAAACACAAATACGTACAATAATGCCACTAAATGTATACATTAAATTAAATGAAGGGTATTGTTTCATACCTTAGGATGTATGTATGAGTATTATCATAAAATTGAAAAGAAATATTGAATTATTTTTTAATAAGAGTTTAAAATAAAATAAACTAATTGATAGTATATTCTTCAAACCATTAACCCATGACCTTTGTGTCTAAACACCTCTCTCCCCATTCTAACTTGATTGATGCCTCTCCTCACATCAATGCCAAGCAATGTAGGTCAACCAATAATATTAGTCATAGATGTGTTGTTGTGATCAATAGAAGAGTTTAATAAAGGCACATCTCTCCCCTTTATTGTCACATTTTTTATCTTTCCTATAATCTAATGACTTTGTAAGCCTCTTACAGCACCAAAACATAACCAAACATATTCAAAAAATATTGTGACCTCAAATAAAAACCAAAAAGCACAAAATTGCACTAAGCTTAGGGTCTAGTAAATTAGCAAGAATGATTTCCACATGTGAGTCATTTTTTTGGTTTTCAAAAGTAATTTTTCTCTTCTTCTAAGTCAAATGGTCCCAACTTGTGAGTAAACAAACTTTTTAAAATAAAATACTCGATTATTTTAGATAAATATTTCTCAATGTTTAATA